ATTTATTAAAAATATTATTTAAGTTTCAGAAATAAAAAATGCATTACCTGATTATTCCAGATTATCCTATAATGGAACAAATTCCTGATTTATCTTTAAGCTTACTTCCTGAATATTATGCGCTTGGGAGAATATTTTACTATGTATCGCATGTATTAGAAGGAAGTTAAACTATACAATTTTTTCTTATTTACAGCTTATCATCTATTGCATATACTTCTAAAGATTTTCCTACTAAAATACCAAACTTTTTATTAAAAAAATTTTATTAAGATAAAACTACTCTTTAAAAAATAAAGTTACTTACATGAATCTCATCTGAAAATAAAATGATAGTGTTGATAGATTGAAGAAATTTGAATAATTTTTCAGATTAATTAGAAAAATCAAGAACTTATATTTATTTTGAATCATATGATACTAAAATATATCTACCAATTTGAGCATAATCTAGTAAATCTCCGTAAGTTGAATATGACAAAGATAAAATATTTAAATTATAATCAATAAATTGAATAATCTTTTACTGAAAAATAACTATAACACTGAAAAAAGTAAAGTCTAAAAATTAAATCTAATTATTTTGGAGTTATAATTATGTTGTTTGAATTTTTTATCCTTAAAAATCTATTAAGAAGCAAAAATTTTAAGTTATTGCTATTATTCTTTCTTATTCAATTTAAGTTGCAAATAATATCTATTTTTCTTATTAGATTTTATTAACTATAAGCTATATATCAATAGTTGTAAAATTAATAAAATCGAAGAAAGAAAATATGCTAGAATTTTCATCAATAAGGCAAACCACTTTATATTGTTTGCTAAAGAAAAGAAATTTCAAGCTCTTTTTTAAAATTAAAAAATATTAATTTATATTACAATGAAAAGAATTTTACATAATTAAGATCCTATCTAACAGGCATTTATTTAATAATAGTTCCATCTATTTAAAAATTAACTATGTGACTATCTTTTGTTTAACCAAAAGTATAAACGTAAAAGTTTTCTTAGTCGTCATAAAAAGGGAAAGCATATATCTAAAGTTAAGGAATGACTATTTAACTTATAAATTATTTTTCATTTTCTTATCTTTTCGAAAGATCTACAATTATTAATGATTCTGACTCAAAAAAATATAGCTTTTGTAATTAAGTATTATAAAAAGGAAATACGTAATATTACATCTATAAATTTACTATAATATCTGAATTTTTAATACTCCTTAATATACTATTACCTGCAAAACCATTTAATTAATATAATTAGCTTTTTTATACAATGGTAGTAGCAAATACTCCTATTGTGCTATCTGCAGGTCTTTGGGTTTTACATATTGTTTATTTTAGCTTTATATAATTCCCATTATCATATAGTTGTAATTAATAAAAATTATTCTCATTTGTTGTTAAGATGATATAATTATCAATTATATGAATACTGTAAAATATTTCTTTGATAAAATATTTAATAAATGTCAAAGTCGTTAAATCTAATTTATAAATGTAATGTGCTATATAATAATCTGCATAGATCAAATATTTATCTAAAATTTGATAATACAAAATTGGTATGTTTCCCTAGAATTAATCTATGTTAACTAACTTTGTCTCTCCTTACAAATTTTATTAGATACTAATTAATTAACATGCAATACTATTGATATAGTACTTGTAGTTAGCAGCTATTACGATTAAGTATCTATTAGAAGATACAATATCTATGTAATAATTAGAAGTATTTAAATCTGGAATAAAAAATTCTGCACATTCTGGTATTTAATTTTTATTAATTATAATTGTACAGTAAGTATTAAATCCTAAGAGTAAGTAAATATTCAAAGTTGCTCGTTTAATTTAGCTGTATTAACTCTTTAATTTGCAAATTATTTATGTATTTCTATATAAAATACCTTATTACAAATTACCTTATTCATCTATCCACTTTTCTAAAATTAAATAAATTATGAATATATTAAAACATAAGTAAATTTAAATTTACCTTAAGATTTATAAATCAATAGTTCTTATGTAAATTATATTAAAACAATAAAATTTTAGCTCAATAAAATATCATATTAAATTGAAAGTGGTAAGCATTATTAATTTTAAAACAAATTCTCAACTTCAAAAACAATCACTTTTTGCTCACTCATTAAGCAAATAAAATCTTAGCCTTCGTATTCTACTTAATCTATAAATATCAATTATCCATTTGTTGATTATTAAAGCATATTTATTTCATGAACTTAATTTGATTTCAAATCAAATAATTAAATATATTTTGAGTAAATGCAATAGTAGAACTATTCTGTATAAAAATAAAAATGTATATAATACAATCTAAATAAAAATATAATTTACTTTTAGAGAGCTTACATATAAGATTAGGGTCTGGATTTAATAAACTAGCGCTAATTTCAGATAGAAAGTTAATTATTGGAGATTGAAGCAACCAAAATTTTATATTTCCAATTGTGTCATATGAGATAAGAATTTCTTAATTATTAATATCTTAAAATAAGCTAAATGATTTTATTGTTTGCTAATATACCTCTCCTCTGTATAAATGGCAATAATTACTTACAGATTTTTATATTGGGCATTAGATAGCTGCTTAACAGCTAGAAATTTATTCATTTTAGATTTCCTATATCTAACACTAAAATACACAATCACTTTTTAAAGCATTCAAATATTTATTGGCTTTAATACATGATGAAATACATTAGCCATTTTTAAGATCAAATCCCTATTAACACTAGATACATTCGCTTGAAGAAAAACATTTTAAGCACCCATAAACTAAACATGCTTCACATTCATTATTATTTTAAAAATCTGTATTTTTGCACTCTTAAACACATTAATTTTAATCTTTATTTAATAAATATGGTTTTTAGCATTAATTACAATTTTAATAATCTTCTGTGAATGGTTATCCAATTTATTGTTACCCAATTTGGCAGTTACTACAATTATTTATACAGCTAAAGCATTATTAGCTGTAGGCATTTAATCCTTATCCAGTTAAACATTCTAAACATTTCATAAAGCTATTATTATATAATAATATCAATAAAATAAGTTATCTCATAACCTCAAATTTATATTTAAATAGTAATGTAAATTTATTATTTAAAATTATATATTATTTAAATATATATTGCTAATTAGTTGATTTTTCAATATTTAATTATATTAAAAATATAATGACTATTTCACAGTATGAATTCTTAATTCTGATTTTAATAATTTATGGATTAATCAAAACACTAGATAATAATTAACAAGAATCTATATTAAAAAAATAGCTAGCATTATTCTTATTAATATTTTATTTTTTAAATAATCATTAATGATTTAAAGATAAAGTATTATATGATTTTAAAAAATGAAAATGCAGATTACTAATATCATTTTAGTAATTTAAAATTTAATTATTTCATATTATTTTATTGATTTATTTTTCATAAAATCAGAAATATATCAAAATAAAATATAATTTGAATAAAAATAAATAAATGTTTTAATTTTTTTTAAATTATTTGATTATTTAAATTAATATTATTAAAAAAAATATTCTTTCAAATAAAATGATATTATTTGAATAATTAAAGGATTAAAGGATATAAAATTAATTTTCATTAACTAAAATATATAAAATAAACAATCATTTATTTAAAAAAAAATAATTTCTATTAAGATAAGGTAATTTCATCTTCTTTTATTGATTAATTTAAAATATTACTTTTTAAAAAGGTTAAATATTTTGGAAAATATTTGATTATTAAATAATTAATATTTTCTTTTAAAATAATTATCATGTAATATTATAAAATAAAAATCTATAATAAATTAAAAATTTAATTTCTTAAATTACATAATTATATTAACAAATTAAAATTATTAAATAAATTAATCTATTTTTAAGCAAATTCAGGAAATAAATTCTTAATTCTCCACTTCCATAAGAATTTAATACCTGGATTTGCTATAATTTTTTGAAAAATTACTTTTGTTTATGTAATTTAAAAATCTATTTAAAAAAATTATTCATTTTTATTTAATTACTTAACTATTTGAATTTTTTCAATTTATACCTACTTCTCTTTGATTTATATTCTATTTTTAAGTAAGCAATTTAAACAACGCTATCAATATTTAATAAAGAATTTTATATTAACTCTATTCTTAATTTTTATAAACTTGATATTTGATCTCTCAATTATAATTATTTATTTTATCCATTAAACTATAATTAAAACTAAATAAATTTCTAAATATACTTTTTGTTAATTAAATTTCCATAAATTGTTATTCAAATTTAATAAAAATAAATAAAGGATATAATAAAAAATATATTTTAAAGATCGAGAAGATGTAATTTTATGAATATTCTTTAAATTTATTTTTATAAATAAAAAGTTTTTAGATAGCTTTAATCTCATTTAGTTTTTCATATTAATATTAATTGTTATTATTATTGCTAATCTATTTTTTTACATATTAATTTATTAAGTTATTCACAATATTATTTTTCTAATAGATATTCTCATCTATTTTGATTTATTTACATTTTCACAAATATGTTTTTTAACTTAATTTATAATTTTCAAATTTTATTTTGATTATAAATTAATTTCTTATTATTTCATATTTTTTATTCTTTTTTTCATTCATTCTGAATGATTAATAAATCAAATAAATTTTTTACAATATTTAAAAAGTCGCAATTAAATTATAATGATGAAGATGCATCAGACTTATGTTCTGATTTAGAAAATATCATAAATCTCAGGCTTGATATCTAGTAAAAATAATTTATTTGCTTTGGATTATGATATCTTTTAATATAAAAATTAATTTAAAACAATAAAGCTTGTAAAAAAAATTTATGGGATTTTTATTTAATTAATTTTTCTCTAATTTTGTTTTTTTCTTGTTAATATTTCAAAATATTTAAATTTCAAATTTAATTTTGATTAATATTTAATAAAGTATTCAGGTGGGGTAGGTTAATTAAATTTTTTACCCCCTCGGTTAAAATTTTAATTAATAAAAAAACCAGATAATCGATCCTACCCTAAGTTAAGACACATGACCTACCCCCACCCATTTTTTTAATAATTTGTTTTATCTAACCAAATAATTAATTAAATACATTTTTTTCAATATTAAAATGTAACAATTGAATTTCGCAGTTGGTGCATCAAATTTAAGCTCTAGTTAATCAAAATGCGCTAATATCTTAATTTAACACTTTATCTGAAGTAAAAGCAATTTATTTATTTTAGATTGTTAAACTCTTAATATAAAATTAAATATAAAGTAAATATAATAAATACTCTTTTAATTAATTTATGAGCTTTTGACTTCATTTATTTTTCTTTTTTACTTTACATTAATTTTTTTTTTCATTTTTCATTTTTAATTAATTATAAATAATATCTTCAATAGTTAAAAAGGTCTAATGTAATTAGACTAATTGCGCATCAGACTTATGTTTTGGTTTATATACAAAATGCATTAATCTCTCAAATTTGGCACTTTATTTCAAGTAAAAAAAAGTAGTTTATTTGCCTTGATTGTGATATTTTTTAATATAAAAATAAATTTAAAATAATAAAACAATTTTAATAAATTAATAATTTTCTTTTATGATTATGTTTTATTTTTCTTTCTAACTAACGAATTGATTTAATACATTTTTTTTAATATTAAAAAAAAAGAAACAATTAAATTGGTGAATAGTAGAATAGAAATACTCGCGCATATAAATGAACTCAGAATACAACTTAAAATTAATTTTTATCATATTTATATATTTTTTATTGATTTTATTATGTATTAATAAAGTGTTTAAATATACATTTGATTTATAGGTAGAGAGAGAATTATTAATAGTAGAATTTAAAGTAAGGAACAAATATCTTAAGTCAAAAAGATTAATCTTATTTATGATTTATGTTAATAAATAAAGGTTGAAAATAAGATGAATTAATATATTTATATCTAGAATATTATATAATTTATTTTTATATTTGATATTAAAATATTTTGCAATAGAATAACAAAGCATTAATTTTAATTTATTTATAATTATTTTTATATTGATAAATAAATAAAAATTTTCTTGAATAAAGTAATTCCTCATCTAAAATAATAAAACAGATTTCATTACATATATTAGGTTTTAATAAATAACTAATAAAAATAAGTGTCTTTTAAACTAAAGAAATGCAAGTCTTTTATAAATCATATTTAAAAATTAGAATGTATTAATAATAAAAATTTATTTATTTTTAAATTATAACTAAATATTAAATAAAAATTATCAAATATAGCTTATTCAGTTAAAAAATTTTCAAATAAAGAAAAATGTTTTATTTCCTGAAAAAATAAAAAATTTTTAATCAAAGATTTAATTTTTTGATTAAGAAATCTAAATTTTTTTATCAAAAATTTAATTTTTATTTAATTTTTTTTTTTACATATCATATGAAAGAAAAGAATGTTTAACTCTAAAAATTAAATGTTTTACTAATTTAAAATTTATATTTCTTCATTATATAATTAAATCTTTGACTAAACATTTTTTGTTTTTTTAGTTTATTCAGGTTCGAAACCTATTTTGATACTTTTTTTTATTATTTTATATTTTCTTAAAATTAAAAGAATAATATTTATTATTCTACTAAATATGTATTTCCTTTGTAAAACCTAATTTTAATACTCTTGTATTAAGAAATTTTTTTTTTTTATTTTCACAAAAATGAAAAATTTGATTCATGTTTATTTTAATTACTAATTCAAACATAAAATTCAATTATCATTAATTTATATTTTAAAATTCGATAGATTAAATAGAATTTATTATTTATAGTTTCTAGTTCTTTTGCTTTTGGATTATAGATTTTGGTTTGATGCAACTTCAATAGGTATCTAGGAAGCGTTTTATATTGATGGAGAAGGATATTCTGTTAGTTTATCTATACTAAAATTTCTTTTCTTTCTTTGGGTAGTTAAAGGAGTACTAAAGACAGTATTTCCATCAGCCACTTTATTCAAAGCTTCTTAAGAAATAATATTTTTTAAATTTAAATCACTCACTTACTTAGCCATTTTAGATTCAAGTGCAATTGATTACGCAAGTCTTTTTTGGGTTAAGGATATATCTTTTAAGCTGGTAGAAGGAATAACTTTTGATCTTTGTCTCTAAGTTAATATTTTTTTAATCTTTGCTGAAATTGTTACTCCGATTTTGAAAAATAAATATAGTAGCTCTAAAAATATGATAAATATATATGAGAATATAATAATCCAAGAAAAACTAAGTCTATTATCTTCACTCATTAAAGATTCATTAATTAAGAAATAAAATAAGGATATAATAAAAGAAAATATTATTTCTACAAAAACATTCTTATTATTTTAAAATTTATTTTTTATTGGTTTTTTAAGAATCAAATATCCAAGAACTAATAAGCTAGAAAGCAGAATCATAGTCAACTATATGTATTAATAATCTGTAAACACAACTATAGCAAAGCAAAACGTAAATCTTCTTATATTAAGTAATAAGTGAAACTCAGGATATAAACTTTCTTGGCAGATTACTTCAACTAATTCTGCACATTTATTCTTTTTAAAAAGAATATAAGCAATGAATGGAGTAGGAATTATGCTCAAAAAAGATAATATATGGAAGATATTGTTTGTAGTAAAAAGGCAGTTATCATATGATATTTTGGTAAATTAAAGTATCGATGATAAAGATATTTAAACAAAAATAACTTATATAAGTTCCAGATAAGTGCTTGATTTGAGTTTTAAAAGAAATTTTTCTAAAAGATTTTTTACAGTAGATTATTTTCTATTTTATAAAAAAAATCTATAGAAACTCAAAACCAAAATATGAAAAAAAGCTATTAATGATATTAAGAAAATAAGTTATCCTTTTATTTAAAAAAAAAATATTTATTATTTAAATTATTTTTTATTTAATATGATTTAAGTTTTAAATAAATTAATAAATAAATACCTGAGTTTTATATAAAGAGTGCTGTTTGTTTTTTAGTTATAAATATGTCAAATGAGTCTAAGAAAGGAAGTTTTCCAAATACAAAAATAAATGGGTTTGGAATAAAACCCATTTAGAGAGAGTTAAAGGAATCCAAAAATATTTATAAATTATATGGTTTTCTAATAATAAATAAAAATTATCAATGATTTTATAAAATTAAATGTGAAAATTTACAGGATGTTTAAAAATGTTAATAAATAGAAAAGCTCTGACAGATCAACCAATGATGAAAGTAATGGTTAGTAAGCTGTGAAAATAAGAAATAAAGAGCTAATTATGATTGACTATGAAACAGTTTAGCCTGTAGAATGAGCTAGGTCAGTTGTTTTCTTAGCATTTTCACTTATTTGATAGCTAAATTAAACTGTAATGCTGTCTGAAATTAAATCACCACTGACTTAAGATGTATTGTTTTAGACAGCCTATACAATTAGCTTTAGATTTGTAGGAGGATTATTTTTAAAGTTGAAAAATGCTGAGTATGAATCGTTATTAATCTTCGTTAATGTAACATTAGAAGGTATATTTGGCTAAAGCTAATAAGAAAATGTTATATTTTGATTTTATTTAATTTCTGTATCAAACCCGTTAGATAAGAAAATTATTACAGTATTCTATTATTAATTGTTTTAAGTCAACTTTAATTTTTTTTATTCTTAACAAATATTTTAGTAATTTTATGTGCCTGGTGGACAACTTATTACACACTAGTTTTTGTAAATAATTTAGCTACTTGGGCAAACTAACGGAACGCATTACGTTCCTTAAGAATTAAGAATTTCAGTCGAAGAACATTATAATTAGCATTAATTTTAAATTAGTTTAAAAGAATTAGAGCATTCTACGCATTGATCAAGACTATACTTAACACAATTACTTATACTTAATTAGACACATGTTCCATTAAATTTAATAAAACCATCAGGACAGTTATATAAACATTTTTGAGAATATAAATTAAAACCATTAATACAAGTACTACATACAGTCTCAGAAAGACAGATACTACATCCATTTATAAGTTTATCACACCTTTAGCAAATTTAAATACTATTTTAAGTCACTCCAAGATATCCATCTGAGCATTAAGAAACACATTTTTGATCTAATAAGTAAAAATTACTCTTACATTGTTTGCATATATTTCTATCATCTTAACAATTAGCACATTCATTTTGTATGCACATAAAGCAAATACTTTTATTTGAATCTAAATAATATCTTTAATTTAAAAAAATATTTTAAAAGATATTTAAAATAAAATAAATTATAATTTTGATTATTTTTTGAAATAATAGAAATTACCCTTTATTTATACAATCAGAATTAGATATACAAGTTTATGAATTATTGCCAAGATTTTATAACACAGAAAAACCAAGCGAGCATTAAGCACAGTCAAATTATTGAGTGCATTATTTGCAATTTTATTAGCACTCATTACATGTCTAATTTTGAGGATAGTATCCTATAGGGCAGTCTTTTAAACACTATCCATTATTTTAAGAATTAAGAGGCTATAAGTTATACCCAAGATCGCAAAATTAGCATTTATCTAATTAAGAATTTTAACAAGTATTACAATTAGATACTTAACATGATTTTTATTCACATACCTTTGCTAATTAATTTGTATTATATTCAGAAGGGCAAGATAATACACAGCTTTAATTACTTAATAGGTAAGTATTTTAGTTACATTTAGAGCAAGTGTTAGAGTTGCTGCATGTCAAGCAGTTTTAAGGACAATTTGAGCACATTTATTTTTATATGTTGGAAAAATAACCATCTGGACATTTGTCAACACAACTTGAGTTATTTAATAAGAAGTAAGAATTTTTACATATATTACAAGTATTAATATCAGTACATTAATCACAATTCTGTAAGCAACTTTTGCATGTTTAGCTTGTTATATCAGCATAGAAACCATTTGAGCATCTTTAAGAGCAAAGTTAGGTCTAAAAATCAAAAAAGTATCCTTGACTGCACTTTGAGCAATCTTTGGAGGAAGAGCATTAATCACAATTTTACTTGCATTATGAACACGATTTTGGGTTTTATAACTCATAATACCCTAGAGGACAATTTTATAAGCATGTATTTTACCCTAATTAAAAGGAATTAGGTTAACAAATAAAGCACTGGTTATTTGAACTCCCAAAACAACTTATACAATTTAAATGACATTACTAGCATTTTTAAATTGTTTCATCATAATATTACTAATTTTAACATTTATAGACGCATTATCCATTTATATTGTTATATCCAGAAATGCACAGCTGACAACTATTTAAAAATAAACCATCACACTATTGACAATTATTTTGACAACTAATTAAAGTATTTTCTTATTTATCACAGAAATACCAATTATATGTATTGTTAATTTTCGGACCACACAATTATTATTTGTTAGATTATTCATTCGAAAAAACAACACATTTTTAATTTATTTATAATAGGCAGTTAGCATCATTTTATTAACATTTTTATGAATTTTAATCATAAAAGTATCCTTTTTTATCAATTTTAATAAAATAAAATTCATTTTAAGCACCAAAAAACAAAATTTTTAAATAAATTAAGAAAAAAACTAGAAGTTTAAAATTAACAAAATTTAATTTACCAAATGGACAATCTTAGTTAGAAGATGCGCAATTTCCATCAGCTAAATTATATCCTTATTTACATGATGAACAAATATTGTTTTTCAAAGATTAGCAATTGCTTTTAGATGAATCAAAAGCAATACAACTATTGAATATTTGATTATAAATCTACAGAGGTTAATTACATTAATTTTTTTATATAGAGCATTCAAATTAATCATTTAATAATAAATTTCCTTTGCAAGAAAGACACTAATTTTAATCAGGTCCAAAGCAAGTTTGGCAATCTTAATAACACGAAGAACAATTTCCTTAGTCATTAATATATTTACCATCCCCGCATTAAGTTATGCACTAGTTACCCAATTTAAGAAGATTTCTTGGCAGGCATTTTGTACATTCGTTGCTATTTGAACACTCAGCACAACCTGGTAGACATTCTTGAATAATTATTTGAGCAGATTTAATTGCAATATTATTAGGTGAACTTATCATATTAGTTATTGAAAGTACCTTTAAATTATTAAATGGTATTTAACCTTTAATTTCTAAAAGAATTTATTTATAAAAATCTTACCAGTAAATTAGAAGTATCTGAGTGTGATAGATCTATATTAAGAAAATACTGTTTTTCTATTAATTAATCCCCACAAAAATCTAAATTAGAATCTGATATATTGATATTAGACTCTTGAAAAACTAAAGAATTAGGTATGATATTATTAGCATTTATTTAAAGATTTTTTAAAGATAAATTTTTATCATCAAGGCTTATAATTAAAAAGGAGATCCTTACTCTGTAATGAGGATCTGCAATTAAAAGACTATTTTTATATGTTTAACCTTGAGTGATCAAGAGATCATTAAAATTATAACTCGGCTATTTTAAACATTATATAATACAATTATCCACAACATATTTAGAAGAAATACTATCAAATATTGTTTATTGCCCTTATCCATCCTACTAACTCACAAAGTCAGAGCATTTACTTTTTTATATGTTTGTAAATCTAAATGGAGTGGATAATTCTATAACAAATAAAATAATTTATCTTTATTAAATTAAATAAAATTATTTACATTAAGCTGAAGCATATTAGATTATAAATATTAAGTACAAGACTTTTGTAAATGTTAGTATCATTTTTTTGACAATAAATTTGAGAAAATATCTATCTTGTGATTGTGTTTGGGATATTATAGATGATGATTGATAGAACTAATAATTAAGTAATATTTTATTAATTATATTATTATCAATAAAAATTTGAACGAATTTATTTTTTATAGTTCAAGTTAACTTTTCATTATTCATGAAAAAGCAAATACTTTAAATTACAATCAAATTTATTTCTATAATATTTTTTGTTTTATAAATAAGCAAATCTTTTATTCATAATACAAAACAAAGCAAATAATTTATCTAAATTAGAATGATTTTTCTCATAATTTTTAAAGAAAAAAGCAATTATTTAATTTTATACAATTTATTTAGGTTTACTTCAATTTTAAATTAAATTTTGTTGATAAGATGCTAAAATAATGCAAATATATAACTTTGTTACTCAACACATTTTTCGATATTTGTTGGTAAATTTTTAATCAGTATTATTTGAAGTTAATTTTAAATAAGTATATTAACTAACACTAAATGATGAAATCATTAAATTACTAGCCCTATTTTAAATATACTAATTTTTATAAAAATTCTTTACACTTATCATATAAATTTACTAAAAATACATTTTTCAAGATTTGACATAAATATAAAATTTTGTACAAAAAAAATTTTATTTTTACTAAAGTTAAATTACTGGAATGATATATAAAAACATATAAATTAGAGTAAAAACAAACTTATTATATTTATCTATAAAAATGTCCATTAATTGACATTAAAATTGCTATAAAAATTTTCAAGCAAGTATCCTTCTTTTATTTTTAAAAAATATCATTTTTAAATTCATATTAAATTCCATAAAAAAATTATAATCAGTAAAAAATTTATAAAATTTGTGTAGATTAGTTAAAAAAACATCATTAGATAATCTAGCAATATTTCATTTAGCAATAATGGTATGATTCATATTTTGATTTGTAAAATTTTATATTAGATATTCATAAATAATTTTAAAATATAATCAAAATTAAATAACATATCAGAAATATATTCTTAAACCAATAAATTAATTCGTTTTCCTTAAAAATATGTTAAAGCTTTTATTAAAATTTCTAAAAAGCTAAAATTGATTTAAAATTTACGATTAAATCATTTTATTTAAAAATGTTTAATTGTTTAAATTTAAAATTTATATTCAAATCTTTTAATTAAAAAGTATTTTTCTTAAAGTTAATGTAACTTCAATTATAAGAAGCTACTTAATGTTAAATTAAACAATTAGAAAAGAACGATATATTAATATTTAAAAAAGAAAATGATTTTTAAGAATATTTAATAGATAAAAATAAAATAATTTTAGCGAGTATTGAATTTAAATTTTTAAAAACAAGAAAAAATAAATAAAATTTTTAGAATATTTAATGTTTAATTTTTTCTTTTTACTGTAAAAATATCAAATTTATTTTGTTATTAAAGACAATGCTAGAATATATTTAAGAAAATTATAATTAATTTAAAAATTATTAAGAATTTGATAAATTTTGAATTATCTATTTACATTTAAATATAAATAATAAAGTGATTGATTTTTGATTTTTTTTGCAAAACTAATAAATGGGTTCAAGTATATTTAAAGAAAATTAAACTTGGTTTTTAAAGGTCTAACAATTATTTTATATTAAAAGTACTTAATATAGTTGATAAAAATTTATTCCCTGCTCCAGAGCCAAGCTACAACTTTCAAACTTTTACTGGAGATGCTTATATCGAATTTGTAAATTCTTAATATGAGCAAAGTAAAATTTTTTAAAATTTGATAATAATCTGCTTTAAATATGCGAAATAAATGCATTTTTATGTTTTAATTTTCAAAAGATAAAGAGAATACTCATTAAATACCTCTTTTAGTAATACCTTATTATGAAAACGGTATCCTGAATGATAAATATTTAGTATATTTTCATGGAAACGCTGAAGACATTGGGCTCTCATATTAGTTTTTATTTAGTATGCAGATGATTTTAAAAATGAACATAATTGCTGTAGAATATCCTGGTTATGGTATTTATAAATCAAGAAAAACAACAGCAGAGTGCATCAAATCTGATTCTTTAACTGCTTATAATTATATCCTCAAAAGATTTAAGACAAGAGAGCAAAATATTACCATATTGGGAAGATCTATTGGAAGTGGTCCAGCTTCGTATGTTGCTTCAAAATAAACTCCAAAAGCTCTAGTTTTGATAAGCGCCTATATATCAATCAAACATCTTATTGGACATCACATTTGTAACTGCATTTCATTTTTTATATCAGAAAGATTTAATAATATTGAATGCATGAATAGCGTTTCATCTCCGGTTTTATTAATACATGGAATGCAAGATACCTTAATCCCACCAAATAACTCGCAAATGCTTTAGTAAAGATTAAAATCTTAAAATAAAATAGTTACTGGAATATATCACAAACATATGACTCACAATGATTTTGATGAAAGAAATGACATTTCAATTAAAATAAAGTAGTTTTTGGAAACAATATGATTACTTATTACAAATTAAATTAAAAATGCCATATTTAATCTTATTAAGACCGTAAGACAATATTATACAAAATATTATTTATATATTAACTTGTTCATTTGCCATTAAATACTTCATAAAATATTTTTTAATTTGCATCTCAAATTTAATTTAGTTTTAAATTATTTATTAAAGTGAATTAAATTTCTTTTAAGTTTTAACATACTTTAAAAAAAATATATTAGTGATACATCCAAAATAATATTTATCCTATTCCATTATTTAATTAAAATATATTATTTTTATAAAGCTTATTTGAATTTATATTTTTATATATTAAACAAATACATTTATTCTTATTCAAAATTTTTTTTTAAACTTTTAAAAAATACAGTAATATATAAAAGAGACTTATTATTACTTAATTTTTAAGTTAGCTATACTGTTTAAGTTTATTTATATGTATATTTACAAATTTTATAGATTGTTTATTTTAAAAAATCTTAAGTTCATATTCTAAAATTTTATTTTTAGGTTTGCAAGCAGGCTTCTTACTTAATATACTATTACAATTTTATTTTTCCTATTACTTTGAGATATAAATGTGATAGTTTTATTACATTTAATATTTTTCTAATTAATCTATTTATTTGAGTTTTAATTTTTTAATATTTCTTAAAATCATTAAAAATAAATATAAGCAATTTTAAAAATCATGTTAGGCATGAGAATATTTACATTTTAAAGTATTCCTGTATTCTGCAATTAAAAATTATTGCAAAAATTAAATATATTTTAAGGATGTATTATGGATAGAAATATTTATTGATTCATTATTTTCAGTTTGTATAATTATTTTCATATTTAAAATAGAGGTCATTACTGAGCATTTTACCTGATAATTAGATATCTGATTATTTTAAATTAACAAACTTATTTTTTTGTTCTATAGATCCACTGATCTCGAACTGTTTTGGTTTTTGGGCATGCATAAAATCTAAAGGAGTGTTTAGCTATATAGAATTTCTATATGAAAAAGGATGCTATTTTTTAATTTCATGGTGATGGCTGTTATTTTCATTTGACAGCTTTGCACTGACAGAAGAGCAAATGTCTATATCATCTTAAGATTTTTTAACTAAATCAAACATCTCTTCTTTGATTAACTCTATGCCGATATTATCTTACTTATTTACATTATTTTTATTAAAATTTTAATTTACATTTTGTTCTAGTTTTTCTTTCAAATCTTTATCTAGCATTTTAATTAAATTTCTATCAAATAATGATTAATTTTAATTTTTCTTAATGACTTAATAATCATCTCTTAAAGATTTAATTATTTCATCTTCATTTTTTTAATCTTAGTAGAACGAGCCATCAAAGTTATCAAAATTTCTAATCTGATCATTACTTTTTGTGAATACATTTTTATAGTACTTGTTATCTTAAAAATAATCGATGTTAAGCTATGGTCTAGGCAAAAACTCAAATAGCCTGATTTAGTGTTCGTTTAGAAGTAAATGTTTAAGTTTATCTACTTCTATTAATTTTCTTATAATGTTAAATATATCTATATTACTATAAATATTTTTTGTCGCATAATCAATCAGCCTGGATTTAGGAGTTTAGCACCATTAAAACCATCTAAAACAATTAATCAGATTTTCTGTAAACCCTATTTATTTAGCTTTTTTGGTTTATTTATTTTGTGGTGTAATTTAACTCTATCCTTTTTGGTGTTGCTAAAATATGGGTGTTTAAGAGTTTATTTGTTTATTGTTAGCAGTAGAACTACTCGATAAAGAGTCTTTTTTTATCTCTGTATTTTTTTGTTGGTTAAAAAATGATTTTTTATTCTATTTAGCATCCTATCCTTAAGAGATATTATTTTTTTAATCTGAATTATCTTAAATATCATAGATAGAATTGAGAAGTTTTCTGTTTAGTTCTACTTATGAAAATGGGCGACATATAAAATAGCCAATTGCTATTATAAAATTAAGTAATCCTCCTACTTATGAAAATGCCTAAATCAATTTCATATATTTTCTAAAGATTAAAGTTTCAGCATTCTTTTCATATAAAACAGTAAACCTAAATATCTCAGAGCTAGAACGTGTTAATATCATTTCTCTTTATGATGAATATGTTATCTACTCGTTAGTGTGGGTATCATCAGAAATCAATCCAAAATCACTTATAATTTTATTATTTATTAAAGATATAACAATGTCTTTCTCTAGATCCTAACCAGTTGTCCAGAAAAGATTTCTTCCTATTGGAGAGAAAGGATTATTTCTTTTTGTAATATTTGTAGTAAAGTCTTAAAAATACACAGCTAAAGAAGGTTTAAGCATCAAATCTTTTGCTTATGCTGTATTATTACAATTTTATCCAATACATTAGTGAACTTAAAACTCAACAGATTAAAATTTCTATCCTGAAAATTCTCCTTCAATGGTAGGAAATTTACCATTAGTTTATGTTTAATTCAAAGACAAACAATACATTTTCTTGATAGGTAGTTAATAAAAATAATCCTTAACTTGACTGAGCAAAAAGTGATTTTTATTGCAACGTTCTACATTTAAAGGAATGCTTTTTTATATCTATGAAGAATCCCCTTATTGAGAATATGTTCTATCAATAACATTTTAGAACGCTTTAATAGAATAAATACCTTCATCAAAAAAATGCTAATAAAGAGAATCTTATAATCCGAATGCTATAGTAAATTTATCAGGGATAAGCTCATAAGTAGGTTGCTATTTTATATAATTTGATTGCTAAATAACTTATGGGTTGTCTTACTCTATTAAGACGATTCCTATGCTAATTATATTATAAATAATGAATCCCCAAATTCCAATCGTAACTATTCCTCCAAGTTTCGTTTTATGGTATTGTTTTTGATTGTATCTAATGCTCACCGTTTAACCAAATACATCTATTATTTCTAAAAATGATTACTTTTCCTTATTACTCATATTCTTTTTTATTATTTGTTTTTCTTGATTTTATTTTTATAAATTGATTAAATTTAATTATTAATTGTAATAAACTTTTGAATTGCCATCTAAATATTTATAAAAAAGAAATTAGAAATTCCTATTTATTCAAATTTAGATTTTTTTTAACAATATTTTGTTCATTTTATATTTTGAGAGACAAATATATCATTGAGAAATAGATATTTTTATTTTTCAAAACTATTCAAGAAATTCCTAAAAAAAATATTTATTATTACTACTACAAAAATTGATTATAATTTATCAATCCATGTAAACAGATTTTATTGTTCAGTTAAATATTTTATTTAAAATATAAGGAAAAGTTAAAAGTGATTATTTTTATCTTAAAGCTTAAAAATTAAAACTAGCTTTAGATTTAAAGAATAGATTTCAAAGTATCAAAAATCTAACAAAAGTCTTATCAGAGGTAGAATAGAAGAAAATATTAACTAATAATAACCATAATAATATAATCAGTATTCAAAAATACATTTAGTTATAATAATAACAATCAATAAATTAATAACTTGAGATAATTTAGACCAAATAAAAAATACGATTTTTAATTTTAAAATAATACTAACAGTAAATAACTTCAAAAATATTGATGCGCACTTATTTTTATTTTTTTTGAAAAGAAAATATAAAATACCACAGATTTCATTTGAAAAAAGGTTATCATATATTTTATTTAAAGAGAAATATATTTAAAATCAAATTTAAAAAATACTTTTTATTTTAGTTAAATTAAACAAAGTAGCATGTTTAACTAAAAATTTTAGACTTCAATTATATTTTTATTGAAAAGATAAAACAAAAATATTAAAATTATGAAAAATGATATTTTAGTAGATATTTTCTGATGTATTTATAAATTGGATATTTAGAATAATATTTGCTAATATTAAACTATTAATTAAGGATAATTAATAGACTTTTTCTCCAAAAATCTAAAAAAATTAAATATTCAAAATATTCTATTTACTATTTAATAGATTAATATAAGTAGCTGCTCAACTAAACATTTTAGATGTAAAGAAATATCTATTCAAATGATTAAACAAAAATATTAAAATATGAAAGGTGATATTTTAGTAGATATTTTCTCAAATATTTAAAAACTGGATATTAAGAACAAAATTAGTTAATTTTAAATTATTAATTATGGAAAATTAAAAGCCTTTTTATCCAAAAATTTATAAAAGTAAAATATAAATAATGAAATAAGTTTCAATAATAATACTATACACATTAATTTTAATATTAAAAAGATTATTTTAAATAAAACTTCTAAGTCTTAATTATCATTTTATTTTACTGGGAGAAATAAAATTAAATTAAAAACACACATTATTAATATTTTTTCACTTAAAAAATTAAAAAATTATTCAACTATCAAATAAATCAAATAGAATTTCTTCCTCTCTAAATAGCATGAATTAAGATATTTGTTTATAATAAACCATTATCTAAAGGAGATGAGTGTATCTTTTTTTGATGCTATGGACTTAGTAATCTTATGAATAATTAACTAATTAAAAACTATTTATTCTTTCAGACAAGCTTACAATTTATGAGATTTGTCTATAAAAATAAGATTCTCTTAAGTAATCACAGTAGAAGATTAAATCAAATTTTAAAAGATAGTGTGCTTTTTAAATAAACTACTTAAATGAGGGGTAAAAGTCTTAATCAAACTAAAATCTGCTATCACTAATAAATGAGAGACGATCTAAATTCATGAAATCTGATAAAACATTTTTAAAAATATGGGATATAGTTTAGCATTAATAGTAGGTAATGTTTAAATCCTTTGGTAAATAAATAATCAAACTCTTCAAAGTTAATTTTGATGCTCTCAGCTATTCAAACAGTTAAATTACTTAATATTAATTATAAATGATAATATTTTGAAAGTCCAGCTCTAAATTCTATAACTGAGATAATTTTGATAGGGCACTGCCCAGATCAACAATTAGCTGACCTTCAAATGAGTTATCTCTTAAGTTGAGACTTAGAGACTTGAGACTTTCTCCCCTATCTCCTATGTACTTTGATAAAAGTAAAAGATGAAAACCATCTATATTTAATTTTTACATATGTAAATTCAAAGAAGTTAAATTATTTAACTGTAAATTATTTAGAAATCTTAAAGTGTTAGCAAAATTTCCATCTTTGAACCAATAATTATGCTAGTCTAAAACAGTGGAATATATTATATCCATATGAATCTCATTTTATTTTTTGCCAAGTTTACTTTATATTCTATCTTAATATTACATTAATAAATTTTGCAAATTCTGCTCACATTCTCTGAAAATGATGTTTATAGAAATAGTTGAAGAGTCTTTGGTTTGAAATTCAAAAATAGGGGTTACTCTTTTTACTCTCCTTTCTATTCTTGTAAAATCGTTTTCTAAGTAAGGCATAGGATTGATGCTCCTACTCTACCAGTAAATACCAATTGGTTAAAAAAATTATATTTTTCCATCTAATTAAACCTTTTCTAAAGGCTTGTCTGTCAAAAAAAACACCATACTGATATTCTACATTTCGTTTCTTTCATGATTGTAATCATCGATGAAATTCCAAAGTCCATGCTTCATTGTATAGCATGGTATAGCCACTATTTAAGTGTCGTTTTCTATTTATTATTGACCTATCGTCTAATTTAATTATAGAATTCTATCTTTGTAAAGCAACTTTATACTACGAGCTGGTTCATAAATATTTTAAGCAATAGTCTCTCTCAAATCAGAGGCGAGAGTATCAACAGGTAAATTTTAAAATTTGATTTCGCTTGTTTTTATAATAACCGAAAAGCTTCTTGTATCATTTTCTAATTTCTCGCTCATTTAAAAAACTAAAAAAAGTAATTAAAAAATAAAAAACAAAATGAAAATTGAATCTCTATAACTTAATTATTTTCTAGATACATAATTTAATTTAATAATAAGTCGTTTATATTTTAGATTAAATTGCTTTAAAAAATATTTTAAACTTATCTCAGCAAATATTATTTCAAAATTTTTAAAGACTAAATAATTTAAATTTCTAAAATATTTTTAAGTTTTTTTATTTTAATTTATGAAAAATTCATTTTTTTTTCTAAATCTTGTATTAATTATTAGCTATTTTAAGAAGCTTATTAATTCTGATAAATTTAAAAACTTAAAAATTAAACAAATTAAAAACTAACAAATCTTGCTCAAATATTTTTAAGACTAATTTTAAAAATTATTTTTTATTCAAATCCATCTATGTTGATGATAATAATTAAAATTAAAGTTTATTCTTTTTATGCTTAAATTTAAATTTGTTTTTATGTAGACTGACTGATCATTTTAGTAGAAATAGTCAAAAAATTTGATTATTTTTATAAAAATTTAAATAGATGCTCCTAATTGTGAGATTGAATAATCATAAAGTATTATTTTTTTGAAAAATCTGTAATTTATTAAATAAATTCAATCTTAAAGTGCTATTGATTTATTATTTAAAATTGATTAAGAATAAAATGGTTAAAGTTTAAATATATGATTAAAATGCCATTAAAAAAAAGGATTAAATGTCTGACGATGCATCTTAATTTAGCACCAGAAATACTCCTAAGATGTAATCGCAACTTATTGATAAAAATTAGGATAAGATTATGCTTTATTAAGTTTTCCCGAGCTCAAACATATTCTTATGCGCTGGAAGATTAATTTAAGGTTCATAGCCAAGGCCATTTATTTTTGCAATATTACTTATAATAGTACCTGTTACTTTACATATGATATTTAAATTAGAATATGGCTATTATTAAGCTATTTTTACTGCTTTGACTTTTTTTTATATGTTTAAAACTGCGTTTTAAGACCCAGGAATAGTCCCAAGGGCAGATAATTTGGTTAAAGACTAATAAATTGAAGATATACCCATTGATAGAACCAATTAAAAGTAATTAGGATATCTGCTAATTGACTAAAATGGATAAAAAGTGAATTATAGAATATGTGATACATGTGGAATTTTTAAGGATAAAGATAGAAAACACTGTAGATTATGTGATAATTGTGTGACCGGATTTGATCATCATTGTAAATTATTTTTCGCATTCTGCATAATTTTATATTGAAAATAACGCCTCAAATCAATCAATCGATCAAAAAGTTTATTCGAAATAATTAACAATAACAATTAGAGAGCTTCTATAATTGTTAAGAAAATATATTTAAATAATTTTTACTTTTTTAGATTATCAACAATTTTTTAAATATTGATTTTTTAAAAATTAAGGTATTTGGCTAAATAACTGCATCGGAAGAAATAATTACAAATCATTTATCCTCTTTTTGTTTTTTTTGTGTGCTTAACTTATTTTTACAATTACATCTTGCTCATGTTATTTGAATGAAGAAATATTATCAAGAATGGATAAATTTAATGAGGTGAGACCTGAATCAACTTAAAATGTCTTAAAAAAGCAGCCTCTTCCAATTTTTTTAATTATTTACAGCTCAATTTTTATTTTATTGGTAGGTACTCTATTTGTTTATCATATAACTCTGATATTAAATGATACAACAACAGTAGAGCAAAAAAAAAGATATTGCAACGCAGTGCAGTAATAATAATAAAACTCAGTAAGAATAAATTATTGGCACAATATTAAAAAGAAATTTCTTTGTGTCTCATCTAAATCTTACATAGACTTTAGATAATATTTAGAGGTGAAGTCATCTAAAAAAAGTAATTCACCTATTAAAAAAGACTCTGAGTCTCTTACTCAAGCAGGTGCCTGCAAAGTAAATGTAAAAATCGAGGAAAATGTAGCTGACTTATTGTCAAATCATAAATTACAATAAACGTGCATAAATGTATAAGTAAATTAAACAAAAGACTTATAAAATTTAGTATGCTCATCCACTGATGAAAAGCAAAACTGTAAAAAAAATGAATGTATTTAAGAATCAAAAGATGATCTATTTTAAGAAAATTAAGTCCCTGTAAATGAATTAAACTCCCATTTAAACAAAAAAAGAAGTTTTCAAGTACACCATTACAATATCTATAATTTAAACAATTAATAAAAAAACATAACTAAATCTATAAATCTATGAATTCAAAAGATAAAATATTTATGAATCTTTCCTATCCAAATTTTACTTAATATATTACAATTAAGCAACTAAATATAAAAAAGTTATTTATTCAATTTATATTCTTTTTGTGTATAAAATATTAATTTTGAAATGTATTTTGATATTATTTATTGTATATTAGCAATTATTTTCTTTAAAGATATTAGATAATCTCTCTTCATTTCTTTTAATTAATTTTTGAAGATCAAATAAGCTTTTTTTAGCTACAAAAATTAAAATTATACTTTTGTGGTTTTTATTGTTTTAACATTATTTTAGCCAAAGAAAAATCTACTTAATAAACAAATTATTTTGTGATAGAGTATTTTCATAAGCTTTAAATTAAGTAAAGAACAAAATAAAAATGATAAAATCGAATTCAATGTATTAAACAAGATATCACTAATTACTCATAATAAATTGTAAATTTAAAATTTTATTTAAATATTCTTAAATTAGATTTATCATTTTTAATTTCTTTTTATTGAACCAAATTTCCAACAAAAATACTAAATCAATAAAAAATAGTGGATAAATTATAATTGTATTCTAATCATATCTAGAAGCACAACCAGATATTATATTTACTGATTACTTCTACATAAATTATAAATACAAAATTTAATTTAAACATTCTTAAATTAGATTTATCATTTTTAAAATTCTTTTTGCTTTACAATATTTTCTAGCAAAATATTAAATAAATAAATTAATAGCATATATAAATTATTATTTTATTTTAATTATATCATATCTAGAAGTGCTCAGAAACTTCTAATCAGTAAAAAAAATATTAAAATTAATTAGAGTAACTTTTTGATTAAATAAATAAAATGTTTAGAAGAGCATTTGCTTTTACTAGCTTATTTATATAAGGTTAGAGAAGCGTAGTACATCTAAAAAACAAATAAAAGTCACTAGTTTTCTAGTCATAAGCATAGTTTGGATTTTTTTCTAACATTTTCGCTAGCAAAGAATAAAAATAAATAAATGAGTTGTACTAATAGTTACAACAAGCAGCTGATAGTTAAAAGGCAAATATTATGAATTAGGTGATTTAGTTTAAATAGAAAAAAAACTAAAAACAAGATTATGAAAACTATCAATTCGATCAATTTGTTTTAGCAGAGTATTACATGAAATAAGGAAAAACCTAAGAGTGCAATGCGATTTTTAAAAATTTTGAACGACTAACTAAATTAGTTTCTCAAGAAGAAATAATGGCAAGAAAATTATCTTTATTTAGAACAAACACTCAATTGTAAAACGAGCTTGAAAAAGCTTTGAAGAAACCTACTGATTAAGTGACTCACTCTTTACCATATGGTTAATATGTTTTAGGAACTATCTTCTTTGATTAAAAAAATTATTAAAAGAGCGAAGAAATACTTATAAAAGCACGTGATAATGTAGATATTTTGCTCGAGATCAAAGACAAAGACTAATACGCTGAAGGTAACAAGCTATATGTAAAGCTCCTCTCTTGTCTTAAACTAGTTTAATTATATTTTAAACAAAAAAATTTCGATTTAGTTGATTAAAATATTGCTATTTTGGATAAAACCTGGGAAACTTTAGAGGATAATCACGAATATGCATTAGGTTATTAAATAAGCAAAGCAAGTCCTTTATATATTGAAATTGCTGATACTAAAGCAAAGATTGCAGAATTTTTTTAGAACTATGTTTAAGCTACAGATATATACCAGTCTGTCATTGTAAGTCTTGAACCAATTAATGAAGTAAATTCACTTCAATTAATATAGCTAAAGCTAAGATAATTAGACAGCTTGATTTTTGAGAAAGAGTATTATGATTCTAAGTTATTAATGAAACAACTCAAGGAATATATTGAGTAGTATCATCCTAATAATCCTTTATTATAAGCAGAATTATAATATTAAGAAATTCACTTTTTATACAAAAAAAAGAAATTCAATGAAATAAACGATAAAATAAACTAGGCATCTCAATTTTGTCTTTAAAATAAAATAATGAATTTGACCTATGCAAGAATTCTCTACACTTACATTAGATTAAATATAGATAAATCTGAAAATGAATGTGGATAAGTTATTTAAAATGTTGATAAATTGCTTAAAGGATTAGAAGATGTTCCTGCTAGTCTCATTATTGATTTTTACTTATCTGCAGCTTAATTTTATTCTAAGCAAAAAGACATAAACAAATTAAGCCAATACATGAGATAGTCTATTGACTTGCTTAAGTCTCCTCCTCAATAAATCTTATCTGCTTTAAGATCTTATCTTATTTGGGCAGGATATTATCTTGAACTTGGATTCATAGAGGAAGCTAAAAAAATACATTCAGAAGCTAAGGATTATAAAGCATAATTAAAATTCGACGGTAGCTTTGATGAACTTAAAGCTTAGTATGTGCTCTTAGAAATAGAACAAACCATAAAGATTTTTGAACATAACAACAATATAAAATAATAATGAAATTAAAAATTATTCTTAATTGTTTATTTATATCTCATAAATTTTTATTTATAAATTGATTTCGATCACATTTATTATTTATTTATAAATTAAATACTTTTTAATGTTTTAAAACTTAAGTAAAGCTGTAAAAAATTAAAAAGAAAATTGAAAGTAAAATCAATGCATTTTAATTAAAAATTAATACAACTTCCCTCCACATTTTTATTGAAAAAGTAAAATTTATTTTTTGTTTTGAAGTTTCTACTTTAAATAAAACTAAAAATATTTTTAGGTAGATTTATATATAGATAAATAGTTAAATAGATACACAAATCTTTTTGTAACAACTAAAAGATTTTCATTTAAGATAGATAGATACTCACTATATTGTAGGGAATGAAGAAACTTCTAAGAATTTTAATATCTTAACTTTTTATATTGATTTAATTTCGATTCCTAATTTGTAATTTTTGGATTAATCAAGATCATTTAATTGTTCTTCTGTTGCTGTTGTGACATTACTGTATTCAGGGTAATCAGCAATCAGAAAATGCTTTTCTGAAATACACATTTGAAATTCTAATTACCTCATTTTTTTGTCATGCTTAATTTGAGTGTTGCATAAAGCTAATCCTTTGGTTGCATGTTCAAATTTACAGTCACTTGTATTAGAGAAGAAGTATGGAGAAGAGCTTACCCACTGATTATTGCAGCTTTTTTCTTTTTGAATTCCTATATTGAATTCATATGATTGCTAAAAAGACGAATATGGCTCTAATTAAACAACTATTCTATATTTGGTAAAGGGATTTATCAACGTATCGTAATGACTCTACACATTCCAACCAGAATCTTTTGTTGTAATTTCTAATATATTTTAAGCATTTCTTTCTATTTTTTGGTGGGACTATGAAAAACCATCTTACTTTGACTTCTAAAATGAACATTTATAAGTAAGATCTATTTCAAATTTATTCTTTTGTTTTATTTCTGTAAATTGTCTTTAAGATAAAAAGTAAAATTGTTTTAAATTTGATTGAATCTCCTTTTATAAAACATCAACATTTTCAAAAATTTCACTGTTTTTCACTTTATCCTCACTTATTTTTTTAATCTAATTTTCTATGTTCATGATGTTTCTTATTGATTTTTCATAGATTTAAAATTACTCTTCTTGCAGCACAGTAAAATCAAGCCTCTCTTTTCCTTCTTTCAAATAAGAATTAGGTTCGATTCTTGGTAAAGCTGGTCCTACTTTCTGCAAACAGATCTCCAGCTTTTTCAAGAATGAGTCTTTACAAAAGTTAGTAGGATTATTTACCAGTGAGAGTATTTCTTTTATTGTGTCATTGTAATCATATTTTTTTCTTTGAAATTGAGTTGAAGAATCTACTTAGAAGCCCTTTAAAAACCAATCTTGTAATTAATTAATTATATTAAGCATATCCTCCATATATAAATTTGGTATTTAGAGCTATAAAGCAAACTCTGAATTTTTATAAAAATTATAAGCTTTTGTAAGTGTTTAGCTATTTTCTTTGCACTTGTTATTAACATCTTAAATAAGCTACTAAATTTTTATAAAACTTTCCTCCTCTCCATTTTTAAAATCTTAGGTGAGCTCTCTAAAGTAGTTCTTTTGAGAAACGTTGTTGTATATGTCTTTAATGCCATCTCTTGTGATGAAAAGATTATCAATGTCTACATAAATCTTTTTTTTGCATTGGGATATTTTCTCAATTATTTTCTACTAAAGATTATCAAAATACTAATCTAAAATGGTTATTGGGCATTTTCTTAAATCCGCTTGCTCTAAAATATTTTTATACTCGGTCAATATAGATTTATCTTCTATAATAGGCCAATTTTAAAACACACTATTGTCATTGCAATTTAATATTTCCTCAATAATCATTAAATTCCTTCCTTGTAAATCATTTTGAGTTACACATTTAGCACATACTATTGGGCTGTGTGATGCCCTTTATTAAACTTCATAAAATATCAAAGGACATCCTTTATGAACCTTACAGTTCTGTGTTTATCTATCTTCTTCTGTAGGTTCTAAAAAAAGAGAATTCATTATGTAATTTTTTTTCGCTAATTTATATTGATAATTTAAATTTTTATATCTGATAGTAATTTCATCAGAAAATTAAAACAATATTTTGAGGGAATATGTTGAGTTTATTAGATTAATTTAAAATTAGTAAAGAATCTAATTAAATTTTATAAAAATATTTTTAATCTTATTATAAATATTTGTTTTAATTTTTTCTCTGTATATCATAAAACATTTAATTTATAAATCTAAAAGTAGAAAGTATTCTAATTAAAAAAAGAAGAAAATACTTATTTCTTAAAAAAACAAAAAAATATAAAATTTAAATTTATTTAATAAAAAAAGGAATGCAAATATAATGAATTATATCTTAAATTATTTCTAAAGCTTCTTGTAAATATCAATAATATCAACTTATTTGTTTCTTAAAAAGGAATTGCTTTCTTAAATTATTATTTATAAGAAATATATCAAAGTAATTTATTCTAATAATTCTTACTTAATTTTTTCTTTTAAATATTTATTTTTAACATATTAAAAAATTAAATGCTTGTTTTTATTTTTTTTATGAAGAAGACGAAGAATTAAAATATTTTCATAATATCCAAAATTTAATAGTCATAGCACTTATATAAAAAATTCATTTCTATCAGTTAATTCTTCAGCATCAAACTTATTTATTAGAATTTTAATCAATTGTTTTTAATTATTATCAAAATAATTAAAGTCTTTTTAAAATCAAATGAACCTAATTGTTTATCTTAATAACAAATTAATGTTTATTACTATGTAAAACTATCTAAATTCGCTAAAATATTTTTAGAGTTTTATTTATAAATAATATTTAAAATATAAATAATTTATGAATTAATTTTTTTGCTAAAATTAAGCTGTGCTTTATTATATTTAAAAAATTTAACTTAAAATAAAATATCAAACTCTAAAAAATAGAAAATTATAAATTAATTTTTATTATAAATTATTAACATAAGTATTTGCTTAATCTATTTATTAAATTAATTAAGTTTATTTTTTATTATTTTATAATATTGATTAATTGATTTTTATGATAACCAATTAATTATCCTGTAAATAAATAATTTTTTTACAAGATGGTTTAAAAAATTCATAAAACAATAGATTGATTGATACATAAAAATTTATTTAATCTACAAAAAATTTTAATGAAATTGATTAAATAAATATTCTATTTATATTAAGATCAACTTTATGTGATATTTAATTATGAGAGGTCAATTTATATTTCGAATTATAATCTGTTCATTTCATCGTGGAGAGAATTCTCATTTTTCATAAACGATAAATTATTAAAGTCAAAATAGTTATTCCACTCTTCTAAATTGTTTTAGTTTTAATTTTAATTTACATCACCTATAGCTCCAACTAAAGAAATAGAAGAAAGAATGAAACTTTCATCTAAATCATCTGGTTATAATACTTGATTAGTAGTACTTTGTTGATCTGCATTTATTTCTTCGTCTAATATCGTATCTTGTTCTTCAATATTTTTATAAATTTCAGAATTTTATTACACGAAATTTTAATTGTTTTCTTTAGTGATTTACAAAATATTTTCCGTTTAAAGTTACTTATACTATTGTTATTGATATAAATCTTGTGGATAGTATTATTATTAGATCTGGTTTTCTTAATATGTTTGATAGCAAAACTCATTTTACATTTATTGTGCTTAGTTACCAACCATGTTATCATAATAAATTTGGAAAAGATTCTGTAAAGATATAAAGCAAATATTGTTTTGAATCAAGTTTTAACAAAATAAATTATAGGTTTCACATCGTTTGCAGTAGTTAATATTCTAAGTTTTCAGTACGTAATCACATACAACATTTATTTTCCTTGAAAAGCAAATGTAGCATTAGAAGTGAATTTAATCGCACATGCAACATTTTACTCTCCTAAACTATATTATCTCTTCTTCTTCCATTTATATAATCTATTCCTCTTTTTCTAAAAAATTTTTTTTACTTACCTCTTTTTAAAATTAGAATTTAAATTTTCTTTTTAATATTTATTACAAAATAAATAAATAGCAAGCTAAATCTTTTAAAATTATTAAAAAAAATCCAATATATCTTATTAGAATTTTATCACATTTCTGAACTAAATTTTATAATATTTTCTTAACTAAATTTTATTATTTACTAAATTTAATAAAATTTAGCTAAATCATGTGTTTATAATCCATATTTGTCATTCATCAAAAGCTTATGTAAAACTATTGGTAGCGTAATTATTAAAAGCACCTTATTAGCTTCATTATAAATTGATTTACTTTTACTTTCGATTTAAAAATATATAGGTGGCTAATAATTTTCTAAGATAAATATTTTACAATTTCATTTTGAATTTAAAATGAATTTAAGCATGGGATTTAAATAATTAATTAATAAAACATTATTAAAAATACAACTTATAATTTTAATATACATTTTTAACTTTTAATATAAGATTTCTGGAGTCATTTTTATATAGAAAATTAGAAGTTCTTTTATAATTTAACAGATTTAAGGAGTTTGTGTCTACAATAAATTTTTTAATAAATTAACATATAGCTTGGCTAACAATAGATACATTTTATATAAAAATAAATTAATTAAATAAAAAATTAGAGCGAAATTCAGTATAAAAACAATTTATCAATTAGATACTAAAAAATGGATGTAATGATAAGATTACTAACCTAAAGAATAATAATTTTTAAAGTAGAATATAGTCTTGATACCATTCTGACAATTAAAGAAAAAATCTTTGAAAAAGAAGGAATAAACCCTAGCTAATAGGTGTTAGTTTATAGAAATCAAATTTTATAAAACGAAAGAACTCTAAGTTCATATAATTTTAATCGGGAAGCATACTTATATTTGGTTTAAAGAGGATAACTTTTAAATAAATAATCAACTTGAATATTCATTTATTCATACTTTTAAATTTTTAAAACTTGTATTATAAATTAAAATCTTTGTTTTATTTATTAATTTGTTTAGATTTAATTATAATTTATTCATCAAATTTTTATTTAAAAATAATTATAATCAAATAATTTTTTTATATGATGTTGATTAAATTAAAATTTATTTATGAGTGATTAATTATAAAATAGAGTATATTTTATTTAATAAACAAAGAAATAAAGTAAAATTTAAGTAATAGATTACAATATTATAATATAAATAATTAATAATATTCTAGAAAAATTTTCTACTACAAAATTACAAATAATTTTTTAAAATTGTTTCTAATTTTAATTATTTATTTAATTTTGTTTTTTGATGACTTAATTTAATTAAAAGATATGTTGTTCATTAAATTTATTAATATGTAAATTTAACGATGATTTAAAAATTTACTTAAAATTTGAATATTTAAATTTTAGTTAAGTAATGAAAATTTGTAAATTTTAACGAATAATTAATTTAGTATAGATCAATTCAATAATTAAATTTAGTTTTTTCACTAGATTATTATATATAATAGATTTTTCAAACCATTATGTTAAGAATTTAATTGATATTTTAAATAGAACAATGAAATTAAAATAAAAAATACATTATACTAATTTAATGCATTAATATTTTGTAAAATTAAAAAGTTAGAAATATTCATCAGTATACCTCCAGTAAGTAAGTATTTGATAAATTTTAAAATGTATGAATTTAAATTTTAAAAAGATATTATGTCAAACAGTACATTCAAACTTATTGTTGAGTTTGAGAAAACTAAAGACAATAAACTAAACAACTTTTACATTGAAAAAACTTTAAATGTTATAAATATATTAAAATTTATTGCACCTAAAATAGTTAGTAGAATTTTCTAAGAATTAGTAGTAAGCTAAAGTCATAATTTTTTATATATTTCAAGCTAGAGTATTTTTATATTTTGATTGATTCAAAATAAAAGATATGATTTGCGCATTCATAATAAATAAGTATAAATAAATTTTAATTGAATTCTAATATCTAAAATTTATATCTTTAAAGTATACTGCATATATTTATGATACAAAACAAATCTATATCTATTCATATCTAATAATAGAAGCGAAAATTAATTTATACTTATATCAATAAGGCAAATATAAAGCACTAAAATTAATGATTAAATTTTTATTTTGAACAAGCAGATTAGAGATTTTAGGTAAATTTATTTGCAGTGGAAACATAAATAAATATTTATATAGAATAATTTTTCATAGTGAGTTTTATGTTGTGAAATAAAAGTTATGAGAAAGTAGATACAAAAAGTAAGAAACTTTTATATTTTGAAAGTCAATATAACTATTAATTCAAAGTGATAAGAATTAATTAAGTAATACTAATTTTAAGATTCTTGCTTGAATGAATAAAGATTTTCTTTCTAATTTAAGAAAGAGAGCAGAAAAAGGAAAGATAAAAGAAAGATAATAGATAATTAAATCATCACAATAAATTAGAAAAAAAGAAAAAGCATTTAATTAAATTATTTACAATATGAAAAAAGAAATATAATTTGTATTTGAAAAATATTCTTTTTTTAATTCCTGATAATTTATATACAAAATTTGTCAAAATTTATTGTTTAAAAAATAAAACTTACAAAAATCTATTTGCTTTTCAACATTTTTCAAATCAGACTTAACCTTGAAATTTATGAAATATCGTTATAAAACTTTTGATGTAGTGGTTGCTGCACATTTATTTTTGTTGATAAAAACAATTCCCATACAAAAAGTATAATAGAAAATATTTAAAAGACTTGCAAAATAAAAGAAAAAAGGTGGAATTGATATATAATTATAAAATTGATTGACTGAATTTCTTATTGAATAATCGATTGATTCAATGAATGAATGAATATCATCATCAAAAAAAAAATTAAACAGAAAAATTTTCAATAATTTAGTATTTTGAATACTGGAGATATGCTCTGTTTCAATTAAGATAGTCTAGCAACATGAGTGTATTTATTAATGAATGAATGAATTAGCTAATATTTATTATGTTAGTGTGGTTGATAATTTCATAGAGTTTTGAATAATATTGGGTAAGGAGAAAGATATCTTTTAAAAGTAATAATTTTTTATTTATAAATAAATAAAAAGAAAATAAATCATAAAATAAGAAAACCTTAAATAAAAAGATTGAAAAAGGAAAAAGGTTTATTACGATCGTTGTAGAGAAACAATACATAATAAAAAACCAAATGAATCAACAATCATAATTTTTAACTCAGTCTAGGCAAACTCCCACTAGAAGTGTTAATGTTCGTTCTCCTTCAAAAAGTGGAATCAAGTCACCCACTTATCGCGGAGACTATGCCTAAACACGCAATTTACCCTCAACTAATCCCATTCGCGCTCCCACTCCAGATTTGATGCCCCGTCATGAACGTATTTCTTCCACTGCTGTTCCCAACGGGTAATTTAAATTCAATAGTTTTAATTATATTATCAGCATAAAGTTTCAAATTTGCTCACTGAACACTTATTTTCATTCAATCTGCATTTTGCATACATGTCCATAGAAGGTAGTTTCTCTCCATAATATTTATCGATGTGATAGTTTTTCATTTTTTACTATATTTTCTATACTCATTTTTTTTGTTGATGTCTGATTCTTTTATCAGCATCACATATAAAAAATATTCCAGTGAAACATTATTTTTATAAATCGAGTGCAAAAGTTGAATTTTATAAGGTTGAAGGATAGATAAGTAGTTAAGTGAAGCTCATTATATAAAATACATATGCCATTACAAACATCGGATCATTTTTTATTAAATTTTTATAAATAGACTTAGATTTACTACAAAGAAAAAATAAAACCTTTCTGTATCTCCTCAAAGAGGTGGTTTCAGAGACGTTGATGAAATTACTGAGCAATTCAATAGAATCCTTAAAGAAAAGAATGATTAGATTGATTAGTTGAAGAGATAACTTAACGACCCTGAAGAAAATGTTAAGAGAGCTGCAAATAGAGGTGGACCAGTAATAAATTTTGCATTATTATTTTTCTCTACCAAATAGTTTGTTTACAAATATACCAAAAGCTTTTCAAAATTGAAGATTTGCAATTGACATATTAAATAATCAATTATGTCTAAATAAATACTTCAAAAAGCACAATCATTTTAAATGTTTTTCATTTTTAGAAATTCATAAATTGTGCTTTGTAGCTAGCTTTTGAATATAAAAAATGTTTCAAAACTTTAAAATCAATCAAACTAATCCATCAACTTTTTTTGAAATAAACTTTTTCTATAAAATAAACAGAGTGAAAACGATGTATCCGAGTTAATTTAGTAGCTCTAAAACTTAAATGTTGAATTAACTAAATCCAGATAGAATGAAATTAGACTCAGTGCTATGGTTTAGAACTATGAAAATTAAATCAACAAGTTAAGTGATGCCAACTTGAAACTCTCACAAGAATTAAAAGAAGTTGGTGAGTAAAACCAATACCTCGTATCTCAACTTTAAGGCTAAAACCCAGAAAGCGTAAATTATTTATTCATTTGTATAAAATATAATAGAATGACTATTATCTTTTAATGTTTGAGTTGCAAAAAAAAAATAAACTGAATGATTGATTAATAATAAAAAATACATGAAAAAATTTTGAAAAATATCTTTATAAAAGTTATTTTCTATCTTCCCTAATAGAATAATTAATTCGTTTAATTACTCAATTAACTAATTTCTACAGCCAGTAGGTATAATGATAATACTAACTAATTTATATCAAATAATAATTTTACACAATTAGTCAATTATTAAAAAATCTTTCAAATTAGTTTTACATTTTTCTTTCTAAATTTTGATAGATAAAACACTTTAAATTACAGAGCAACTTAATAAGTTTATCAATTAAAAAAGAAGAAATAAAAATTCTAATAAAAATTTTTAATTAGAAGATATTATTGAGTACATACCAATCAATAAATATTAAACAAATTAATTTACTTATTTAATAAAGAGAAAGAAATAGAATTTAGAGTTAATTTAAAAAAATCAAAATATTATATTAATAAATAAATAAATAAGCAAGCAAAGAGTAAGTTATTAAGTTAGATATTATCTTAGCTAATTTATATAGGAAATAAATAGCTTTAGCAAATAAAATTATCTTAAAGAAGATGAAATATCATTACAATAAAATAGCAAGAAATTATTCTTTAGAAGCAACAAAAAAATTTAGTTATTATAAAAAAATGACTTTTGCATTTAGTTTTTTATGGATCAAATATATTTTTGATTCAACTTGCACCATTTCAACTACTTTTTACATATATCATTCTTAATTTGATTTCATTTAAAATTAAATTCATTTTTAAATAAATTTAGAGAATCAGAGAAATATAAATCAAGCACGCTGAAGAACTTAATAAATTACACGCCTAATTAAGAGAAGCTTAATTAAATGCTGAAAGAAACTAAAATGATTAAATCAACTAATTGAGAAAGCAAAATCAAGAATTAGTCAACGAAATCGAAAGATTGACTAGCTTGATCAAGACTCTCTAGCAAGAATTATCTGCTAAGGGTGATACCACCTAGTTGAATATCATCATTTAGTAGAGAAACTAAGAGTTAGATAATTGGAAGAACAAGTACAACCTTCTTGCTGAAGAAAGAGCTAGAATGGAAGAAAAGATTGTTCAAGCCTAAACTGAAATTATGCGTCTTGAAAAGTAAGTTGAAATTTGGAAAGATCACTGCAACAAGATTCAATAATCTCATCCTAACTAAGACTAAAGAATGTAAATTAACTTAAAATAAAAACAAATAAAATACTCAATTTAAATTTTTACTAAAACAGCTAAGAATTACAAAACAAGATTGCTGATTACGAGTCAAAGATCAACTAACTTGCTATCGACAATCAAAGATTAAACTAATTAATCTAGATTAAGGATGAAGAAGCTGATAAAATCAAAAGAGCTTCCAGACAAAGCAATGTCGATTAACGTACTTATGATTCTCTTTAAAATGAAAATTACTAATTGAAGAACGATCTTTCTTCTAAGGAATTATTGATTGTCTAGTTGAATCAAAGAATCAGAGACTTTGAAGGCAACGGTTAGAAGACCACTCAAGAATTAACTCAAAAGATCTTCATTTTAACTAATGAATTAGATAATGTCACTTCCCACTTGAAGGCTCGTAACTAAGAATACGAAGACTTGTCTAAGAGATACAACTAATTACTCTAACAAACCAACTAAATGACCCAATCTGGTGAATTCAAATATCAAGAACAACTCAGCAAGTCTATTTAATTAGGTCAAGAAGTTGAAAAATTAGCTGCTCTAACCAGAGCTTAAGCTGATGAAATTAAAGACTGGAGAAATAAGTATGCTGATTTGGAATCTAGATACAACTAATAGATCATCCTTATTAGCTAACAAACCAACTAGGAAGTTTATAGAAGACAAATCTAAGACTTAGAAGATTAACTTAGAAGAAAGACTGCAGAAGCCAATGAATGGTAATAGAGTTTCACCAATCTCTAGGCTCAAAAGGAAAGAGAACTCAAGAACCTCATGGAAACCTTGAAAGATGAAATTAGAAAATCAAGCTCTAGCTTAAATCTTTAAAACGACTACAATAAGCTCAAGGACCAAGTTTGTAAGAAAAAATTTTTATTTGCTAATTTCATTATTAATTTATAAAATTATTAAAAACTAAATAGAATTATTAACCCACTAAATCGAACAACTCAATAAGATTAGTATCGAAAAGGACAATGAAATTCGTCTTTTGAGAAACTAGGCTGGTAACGATGCTTTATACAGAGAAAAGATTATTAATATGGAAAACAAACTTGTTCAACTCACTTCTGAATTATAAAACTAGATCAATTTGAACTAAATCAAGGAAAGTGAAATCGTTTCTTTGAAGCGTTAATTGGAAGAAGCACGTGGCAGATACAGTGCTGACATTGAAACTTAATTGATTCAACTAAGATCATAAGTTACCACTTTACAACAATTATTACAATAAAAGGATGAAATCATTAATGATTTACAAAGAAAGCTTGCTGAGCACGAAGATCCCGTCAAGAGATCCAAGAAAGATAATGAAACTTAAAGATTACTCAACTAGATCCAAGAACTTACTTTTGATAACCAAAGATTAACTAAATTGAACAATGAATAAGCAGTTACTATTGACTAACTCAGAAGAGATCTTATCAATTTACAATAACAATCATAGAATGTTGTTGAACAAAATAGAAAAATTGAAGCTCTTCTTTATTAGATCGAAGTTCTTGAAAAGTAACTCAGAGCTGTCGCTGAAGAAAGAGACAACCTTAAGAGATAATTGTTAGAAACCGAAACTCTCAGACAAAAACTCAAGGAATAAGAAGCTCGTGAACTCTACTTGTAAGAATAAATTCGTAATTTGGTTGCTTAATTAGAAAATGCTTAAACTGAAAATGTCAAGAGAGCAGGAAAGGAAAGCCAAATTAACCAATAACAAGTCCGCATCAACGAATTAGAAAATTTGATTTAAGTCCTCAGAGGAGAAATCGAAAAGCTTAACAATATTATTCGTATGAAGGATTAAGATTTAGATTCTCTCAAGAGAGAATCTAACAGAAAGAGTGTTGTTGATGCCGAGAAACAATAGCTCGAAAATAAGATTCTCTTATTAGCTAGTGAAATTGATAGATTATCTAGATCTCTTCAAGACAAGCACGAAGAAGTCAATCGTTTGAAATCTATTATTATTGAGAAGGATAGCTAACTCTAGTCTCTTCCTCAATTACAAAGCAGAATTGCTCTCTTGTAAGATGAAAATAATAGATTGAATGCTCAAATCAAGCTCTTAACTGAAGAAAACATCAGAAAGCTCACTGATGAAAACATTTAACTCCGTTAACGCTTAAATGAAATGGCTGACTTTGAAAGACAAAAGAATGAACTTGAAAACAAAATTTAATTATTGATTTCCGAACGTGAACGCTTAAATGGTATCATCACCACCATGACTTAAGAAAAGCTTTCCCTTCAAGCTCAATTGAATGACTATGCTCAAGGTGACCGCATCAGAAAAGAACTTGAATACCAAATCGAATCTTTGAAGAGAGACAAGCAAAGATTAGAAGAAGGTCTTACTAACTTGGCCAATGAAAACAATGAATTGAGATCTCGTCTTTAACAATTAGGTGATATGGATAGAGTCAGAGGTGAATTAGAAAATAAGATCAATCTTTTGATTCAAGAAAATGATAGACTCCGTGCTGCTTTGGCTGCTAAGAATGAAGAAAACACTAAATTAATTTTGAAGATTAACGATTTATCCAACTTAGAAAAGCTTAGAGCTGATCTTGAAGGAAGAATTAAGATCTACGGAGAAGAAAACCAAAGACTTAATGATATTATCAGACGTTTAACTGAAGATAATACTAGCTTGTAGACTCGTATTGCTTAATTAAGCAATATCGAACAAGTCCGTATCACTTTAGAAGGCTAGATCAACTTGTTAGTTGCAGAAAATAAGCGTTTGAATGATTTAGTCCGTGCTAAGGATGAAGAACTTGTCTAGATTCGTGACATCAAGACTAGATTCGAATTATTCTAATTGAGAAACATCGATGCCTTAGCTAGATTGACTATCACTATGGCTGAATTAGAAAGAGTTTCTGCTTAAAGTGTTGAAAAGACTAATAAGATTATTCAATTAGAATAGCGTTTGAGAGACAACACATTAGAATATTAAAACCAAGCTTTATAACAAAAGGTTAATCTTTTAACTGAATAAATCGAACGTTTAGTTAGAGAATTAGAAAATGCTCGTAACGAATTAATCTAGGTCTCTAGAAAGTGCCAAAGCTTAGAAATCGAAAAGCAAACTTGGGATGCTCAAAGAGCTCAATATGAATAAACAATTGCTTAATTGCATGCTGAAATTTAACGTTTAAGAGAACAAGCTGATGAAGGTGAAAAAGTCAAGAGAAGTAAACAAAACTAAGATAACAGAGTTGCTCAATTAGAAGCTGAAAATAAGTATTTATAAGACCAACTTGAAAAGTTAAGAAATGATAACAACCAACTTCTTTAACAAGTCAGCTAACTCACATTAACTCTTCAATAATTACAAGCTAAATTAAATGACAACACTTTATAAATTTAAAACTAAGAACTTCAAAATAGACTCAATGCCAAGACTGCTGAGCTTGAAAGAGTTGCTCAAGAACTCTAACGTCTTAGCTAATTAATCAATGAATTAACTTTAGAAGTTAACAGACTTAAATCTGAAAATGCTGGATTTGAAGTTACCAAGAGAGCTCTTGAAGGCAGAATCTAAGAACTCGCTTCTAGATTGGAAATGTTGACTGGTGAAATCAATAGACTTAACTAACTCAATGGTGAATTATCTTACAAGCTTTCTTCTTCTGCCACTATCAACGAAAGATATGCTAGACTTTCTGATGCCTATGTCCTCTAATGCGCTTTATCTGAATCATTGTCCAAAAAGGTTTCTGACCTTATTGGTTTCCAAAACGAAGCAGATGAACATAGAAAGAGAGCTTAACGTCAAAGTTAAGATAACGAAGCTCTTATTCAAAGAATTAACTAACTTGAACAATTATTGGCTGAAAAAGATAGAGAATTACAAAACTTAAAGGTAGCCAGCTAAAATGTTAGCATCCTTCAAATGTAACTCCAATAATCTAACCAAGATAAAGAAAATTTAATTAAGAGAATCAGAGAATTAGAAAATATTCTTGGAGAAAGGGATAAAGAAATTGCAGGTTTGAGAAATGCAAACAGTTAAGTCAACCTCCTTCAAATTCAAATTTAATAATACGAAAACTAAATTAACGACTTGAAGCGCAGACATGCTGATGAACTCGAAAATGTAAAGAGATAATACGAAGGTCTTCGTCAATCTACTGTCAATAGAGAAATCAATGAGCTCACAGTTAAGTTCAACATTCGTATCCAAGAACTTGAAAGAGAAATCCAAAAATACAAATCTCTCTCAGAATAATATGAAAATGAATTACGTGCTCAACGTCAATAAAACTCTGAACTTCTCCAACGTTTGGTTGATGCTGAAAACCGTGCTCGCGATTCTGATGAATAAGTCAAACGCTCTAGAGCTGGTCAATAATAGGTCAATAATTTGGAAGAAAATCTCAGATTCGTAACTGCTGAATTAGAAAAGTAGAAGAACCTTTTAGCTGAAGAAAAGAATAAGAATGCCTAACTTGAAAGTCAAAAATCTATTTTAGCTATGGAAATCGAACGTCTTAACACCATCTTGAAAGAAAAGCTCATTTTAATCGAAGACTTCTAACGTCGTGAAGCTGAATATGAAAACTAATTGAGAGAATTGCAAGCTAGACTTGCCTCTGTTGCTGAATTAGAAAGCAAACTCCAATTCTTCAACAACTAAATCTAGACATTGAACTTCAGCTTGGAGTAAAAGGAAAAGGAAAAGCAAGCACTTGGTCAACATTTAGTTGAACTTCAACAAACTATTGAATAATTAAGAGCTGAAAATACTTAAGTTGCTGCTTTCAAATACTAAGTTGAAAATCTCTCACGTGAAAACGAAGCATTAAAATAACGTCTTGTTGAACAATAACAAACTATCGACAAGTTAAGAGCTGAAGCTTCATAATTCGCTTCTCTTAAGTTCTAAGCTGAAAACTTATAACGTGAAAATGAAGCTTTGAAACAACGTCTCGTTGAACTCTAACAAACTGTTGATAAACTAAGAGCAGAAGCTGCTTAATTCGGAAGTCTTTAATACTAAGTTGAAAATCTCACTCGTGAAAATGAAGCATTAAAGCAACGTTTGGCCTAAACAGCAGAAACTCTTAGCTAATAAGTAGCTCAAAACAGCGAACTTTAAAGAAGAGTTCAATAACTAGAAAGCGAACTCCAATTACTCAAGATGTAATTAGAAGGTGAACGTGAAGATAACAAGGTCAAGAGAAGCAGAAACGATAAGAATAATGAAGATCTCTAAAAGGTCATCCAACAACTCCAATAAGAAATTGAAAATTTAAGAAGAGAAATTTAAGCTCGTGATTAGAAGATTGCTGAACTCTCAAATGCAAGCTACACCATTCAAATACTCCAACATGAAAAGGAAGATTTGATCAGAAAGTTAGATGCTATTAGTTAGGTATATGCCAAATCTTAGACTGATCTCTAAAACAGTCTCCAAAAGGTTGTTGTCCTTTCAGCTCGTGTTGAAAGCTCTGATGAAGCAAACAAGAATCTTACTGCCTAAGTTCAAATTCTTTCTCAATCTTTACAAAATAAGGATTAAGAATTAAGAAACTTGATGATTGCTTACTAAGAACTCCAAGTTAAATTTGGTCAAGAATAAGAAAATTCTCGTCGTAGCTCTTCAATGGCTTCTTCCAAGTTCATTCAAGAAAGAGTTTAATTGGAAGCTGAAATTAACAGACTTAAAAACGAATTAGCTATCATCGAACACAAGCATAACCTCACAATTGAAGAAATCAAGCGTTAGATGGAAGTATAGCTTTCTGAAGAACTCAGAAAGTAACTTGCTGCTGCCAAGGCTGAATATGAAAGAAGATTAAACGATGCCCTCAACGCTCAACAACAATAATACGAAGATGACCGTGTCAAGAGATCTAAATAACAACAAAAGGAAAATGATGATCTTAAGAACTAACTCTAATGTAAATATTTTTCATAATTTTGACATTTTTTTAAAAGATTTTTATTAAATATGACATATTCTTATAATTAATTTAACAAAATATAGTAACTATATAAATGCAACTTGAATAACAACTTGCTGAAGTTAAGGCTAGAATGGAAGCTGAAAGAAGAAGACTTGAAGAAGAAAATGCCATGCTCAGAGCCAGAGTTTAATAATTAGAAGACTAATTGTAACATGCTTTGGTTAACGAAGAAGAAATCTTAAAATTCAAGGACTTGATCCAATAACTTCAAATGCAAAAACTTAAGGATATCTCTGAACTCTAACAAAAATTAGAAGAATACAGAAGCTTACACGTCAATGCTGGTGGTTCTCTTCAAGATGCAATCAAGACATCCTTCCAAACTGAAATTCAATAACTCAGAGACAAGGTCCAATAACTCAACTAGATTCTCGAAGTCAAGAGCAAGGAAAATAACGAGCTCTAAAGTGCTAACCTCAACCTCATGAGAGAAAGATCAGAAATAAAGAAATCTATGACATCATCCAACTCTAACATTCAATTCACCATGGAAATTGAATCTCTCAAGAGATAACTTATTGTAATTTTTAATTATTATTTTTTAGCTTAACTAAAAATATTTAATTTAAATCTAGCAATCTAATGATAGAACTTAAGAATATGAAGCCAGAATTAAATCTTATGAAGGTAAACTCAATCAATATGAATTACAACTTTCTTAAGTTGTTAATGAACTCAAGCAAACTCAAGATATCCTCAATATTAAGAAGATGGAAAGAGACAATGCTTTCAATCAAGTAAAAATATAACCAACACGCCATTACTTAGTGTTAAATTTCTTTTAAATAAATAGATGGATTAACTTAAGAGCTAGACCCTCAGCATGTCACAAGCTTTATCTCAAGGAAGCAACGATGTTGATCTTTAAAATATTGTTTTCTTAAAGAAGGAAATTGAGAATTTGTAAAATTTAAAACATTTATTTATCTTTTTAAATAACAAATTAAACTTAAATCAAAAAAGAACTGTTGAAAAAGAAATGTATAAGTCCTAATCAGAAAAGAACTATGCTGAACTCAATAGAAAGAACGAAGAATTGGTTAGAAAGATTGAAGAATTAAATAACGTCAAGCTCCAATATCAATAAAATAATAACAAGATCTATGCCCTTGAAAAGGAAGTAATAAATTTACTATTCTTTATTTTGAATAAATTTTAATCATTTTTCATTTTAAAAAATAAATAGCTTCTCAAAAAACTTGAAACTGAAGAAATCCATATCATGTGAGAAAGTTCAAAGCTCATTTGAGGCAAACACTAAAAACACAAAAATACTTTTTTTCAGAATTAAAACTAACTATAAAATTATATATAAAAATATTATAAATAGATATTTCTATGTAAATCATAAAAACATTTTCTACACTTTTTATTGTATTCAACAATAGCATTTTAATTTTCCATTTGCAAAATAGTTCTTCAAAGTCTTCTTTTAAAATTTTATTTTTGTATCATATAATTTGTTTTATACATATAATATAAATAAACAATTAATTCTAAATAATTAAAAGTTTTCAATAAAAAGATTTTATTAATTTAACAAAAGTAGTTCTAAAATTTATCTTAATTTTTTAATATAATAAATCTTACAAATATGTACATAAATATTTTCAAATTTTCAGTAAAAAACAAAAATACTTATGTTTTTTAAAATATAATGTCATATTTAGTTTTAGAAGAAAGATATAAATAAGAGTTAGTATCAGAACATAATTAAAATACAGAGGAATTAATAAAAACAGATCAATTATTGGTTTATCAAAAAAATCTAATCATAATAATATAATTAACTAAATAAATTTTAAATTGTATTTTTAGAAATGTAATAAAAATAGTTTTTATTTTTTTGTTGTAATATTTTAAAATTTAGTTTTTTTTATCATGAAATTAAAAAAAAATTACAAAGAATAAATTTCTATTTTGTGAATTGGTGTGAATTTTATTTATTAATATTCTATCTTAAGTATAAATTTATAAAATGAATTCAAAACACTTTTAAAATATCTTCTATTTATTTTTTTAACTTTATTGATTCTTCATGATCTGGATAAATAAATATAGCTTTGTTAACAAGTTTAAATGCATCTTGGTATTCGCAAGTATTATAAGCCCAGAGAGCAGAGTTAAAGTGAGGTTCGAGTAGCATTTCACCCTCTTTCATAGAAACTTACAATTCGTATTTACCTCTTTCAATATTTCCATGCTTTATTTCAATCACACCCAGATTATTATATGCCTCAGCGTGGTGTGGATCAAATTACAAAACCATTTTTAGACACTGATAAGCCATACCCATTTCTCCCATATATATAAATACCTATAGTAAATATAAATAAATGAAATTTTATTATTATATTCTAAGCAAAATTTAGTTTGCTAATTATTACATGAGAGATATTGTACCAAATTTCAGCTCTATTTGTTTCATCTGCTAATTAAAGAGCTCTTTCAAAGCAAGGATAAAATAAATCGTACTATCCATCAAAAAATAAACATAATCCCAAGTTATTCCATAATTCAGCAGTATTAATTCCAAGCTATAATAATCTTTAATAGAAAAGAGTAGACTCTTCTGGTTGATCAATATAGAATTAATGTGCTGCAATTTAAGCGACTGCTTCCATGTTACTACTTTCAAAAGCTAAAACTTATCTTTTTAACAAATAATTTATTAAATATTTATCTACTTGACATCAAAATGCTTTAAGGTTATTTATCAATAAATGTATTTACTTATAAAATTCTACTGCTTTTGTTTACTGGTTTAGCTAGTCATAGACTCTGGCTATACCTAGCACAAATTAAATTTCATGAGGGTGCTTTTCTAATCCTTTACGATAGCATTCTATAGCAGTGATTGGCTGATCCAATTTAATATAAACCTTAGCCAACTCAAGTTAAGTTTTAATAATATTTTCATTTTTCAATGAACTTTAAAATTACTTTTCAGCTTCTCTTTATAATCCAAGCTGTTAAAATGAAATAATTTTAAATTCTGCTAATTGAAAAAATTATTTATTTTACTATATGATAGCATTTGCCAAGTCTTTCTTTCCACCACCAATCTTTATATTCAGAAATTTAAGTTGCTTCTGCAGACAATTCCAAAGCTTTTTTAGGGTTTATTTCTACATAAAGTAAATAATTGCAAATAGCCTTAGCAATAGCACCTTTCTTAGCTATTTTCTTCATATCTAATTTATTGGCATCCAAAAATTAATCGCCTGAAGAAGCCAATGATGCTGTACCTAATCTCATATACCTATTTTTTTTACTTTATTAAATAAAAAGCTGACTTTTAAAAATATAACCTTCCACCACTAGTAATAGGACGAGTAGTTCCTGGTCTATTACCCTTAAGCGCTGTTTCTAAACGGTTTTAGCTTGATGAAACAGGTTTGTTAGTTCCTGGTCTAGCAAAACCTGTTATTGGTCTTCCAGATTTAGACATAGGCCTCATTATCTAATTAAATATATGTTAGCATAAATTAAAAAGTTTTTACAAGAAACAGCTACTAAATTCATTTCATTAATTTTTTAGAATTTAATTTATTAAATTTTACAGGATTAATATCTCCACCACCTTATCTAGAAGTAATTGGCCTTTAGAATGAAGTACCTGGTCTAGCAAATTACGAAACTGTATTTTCATCCAAAAGAATATCTCCTATTCCTTCTTCATCTATTTCCAAATCATCTATATAACTTTTACGTACTAAACAGTTGCATTTTAACAGCCATGCAGCCTAATAAATTTTAATAGTTTTTCAAGATTATTTCTGATTTTTATTGCATTAATATTTGCAAATTTGAATTCATATTTTTTTTATTTTAAATTACTTACTTAATCTCTTTGATTGTTTTCAAGCATCTTATCACATAATTACAGCGTCTCATCATATTTACGCCTTTTATATCTACTCATTGCTACAATAAAATTATCCATTTTTGAATGAATTCTTTATATGCTACGTGTTTTGTTTTAAATATTCCTAAATCTTTGACAATATACTAACTAGATGTTTAAAGTAAATTTTGATAGTAATAATTGAATGAATATGTTATGTTATTAATAATAAATTAATTAAATTAATTTGCAATAAAGATACTAACTAAAATTTAATATTTAAAACTCTACATATAAATTTCTAATAGGTATTTATTTATGCATTTGTGTGCATGTACGCTCATTCTAATTTCAAATACTAAAGCAAACATCAAATAATTTAAAAAATAAATAAATCAATTCACAAATTAAATAAACATAAATAAAAATATTTTTTTATATAATAGATATTAAATTAAGTTGAAAAGTAATTAATAAAAATTGAACTTTTAGAAAGCAAAAATAAAAATTAAAATATTTAAAATGAGTACTATTTACAATATTTCAATTAAAAACACTAATTAAATGAATATGCAGTAAAAAAATAAATTTTATATATTTAACACCCTATTATAAAATTAATTTTTGTTGTATTTCTAAATGCTTCTTTATTGAAGTATTTAATAGTAACATTTTTTCAAATTATTTTAATTAAAAACAATAAAAAAATTAAATAAACAAAAAAAGTCATTGGACTAAGAATAAAGGTTTAGTAAAAGCTTAAAATATACTGCTAACAAATTTAATTTTAAAAAGAAGTTTCAAATAAAAACAAAGAAAATTTATAATTTTTTATTCATTTTTATATTAAGAAAGTGTGTTAAATATTTTTATGAAGAAAATGAGAATCAAAATAAATAAATAATGAGTGATTAAATAAATTGAAAAGTAAATATATAAATAAGTAAAGTAAAAGATAAATTATTATATAGTATTTATTCGCAATATCTGTTTAAATTAAATTGTTATACAATATTACAATTTTAAGTAATAAATTGGTTTAGGATACAAGTAAAATTGAAAAAAGTATTGTTTTAAAGGTTTAGAATAATAGGTAAATATCTTTAGTAATAAATTTTATTAGTATAAGTATATCAGCATCATTATAATATAATAGTTTCAAACTTCAAGCTTGCTTATTTGTAATTTTTTTGAATAAATATCTTTAATTTTTGTTTGTGGCTTTTATATAGTTAGTCTTCAAGTGTATTTAATTTTTACTCTTTAATTCAAAATATAATTCTAAAATTTTTTGTTTGTGTTTTAGAAATAGCTTCTTTAATGTCTTTGTCTAGACTTCTCCCTCTAAATAATATTGAATGCATTTAAAATTTTTAAAAAGTATGGCTCATAAATTAAATCTTACTTCAAGTTGACTACATGGTGTTTATTATGATTTTTACTGTTATTTACAGAACTTCTAATAAATGATAATATTTATTAATCATCATTTTCTAAGTCTGAAATATCCATATAAAACTAGATTAAAGACTTACAATTTTCTCCAATTAGACTGAATTCTTCCATCACACTTGGCGAAATTTTACCTCTGATTGATTATTTTATTATTGAAAAATGTTAAATAATAAAGATTTAAATATATTTTACGTGAGTTCAAAACCTAATTTAACTAATGATTGAGAAGATTAGCAAGCACTGATTATTTCAGCCAATCTTTTCTTTTTCAACTCAGTAATACTTTAATTTATTTTAAAAAATAATAAAAACCAAATTAAAAAATAAAAATACATACTCTATCCTCAACACAACTTCGCTTATCCTTTGTCTCTTAACCAAAAAGCATATAAAGTTTACCAAATGAATTTTATTCATATCTCCACTGTATTTTGAAATAAATAATTTAAAAAATATTTTTAAAAAGAATCAAAATATTTACTAGTTAACCAAATATAATTTGTTTAATCTTTTGTTTTTTCTGCAGAAGACATTTAGAATGATCTGTGTAGAATCTTGCTCTAAATCAAAATCACTAAATATTTAATAGAATTATTTTATCATCTTATATCAAACAAAAAACATTTATTTATTTTTAGTTTAAAGTTTTATTTAAAATTTTTAATATTATAATAAAATATTTAAAATTGTAAATCATAATTTTATTTGAAATAACTTAAATAAAATTTACTAATTTATTGAATTTATACTTTATAATAGATTATTTAGAGTAAAGAAATTGTTTTTATTTTGATAAGTTTTTCAAAACTTTTAACTAAAAAATTTAATATGATTTCATTTTGTGAAAATGGACATAAAAAAATAAAATAAATATTACTCTAGATGAAGAGAGATTTCAGGAATTTGCAAATCTTCTATACCAATAACTGAGAGCGAGTGGTTATCAATACCCTTGAACACATTTTCACTAAAATATATTTATAATTGAATTTAGATATTTGAAAATTCACTAAATAAGCTTTATCAATAATTAATTACCTTAAATCGATGTTTAAACTTTAAAGGCTGCTTATTCTGTTAAGGTGTTTTACTAATCCAAACAAATGTTATATTTCTATTTATGTTTTACTGAAAATTATTTTTATTTTTAATGTTTTATCTTTATATATTGTTTTTACCTGAGGTTTAGAGAAAGTTTGCTCAGTTTCTTTAGCAGTCTTAAATTTCTTCCCAAAATTTCTATCTCCATCCATATGAAGCAATTTCTTTTTGTTAAATTAGTTATAAGATAAATAGACAAAATTTTTTTCTAAAATACCTCAAATTAATGCAAAGTTCATTCAGCTATTCGTATTTAGGAAGAATTTCTTCCAAAGCTTTTACTGATTGAATGCTCGTATAATTTCCTCTAATTTTATTTAAATGAAATTAAGTAAATTTTAAAAGAATTTGATTTGAAAAATTCTACTCAAAGTTGAAATAGAGCCTCACTGCGTCAGATTTTATTGGCGTTTTAATTATTCTATCTGTTAACTCTTCATCATCTAAGTATTAATTCAAATACTCAAAATGCTAGTATTAGTATTTACCCTGACTTTTCTTCATTTAAACTTATTGAATTTCTTCTTTATTTTAAGAATCTAAATTATTTGACTTGTTTTCTTCTTGTTCTGTATCACTAGATTAGCCCAAATAATAATCTTCATAAAAGACTCTTTTTATTCTTGTGTTCAGTTATATTTTGTGATTACTGAGAAGAGAATCTTCTGCATACATATTAGAGATTGATGGTGACTTTTTAAACTCATTATAGTACTAGTCATCATAGTAATCATCTTCCAAATCATCTGCAAATTAGCTATCTTTGTTGCTCAGATTTTTTTAAAATTTATTTTACTTTTCTTCTATTTCTAGATTGTTTGTAGCCTTTTCTAAATTAGAAGCTTCCAGATTTTGAGCACAATTTTAAGAATTTGTATTTTATATTTCATTTTAATTTAAATTTTCTTCAATAATTAGTTTAGAATTTTCCTTTTCTTAGATCTAATTTGAACATTTACTACTCTTATCAGCTTCTTATTTCTTTTAGTCATTTAATTGAATTATTGACTATTCACCGATTTTCAATTAATTTAAGATTTCTTATTTTTTAAACTCCTGTCCACTAGCTTATCCCTCTTCTTCTTCTTCGTCTTCATCATCTAAAATAATATCAATTTCCTCTTCTTAATCGCTATTATCACTTTTTCTGAAAAAAGGTACTCTGTCATATTCTATTTTTGTAACAAATTCTTTAGAAAAGCTAGAATTAGTTGGACTTTTTTGAGTGTCTTGATTCGAATCTCTTTTTTATTAGACTTATTGATACTTCTTTTATATTTGGTATTTGGAGTATTCAATATCCATATCAGGGTTTTAATTATTATATGACTCTGAGTTAATATCATCTTTTTTAGTTTCTTATTCTTCTTACTTAACATTAATTTTAGAATGAGTAGTAGAAATAGTTTGAAAGTAATCATTAATAGTTTTATTGTTGTTGTTATTATTCTTTTAGTTGAATTATTTCAAATCTGAATTATAAGTTAAACCTTGTCCTTACAACTATGATGTTGTGATTACTTCTTCTTATTATTTTTTTTTTCTGCCTCTTTTAGGCTTTTATTATTCTACCTACATTAACTGGTCTGAATTCTTTTCATTTTAAATAAATTCCTATTTGTTTATTTAACCTCCAACTTAATCAGTGTTTCTTGCTGCTTTTAATCTGGAGCGAGTTGTTTTTTCTTCAGATATAATTTATTTTTTTTCTTTTTGCTTGAAGAATTCCTCTATGTCCATAGATTTTTCTTTTTTGAGAACCAATTGTTATTAATAATAAGAACTCTTTTCTAAAAATAAATCTTTTTTTATTTTCTTGGCATTTTTCTCTCTTTTCTATCTTTCTTTTTCTTATAATTCTTTAAGCTTGTCTTCGCTAGGATTAAGCAACTCTTTTAACTAATTTTAAGATTCATTAATGTCAATTATTTAAAGCTTGTTTCCTTTTTTAGACTTACCTAATTTAATATGTAAATAAAATATAATCTCAATAACTACTAAAAAAGAATTCCTTACTATCTACGCTTACATCTTCATTCTCACTTATTATTACATATTCTCCTTAAATTAGTAAACCTTTGTTATTATCACTTTTATTTTGTTTTGATTAATTCGGTGAAGTGAGGTTTATCACGGCAGATGTTCCTTATTAGCCTACAGGAGGCTTAACATTTTTAGCAGTTTTATCTAAGTATATAGTATCGTTATCATAAGCCTATTAGGAGCGCATGTTTTTTACTACAAAATTTCGAATAATTAGCTTGTGAAATCCAAGTATAAACTCTAAAAACTGTATTTGCTAAGGCTTATATGAACCTTTCACTTTTTCTAAATTAAGACAAACTTATCTGACTTATTCCTTTCTCCATATATTAGTTTTTTAATAATTTTTATCTAAATCATAAAGACGCTCCATTGATTTCCTATAATATTTTAAAGTATCAATTAGTTTGTTACACATTAAATTGGCATTTCCATGTATCAATTCTTAGCTAGATTCAAGCATATTCAAATGGCGAGACTTTTTGTATCTTAATAGCTCTTTTATTTCTTCAGAAAAAAGTATCTTTTCTGAATAATCTAAAAGGGTGACGCATCTTAATTATTCTTTGTTGTGGCACTGTAAACATACAAGAAGCATTTGATCTTATTTGGGGCAATTTGCATCAATGCAGATTCCTGAAAATAATTTGAAATCACATATTTCACATTTAGGCCATTCAGTAATTTTAGACTCCTAATTATCCTATTCTTTATTTGTTTCATCATCCTCAATAAAAATAGTCTATTTCAATCTTTTATCTGGTGCTTTTTATGATTGTATTTTCGCATTCCCTTAAATTTTTTCATCACCTATAAGAATGTATAAATTTAAAAAAAGATATCTTAGTGACAATATACTCTTTGATTTACTCAAACAAAAAACCTGATCTATTCTAATCTTGTGACTGCTACTAAAGAAAGTTCATTTTTATTTTACTGATATCCTCATAACTCTCATCCTTTGATCTTTAATACTGAAGTTGTATTTGTTAACCTTCGTTTTATTCTAAATCTATTTGGCTCATATTCCTATCAATAAATAAATAATAGATAAATAGATTAATTCTTTTTAAAAAAAAGTCCGCCTTTTTGCAATAATTATTAAATTTATTGAAAATAAGATAAATTCTATTTAAAAATATAAGTAATGCATTGATTATTATTAGCTATTTTTTATAAATAGATCATTAGTTTTTGGTTTAATTCTCATCTGAACCAGCAAAGTTAACTTAATTTTCATATACTTAATTTAGATGTAATTTCATAATTTTCTCATTTATTTAACAATTTTAAAAATGAATTTATTTTATTTAGCTACTGTTAAAAAAACAAAACTTCTAGACAGAAATTATCATAGTAATTTCAACAAAAAGTAAAAACTTCTAAAATTAGATTTTCTAAAATGTAATCATTATAAAAATTATTTAAATGTTGCTCTAAAATTTCTAACAAAAGAAAGCTAAACCTAATCTTAAAGTTATTATTAAATTCTATTTAAATTATCATAACAATTATATGATACATAAAACTCTTCTAGTTATCTTTTTATTTTTTCATTCATAAATAACCTTTTGCTCAATTATTTTTCAACACTTTCATCTAATCGAATACTATATCCACATTTGCTAAATGAGTAATAAATATAGTCAGATAAAAAGAAAAAAATAAATATTTAGGTCAAAAATTGAAATAAAAAAATATTTTCTTGGCATTTATTATTTTATTTATGAGGATATATAACAATTTATCAAAAAAATAAATTAAATTATTATTTTTGTTTTCCTCAAAAATAAGATATTGGAAATGCTCAAAGACAAATCTATCATTTAACTTTCTTGAAAAAATAAATTTTTTTGTTATTGTATTTTTTAATAAATGCATTGAGTAATACTTCGATTATTTATTTTTACAAGCTCTACCACAATTAGATAAATTTTCTAGTAAATTAAATAAATTATCATAAAATAAATTAATAATATTTTAACTGATTATACTTTTTATTAAACTAAAATTCCAAGTTTTAAATTTATGTGAATGTTGAAGCAAGAATTTAATTCATAATTGCAAAATAAGTAATTTTAATATATTTTTTTAGTAAAAATCTTTTTTATGATTTTTTAATTAATATTCAAATGTTAAATTTTATTTTTATAATATTTATTATATTTTTAATCTCTTAAAAGTAAATATCAATTAATTCTTAAAGAAAATTATTAAAAATATTTTAAAGTAGAAATAGAATTTTTTAAATAGAAATTCTGTGTTTTTATAAGAAAAGATAATGATTTAAAAATAAATTTAAGTCTGATTTTGATTTTTGATTAGTTGCAAAAGGTGAGTGAAAAGATAGGGAAAATGTGTTTTAGAAGGGATAATAGAGAACATTTTAGAAAAATTAAATGTGAATAAAATGTTGAATTTTTAAAGGGAGAGAATTAATTATGAATTTTTTGTGAGTATTTTTGATAAGAAATGATAAATATTTTATAAAAAAATATTTTTGTTGTCCAAATTCGAGATAGTTGGTTTATACATCAATACAACCATTCCTACTGTATTAATCCTTGGACAATAAAATAAAATTAGAATGAAATGAGAAACTGATTGATATGTTAAATTGAAATTTATTAAATAATTTTTTGAAATAAAAATATGAAATGAACTTCTGGATGAATTAGTTTAATTATTTTTGAATATTTTTATGGTTATTTAGTCTTTCTTACTTAATATTTTTAGTATTCTGTTTGAAAAATTAAATTTATACATACTAATATTAACTGTTTCTATTCGAAATTAGTGGTAAGAATTTTTTATTGAAGGTTTTAAGAAATTATATGCTCCTTTCAAAAATTAAATAATAAAAAATAATTTAAGGGAAGCTATGTAATCTTGATAATTTTTTATTAAGTTTTTCATGACTAAAAGAGTTTTCTTAGCTTACAAAATGTTAAAGAAATTATTTATCGCTTTTAAAGTATGTAATTATTTTTTGTTCAAGTTCGTCGATTTATGTAGATGAAAGGCAGACAAGCTATTTTTTTGATTTATAAGAAGAATTATAAAAAATTTATTATTTTTTTATTAGTTTTCTCTGTATTTCTATTGAGAAATACGATTTGTTAATAAGTAAATAGATATTATATTTAATTTTATCAAAGTATTGACCAATAATTTATTAGCTTTTGTTATTGCTATTTTTAATAAGTTAGTTAATATATATTAGTTGAGGCAAACAGATCTTTCATATAATATTTTCAAAAAAAAAAAGAAACTTAAATATTAATTAAATAAAAAAAAATTAAATTACTTCAAAATGGCTCTTCCTGCTTGGGCAAAATACGTTATTGCTTTCTGTACCTGTCAATGCTGGTAAAATAATAATAATAATTTTACAATTCTCTATTACCCCAATAATAATGTTGGCTTTCCTCCCTGTTTTTTATTCTCTAAAGCCTTCAAAATACATTTTTTAAAATGAAATTTGAATCAACATCAATTGATAAACTTCATAAAATATCATTAAAATTTTGATTAGTACTCATGATATAGTGATAAAACAATATTTTTATATTTAATCAATAGGTGTCCTTTCTATATGTTCTTGAATGCATATATCCGTACCTGCAATTTGTGCTTCGATACGATTTCGAAAGCTAAAAGTACATTATGGAAAATTTTGGCTTGTCTTTTCTTCTGTTGTTGCTGTGGTATTATTGAATGTGTTTTCTGTATTTTCGGTATTGTATATCTTTTCTAAGGACCTTGTGACAGTTTTGTTAACAATAGCGATTTCCGTAAAGGCTATATTGCTCTCGTTTCAGGTGATAATTTCCCGATTGAAAATTCGATCAAATCAAGTGTTCAGGGCATTTTCTGCAAATGAATAATTATATAATTAGGTGATAAAAGTTAAGGATATAAAAAAACATGTATGTATTAATGTATGGTACTTGCAAAATACATGAATAGCGCATAAGTTTCTACTAATAAATAGCCCAAATTTATCTTGGCTTGCGATAATAGAAGTCAAGTTGACATGACGGACTAGAAATTTATTTTAGTTAAAAAATAATTATTATTTATCACCAAATTTATTATTGTTATTATATCTAAGTATATCTCCATTCAATTATCACTTAAAAATCCTTTTACTACTCAAATAAAAGTTGTTATAACTCATAATCTCTTTGTTATATTGTAATAAATAAACCTTGCTATCTAATTTATGATTCAGTGTTTTTTTTTTTTTTTAGATACACAAAGATTCAAATAAAAATAAAACTCATTTATTACCATACTTATTCCTTATTGCATTGATTTACATAAAATTTTTCAAGTCAATATAAAATGCATACAAACTACTATTTATTTTCTACCTTTCTCTAATTCTAAATTCCAGCTTTCAGTAAATAGCAGTAATTAAAATACCAATAAAAAAATGTCAAATTCCATGTATTTGTAATCAAAATTCAAATTAATTCAATTAAAGCAAAATAATCAATTGAGCAAAGATCTAACACTAAAATTTATTTTTCTAATTACCTTCTTCTATTTGTCTTATCAAAGAAATTCAAACACTATTTTTTCAAAAATTGTGAATTTTTTAATTATTTTTTCTTCTTCTGTAAACATATAATTTGATCTTATTCAAATCTACCGAAGTAAGATAAAGCGCAACCGTAAAAAATTAATCTGCTTACCAATTAAATTTATTTAATATCAATCAAATCAAAGTAATAATGAACCTAAATAGATACAAAACCCTGAATTAATAATCACAAAACAAAAAATCAAAAGTTATCTTAACCAATTGAAAACATTAAATAAATTTTTGATTTTATAAAAGTTTTTTAATGATTCTTTATGTAATTTTATTTATTAAGATATTTGTATTTCTTAAAAAACAATTTAATATTTTTGAATCAAAATGTTAATCATTCGTAGATTGAACAAATTATTGATGGAATTAAAATCATATATCTTTGGCAGAGTACATATTATTTATTTGATCTATTTAATTATTTATTCTATATGAGAATAAATATTTGCAAAAATAAAAAAATATACTAAGTAGATTTTTACAGCTTAAATGATCTTTATTGCTAAAATACATAAAAATTCATAAAAAAGTATATTTTACATTAAAAAATAATTAAATGTCTAAGAAAAATTAGATGCTTATGTACATAAACAGAAAATTCCATATTAAATTACTATTATTGACTTATTAATTTAGTGAGATAAATGTAATATTATAGAAATCAATAAATTTATTAATATATGTAGGTAGGTAGGCAGGCATGTATATATTTGAATTTAAGATTATAGAATTGATTATTTTATCATTATTTATTTATTTAATAATAGTTGGGTCTATTTATTATTGGTTGATTGATAGATTGGTTTGTTGGTTACTTACTCCTCTTTAAAAACTTAAAATAATTAAGAAAATGTATATCTTTTCTTTTACTTATTTATTGTCATTAAAACTAGTAGATATTATTAATTACATTTTATCCCTAGAACAAGTATCATTATTAAATTCAATTTTAAACATTTGCGTGCTTATTTGATGCACGGGTTATTGTTTGTTGAAGAGATCTCTTAGCAGCCTCGCTAAATCTCTTTTCCTCTAATTGAACTATAATTGTTAATTAACTTTAAAATTTAATTTTTAAATTAAAAATTTACTTTATTTTTTAAGCTTGGAGCGTTGTACGTTTGGAATTAGGAATGAGTGTACAAGATCCTTTATAAGAGTTTGATTGTTATTATATTTTCTTTCGAAGTCCTCCAAAGGCAAGTTGAATTTTGCCTTTCTTAAATTTGTCATTATTGTGGCTTGTCTTGCAGAAGCTTTTTATTAAATTAAAATTAATTTAAAGATTAATATTAAATAAAATAATATTTAAGATAAAAACAAAAAAAACTTTAATTTCAATCAATTAATTAATTTTTTAAATGATTTTATTTTATATTTACATTGTTCTAAAGCATTCGACATCAACCAATCTAAATATGTATCTACGGTGCCTTGATGAACTCTGATAAGTTAATTGTGAAGAACGTCTTCACGGTCTCTAAGAATCTCTTCTGCTTGTCTTTTACCAGCTTCCTCGATTTCTCTTATTCTTCTGTCCTTTTCAGCTATTTCAACCATTTGCTATATCTTTCTTTCTTGCTTGATACGAAGCAATTCCTTTGATAATTCATCCATAGTTTCAGCTATAACTTCTCCTTAAATGCTTTCTAGTACAGCATTCTTAACTTTTTCTTCATGTTGTTACATGAGCACTTCTTCAGCTTTATCTTCCTCTAAGTTTTCGATTTGAGCTACTGTAAGCAATTCTTCAATAAGGGCAGTACGCTTTTTCTTACCTTCGTACATTATATTCTAAGTAGTTCTACCTCTTAACAATCTTTGTAAAAGGAGAACAGCTTCTTCCCTCTTATCAGCAGCTTGCATCAATTAAACACCATTAGGACCTCTGTACTCCTAAATTTCTGTTATTAGAGAAGGACTAATGTTAAAATCAGTGCTATTTTAATAAATAATTTTCATTATTTTTATTTTAAATTTTTAAATGATTAATTTATTTACTCATATTTCCAAGTAGGAGTTGCAGGACGAATTTTGTTTTCGAAGTTTCTGTAAGAAAAGTTGTTTCCTTCTTATTTTTATTAGGCTTTGCTTTATTCATGAACTCCATTAATTTCATCTTATGCCTTTTTAAGCTCGCCTCTATGATAATTTTCCTAATATTAATAAAAATATTATTTAAAATTTTACTTTTTTATTATATATAAAATTTAGTAATTACCAATCTTGTATAGTTCTTTTCAATTTCCTTAATTTCCTTTTTGAGATTGACTCTTGTTTCAAACTCTCTTGGGCGAATACCTTCATGGAGGGCTTGAAGCATTTCATAGTTTCCTAATGCTAGAGGTTATACTTCATACTAATTTTAGTTGAAATTATAATTATGATTATAAAAATTATAAATTTGCTTACTTTGTTAGCTATCTTATCAAGAGAAAGACCTTCGTGAGTAATACCAGCGTAAACTCTAGAAGCAAAATTAGCATAATCTTCAATAATATCACGCTTCAAAGTCTCTTTACCCTGCATTTTTCTGCTTTTAGTCATCTTTCTGTCAATTTTAATTTTTTTTCTTTAAATCTTAGCAATCTATCTATTCTTGTGCTCAGTCTTTTATTACCTGATTTCTTCTATTCTTTCTTAGCTCTTGTCCTCGACTTCTTTTTCTCTTTCAATTAAAGCCTATTGGAGCAAATAAAGTTTCTCATTTTAGAATCTATTTAAATACAAATTATTTATTACTTATTTTTCTATATAAATGATTATTTATTGAAGCATTATTCTTTATCATAAATTTGCTAACAATTCATAGAAATTGTTAGTAAAATTTAAATTCATATTTGTTTTATGTCTTATTAAAATCATTTCTTTGAACCAAATTTATGGTTTTGTAATAATAGTCATTGGGTTGATATTCATTTTACTTTCAAAAATAGTTGTAACATTTCTAATCTAAATTTTTTAACTTGTAAATTCGTTTCAAAAATGATATTAAATAAATTTGTTTTTATCTTGAAATCAGTTGCTTGATCTATCTAAACAGAAATAATTTCATTTCTTAAGAAGAATAGACTATCATCTAATTAATTATATAAAATATTTAAATAAAATATTCTACTTTTTTATTTCATTTTCTTTTTTGCTCCATTCACGTAGTTCTTATTCTTCCATCAATTTACGACGTAAATTAAACGATGCTTCATCAGAAATGGGAGGCAAGGAATTTTCAAACCACACTTTTTCACGATTTAATTCAATTTATTCTAACTCTTCAATTGATGCAGGGAGTCCCTTTCCATACTTATAATCTTTTAATTCCATAACCTCAGGATGATCTCCATCACGAACAAAACATTTAGGAGTATAAGGATCAGTTTAAGTCTCACTTTCTCTATAATCTGTTTATACAAAAGCATCTTTTGTAGGTGCCTCAACTATGGTAGCATTTTATTGCATCTACATAGTTTAATAATCCACTTATTAATCTACAGGAGGACGAGAGATATGCAAAGGAATGTCTGTCATTTGAGGCACAAGAGGCCTCTTAAAATAGAGTGGTCTATATTATTTAATTTTTAATAATAAAATATTTAAGCAATGAAAATATTTAAGTTTTATCCTAAATCAATGTATTAAAAACTGAAACTTCATCATATTTATAAATAAAAAACTTATTCCCATTTATAGTAAATTAAAAAAATATTTTATAAATCTTTGATGCTTTTAATAATCTATTAAAGCTGGTCTCTCTTTAAGTTTGTTAAAGATCCCTTTACTATCAGTTAGTTTAATCAATCTGATCGCGCCTTGATGAAGATGCGTGGATTTTAATAATTTTGCCAAATAAAAATTTACCTATCTCTATTTGAGACATAATTTACCATTGACTAATCTCTAACAACGTCATGAAGAATATTAGTTGTTGTGGCCATTTTATAATAATTGGTAAATATTCCTAAATTAATGTTAATTGATATTCCTTTAACTTCTTCCTATAATAATTCTGTTTATCTTAATTTATTAATTGTTTGTTTATTTTTTTTACTTGCTTATTAGCCTGTAAATTATTTATCTTCTTTGATTTTGTAATGAAATCTCTAAAAACATATAAAAATTATTACTTGCTTTTTAAACTATTTAATCATACATTCAATGTAGATTGTTTTTTTGTTAGTTTATAAAATCTAAATTCATTCCATATAAAAAATAAAATATAATGCAACTTCAATCAAAAATATATTGATTATATTCAAATATGCTTCCTACATTCATTTTTTGATAAACCCATTCACTTTTGAATTGATTGAGTTCATAATTCAAATATATCATAAAATTAATATTTTTTTTAGTATTATCTTTCTATTTTTTGATTCATTAATTTTAATATATCTTCTGAATTTAACTTTTTATTCGTTGAAATTTTTGTTAAAGAAAGTTATCTAATGTAAAAAGTTTCAATCACATTTTTTAAAATAGAGAAAAATATAATTAATATTTAATATTCAATAATTTTGAATTTTAAAATAGCTTATATGGTTAAAATATTGTGCTTATTTAAATAGATTTTAATTAAATAATGATATTCAAGTATAATATTTTAAATTAAAATTCTTTAATTAAAAAGAAAATTAATGATTTCAAAATATATATTCTCAAAAATTTAAATCCAATTATAAAAATTGTAAATAGTAGTTGTTTTTGTTTTCTCAAATTTTTCATTCTTTTGGAATAAAATTTAGTTTATAGTCAAATTCTCACATTTTCATTATATAGACTCTACTCTTGCACAAATAAAACTATAAATTATATACTCTAGACCCCTTATTATTTAAAGTCAGATAAATATCATTTTTTTTGAATTTTAGTTTTAAAATCAAAAATAGGAGGAGAAGGACATTTTTTTGTAAGAATTTATAATATCCTTAATATGCTTGATATTCATCAAGTAACTTTTCTGTTGATGAGATTGACAAGTCAGCTGACATTATACCTATTATAATTTCTATTAAAAAATATTTATGCACTTTATCTTATTTACTTTTTAGAATCTTAAAACGCATTAAATAAAATTCATTTTAAAATTTTAAATGTGATTTTCCACTTATTTATTTTGTAATTTACTAATAAAAAGTTATTTATTTTTTATTTGATGTTATAAATATTTAAACAAAGAAAATAAATCAAAAGATTAATTTGATATTTATGTCATAATAGTGGCTGATATTTTTTGCTTCGTATATATCATTCATTATATGGTATATCATCTCTGATTGTTCAAGAAAATGGTTTAGCTATTAATTAGAGTATATTTAAAAATTATACTAAAGAAGGATAAGTTTGATTTCTTAAAAATAACTAGCTCTTTAACCAAAATTATATATTTTGACAAGACAAGACATTTCCCATTATGTTTTAAAGTTTTATAAATTATTTAAATGAAAAATATGCAAAAAAATTAAGTTTAAAAAATTGATAAAAAAATTATTTGATAATTGGTTTTAAATATTCCATATTGTGTTTGTTAAAATTTAAATTCATTAAAATATTTTTAAAATTATGGTTTCCATTATTTTCACTTAACCTTTATCCTAAAATTTAAAACCTATTTTCTTAAAAATGTATTGTTATGTCAATTGTTTGGTTTAACATTGAAGTTTAACTTTTTTAAATAAAATAAAGTAATTTCTTGAAAAGAAAAGTGATTTAAAAAAAACTTTAAAAAAACTTACAAAATTTCTCACAGAATTTTTTAAATATGAATATATTTAAATTTATTTTAAATCTGTTTATCTTCACCTCACTAATTTTAGGGTAGTAAAAATCTTTAAATAACTAATAATGTGATTAATCTTGTAGCAGCTGTTCTCAAGATTAGATTTCAGAATGTTTATCATGCAAAGCAAATTATTTCTACTTAAACGAGTAATATTAATGCTTAAACAAATGTCCACAAGGAACTTACTTAGATTCTAATTTGAATTAATGCCTATAGTGTGCTAGCTAATTTTGTAGTTTATGCTCAAGTACTTAATGCCTATAATGTAGTGACGGTTATTCTCTAGATCCAAATAACTCTGTAATTAAATAAATTTAAATGAGGAATTATAAATGAAATAAGTTATTTAAAATAGCAAAATTGCATATCGAAATGTGGTTAGGAAGGATAAATCTAAGATGAATAGGGTTAGTGCGGTTACAGTTGCAAATAAAGTTAGATATATAACATTGAATACTCATCATTTAGTTGTTAAAAAAAAATATTATGCCCATAAACTTAAGTCACTCCTCAAGCTCAAATCTAAAATTCTATTGCTTCTTATTTAATAGATAGTACAATGAGTAAATAATTTAACAAATTTTATAATTAAATATTGAGTATTTTTTTTATAATTCAAAGCTACTCTTACATTGATTGATATTTAAGGAAATGTAGTCCTATATAGTTATCCTTTTCTTTAAGTAGAAAAATAATATACATTGAATATAACTACTTACGAGGTATTTCCTATTTTTTTTACTAAATTGAAAAATCATCTTTTAAAAAAATAAGTAGAACTAAAAAAAAGTTATTTCTTTTACAATGAAATTTTATTATTAAATATATGAATTTAAAATATTAATATTTTTATTTTAATTTAAATACTCATAACATAATATACATAATAATAAAAAACATATATTATTCGATATTTTCTTTTATTAATTAGAATAACTTAATATAGAAAGATTACAAATACAAAATACTTTTTCAGTTTAATTTCAGATTATAAATAAAAATAAAATTTATAAGCATTAAAATAAATTAATTTTTAATAGATGCTGAAAATTTTTTAAAATATTATATTATATTTTTAAAAATACTTAAATTATTTTATAATCTGAAAGCTTTCTTATATAATTTTTAACTTTTATTCTTAAGAATATGAAATAAATAAAATTAAATAATTTTTAATTTAACGGATTAGTGTTTATAATTCACTAATAAAATTTTGTTAAATTTTTATTCTAGAAAATCAACTCTTGCATTTACTAACATATTAGTAAATTTTTAATATTTTTAACTTAATTTAATTATTATTTTTAATACTTAGGTTGCTTATTGCTAATTTAATAATTAGCAAGAAAAATTAGATAATATAATAACATGTTTACTTCAACCACTAAATCTGCTTAAATTTTATAGTTAAAATGGGACAATTATACTATAGTCTTTTCTAAGTTATAACTAAACATATAATACTGGATAAATTATCAAAAAATATTACTTAGAAAGTGATTGGAGTTTAATATTAACTTAGGATAATTATTATTAAATAAATATGTTATATTATTCTAATTTAACATATTTTGAAATAGATACTAGTCAAACAGCTTAAATTTAAATATATAAAGTAAAATATAATAATGATCCATCATTAAATTAGATTTTGTGTCTCAATTTAACTAGCCAATAAATAACATTTTATTAAATTTATCCTTACTAAAAAATACTTGCTTATAGTTCATCTAATATTGATCAATCGACTAATTTAATCCCACTCAATACATTTTATAACTGGATTTAATACACTATAAATGAATTAAATCATTTATATTTAGACCCTAATGAACATACTATGAGTTTGCTGAAATCAATTCAAATTTCCGATATGATATATTCAGTTTTTTTAATTGATATAAATGTAATTTATTATTTTTTAAATCTTTGATTTTTACTTATTTTTAAAAAGTCTATCATAATAGTAAGTGGAACAAGTTAACAAAATAACTTGAATCTGAATTTATACAGTATTAATGCATCTAATAACTAAATTTTTTATTCAGAAAAACACTTAATAAACTAGCCAAGCTCAATAAATTAAGTTTATTCTTTTGGAGATTTAATAATTATTTGTACTACCAAAAGTGTAGGATTATACTAAATTTCTTCAAAATTATCTTAATTATCTTTAGTTGAACAGTTTTAGCAAATGAATCCTTCATTATGCTCTTCATCTAATTTTGATTTAGATGAAATATTTCCAGAAATACATATCATTTAGACAATTTAATAATCTTTATTTTTAAATATAATAAATACAACTACAAAATAAAAGATCGTACAATTTATTCCATAATTTTAATCACCTTCTTAAGTAATGTCTTATCTTTAAATTAGTTAAGGTGAAATATTGTTTGCTGAACTTCCTGAGATTTAGCAAATTTGTGATTTAAAATGTAATGGATAATTGCATTTTTATGATATTTTTTCTAAGAAAATAATAAATTCAATAAAAATATGGGATCTATAGAATTATGATTGTTAATAATTCCTTTTTAATAGCATAATTTTATTTGATGATACTTATTTATTAGCTGGATTTGAATTAAATATTTTTAAAATAAAGATAATTAATATTAAAACTTTGGAAATAATTTATTAATAAGATTTTCAAGAAATATTTTTGCAAATAAATAATATTTGGTATACTGAAAAACCAATTTACTATCCGAATTCTGATTCAATTGTAGTTCCTATTATATTCTTTGAGTAGATTTCAGATGCCTAATATAATTATAGTTTCTTATTTTTTGCTAAAAACTCAGGTATTTTATTCATATTTGAAAAATATTAATTTAATTTTTTTAAAAAGATTAAAGAAGTTCAGCAAAGTATAAATTTGTCAATAGTTTTCAAATATTTGCTTTTGATTATATTTAAACAATCTCAATTGAATACTTAATTATCTTTTAACTTATTTCTGCTGATAATTATTAGGCATTATTTTACAATTTATAGGGGACAAAAGTAAATTCATTAATTTTAAATAAACAAATTTAACTTTTTTATTGAAATAAATAGATATAAATTAGTCCAATTTACACGAATTATAATGGTAATATTTTATCATAAGTTAATGAAAAAACAAAGCAAATATTCATTTATAGTTTCTATGGTATTTATATATATAATTTAACAACTCTATATTATGAAATGCTATAATTCTAGTGTGCTGGAGGCTTGTATTTCTCATAAGATTTTAAATATTATTATACACAAGCTGATAATTGTGAAACTAACTAAGATGGAGTATTTTCTTATCCTGACAATATTCTCATAGCTGTAAATTAAAATTTTTTAGTTTAAAAATAATTTTTACATTATTTATAAAATTATAGAAAGGAGTGTAACCTCAGAATAGGTATATTTATGAGATAAAATCATTTGATAATAATTAGTATTTAGTATTCTTTTCATATAGTTAATATCTGATTTATTATGATAATATAAGATAGTAGTTATTTTTAAGGAATTTATAATATGGTTTCAATTAAGGTGGTATTAAAGATAATAATGAAATTATATTTTTTAACAGTAATTCAGTGTAGCATTATGATTTGAGAACATTCAGCTTAAAATATTAAGAAGTAACAACTTTAATTTATTAAATTGATATTTTGTCAAATTAAAAAAATTAAAAAAAAAAAAAAATAACAAAAACAAAAACAAAAACAAAAAAAAAACATATATCAATAGTAAACATAAAAGAATATATTTTATTAGAGATAATATGTATAATAAAAAAAAATTTAGAATACCCTATCAACAGCTTATAAATTTAAACAAGCTAAATAAAATATACCTGAATAAATCATACTAAATTGTTTTAAGAATTAAAAAATTTATTAATATTTCAATTTCACTTTTTTTCTTTTCAAAATTTAATTTTGTGAAAGTTTTTTTTATTTTATAGAATTTATATTTAACTAACAATTAAAATTTTTAATATTAATAATATTATTTATATAAAAATAGGATAGCATAATTTTTTTAAAATTATTTCTAAAGACAAACTTTTTGACATTTAATTATGTATAATCATCTAGCTATCATCTATTTTAAGTAAAAAAGCTACAATATATTACTTTATAACTAACCTAATCAGAAAAATAACCATATTTTATAAGTTACATTAGTGAGCTTAATTACGTTATAGAAATATTTGATTAATATATTAATATCTTGAATGCTGCAAATAAATAGCTGGTTTATACTATTAATGTTCAAATTCAAAGTTATTTTTCTGCTCCTTATAATAATTTTGCTATTGATAAATTATTTGAGAGAAGTGTATTTTATTATTAACCAAACAATTTAATAGTTATTGTTTATTATTTAAGCTTATTTGTCATAGATGCAAGAACTTTTAAAATGGTAATATTTAAATAAACATTCATTTTATTTTTAATAATTAATTTTGATTATAACAGCTATTATTACAATAATATACCTTGGAAATATAAGCATTTAAATCTATAGTAGTAGATTGGGATAGAGGTTATTTTATATCAACTCACTTAGATTAAGATTGCATTTTAAATATGAATGTAAAAATTTATTTAAATAATATTTTTATAATTATTTTTAATTATTAAAGACTATTTAAAGAATTTGTTTCAAAGATAATTCATAATACGTCGGGAATTAATCTGTTTCGTTACTATACTTAATATAAAAATTATTTATTAATTAGAAAACAGGGTTATTAATTATATGCTAATAGATTTCTGTGAGAATATTTTCCCTCAATAGCTTAGACTATTAAAATTCCATTTATGATAATTAATTGAATTTAAGTTATTTTTTTTACAACAAAAATTATAATTATTTAATTTATAGCTAAATTTATTATTTAATTTTTATATAACTTGATTTAAACACAATGATAAAAATTAATTTACAATTACCTCCTCCAAACTCTATCTCAGAGAATTAATATAGAGTATTTTAAAAACAATTATTTTATAAATTGATAATTTTTTTTAATAATAATAAATAGTTTTTCTTTTTAGATGATTAACAGACTTATATATTCCTAAACTCAGATTTTAAATTTATCTATTTGTTTGATTAAAGAACGCATAATTTAATCAATCAAATTTTATTAGATGAGGCTTTTTACTTTAATTCAGATGTTATAGTTGACTAGAAAAACTAGTATATATTTTTATTTGATATCAATAATAGTATAAACCATTATTCTTATTCCACTAAATAGCTAATTTAAAAATATTAAGTAAATTAATTCATTAAATTCTTTCAAATTTATCAATTTTTATTTATCAAATTATGTAAGCTAAATTAATCTGACGCATCTGTCTTTCAGAAGAATATGATTTGGGACAGTTATAAGCAAAGAATTATTGCATCTTCGAATGCCACAGTTTATCTTATTAATGTATAAACAAAATTAATAGAATTATAATTAGAAGACACTTTTGTGACTTAGCTTTAGCTTTTCGAGAGTAAAAATATAATATAATACTCTAATTATTACAATAATGTACTTCTTGATTACGATTACCTTCTAAATAATAATAAAGATACTTTTCCTAATTAAATAAACCCAAGATTTTTTAACCTAAATGAAAATTCTATTTTATATTTGAGCTACTTTAGCTCTCAGATTTATTTATTTATTAACTAAAAAATAACTTCAACTTGGATTAGAAATAATTTTAATTGGGGATATATTAGAGTTATTGAAAACGATCTTTCAAATTTACTTGTTTATGCAATTTACGATAATGAAATAGTGATATTAGATTTAAGCACTTCTATTATTATTTAGATAGATCAATTTTTCCTATCTTAAAATATAATAAATGTAATTTTTGAGAATGAAAACCACATTAATTTACTTTCTTAATCGCAGTAACTTCTCTAACTTCAAAAAAAATAAAAATCTATTTAAGTAAACGAAATAATAGTTTTAAAGCAAGGTCTTGCTTATTATTTATTTACATAAAATTTAAGCTAACTTATATTTACTGATTTTAGTGGTAACTATGTAAATATTAACTTTGTAAATTTAATTATTGATGAGGTAAATAATATAAAAGGAAGTCTTTAAGCTACAATCTAGATGCCTTCTAGAATATTAGATATTTAGTTATTAAACAATTATTAGATAGTTATTTTAATGAGCAACTTAGTTAAAATTTATGATTGCTCCATGATGTCTGAAGTAGCATAAGTAGGTTTGAATTATGAGGTAAGTTATGCAAATATATTGGTTGATAGTCTTTATAAAAGAATATTTGTACAAAACAAATTACCAGGAACTTTAGTTTACGATTTTATGCTAAATGCTGATACAGTAAGTTATATAAATTCTTTCTCAGCTTAACTATATTTTGATGATTATTTCATTTATTCAGTTGTTTCCCACTCAGCCAATATTTATTTCAGAAAAGACCTAAAACTTTTGTTCAATTTTAGACATTTTAATTCAACTTTTTATTTAAAGAAAATAACCTATTTAAATGTTGGTTACTACTTTTTAGTAGAATTTATTAATAAACTTTCTATTTTTGAATTTTCTCCCTTTGTCTCTCTTCCAACTGAAAAGGCTTTTCTATTAATAAATTAATTTTCTATAGCAAAGTATTCATTTATAAAGTAAAATGAATTTGGTATAAATAGTAATATTTACGAATTTGAAGCTATAATATTTTAGTTGGAAGGAATAATTACTTATACCATTTAATTCGATATATACAGTCTATCTTAATCTTAATCCTGCTCTTTAAATTATGAATAATAGCAATTTAATTATTAAGATGACATTTATTTTTGGTAATAGAGCTTATATTTAGCTAGTTAATAAAAAAATATCAATAGTTTAACAATAAATATTCCTAAGGATTAGAATATATACATTCCTTAACTTTAATAGAACATTTTATATTCTGAATTCTAACTTATTATTCAAGGTTAAAATTTAAATAATACAATTTATATACAAGACAAATTTAATTAATAGTAAGGTATTTATGCTATTTGGCTTTAAAATTTAGTAATACAAGTTTCAAATTAAAATTACAAATTATATTTAGAAAATGGTACCAACCCAAATAGTTTAAATTTTGATGATCTAACATTTCCAGATTTAAAATAGATTTATCTTGAAAATATTACTATCAATGAATCTATTGTTTAGATTAAGAACATATAATAAGTAGTAATTTAATAAATCAATCTAACGCATTTTGTAAATTAAAAGGTTCCAACTCTTACTTAGCTTGAAATTTCTAACATAAGTAAAGTTATAATTAGTGAAATCAATATTATGAAATGTTATTTCAATGTCAAAAATACTTTAGTTATTTTAAATAACATATAGTTTCTACAAATTAGTAACATTAACATATATGAATGTGAATTTTAAGGATCTAGTTAAATTTTATTTATTGATTAAGTATAAAATGTAACAATTCAAAATATTTAAATTTCTAAAACAAATTTTACTCAAGAATAATCCTTTAAAGTTACTTCTGTTTAAATTCTTTAGATAATATTACTCTAAATGTAGGAAATATAATATAATTAATAATTATCAAAATAATAATAACCATAACAAAGTGATGCTGATTCTATTTAAACAATATTTTTTTTTAAAAGCAATTTAAAAATTACTTTTAAGAACATAACATTATATCAATTCAACTCTGATATTCAAAATGAATTTGCTATTTTTAATTTTATTTAAGTAGCTGGAGGTATATTCATAAATTACTCTTATATTGAGGATATTAATATTTTAAGCACATAAACTGGAACTATACTTTTTAACTCTGCTATTTCTAGTGCTATATTATCCCAAATATCTTTAAGAAATATAAATAACATGAGATTTTTGTAAGTTTAATTATATTAAATTTCAAATTCAATTTATTAGGAATCTTAAGATGTAAAAATATATAATATGACAGCAGTTAATTATTATATAAGCTAATAACCATTTATTTATATAAATTCTTAAAATGTTCTTTTTGATAACATGAAAATATCCAAAGTAAATTTTTCTACAAATAAAAAATCATAATAAATACCTTTAATTGCTTTAACTGCTACTTATTCATTAATAATTTAGAATTCTCTTCTTAGTTAAATAAATAATTTTAAAAATAGTTCTATTCAGATTTAAGATTCTTAGAATATTAAGGTTTTTAATACAATATTTTAAAATATATATTCAAATGATACTTCTTCAGCTCTGACTATACAAAATTCATAAAATATAGACATATTAAACTCTGTTTTTAAAGATATGAATTTAAATAATACAGGTTCTATTTAAATAATTAATGGCTAAAATATTGTTTTTTAAAGTAATGAACTTTAATTTATTTTATCTCAAATAGGAGATGGAGGAGCTCTAAATTTCATTAATAGCTAAATAAATAAATTAGATTAAAATTAATTTATTTCTAATACGGCTTTATTAGGGTCAGGAGGAGCTATTTTTTGCTAAAATAGTGCATTCAAAGCATTTAATGAAAATATATTTAATAAAAATAAAGCTCCTTAAGGATCTGGAGGAGCCATTATGCTTAATAACTGTGATATTTTACAGATGAAAAACAATACATTTATCTTAAATCAAGCATTTATTGGAGGAGCTATAAGGTATACGAATCTTTAGCCTATAGCTATTATGTAAGGTGGAGCTAAAAATTTAAAAATCTTGAACTATTTTTACAAAAATAATGCAACTTCATATGGCATAAACATTGGTTCATATCCTGTACTTTTAAATATGAAAAATAATTTTGAAAAAAATTCAATAAGCTAATAAGACTCTTTAATTGATGTTTAAAGTGGATACAAAGCACCTACTCCTATTTTAATTAGATTTATTGACGAAGAAATGAGAGAAGTTGCTTTTGTTAATTTATCTTAATATCCTTTTATCAATAAAGATATTTTATAAGAAATGTCACAATATATACTTTAAGCTGAAAGTGATAATATTGGTTTAATAGGTGATCTGAAACAAGCATACTAGCTAAAAAACTATGCTTTTGTTTTTGATTTATCTTATTCTTATAAGCCTTCATCAAACGCAACCTTAATTATTAAATCCTCGCAACTCCTTCCATAGTTTTTGTCAAATAACCAGTAGGCTTAATTATTGTAGTTTAGTCTTTCAATTAATATACAATTTAGGAAATGTAAAATCGGAGAAGTAATTTAAAAATCTGGCAATAATACAATTTGCTATACTTGTTAATAAGGTATTTATTTATTTTTCAAGCTATTATTTCTCAATTTAATTTATTTTATTAAAAGCATTTTAAATTTGAGGTTTATACTTTTTAAAATAAATTTTAGAGAACTAATTAATTTATTAAAAAATTTAAGTGCCATATTTAAACAGATAACTAATAATATTTATAATTTCAAATTTTTAATAAAGGACACTATAGTTTAATAGATCCTTATTTAGATTAATCAATCAGCTGTAAGGCATGCCCGACTGGTTCTATTACTTGCCAAAATTCTTAAATATAGATTCAAAATGGATATTGGAGGTAAAATGATTCCTCAGATATAATTGTTTAGTGTTAATATTAGGATATTTGCCAACCAGAAAATCCTTTATCAAAAAATGGATGTAATTAAGGTCATGTTGGACCTTTATGCTAAGAATGTGACATAAAAGGTTAAGTATGGGGTTCGTCATATTGTAAATCTTAACAAAAAATATGTAATAACTGCATTAATTTCTATTCTCCTACAAATATTGCTTTAATGATTCTTCTTTTAGGATTTATATTTTATCAAATTTATAGTAATATTCATAAAAAAATAAGCCATACCAAAAAATATATCTTGGCTAAATATTTATCTAAATTTAACCTAATCTCTCCAAATATTTACAGAAAGTAAGCTAATCAACCTTCTTTAGTTAAGATACTCTTAAGTTATTGTCAATTTTTGATGATCTTTAACAGCTTAAATATATCTCTCCCTGATTATTTTATAGTTTTTAGTTCCACAGGAGGAGATACTTCGTAATTAACAATATACTCTATTGATTGTCTATTATTTTCTTATGATCTTAAACTACCTAATTATATTATACGTTTATTGTGGATTAATCTTTAACCTATTGGATTATTTTTATTAATAGAAATATTTAGTTAGTTTAGATTAAAAAAAATGATTATTAACGCTTAAAAATATACTATTTACACAAATTTGATTATCATATTTTTGTATTTCTAATCTTCTATTGTTAAGGTCATAAGCTAATCATTATCCTGTTAGTAGATAGGTAATACATATTTTGTTAGTTCAGATCTAAATTACAACTGCTTAGATGATTAGCATATTAGAAATATCATATACTTTATTATACCATTAGGATTGATCTGGGTAGTTTTTATTCCTCTGTTTTTATTTATCAAAATGAGAAAATATAAAAATTAAATGTAAACAATAAAAACCCTTTTCATATATGGCTATCTCTATCAAGTAATTAAATTCTTAACTTATAATTCTTTAATTTAATATTAAGAGTTTGCTAAAATAAATTACAACTATTTTTCTTTAAATAAAAATATTAAATCTTTATTGATAATTTTTATTAATAATAAATTAAAAATTTTAAATTTAAAAAAATAATATATTAGGAATATAAGGAAGATAAATATTACTGGGAGTTAGTAAGAATACTGATTCGATCTTTTGCTATTATTGCAATTAATATTTTCAATTTTTAGGTACTTTTTAAAGGGATGATTTTGCTTGGAGTGATGTTTTTTTACTAATATCTCTAGAGTAATTAGAAGCCATATCATTTTCATAAATTTAACTCTATAGAAAAAGACTCTATCTAAAAAGTAATAATAACAATTTATTTGATTTGTGTTGGAAATCTTTCACAAAATGAAATCATATCATTAGTGGTGATTGTATTAATAGGAATTATAAATTTTTTATTCTTTTTGAAGCTTTTATTACTTATTTTGATAAAGCCAATACCTAGTGATGAATAAAATAGGAAGTTCTATTAAAAAATTCTTTTCAAGCTAAAATAAAAATTACCCAGTTTATTCAGATGGGTAAAAATGTAAAATACGAATTCAAATATTCCCTATAGGAATTGGAAAAAAGTTTTCAAGATATTTTAATCCTTGAAAGAATAGTTAAAGATAGAGAAAAAAAATTAAAACGCGTCTCAAATAAGTTTTTCTTTTAGAATTTTAAACGATTAGCCCAAGATGCAAAATAGTTAAGTACGATAGTTAAGAAATAAGAGTAATTTCTTTTATGGAATGGATTCCTAAGAAGTAAATTGAATAATTTTTTTAAACAAAAATTTAATTATTTTTTATTTTAGAAATCTATCATAGGTAATTAGAAGTAATTAAAATGAAATTTAATTTAAAAGAAATATTAACTTTAAATTTATGTAATATGTAAAATTGAAATTTATATTTGTTTAATTTTTTTTGTTTGAAAACAAATTTGAGAAAATATTGTTTTATCTTAATTTAAAAAAACTATGACATTTTATAATATGTAAATTCAGCTTAAAAAAATATGTAGCCTTTGTTAATTTTTAGATTTTAGTTTAAAATAATAAAAGAATAAATAAAATACATTTATATTAAATATTTAATGAAATTTAATCAATCATATTAATTTCTAATTTCTTTTGGAAATAAAAAATTTTTATAATAAAACCTATCACTCTTAAAAAATAATTTTTTTTCTAAATAAATAAAAGAGTAATAAGGGATCATACATCTAATTTGCTTTAAAAATTTTTAAAAATATATAAGGTATTACAAAAATTGAATTATTAATTATATATTTATTTAATTTTTAATTAACCCTCCTCGATAAAGTATGCTACTGTGCAGACCTTGAGGAGTTATTATTTAAATATAATTTAAAAAAATATTCCTATCTTAGATAAATATATTAATGTTATAAATGCAATAAACTTTTAAAACTTGATATGTATTTTTTATGAATAAAATATTAAATAAAATTGTCATATAAAAAATTTAAAATGAACTCAATCTTTTAGAATCTATGATAATCTTAAAGATAAATATTTGTTTAAAATGTAAAAATAATTTTTAAAATGTATACAAATTTATTAATATAAATCAATCTTTAAAATTAAACAACTATTAAAGTAAAATAAATTTTATTTCTATTTATATGAATAATTTTGTAATGAATAAAATAAGAAAATACTAATAAAAATTACATTTTATACTTAAAACTTTTAATATAAAGGTTTTCAAGGTGTTTGAGTAAAACTTTAATGTAAAATAATTCCTTTTTATAATTATTTATCAATCTTAAGTTTTTTATTTAATAATTACTTTGCCTATATCTTCTAAATTATAGGGATTATTATACTCTCAAGAATAACTTTAATTAAAAAAACACCATTAAATATAGTTAAAATTATTGAGGCTGAATATCCTAAGATTAAATAATAATTAATATCACTGTTGTCTAAAACTATATTTGAGCTATTTTCATAGTTAAAATTTATTATCAATATCATCAATATCCATGTAGCTGATAATAAAATATCTCCTATTACTTTGATAACTGATATGTACATGTACTAAAATGGCCTTAAGTATCCAGTCAAAAAGGCTGTTGAAATGTTGAAAATACATGATAATATACAAATTATTTTTGGGTAATTAGCTAATACGAAAATAGAAAGAATAATAAAGATTTTCTTAATTCCATAGATAAAGTAGATGTTTTTAGCTAAATAGCTTTAGTTTTTATCACTTTTTAGTTAGTCAAAAAACAATTCTAATTTATTCTTATTTTTATTAAATTTTTTAGAGTTGTAAGTTGAATAGAACCAGTAATTCGAATATATAAAAAATATTACCATAAAAATAGCTGTGTATAAACTCCATCTTTAAAAAAATTTAGAAGAATCTACTCCTGAAAACTGAATGCAAACAGAAAGAGTTAACATCAAAAGATTTACTTCGTTTTCCACACTAATTCTTTTTATCAAAATATCTAAAAATTTTTATGGCTATTATATTTCATACTTAATCAATAAATATTTTACTATTAATATTGTTAATATAATAAAAAAATATTTGAAAAGAATCAATTAGCAGTTAACTAATATTGAATCACTAAATCCTAGACTTTTTAACTTATTTTATTTAGCAGGCCCAACTTCATCATTTAATTTGTACCAAAATAAGTTATATTCATTTTAGATTATATCTGATTAAGTTTCAGGTACATTCCTATAAACATGCTTTGCAAATTAATGTAAATATTAGTACAAATTTGGTGGTATTTGAATATTTAAAAGGATAAACATAGAAGTAGGTTAAATAGAATTTAAAATATAAAAGACTATCTAAAACTAACTGATTAATTTATCTATTTATTAATTTGTTGGGATATTTCCTAAAAGAATAGTTTTGTCAGTTTCTAAAAAGTAAGGACCAATATTAAATTAATAAGGTTACTAGCTATAAATAGGATTAAGTACTTATCTAGATTCAATATTTTAAAAGATACTAGTATTTTTAAATAAGAAGAAAGCAACTGTTTACTAAATATTTTCAAGCAAATCGAAATATAGAGCTAATTTTTAATTATCTTATGAAACTGTGAAATTTACAAATTAAAAATCTGTAGAATTAACCTGACTTATATGCAATTCAAATAAGTTACTAATATCATTTGGATTCATAATATTCTTCAATTAATTTATTTCTTTATCGAACTTAATTACAATTTGGTATTAATTATTTGAAAATTAAATTGAGAAACTAGCTTCAAAATAATATTTTTAAATTTAAATTTAAACCTTAAAACTAACACATTTTTATTGCTATTCATCGAAATAATAACCATCATCACATTTTTAACAAAGTTCATTTTGTGTTATGGAGTCATCATAGTAATATTGTCTGCATAAACAATAAGGAGGGAAAATCCTATCTCCCCTACATTAAACACATTAGTAATTAAGATCACAAGCCAAGCACTTATATGGGCAATTTTTAGGAATACACGGGTCTGTAATCGGATCAGTAATAATATTTTTATTAAAAGCAGGATTACAATAGCATAATGGTGGGTTAATTCTTCCTTCGCTGCAAGTTATACAATAAGACTTATTTTAAGTGCACGAATTGCATTGTTAGCTACATTCTATTAACATAAAATTTATAAATATTTATTTTAAACTTTAATTTTACAATTCAATTTTTCGAAATATTAAAAAACTTAATTTTAATTAAAATATTTAGAATTATTTACTTTAACAATTCAAATTAGCATCTAAGTAAAAGTTATGTTAAATGCAGCTACATAAAGGAGGATTCTAATTTTATTTTTTGCATTCCAAGCAATTATTTTGATCACCTGAGCATGTTTTACAAACTTCAGAGCATTCTTTTTAAATAAATTTAATAATTTACTTGAAAATAGTTAAATTCAATTAAATTGTTTTATTTTTCATGTCAAATGATCAATTAGTAAATTAAATTTAAATTACTTTAGCAAGTTTAAGAAAGTAGATCCAAATACATTCCATCAGGACAAGAACAATTTTTAGATAAAATCATTTAGTCGTCAATACACTGAATACAAGTGAAGTTATCAATGTTTATATTTCTGCAATTAGGTAAAATAGCTCCAGAATTCTCGCAAGTCATAGTATACTTATTATAATAATACAAATACTCATTTTATTAAATATTTTAATTACAATCAGTTATTGAAACCACAATTCCATCTCTATTTAAGGCATATCCTTGTTTTGGTAAAATACAAGTCATATTCTATCTATTAATAAATACAAAACAATAATCTTAATTATCATAGCTGACATAATAAAAACCTCCTGTATATACTTCAAGTCTGCTATAATAAATAATAGGATCCTTTTATTATAAAGAAGTTCCTCCTATTACAATATCATAAAATTTTGGGGGAATAATAAATATATTTTGTGGGATTTCTAATTCAAATTCATCCTCTACATAATTTAACAAAATGTTAAACTTAATCGAAGTGAGTTTGTCTGAATATTTTAAATATTCAACTTTTAATACTGTTTTTAAAATAACAAAAATAGATTAAAAACTTTTATTTTATTAAATTTAAAGAAATTTATTTGTTTTTAAATTAGTAAGATTTTATTATTAAAGAGTTTAATATTACTTATAATATTAGGATCTAAATAATTAAATTTAACAAGGGCAGATTTTTTGCAGTTACCATCAGAAGAGCAAATTTCTAAATCATATTGATAGTCAAGATAGTTAGCTTTTAAACCTAGTGTAAACACTAAAGTCTTTTGACTAACCAATTACAATAACGAATAATATTATTAAGAGCAAGGCTCAAAATAATTTGCTGTAAATGATAATTTAATAACAAAAGGAGTTGAGTTTAGATTTTTATTTAAATTGATAATTCCTTGATTAGATTTGATCTGAAATCCTTTAATTTAATCAAAAGCGAAATCTCCTGTTTAGGAATATGGTTAAACTGTAAAGGTAATCAAAAGTTCAATTTTATTAGCAATATAAGACTAATTGTTCTAAAATGATTCTTTATATTCCAAAAATTTAAAATCAGCAATAATTGTTAAATCCTCATCTGAAAATGTGAATAAAGTATTAATAAAAGGTCTCATACTTAAGTCTCCCTTTATTATCCAGTTGTTTCTACCGATTCTCCCACATAATGGAAATTTGTCTTAAAATAAAGGAGATTAAATACCAAAAACTAAGTGGGGATCATCTAAATTATATTTAATGATATTTTTAACATCTGATGAATAAAATGAATTTTGCTAATTTAACTATTTAACTAATAAATATATTCCTAAGTAATCATAGTAGAATCCAATCCAAATATCAGTTTATGCTTCAATGTGTGCTTTCAATAAGACTGATTAAGATGAATCAATAAATTGAAGTTCTAATAACTATTCATTATTTACATAAGAAATTATAGAAAATATATGCTCATTTTTATTTTTTAAATAGCAAACAGTATAATAATCATTAATTTGAAAACTTGGATTATTTAAATTAAAGTTTAGCGAGAAAAAAAAAGAGTTTGAGCTATATCCTAATTTTAATGCATCATCTTGTATTGAATAAAGTTATTCATCATATTAGTTATTTGTTAAGCATTTTATTTAATTAAGATCTATTTAAAATGTTCTGTTTAATTTATTAATTATTTTTAGAAAATTTGATACACATTTTATTCCATTATTAAAGCTATTTTTATCACAATATCCTAATTTTTAAGAAAGATAAATATATATACAAATTGTTAGATAACAAAAATAAATCTTACCACTATAACCAATATTATCAATTGGATAACAAGATTATGCATTTTTACAAGAAGTGCAATATTTTAGGCAATTAAGGCATTTTTTTTAATTTATTTCATAGTATTGACCTTTTGGACAGGTGCATTCATCTAAGAAAAACCTATCTGTTCCTGTGTTTTTACCTTCATCGCACAATCCTTTATCATGAACAAAAGAACATGTCTTAGTCTAAGGTAAAACTTGAAAAGGGTATTTGCAACTAGATTTGCAGGAATAATATTTTCCTTCTTCTAAATAATCAGAAGAGTTAGCACAATAAAGACATTCTTAATCATTTATTTTTAAAATACAGTCATCACATTATTAAATAAATCCTCCTAAATATAATTTCAATGAACCAATTTGTATTTATCTTGAAGAATTATCTGTCTTTTTTTGATCTTTTACATTAATTATCAAAAATCTCATTTATTTATATTTAAATTTATAATTTAAAGAGTAAGTAGATAATAGAATTCCATCAATGTAAAAAAATCTTATTATTTAATTAAATTTAATTTGAATACTAATTGTGATTTTATACCACTAGTCTAATTTATACTAATATGTAAAAACTTTAATAGAATTGTAGTTTTCATCAATTATATTATCATATATCAATGGATTGTCTTTACTCAAGGCTAAATAGTACCACTCAGTCCAAACATTTGTTTAAGTTTCATAATCAAAGTATTGAGGAGAAATTGCTAATATTGCATCCTACTAATTTTAATCAAAGCTATTAATTTACAAATCAAATTTTAATATAAAACCTTAAAATTCATGTAAATCTATTATATGATTCAAATACAGCTAACTTAAAAACTTGAATTTATAATAAGGATATACAATAGAGGACTAATAATCCATTAAAAATTATTAGCACATTTTAAAATTTTCACTTAAATTATATAAGGAATTAGAAGAGGCCATGAAAAAATCGAAATGTAAATATAACATAGGCAATAGAAACGTTTCAAACATTGATATTTCTAAAAATGGTCCTTAATTAGAGTCATTTGATTACCCCAAAAAAGCTAAAATCTATTTTAATAATAAAAATGAGAACTATTTCAACTTTATTAATAAAAGAAATTTATTTACTTATTTAGACATTGCACATGATCTACTATAAGGATAATAACTTTTGGATCCAAAGAAAAACTCAAAATTATTATTATCAAATATATTAAATTAAGATGTATAAATTAGACTTTGAGAAATATAACTCTTTTAATCATACATAATTGTGTAGTATATGTAGCTTTTATTACTAATCTTATCTTATAAATTTACTCCTATCCTGATAAAAAACCATTTATCTTGTAAATAGGGTTTTATTTGAAGTGTTATATCTTAAGGGATTAAATCTACATCTAAAATAGAGCACATTATCTGCATTTTAACTGGATTATATACTATTCTAATTACATTTTAAGTAGCGCTATTTTTTATTTGAATTAACAAATAATTTTAATTAGATTTTCCTATAAGCCTATACCATCCTACAATTGTAATCTTATATATGTTTGGTTACTAATTTTATAGAATCATATTTCCTTTTTCATTTTAAGAAATCTACATTTATTCACAACTAAAATATGAAAGCATAGAAAGAATGGGAATCATTTTTGGGCAAGAACATGATACACTTAATATTTTGACTAAAATAAAAGTCAAAATAATACATTTTTATTTCATCATATTTTGATTAAATACTCACTCTTTACTATTTTCTTATCTGATGATTTATTTAATTCAACTCAATAAGCAGAAGTAATATTTATTTTAACTTAATTAAGAAAAAAAAAATTTATTATTAATAATTTGAATAAAAATTTTCTTTACAAATAAATCTCGTATAAATTGAATAAAAGTAATCTAAATCAATAAAATTTAAAAACAAACCAAGAAATATTATCCTCATTCAATAAAACTTTAATTTAACAACAAAGATAGACCAAATATTTAATTTTTTCATATTACTATTTGCCACATTTTTTTTATGTAGCTAAAAAGCTATAATTAAAAATTAAATAAAAAATAAAATTAATTAATTATTTTTTTAATTTTATTTTAATTGTTTATTTGTTTGCTTTTTAATTTTAAATAAATATTTTTAATAATAATTTTATTTTATAAAAATTAAAAAATAATTTAAAAATTTCATAATAATTAATTTTATGTACTTTTTCCTTTTCTTATTTTATTTAATTAAATATTAATTAATTTAGAAAAATTATGTTAAAAAAATCTAAAAATATCTAAGAATACCACAAAAATAAAGTGTATAAATAGACACTGCAGTATAGTAATTTATAGAATTATTATAACATATTTACATTTGGCAGATTTGCTTTATAGATATTAATTAATAATTTGGATAAATATAACAAATTTAATGTTGTATTTATTTATTTGTTGTTTGAGCCAGATATTTTATAAGATATATTTTTTTTTATTATATTTAATATAGAATATTGTAAATAATTCTATTTTATATTATTGTTTTTTATATATTAATTAATTAAGCAAGCATCAATTTTGCTATTATTTTTTTTGTTCTTTTGATTTTTTTTCAAGGAGTTTTTGAAAAATTCATCTTTTCTAATTCCTTTATTATTTCATTGAATGAAGGTCTTAAGTTTTAATTGTTATCCTATTGTCGAATAAATTTTTTACTTTAAAAATATAATTTTAAATAATATATTTATTTACCCAGCATCTTTGCATTAAGTCAGCGAATTAAGGAGGACAATTCTTAGGAATGGTAGGACGTAAATTATTTTTTACTACTTCTACTGAGACAGCAGTACCACTCTTATCTATTTTTTAAGAAGGATTTTTTTATTTTGTTTATTATTGCTTTTTATTTATTTACTTCTATAAGGAGGTTCTCTTGATGCTATTTCCCAAAGGATAATGCCGTAACTGAATACATCTGCTTTTTCAGTATAAATATTTGAACTAATGACTTCTGGAGCCATCCATTGATAAGTACCTGTTATATCATAATTCGTGAACAAGTTTAAAAATAAAAATCTTATAATTACCTATTTTAGCAGTCATATAATTATCATCTTTTACTCTTGTCCAGCCAAAATCAGCTAATTTACATCTTAAATTATCATCAAGCAATAAATTCAAACTATTTATTTTTATCAAAGTAATAATATTAATTAAATTTTTTTCTTTATGTTTAATCTACCTCTTTAAATCTCTGTGCAAAATTGGAGGGTTTGAAGAATGTAAGTAATGAACACCTCTTGCTGCATCTAAAGCAATTCTACGTCTGTCTTCCCAAGATAATCTCACATCACTTTATAGCAAACCCCATAAACTTCCTTTTTAGCAGTACTCTAAAATAATGCAAAAGTTTGGAGATTTTGTACATGCACCTTTAAATTAAAAGTTTGTCAATTAAATTATATTTATTATTAAAAATAAAGTTTTGATTGATTGAATGAATTGATTAAATCCATTTTAAGCAATAAAATTTAGATTAATTTGATAAATACTTGAGTTTTTTACATGAAAACAAATATCCTTAATATGCAAATTTTTATTTTTTAACAAATTCTAAAGATAATTCTAAATTAAAAATCAATATAATTTTAAGATATACAAAAAATAAAAAGAAATTAAATTTTCAATCGTAAAATTGTAAGAATATCAAAAATTATTTAAAATAAAATACCTAAAAACATAACAATGTTTGGATGACGAAGAGCTTCCATTGCGTGGCATTCTGAAAGGAAATCTCTAACAGTGTTTTCATCATGGACCATCTTAAATTTCTTAACTGCTACAGTTGTTTCTCTCCATTTGGCTTTGTAGATAATACCATAACCACCTTCACTAATTTTAGTTTCTGTAGTTAGTTCATTGAAATCGATGTCTAAATTAGAATTGAACATTCTAAAGTTAAGGTTTTTATATTTATCAAGACCCTTAATTTAGAATTTCGACAACTCATTTGTTTGCTACTAGCTAATGTTATTAGCTCCAGTTTAATTATTTACTAAAGCCATAGCCTATTCAGCTCTTTATTTAGCTTCCTTTAATTGCTTTTAGAATTCATGTTCTCTCAATTTCAAATCTTTGATATCTCTTGCATTTTTTTCTTGATTCTTGATTAAGTTCATGTTACATTTCTTCAAGGCTTCTATTTCATTTTGTTTTTCTTCAATAAGTTTTTAATATTTATCACTTTCTATTTAGCTTTATTTTTTAATCTTTTCTAGTTCATTTCCGACATTATCTCCACTGTCAAGTTTAAGATCTTTGCTGTATACAGGTTATTCATCTTCTTTCAAGATAAACTCATTTCCGGTTAAAGATTTGCTTGATAACATGATTGTGTGATAAGAACCACAAATCAATTTTATATCTTTATTTTCTGGATTTATGGTTTATACCTTGACAGGTTAGCATAAAACAGGGCTACTGGTCAATCTTCCTGTTATTTAACCGAAAGCATTTGATCCCCATCCAAATATATACTTTAAATCACGTGAGATAACCAAACAATAATTTTTTCCAACAGCGACCTTTATGATTAAAGTTATTAATATTATTAATGGTCCTATAAAATATGTTAAATACTTGACTGATACTAGGTAAACTATTGATTCTTTAAGGATACTCGTAAGGGCTGTTATATTCTGAGCATAGCTATCCTTCTGTGTTCTCACCAAGAGCATAAACATCTCCCTATTAATAAAAAATTTATTAATTATGTTTAAATGAACAAACTGATTTTGCAAAATTTTAAAAAAAGATCAAATTAAAATTAATTCAATAAACCTTGTTGTTTAGGAAGAGAGTAAAACAATCTCCAGCTCTGGCATCAATAATATTTGATGATACATTTTAAGTAGTCTATCCCTGTTAGAAATCCATCTCAGTAGGATATTAGTAAATTAAAGAGTCTCTTTAGCCACAATATCCCCACACATAGGCACGACCTCCAATAACACATGTTGTATGGCTTAATCCACAAGATAACTTTTCTATTTTTTCTAACCTTGGAGAAGCATCCAAAGCTCCTCTATTCATTCCATATTGTTATTATTATGATTTAATTGTTGAAATCAATTTAAATTCATTTAAAGTTGACTTTTCTCCATGACCTAAAGCATAAGTTTCACCATAACCACAAGAAAACAATCTATTTTTTGCTAGAAAAAAGTAATTAAATATAAATATTGATAAATTAGTTAAAAATATTGAGTAAATAAAAGTAATATTTTCCTTAAAATTGAGTTAACGATTATTTTTAATAAATTATAAAAAGAAAAGAGTGCTTTACAAGTGACTACAACAGTATGAAGGGTTCCACAGGCAATGTATGAAACGATTTCATCATTTGACAATTAAATTTAAGTTGATATATCACTTCCAGCGAAATTTACACTTCCGTGAGATCCACTATTACTGTTATTTTTAGGTTTGTTGGTTTTTTCTGATAATTTTATGCGATTTAATTATTCCATCATGTTTTCAATAGAGTTTGATCTATCTTTGAGTCCTGGGGATTAATCTTCTCCTTGACCTCTTAGCTCGTTAGCACTTTTCAAACGTTTGTGTTAGGAATTAGGGTCATTTTCATTTTCGCTGCTTTTCTTTTTAGCTCTTTTGTTATTTTGACCAAGAGGAAGCAAAGAGTAGACCAAGACTGGTGAGAATTGATTTTCGAAATTTCCTATACCCAATTAACCTTTTAAATTCAAACCCCATGCATACACTTCTCCTTATGCTGTATTTATTTAATTAAAAAATTACTTAATTTAATAATTATTGAATGAGTGAACAGATCAGCTAAAAATGAAAAAATTAACTGAATTTCTTTAATTTAATTAAAATTTACTTGTTAATGCAAATGTGTGATCTGAGCCGCAACTTACCATGCTAATTTTAACATCTTTTAAACCCTTTTAAAAATAAAAATATTGATAAAAAATGATATTATATTAAGGAAAGCAAATATTTACAGGAATAGGAGTTGGTTTATTTAAGTAGCTGACTCCTTCAATACCTAATTAGCCATAAGCATTGCTACCACAAGCGTAAAGTTCTTATTTATCTATTTATATTAATAATAATAATATTTGTAAATAAGTAGTACTAACTAACTAACAACTATATTTTTCTAACTACTATTTGAATATTTAAAAGGATTCATTTTTTACATAAATCAATTAAATATTCAATTAAACAAATTATTTTCAAATAAAATTACGGTCAATAATCATAGTGTGATTCTCACCAGCACTTACACTTATAACACGATTACCAAATGCCCTGAATTATAATTTTTTTACTTTATTTAATTGTCAATTAAGTTAAGAAATAATTTACTAGATTGCATTATTTGTTAATTTTGATGCACTCAATTAACCACATTTTGAATTACCCCACCCAGTTAAGAAAAATGTATCCAATTAAGGTTGGTAATTTCCACCACTCTAACTGCGTGAAAGACCAACTTTATCTCTTCGAGGAGATTTAGATTGATCTGTATTGAGGCGATATGAAAGAGGCTGTTATTGAGTTTATGAAAAATTAGGTTATTGTGGAATCTATTGCTAGGATGACTATTGTAAAAATTAAGCTTATTACTACCCTTGGTAGGCCATAAATTAAGCTGAAAAATTTTCTTTTTATTCAAGCATTTGCAATTGCTATTATTATTATAAGAGCTATTGTTAAGACTATTGTTGTATTGCTTGTTGTTATATTTGTTGTTAAACTAATTAAGATTATTGCTATTGCTGTTATTATTATTAAGGCTGACGAGGCCATCTCTGGCTGTCTTGGGTCACTTCACCTACATATTACTTATTCATTTAATAATTAATTCGCTTATTTCTTAGTCAATGGATCTATAGAACTCTAAACAGAAATTTTATTTACTCCTTTGTTGTAATTAATACTCTTTTTCTTTCTTTCAATATTTTATAAATTTTTTGTCGTTTGTAAAAATATTAATTTTTTTCAAAATTTTTAGTTTTTAATTTAAAGAAGAGAATTTTTCATCTGCATTTAATAGTTCAATCATTAATTCATTCATTCATACATTCTTTCACATTCTTATAGTTAGATAGATTGATAGATAGATGTAAGATTTATTGATTAATTATTAACCTTCATCTACACAAGTAAATACTTTATTTAATGGTTTATATGTATAAGAAACACTTTTAAATGAATAATTTAATGTTTTTTTAACAATACATCTTTAAACGATAAGGAATTCGAACAACCATAAAATTAATTCCTTCATATAAAGCAAGAAAAATAGATATCGCTAAATAGAGAGAGTTTGATTGAATTATATAAAACACAGAAATATCAACTGTCTAATTAATTGACTAACCGAAGAATCTTTAAATATTAAAAAATTACAAAGTAAATTAAAATAAAATATTTTGTATTCTTTGAATTCTAAATTTATAAAAAAAAAATTATTATTTAAGTCATTAAGCTTATCTAATAAAAGTTTTAATTAAAATTAGATTTTTCAAATTAAAAAGAGTTATAAAATGATTTAATTGAATATCCTTATTATTTTATAAATATTTGTTGAATTAAATTCATATTTATAAGAAGTTTATTTTTAAAAATGAAAGATGGTTTTAAGAGAAAAAATTTTATTTAATTTAAATGTAAAATTAAAAAATAAATTAAATTTTGATTTAGCAATTCAGTTAAGATTCATATTTTTATATTTCAAATATCTTTTATGCAATTTATTTATTTGGAATAACAATTTTTTATCAAAAATCAAGGACAAACAATGAAAAGAATTTAATGAATAAATATCTTTATTGAAGTTCATTGAATAATATAAATAAAATGGTTGAAATGTTTGTTTTGTCTTTATTTAATAGTTTATTAAATATTATTTACATAGATATATAGAAAAATAATTAACAAAAATTATTATTTTATGTGTTTAAAAATTGAAACGCTAAATAAGAATTTGCCAACATATTTTTTTGTGTTTTTTGAGCGTTTATGAGCTATCTCTAAAATTAAAAACATTAAAATAAAAATATTTTGTGAAAAAAAAATTACTAAGTTTTATTTTTGAAGACTTACTTTAAAGATTTTATTTAAATGAATTATTTAGTAATTAATTAAATTTTGAATTTTAAATTTTGCTTTTTAAAAATAAAATGTTAAGTTAACAAATATGAATTTAGGTAATAATATTTGTTTGATACTTTAAATAAATTAATATTTTATTAATTGAATAAATAATTCAAGATTTTAATTAGTGCAAATTTTTGCTTAGATTTTTTTAAATAGAATCAAACTCATTTTTAAGTTAAATTAAATTTTTAATAGAGGTTATTAAGTTTAATTTCAATATTATATGTTTTAAATTTAATTATTGTAAAATATTTTGTAAATATGATGGAATATAATATTCATTTTTTGAATTAGGGAAATAGAAAATATATGTTAATTTAAAATAAATGATATGATTTTAATATTAACTTAACATGAGAGTTAGTCATGCTTAATAAATGCAACATAAGTAAAAGATAAAGGACATTAAAATTTGTAATAATATGGTAAACGAAATACATGCTTTTATTTAAAAAAAATAGATGTTGCTCGCATACAATCATCAATAAATGCGAATAGTTATTTAAAGAAAATGAAAGTTGATTATGAATGGGCTGAAAGATCTTCTTGTAGAATTGAATGAAAATCGAATAAAAATGACTATCAAAATACAAAGAAAAAGAAGAGCTAAAGATAATTAGTATTAATTTAATTTTTGCTCGATGGGGAAATTTATTGATAAAAGGAGAGAAGAAAAAAGTGTGCGTGCAGATTAGAAAGATATCAAAATAAAAAGCAAAAAGATTATTTGAAGGGATAAAAAAAGTATTAGTAATAATAAAACAAATTAAAAGAAAAACAAGTATATTAGGAGAGAAAAGATGAAGCACAACAATCAATTACCCGTTGCCTAATTAAGAAAGCATTAATAATTCAGAATTAAAACTTTCTTCAACCAAGCTGCCTAAAAGAAGGCTAGATTACATGCCAGAAGAGCTTAAGCCGCCGCTGTCTTCCCCAGACCTACTGAAAAGTTACAACCTGTTGTTAGAAAGCAAACCCAAAGGTGAATATCTATCATTCAATCCAAATTAAATCACAAACCGATCACCATTTTTTTCTTAAAAATTATTGATTCAAAATACAAATATGCATTTTACTTTTTCATTTTACAATTTCCATCGAACTCTAAAAGATGGGACAGCTTCCCATGCAATTGTATTTTTTTACAGTTCGTTTTAACCAAATAAATGCTGGTCAATCGCTCAGTCAATAAATCAATCAATTAAAGAGTCAATTAAATAAAAAAATCACTAGAATTAGGGTAACTTAATCGAATAGATATTTCATTCTTAAGTTAGCAGATGAATTTAAAATTGTAATAGAAATATAATTAAATGCGGAATACTTTTTAACAAAATGGAATTCAATCATAACCTGTATTGCGGAAATCTAGTAAAGTAGATTTAGCTTCTGATTTATCTGATTGTTAGATTTGAAATATCATCAGCCTTTAATTAGGTTTTAACTAAATAAATGTAAATAACACAATTTAGGTATTCTAAAACTTCTCAATAAAGAATATAATCAGTAGACATTATGCCAACATATTTAGCAAAGAATATAAAAGCAATTTATGTATACAGTAGATCGATTAATTGATTAGGTAGGGAGTCTTAGCGTCAATCAAAGATCAAGTAGATCATTTGGTTTCTAATAAATTTAAGCAAGCTAAATTATAAAATATCTAAATACAAATTTAAAAAGACGAAATTATCAAAACTCATAAATGAATGATGATGAAATAATTTAAATAGAGCAACTTGTAATATTTGTTCAATGAAAAAAAAATATGCAAAATAAAGCCGCCAAATATTTAAAAATTTAGGCATGTTAGGGTACATTAAATACTCATTTATCAAAACTCAAATAAACCTTATTGATTGAATGAAATAATTACTTGCATAATAATTAAAATTGATTGATTCATGATAATGACTGTTTAATTGATTGATTGAAGCTGAAATATTTAGGAATTGAATATAATTGTAAAAACAATTTAAATTCTACAAAAAAGTTTAATAAGGTTAAAACTAAAAGTAAATATAATCCATTCATTTAAAGTTTAATCTTTAAATTAAGTGAAATCATGCATATTATTTTTGAATGCTTTACAAAATTAAATCGCAATAAAAATAAGAATAAAAATAAATACTGATTGGTTTAAACTTCAATTATTTATTAATAAATTTTACTCATCTATTTTCTATTAAATTTAGATACAACAAGTCCACCAAGCTCGGAAGAGGTTTCACCTTACAAGAATTGAAGGCTGCCGGTATCTCTGCCGCTTTTGCCTAATCTATTGGTATCAAGGTTGACCACAGAAGAAAGAACAGATGTCAAGAATCTCTTGAATTAAACAAGAAGAGACTTTTGGCTTACGTTAGCAAGCTCGTTCTCTTCCCTAGGTAAATAAAGAAACATTAATAAATTTTATTAGCAAATATAAAGAAATAGGCATAGTATTTTTGTATATATCATTTAAATACCTTCAAATAATTTACAAGTTAAGCAATTAGATTATGAATTTTAATCTAAAAATTTTAACTTACTTACCATTTTATTTGATTTGTATTTTAACTGAGCAAAAATACTTACTGAATATATATATATATATTTATATGCAAACTAGCCTAAAGATATTTGCAAGAAATTAATATCTGTAATATGGCAATTTCTTATCTTTATTTTTAATAAAAATAGACACTAAGGTAAGGCCAAGAAGGGTTTAGTTAATGACACCGCTGACACCAGCAGTGCTGCTCAAAACGCCTTATAAACCTCTGTTCCTCTTCCCTCTGTCTCCAAGAGAGAAAAGGCTGTTTCCAACATCGCTGAACTCAGAAAGAAGAAGGTTTACAGAATCATCAGACAAGAAAAGACCAACCAAAAGTGGGATGGAAAGAGAAAGGCTAAAGCTCAAGCTGCCGCTGAACCCAAGGCATGAGTTTGATAATAAAACTATCTTAAAATATATAAATAATTATTGTCAATATTATAATACTATCCCATATTTTATCTTTGATTTTTATGTACAAATCAAGAATTTTTATTTAAACTAATAAAACTTATCCTTATTGCTCACTTAATCAAAAATCTTCTTTTGTATGTTTCATTCATTATACTAAACAATCATAATAAATATATCTTTATAATCAATGTTCTTCAATCATAATAAGAGATATTTATTTTTAGTTTGCCAAAAGATCTTTTCTTCAAAAATTAAAAATACAAATTAATTAAAAATATAAATAATGCAAATTTCTTTAGGTAAATTAGATCTTAAAATTCAACATAAAATAATTGTTTGTTTTATCAAATCTAAACATTCTTTTAATTTATATTAAATTTATCAAATTTGTATTTATTTATATAAAAATTGATAACTGGCATAGCTATTTATTACAATTAAATTCTAAAATCCAATTTCATGATATTTAATTGTATCAATATCTTATTAGTTTATTAAAAATTTTATTTTATTAGAAAGCTAAAAAATTTGAAACATAGCTAAAAAATAAGAAAATATATATCAATTTGCCTGAAATTGAAAATAAATAATTATATAAAAATAAATTATTATTATTCGTGTATGTAGCCTTGAAAAAAGGCAGTACCTTAGGGTACTATATATATATATATATCAATTAAAATTTTATTTGAAAATCAAAAAGAAAGTGAAAGAAAGAAAGGAAAGTCATTGATAGTATAATCATAAAGTAAGTATTGTTAGATTAATATGAATAATATTTAATATTATTTAACATTTGAATTTCTCTTTGTTATTTAATTTATAAAATATAATTCAATATTTGTTTAAATTACATTTATTTGTTTATTGATTGTTGTTATTATAATATATAAACAAACTAATTTCACTTTGCATTTTCATTGTGTTCTGTTATATTTTTTTCGGAAATTTTATTTTATCTCGGTTTAATTTTACTGAAATTAAATGGGTTGCTCACATATGGCGAGGGTTTTTCTGTAATTTTTTTCATAGCTTCAGTTTGTGAAATAATTTTATCAGGTTGCTAAAATACAAAGTTACTATTTGAATAGGATTTGCTTTTATTGTGACTTATATTTTTGTAGACTTAACTGCTTTTTGTATAATCAAAATCACTTGTATTATATGATTAGCAATTAGAAATAAACGGGGAAGTCATTTATGATTAAAAGGAACTGCTATTTTTTTTTGAATTTATCCTAGAATTAACAGTAGAGTTGCTAGATTAATGTTTTAATTAATTTTTATTGATACTAAAATCTGAATCATAAACATTGAAAATTTTCTTTAGTTATTCCAAGCTTTTCATATTCTTAACCTTAATAGACTCAAGTTTTTAATTAATACTGTTCTATATTTTATCTATTTATTTTTTATAAAATTTCTTTTTTTAATGTCAAGAGTTATAAAAAAAATTACCTGCAACTATGTAGTCTTTGTTGTTATTCTTTATATCTTATTATTTTAGAGTATCAATTTAAACTTTATAAGCTGAATTATTTTCTAAATTGCTAGGCTGTTTATTCGTTTCTTCTCCATTTTATTTTCCGATGTTTAAAATTTATTTTTGTTTTACGGAATCCAAAACGCTTTTAATTTCTTAAACCTACTCACTAATACTTGAATTTCGTGTAAATTTAGAGTAAATAGCATTTATTTACTAGCTTTTTAACGAAAGACTCATTGATTACTTTATTTCATTTGTTTACTTTTTCTCAATTTCTTATATATTCTTAGTTTATTCTTGAGGTTAAGTGCATTATGTTGTTTAAGATGTTGGTTTGTATTTTTTTCTCTCAAAGTCTTACAATTTTTAGAAGTATTTTGCAGTTTGCAATCCTTTAGGAAGCTCTAATTTGCTGTTTTTTTTAATCAGATTAACACTGCTGCTATTTTTCCCAACTATTTTTATAAAAAAATTATTTTTTCAAAGAATGTTAAATGTTTAAGATAATTTTTACGGATAAATATTTTTTGCAAAAAGAAGGCATCGTTATGAAACGTCTTGAGGTTTTCTACAAAGTAATCTTAGTTTTTCAAATCTTTATAGTAATTTTCTTCAGCTTCAACATATTTTTAAAATTATTGCTCTATAGGTGACAGGTTTTCAAAATCAAATAACTTTTACTGTTATTTTTTCTAAAAATCTAGATTGAGAGAGTTTAAAGACTGATTATTTTCGACTTTGTTTTATACTGATTATATCTCATTTTTAACATTCATTCTTTAAGAATCAATAAAATCAGCTTCCTTTTTATCTTTATTCCTCTTATTTTCTTAGAAAACCTAAATTTGATTTTAAACACTTTTTTTAGATTTAATAGTTTTATTTAGTTCATTTTTCTAAGTTTAATCTATTAAATTAGTAGAATTTTTTTTGTTTTATTCATTTGTGTCTATTTTTTTAAACTTAAAACTTGATTAAGACAGATTAAAATTGTTAGTTGGCTACATTCTTTGCTTGTTTTAATCAGAAAGTAAAATGATAAAATTTTTAGCTTAATCTAGCTCTTCTTTTAGAACTTCCTCCTCTTTCTTTTATTGGAATTTACTAATTGTTTATTAATTTTTTTCTTAATTTTCACCTTTAAGACTTTAATTTGTCCCAAAGACTTAACTTTCTTCCATGATAAATGAGTCATTCATTAACTTTTAAGTTTCTTTTTAAATAAACTGTTTTTACAACGACGATGAAATAGACATTTAATCCATGTAAGCTTATCTAAATTTGGAAGAATGGTCACTTGGTGTTATAGGACTGAAACATTATTTCCATGTATTCAATTTTTCAAATACTTTTTCCTCTTCTTCTTGGTCTTCATTGAAATTATCATCATCTTCATCCTCTCCATCGTCTTATTGCACTTTATCAGAGCTTTCTTTTATTTTATCATTTAAGAGCTATTCTCGTTACTTTTTAAACTAAAGTGTTTTTTCTGCTTAACTAATAAATGATTGCAGTTATTGTTTGTTAAAATCCAAGTAGTGAGCTTTTATAAGTCCTTTTCTGTTTTCCTCCAGATGATCTAAAGTGAAATAATTTAATTATTAAATATAAAAATATCTAAATAAATTAAGTTACTTTTCTAAAAATATCTTTTTATATACGCAAAAATGTACTTTTCTGAGTCAATTACTTCTTTAATAGTAATTTTAAAATTTTTAATTGACCTTTTTTGCAATTATAAAATGATAAATTAGCCTAAAATTGATTATTCTTCATATTTGAATAGCAAAGCTTGTTCTTCTCTTTCATCTTAATCGATTTCGTCAGTCTCATCATAGATTATTGAATTTAATGGAGACTCATTAATCTTGCTTAAGTATTTACTATTTTTAGAATTACTATCACAATCACTTAAGTCAGAGGAAGATTTTGAAGACAAAGATTTTTTTGATAATTGACTGTCTTCTTCTTCTGTATTTTAGCTATTTTAGGCTATTTCTATACTATTTCTCTAACTTTAAAATGAAATACTCTTATTCACTTTCATTAGAGGTGTTTCCTTACATTCGTTTTCGATTATACTTTTTATTTTAAATATTCGTTAATTATTTATTTTATTTCAAGAAAATTTGATTAAAATAATAAAAAGGAGATTAAATAAAATACTTTTGACTGTTTTTGTCTTAAATTTTACTTTCACTATCTTAATTTGTCATAACCAAACTGTTAGTTGCATGCAAACCTTAGATTTCTAATTTGAGGGAAAATTTTTTATCTTTTTTTGGTGTTTTGGATGAGGATTCTTCTTTTTATAAGATATAATGAGGATTTTTAAAGGGTGAATATTAAGAAAGTCTCCTGCTTCCATGAGGTGTTTTTCCTTGTGGTTAAAGTTTCTGCTTTTTAGAATAAGCAAAAAGTTGTTCATAATTAGAGAGAATCATATTAAATTGTTTGAAATATTCGTAAGTATTAAAACACTTCTCAATGACTTCAATGATATCATCCTTACTCAAAAAGAATCTAATTAAAATATCCTATTTTATTTATTGTCGTCATTAAAACTTATATTTTATTAAAATTTATAATAAAAAAAATAATTTACATTAGATGTTAAATCTATTATTTGTTCAATGACAGATAAGTTAAAACTTTTAGGGAATACGAAAGACAAAGTTTATTTTAATTCAACCGTAGTTAATGGGAAATAATTGTGTTATTCCATAAAGAAAAAGAATTTTTCTTTGCTACTAAGGCCATTTTTTGTGTCTTCATCATAGTTATTTTAATTTTAAAGAAAATTTATTAGATTCTTTTGGAGTGTAATAGATGAAGAATGGTTTTTGAATTTTTTCTTATTGTTAAATTATTCAAATATTTTCTTTTTCATAAAACCTTTTTGGTATTTATCAAGAATTAAATCAATTTTTTCAAATTTATCAAATGAAGTATCACTTTCAACTCTGATATCTCCCTTTTCATTTACATCGTCAATTAAGCGTTTATGTCTACCAAGAGTCAGCAAAAGAAAATATAAAGCATTTACTAAAATAGTTTCTAATTCATTTTTTAACTCTGTTGCTTTGTCTAATTCTAACATTAGACATTATTACTCATCCTTTTATTAATTTTGTATTATTTTCTTTTTCAAATCCAATGACCCCTTTTAATAAAATATTAATTATTATTCATTTGTATAAATAATAAATAATTAAATAATAAATACTTTTTAAAAAATATATTCTAAATAATAAGTTTATAATTCAATCATTAATTAAAAAATAATTGAGGATAATCCTGATAAACAAACTACATTTTTCATTCATAAATTTAAATTTATAATAAAACAATTAATTTTTAAATAAAAAATCAATAAATATTTTTACAATTTCTGCTTCTGATATTGATTTGTATATTTCCTAGATTTATGAATCCAAGTTTCTGATTTCTACATTTTGTTGGATTTTTTGTTTTTGCAAAAACTCAAATTAACTCTGTAGACTTTAATTTTATAGAACCAATTACTGGTAAATTTATATTAAATCATCTATTAGTTTAGAAGGATTATTTTCACAAAACCTATTTATCTTATCAACCTTTCTGTTTCTTTCCTTTTTATTAATAAAAAATGAATAGATTTTTTTATATTAATTGTAAAAATAAATGTTCAAATTACTATTTGCAGAGAATTCTATCTATGGATCTTAGATTCTTGCTTAATCTTTATAATTTAATTTTAGATAAATCTCTAAGGCTTAGGAGAATTTTGGCTACTGCGATTTGTGAGTGAGTCTAAGTCGTCTATACTGGTAATATCGTTTTTTTGAATACTCTTATTTAATGCAAAAGTAAATTTTGTCATCCTACTTCTTGAAGTTCTCATTGGTGTCTATGGAGAACTTAGGTATCTTTACTGTATTTCTTCCTCATTTAAATTTATTTTTCTATCTAAAAAAATCCTTTTTTATATAAAAAAGTTATAAGCAAACAAAAAATTTATTAATAGCTCATTTTTTATTTTTTACTCACTTAATTTGGCTAAAGCATCTATATTTTATTCAACATAGCAAGAAAGTTGTTTTTGTTCGTAAAGAAATATTTTTTAATCTTCTAAATTTTCAATTGTTGATAGCTGACTTTTCTTCTACTCACTTAAAAAATCAATTTTGATTAATATCTCACACACCTTCTTTTTTTATTGTAGCAACTCTTGCTTCTCTTCATCATAAATTTATTTTTTCGCTTCCAGTGTTTCCTACTCAGTCTCTTGCAGTATTTTCAGTTGGTTGTTTTTATAGTTTAGATTGTTTTGAGAAACTTGCTTTATTTTAAATTAAAAAATAACTCTTTATCAATTTAATAAAAGCAGATGAAAGAATACCATTTGTTGCCTGGAAAGAGTAATGTTCTCAACTAAGTTCTAGTATCTATTATCAGCCATATTTATTAATTCTTTCAATTCAGAAATCTTCTTTCGAATGTAATTCTTTTTTAGAATGCATTTTTTAAATGTTTATTAATTTATACTTATTAAAATTTTACACAGACTGTTTCATATTTTTTGACTTAGAATTTATATTAATCGTTGGTAGAATTTTCAAAAATAGCTTCTTTTTCAGCACTCTCTATTTAATTTTAAATATCAGTATATCTTTGTTTCAAGTAATCTAATTGAGACTATTCCTTTTGAATAGATTGGTTATCTATTTATTGTTCGCTCACCTACTTTATTATTTCTGGATTATTTTTATTCTATAGAAGGCTGTCAAATATTGAATCCATAGTTAGCTACTTTTTCGACTATATCATCTCCTCTGTAAATGCAGGATATATAAAAAATGAATTTTTTTTAAAGTCATCGACAGGTGATTAATTCTAAATTGGTAATAATCTCTCTGTTTGCTTTATTTCTATTGATAGTTACCTTTTAGGTAATTTATTTTTTACTTCTTTCTTCTTTTTCTCTGTATTCTGATATTAATTCATTAAAGAAAGTGCTTGATTTTTAATCATATTATTTAAATGCTATTCCTTTTATGCATTTGACTCAACCAAAATGTCTAGCTCTTTTTTAAACTAACAAAAAAGGATTTCACTAAGAAACCAACAAACTAAAAAATATTTTTATTTTCTATCTCAAAATTATGATGAAATGTTACATTTTTTTCAATATCTTGCTATTAATTAATCTAGATGTGGTTGATTTCGGATGAGTAATTAGTGAATTCCTAATCAATAATTGTAATTTTTTAATTAAGCATTTTTTTGTATTCTTCTCTCTTCGACTAGTCACTTTTGAAATAAGTCAATCTCTAAAATTGCTACCTCATATTGTATCTTTTATATCAATATAATAATATAAGTTAAACGAAAACAATCCTATGCAACAACAATAAAATAAGGGAATATTATATTTATCCGTTTATTTAAAAAGCAGTAGCAATTTATTTATTTTTTTATTACTAACTTTTGATATATGTTAAATAAAAAGTAGAAATAGTTTTCAAAATTTCTAAGTGGATTAATACATCAAAAAGTCAATCAAATTATCATAGAAAATTTAACAACTTTATAATTTAAAAATAAATAAATTAATTAATTATAAAAATTATCTTAGTAAATGAAGATACTTTTAAATTTACAACAAATTAATTTATTAATTAGTTCATTTTATATTTTATCTTAAACGTTAAATGTTTATTCATTTTATTAAAAAATAATAAAAGGCTGGATAGATTATTTATAAAATAAATATTCGTAGAATTAAAACACTTACTTAAACATTCAATAATTAATTTTTTAATTTATAAATGTTTAATTTTTTTTTTTTCAATTTAAATTGATTTATTTTATTTTTAATTATTTCTAAATATTCTACTCATCTTTTATGCATGTAAAAGTGCTCAGATATTTTTTTTAATTTTTAAAAACTACAATGAAAGTGAAATAGGTATTTAATTAGCATATTTATTTATTTACTTACTTTTTTTTATTTTATTTTAAAGAATATCAATTATATTTCATTTTTATCTCACTTTTTATATCATTCAATCTCAAAAATAACTCATTTAATTCTGGACAACTCTCTTTAGTGTAATATTATGTGAGAATTTTTAGTGCCCTTTCACTATATTTTTCAGCTTCTAAACATTTATCAAGATGGAAATTAAGCTTAGACAGCTCATTTAGCTTCCAACCAAAAAAGGGCATTTCTAAAGTGTTTCCTATAATTTCTTCATACCAGTGCTTTGAAAGCTCAATAAAATTTTTAAGATACTTATTTGCTTTTTTATACTGTTAAACACCTAAAGTAGCTAATATCCTGCTGTTATAAATATCATTAAAATAGGGTGCTTCTAGATGGCAAAGCTTTTCAGCTGTTTCGGTTAGTTCAATTGTTTTTTCATAGGTTGATTAAGAAGTTTATTTTTAAATTTCTTCCATTTAGGTAATAATTCTTTAGTATTCTTATTCAGTCATTTAACCTTAAGTGTTACAGTCAGAGCAATTTAAAGTTTTACTATTGATTCTTCCTTTCATACATTTCTAACACCTTACAAATGATACTCCTTCATTTTATTCTTTTATACACCTTTTACATTCACACAAAAAGAAGTAATTTTGCTTAAGAAATCTTCTTCTAAAATCTAAATCTTTCTTTGTGTCAATGTAGCTATTCATAATTTCTTCACCTTATTCTATATCTCTAATGGCTATCACTCTCACTTAAGGGAGTTTATTAAATACGCAAATAACATTTGGAGTACAGCTATGATTCATATAATTTACCTCTTCATATAAACCTGTATTTTAAAATCAATAAAAAATATATTTTTAAAAATTTCTCACAATCAATAAAATATTTTCTATAATTTCGAAAATCTATTTTTGGGTATGAAAGCGAAAGTTAAAACTAAAATCAATAGTTAGATCCTTTTATAAATATTTCAAAAATTATACCTGCTCCTATGCCATCAGTTTCAAATAAAGAATCTTAAATTGTGAGTGCATTTGTAGCAAATTTAGCTTATGCGCTGATTAGAAACTCCATTTTTTCAGGAATTACTTCTTCTTCTAAGCTTTTAAGAAGCATGAGAGCCTACTCAGTGAAAAATTATTGTTTTTCAATAGGAAAATCGTCTCCATTGGATAAGAAATTAGTTAAAGAATTTTAAGTTTTATAAATTCTCATTAAGATATGAAAGTCGATTGTTATATTGAAGTTTTTTGCTTTAATAGCTTTATAAGCTTTACATTCTAATTTATGCTGCTTCCAATCCTAAACTTAACAATTTTTATCACAATAATGAAGAACATTACATGCTGTGCACCTACTTAAACTACTAGATGCTTTTAAACAATAATTACAAAAATTTTTTCTTTAATTGGATAGCACACTATAAAATAAAGGTTCCTTCTCTATAATTATCTCACCTTATTTTATTTTTCTTTTTGCAACTAGTCTACGATACTAATTATTAAGATTTTCTACCTAGTACATATATATCTTTGATTTTCTAAATTAATTGTATAATTAATTAATTGGTAGATACTTTCGAAATAATTCTTCGACTATTTAAATAAGTATTTAATATATTCTACTAATATATTATTTATTTATTTATTTTTTGATATTTAGATCAAAATGTATTTTAAAAATTAAGCTTTATTTTTTATTAAAGCTCTAAAGAAACTAAAATAAACAAATGTAATCAATTTGATATGAATTATTTCAACAAAAAATAGATTATATTTAGATAATTAGAGTTTTTATTTAATTTATTTTATATTGATTGATATTTATGTCTAAAAAATAGAATATAGAGGCTCAACCTTTCTAAAATTTCGATACTGTTATTAAAAATGAATAATAAAAATAATTATCTATATTTTTAAAATTTAATATCTCTGTTAGATATATAAATCATATATTCTTTCATAACTCTACTCACTCATAATTCTTAGGCAACATTTAATGATTTATCTTAATAATTAAATAATATTTCAAGCAAAGATTAAGCTTTCTTTTTTATTAAAACTCTAAAAAAACAAAAATAAACAAATGTAATCAATTTAATATGAATTATTTCAACAAAAAATAGATTATATTTAGATAATTAGAGTTTTTATTTAATTTATTTTATATTGATTAATATTTATGTCTTAAAAATAGAATATAGAGGCTCAATGTTTCCAAAATGTAAATACTGTTATTAAAAATGAATAGTAATAAAAATAAATATCTATATTTTTAAAATTTAATATTGCAGTTAGATATATATAAATCATATATTCTTTCATAACTCTACTCACTCATAATTCATTGGCAAAATTTAATGATTTATCTTAATAATTAAATAATATATTTCAATCACTATTAATTGAAGATAATATTTTAGAAACTAAATACAATATATACATTTTATCATCTTATTTATTTATTTACATTAAAAACTATTATTTATTGAAGATAATTACTATTTTACTTAATAATATAATAATTTAAAGAGTTTTATGTTCAAAATATTCATTTTAACTAAGCTTAAAGAGATTCAGTTGAATCTTAGATTTTACTGTTGTTCTTAAATATGTTTAGATGCACTTTTTTTCCATCAACTATAGGCGAATAATCTCTTATTTTATTTATATTTTTAATATTTTTGCTAATGTTCAATAAAAAATGAAAATTTATTTACGTATCAAGTTCTAAAGAATATTCTGCTGCATTTATTAACAACTGGAATTAATTTTTTTATATTTTTTAATTATAAGATTCTTTTTTCTATTCAGATTAATCTTTGTTCTCATTCTGAATGATTTCTTGCTGCTCTTCGTTACCTATTTATATTTATTTAAGAATGTTTATTTATTTTTACTTTAAAATCATTTATCTACTTATTTGCTGAAAAGGAGATTCATCAGTGGAGTTTTTTGATATTGCTGCTATTCTCTCTTTGATTATCTATTTTTAAATAAGGCAGTGTAAATTTATTTAAAATAAAACACAATTTTGCTTTACTTGTATTTACTATTTAGACCTTTCAAGTTGGGAGAGAGATGAAATTTAACTCTTTTATTTATTTTATAATCCTTATATTTCTATGAAATTCTTACTGTATGAATTATCTTTCATTATTTCAGATTAACTTATTTATTTAGAATCTTCTGACAATGAATTATTTATTTCATGTTGCTACTTTGATTATTGGAGAGCTGTCTTATTTATTGAAGAGCTTTGCATTTCTATTTTCCTTAATGATTGATCATTGAAAGAAGCAAGTGGGTTCTAAATATATTTAGATTATTTTTTTACTTTATTTAGTTGTTCTTTAACATGAGCAAAGAAGCGAGAAGGACTTTTTGAGAAATCTTTGATTTAAGCTAATTTTTTTTCACTGATGTTTTAGATTTCATTTTCATCTATTTATTATTTTTGCATTGAATTTTATAAATTAAATTTATTTAAACTTGCTCTAAAATATTGAGAATCGTTTTTCTTTTTTTCAGGTGTCACTTCTGTTTGTACCCTAAAATTATTAGGGATTATGTTTCCTTGCTGTATATTGCTATTTTATAAGGGCTACTTCTTCTATGAATTTATCTTCTATTCATTTTAAATATTTAACAAAGTCTCGGTTTTTCCATTTATTTGAATTTTAATTTCAGATCTTCCATTTTTATTCATTGAATTATTAATGTTATTTAATTATATTCTGGGAATTGTTTCTTAAACAATATTTTATTATTGTTGTTATTATTATTATTGCTATTGCAATTAATTATTGGATTATATTAATAGAGCAGATTTTTAGTTAATATTTGGAGTAGCTTAAAATTATTGGTTATTTTAGGTTATATTATGATCTATTGATATACTTCTATTTGAAATTTAAGCTCTGTTTAATTGATCTTGATAAACTGTGTTCATTTGCTAAAAACGTGGTTGGTCTATTTAGATTAACTACTCTCTTTGAAGGGGTTATTAAAGTATCTAATTATTGAATTGTTATTATGGTTAAGAAACCAAAATGACTGGTTTTTAATAATTTTATTAAAAATTCTAAATTTATGACACTTTTTGATATGCTGGATTTTGATTTATTTGAATAATTTAATTTTGAAAAGCATCTTAATTAACTGAAATAGATCTTAAACTTTTTCTCACGGACTCTAAAGGTAATTATTGAGGAATAATCTATCCCTAAAAAACTTATGCCTGAGGAGTTTAATTTGCTAAGTTAGGGTAAATCATTTGATCTTTCAATTAGTCTGAGATATTTAAAGGAGGAGGTACTTATATTTAATTATTTTACTATAATAACGTGTTATTTTTTTAAGCAAAAATAGGTTGCATATTTATGGGGTGATAGTTCACAATTTATTTTTATGAGAATATAGGTGAGAATTGAGCAAATTTAGGGGGAGCTGTTTAATTAGGTTGCATTTATGATGTATTCAATTAATTTAGACTCTTTTAAGGAGTAAGCTGCTGTTATTATTAATAGTATTATTTGACTTAATGTTATTAGCCAGACATTGTTGCTAGTCTTTAATTATTTTACTGATTTTATAAAGCTGGTTATATAGAAATATTGGCAAATTTAGGGGAAATACTGTTGTTATAATTATTGCCTTATTACTACCTTCTTTCATTTATGTTTTCCGTAGTTTATTAATAGTTTATAATACTAGGTACTTGAGGTTATTAAGAAATTTAATAAATTCCATTCTAAACACTCATTCTTTACTAATAAATGGGTGTAGGTTACTGAGTAGTATTTTACTCCTCTTAATTTTTATAAATTTAACTTTTTTACACTTAATTATTTGTTTATTAAAAATTGCTTCCTTTTGATTGATGCTTGATTTAGTTAATATTATTGTTGAAATAATCTTAGTAAAATATCTAAGATTTACTCTAACCACTTTTATCCTCATTTTCTTAATAATCTTCCTAAACAAATTTAATCGGAGAAGGAGTGCTGATTCTGCAAACTAAAGCTGGGTTTTAGTTGTTGTATGAGTTATTTGTTTTTATAGGTGAATGATTATTGGATGGATCGATAATTATGTTTGCCATTTAATTTCTTAGATTGCGCACATTTGGTGTATTTTAATTCCTAATTTTTTAACTATTTTCGTAATTTTTATCATTCATATCAGTATTCTTTTTCACCAAAGCCTCTACCTACTGCCTTGCTGATATAATGTTACTTATATTATTGTAGCTCATCAACTGTAAGATTGCTTTTTAAATATCTAATTCCTATTCAAGATTATTTTCTTGTCAATTAACAAATATAATTTAGATTGATCGACGAATAAGTAAATACTAATTAATTTCAAGGAATACCAATCTATCTAGCTATACTTTTTTATAACAACTAAAGCCTAAAATTTATTTATATTTTTTATATTTTCTGCTACGATAAAAGAAATATTTTATAATAAGCTTTAATGAATCCTGCAAAAAAAATTTGTTGGTGTAGATGCAACAAACGGATAATTTAATAGTTTAGTTAATAATTTATTAGCAATTATTATTATTATTAATTTGCCAAGTAGGTTAGTAAAAATTAATTATTTTAATAATTTTGTTTTCAAAATTTATTCAAAATCTGCGTGCTGTTTGTGCTGATAATAATAAAATTTAACAACTTTATTTTCTAATATTTGATACAGAATTGATATACATACATACATTCAATAAATTTCATATATCAAAACATCTTTTGCAACCAATATTAATTAGTTCTGTTCAATTTCATCCATCGAATAAATTTTATGAACGTTTCAAATAATGGATATCATTTCATAAAATCCAGGATTGGTAATCTTACACAAAAAACAAATTTCGATTACAAACATAAAATTTTTGATTTTGGTATCTGGATAATTAATATATCAAATAAAATTAACTGTTTAAATTTTATTAAAACTAAAATGATTGCTTAGTATAAATAGATATATAAATAAAACATAATAAATCAATAATTTTATCTTATAAAATCATTGTTTTAAGATAAAATAAATAAAAATTTATTCTTTGGTTTAAAAATAGCTTAGATAATTATTTCAGTTAAAAAGTAAAATTAAAAAAATAAATATTTCTGAAAACATCTAAAGCAAGTCAAAAAAAATATCGAGCTTTATAACTTTCTTACATATATTTACTTTTATTTTATAAAAATACAATTTTTAATTAATTTTTTCTTAATTCTTAACTTAATTTTAATTGTTCCTAGATCTAACTACATACCAAATTCTAAAAATAATTTTTAAAATAATATTTATTCACTAAATTAATTTAAGATATTAATATTTTAATGTATTAATACTACCCTTTAGTGACAATAAAATTCTTAAATTTATATTATTGAAGTATTATCTTAATGTAGGGGGGATTTCTTATTAAGCAGACAGACACTGTAGTAATAAAAATTATGCAATAGGATTAATATCAATTATTTATTTTTTTATATCATTTATTTTAATATTGTTTTTGAAGTTACTAAGTTTTTTTAGAAAGAAATTCTAAATATTTTTAATATGCTTATATTTTATTTTTAACTTTCTATTTAAATGATGTGTATAAATTCTCATAATAGAACATTTTTTTAATATTTCTAGATTAAATTTTGAGATTCTTTTTATTTATTTTATTCTCTAAAAAAGTAAGATGTAAATCTCATATCAGAATCCCCCTTCATATTTTAATATAAAAATTTAGAGTAGAAACAAAATATATAAATTTAAGTCATTTTATCATAAAAACATACAGAAAAGTAATAATGTGAATATTAACTATTGAAATAAATAAAATTAAGGATTAATTGACATAGACAACTTATATCAATAATTATTTTATTTAATCTAAGTATAACTTGAAATAATTAATATTATTTTTAAAATATTAAATATTTGTTTTTAAGAAATATCAGTAATTTAAAATAATTAATATAAAATTATAAAATTTAAGAGATTGTATTATACACATATATTATTTATAAGCCGATGGATGGATAGGCATGTGTTGAATTGAATTAATATAGAGTAGATAAATAAAGATGAATTATTGTTCAAATTTAATTGACTAAATTTTGAATTATTTTGAAAATACAGTTACTTAGCTCAGTATTAAGTGCAGTAAGTAACTTAAATATTAAGGATGAAAAAAATAAATTTTACAGAATATTCAGTGTTTTGTAAAAGAAAATGTTGGGGGAATAGCTTATATTTACAATTTTTATAAAAATAAATACAAATAATTAAAAATATAAGTATTAATTTGGTTTTATCCATTATTGTCATTTATATAAAAAAAATAGAAAATACTTATTTGATCAAAAAGCTTAATAAATATACAAATTGTTGACCAGATATCAAATTAAGGATATATTTAAAAGAATAATTATTTAGTGGTTATTCATTCATTGATTTTTAAATAGGCTTCTGTTACTGGATTTAACAAATGCAAAAATAAGTACATAAATGTCAACAAGCATTCCTAATTAACTTAAAAAACTATTTAATAATAGGAAAATCTTTTAAAGCTAGAATACTATCTTGAGTAAGTAGAGAATATTTAAAAATAGGTGTAAGCGAAGGATGAAAGTCTCTAATAAATGGTAAAATAATAATTTAGCATCCTAGTTTGTTAATATAAATGCATGATATTATTAGATAAAAACAGGTGTTAACCATAGTAATTACAGCGAAGCATGGAATTTATAGTAAGTATATAGTCTTTTATAAAAAGGATGAAGGAAGAAAATATTATTTATAAATAAAAACAATAGACAAGAAATTGAGTTAATGCTTAAATAAAATTCATAAAACATGCAAAAATACATATCATAGTTTAGTAGTAATATTATTAGGATATCACAAACTTAATAGAGAGTAATTTGAATTTAACACTTTTAGATTGTTAAAAAAAATTTGTTTGATTAAAACAGTAGTAATTGATGTAGAGATGCATAGATGGAGGCAACAAAGCAGAAAAACAAATGAAATCAATTTTAAAAAATCTTCAAACTCTTTCAGATTAAATATTTGAATAAAAGAAAAAGATATAAGTTGACTAAAAATCGCATATTTCCCAAATATCTAATTAGTCATCGGATTATTTTAAAAGCGAAGTAAGTGGCTCAGGAGGGGACTCAGAAGATATGTATTAAAATATTTACAAACTCTATTAATCTCACAAAAAAAGTTTAGAATTAATTTTTTTTCAAAAGCTAAAGGCATATTTTTGTAATAACTTTTAAAAAAAACAAGTTAAGCAAACATGCAGGTCATAGATTACGAGTAGGAAATGGTCAAGCAGAGGCAAGTGGAATTAGACAAAATTTAATAGTAAAATTAATTCATTAGATAATATTTTTAAACAATTTTAAAATTAATTTTACCATGATATTATAAAATGATAAAAGGAAAAACAAAAAAATTAATTGAAAAGCAAAAATTATTATTCAAAAAAGTAATTCAAAAAAAAATAAATGAATGGAACAAATAAAAATATTTAGTTTGTTTATAAATTTTAAATACTTAAAAGAATTGAAATAAATATATCATTCATTTTTATTAAAAATTGATAAGAGCTCTTAAATATAAGTAGATTGAAAATATATAATAATCCAAAAAAACTCTTAGAATATAATAAAATTTAGGATAGAAATAAGAAATTAGTTGTTTATTCTAAAAAAAATAACCAAAAATAGTTTTTTAATTGAAAATATTAAGAATAGAAAAATAAAAATTATTTATTCTAAAAAAAACTAGAATTTATACAAATTTATTTTGAATGATAAGCAAAATAAATAAATAAATTTTTTGTTTGAGCTCATTCATAATTACTTTTTGATAATTTCTCAACTCTTAAATATAAGTAGATTGAAAATATATAATAATCCAAAAAACTCTTAGAATATAATAAGATTTAGGATAGAAATAAGAAATTAGTTGTTTATTCTAAAAAAAAAATCCAAAAATAGTTTTTAATTGAAAATATTAAGAATAGAAAAATAAAAATTATTTATTCTAAAAAAAACTAGAATTTATACAAATTTATTTTGAATGATAAGCAAAATAAATAAATAAAGTTTTTGTTTGAGCTCATTCATAATTACTTATTTGTTAATTTCTCAAATAAAATACTTTTATTTTAATATTAAAAGCTTTTATTTTGAGATTTATACCAATTATACGGAATATAAATTCAAAAAGAATTTTCATGCAAAAATGTTTTTCTTTTATTTATTTTTGGTTAATTAAATTTTTATATTTTGGAAGAAAATATCAAGAGAAAATGGAAATAATTTGAGAATATAAGAGCAATTTTTATATATAAAAATTATTTAATAGAGGAGCACTCATAATAATCTTAAAAATTTAAACATTTCAATTTAAAATATGAACATAGATTAGTCAACAACTTAAATTCCATGATGATTTAGCTGTTTGAAATGATCAAAGAATAGGGAAAATGCTTAAGTACAAAAAATGGCATTAATTAGTTTTTTAATTTATAGCTTTTAATTGAAAAGATCTTATTGAAGAAAACATAAATCAGATGCACGCATAGGTTAAAGGAAGCAATTATGTGACAAACAATAGCAGTCAGTATAGCGATTAACTGAGTGATCAACTGCTAAGCAAAAGAGATTTAGAATCTAATCAATCTGAAACTTTTACAACACCTTAAAAAAAAAAGAAATCAAAGAAGTAAGATTTAAAAAAAGAAAGAAGGAAGGAAGGATATTCTTTCTTTTTATATTGAATTTGTTAGAATATTTAGAAAATTTTAATTAATAAATAAATAAATAGGATGTGGTATATTATAATTGTATTATTGATTATCACTGGAGTCGGAGTAGGCATTTACTTTGGCGTTTCTTGATATTTTATATAATAAAATAAAAAAAAAACCAATTTAACAAATGCATAAAATAAATTAATATAAAAACGAAGAAATAAATAATAATTTTATTCAATTAATAAAGCAAACAAGTAAGTAACAAAAAATATGTATATAGTTCATTTAAATAGATATGTTATTATATTTATTCTGTTGATTTTTTCTATCATAACATAATAATTCTTTATTCTAAAAGATGTTTAATTAATTAAAAATAGCATGACAAACAAACAAAAGAAAGAAAGAAAAAATTTGTTTTTTTCCTTTTAAAATAATAGACTCTCTCTTGTTTAAATAATAAAACACTTTTATTTTTTGAGAGAAAATCCATAGAGACAGAAATAAGATAAACATTGAGCAACAAAAAAAAATTAGGAAAAATTTCATAATTAATTTTTTAAAAGAAAAAGATTTATTTCAAAAGATAATATAAGTAAATTGTGAATTACTTTTTAATCATAATTGATCTCGATAAAGTATATTAAGAAATTTTATATACTTAAGAATTACCTTAATAATAATGACAGATATGGTGGTTAAAATTCCTCGTAAACCCAAAACAAAATACAAGTGTACTTGTGGAAAATAATATGATTTAAATTCTACTTTAAAAAACCATATAAAATAAAAGCATAACAACGATAAATCTTTTTAAGTTAATAAAGGGGACAGAGGTAGACCTCCTAAATAATCACCAGTATTCTACTAAATTAAAGATGGCTTTGTTCCTGAAATTCAAAAATTACATCAGATTGCTATTTTAATATTAAAATCAAATTAAAAATTCATCAATAACATAAATCTTGATAACATAAAAAATCAAATAAATAGCATGAACTAAGAAATTGACACATAAGTAAGTTTAATATAAATGGATGAAGATGCTTTCTATTGGTATAATCAAAGTAAATCATTCTTTGATACTCATTTTAAATAATTATACGAATCTTTTAATAATTCAACTTTGAACTAATTACTAAAAGCTTGTTACAGTCTTTCCTTATTGAAATTCAGAAATTAAAAGGAAAAAATCATTGAATAATTTATTGAAAAAATGAAGGAAATTTGATCAAATCAAATCAACCCAACAGATTATTTTCTTGATTGATTGATTTCAACAAATAAATTTTTTTTGATTGATTAAACTAGATTTTAATGTGTTTCATGCTAAAAATAGTATCATCGCAAATTAGCTATCAGTCAATTAATCAATCAAGCTTGCAAGCAAATTTTTTCTATTTATAGAAAAGAGTCGCAACAAACAGAATGCATCGTTACTGAATAATTTACTATTTCTTTTAAAAAATATATAACTTAATTAATGCAAACCCTCCAATCAATTTAATTAAAAATTTTGTTAATTAATAACAGTTAAATAATATCTTTTTAGGTTTTTAATAAATAATAATAATAATATATTTTAAAAACCTTTTTACTGAATTTGTAATCATTATTTTCACCCTAAAATTTATATATAAATTTGCAAAGAATTTCAAAGATAGCCTTAATAGTTTGAAAATAGAAGAAAAATAACTTATAAAAACTGTCAGAAATTAAAATAAAAACAAAAGGTTGTAAGAAATAATGTGAAATTAATTGTAGGGCTCTAAAAATTAATTATTCAATAATTTACAATTTTCATTTAATTAATAATAAGAAATTCAAAAATCAAAACATTGACTTGTCGTCATAAGTCTTAAATATTGATTAAAAATATCCCTGCCTTTAACAATCTCGCAAATTAAAAATCTATCTTAAACCTTTCTTATTCAAAAAAAATAATCATCTACCTACCATTTTGTTGATGAGAACATATATTAATCACAAGAGAATTCATATATATTTATTTATGTAGTACTATCATATATATATATCAGTGTAGAAAAATTAAATTGATAAATGAAATGAATTAAAGAGTAATTTAATTATTAAATTTATAGGTTAGGTTAATTGAAGTAGACTTATGAGTAATCTACATGAGTTATCGAATTCTGTTTTTTTGTTTCTAATTATATCAATTTTTAATTTAAAAGTTGCTATCTACTTTCATAGATTTATCTATTTTATTTTAACCCCTATTATCTAATAAAGACTAATTTTTTTTGATCAAATTGTTAATAGAGGATATTTTAAGAAAGCTTTTATTTGGAATAGATGAAAAAAACATACTTTAATTAAATACTAAGAATATTTTAAATTTTAGATAAATAAATAAATAATTTTTAAAATTTTACATAAAAAAAAAAACACCTCAAAGCCAGTAAAAATAAATATAGAGCAAATAAATACCTTAAATTTAAAATTGAAAAAAATGATCGAAACTAAAAAGTAAAATAAAATGAACGAAGAAGAAAATCTCGTTTTACCTTAATTCGGATGCAAATGTGGCTTAGAATATTCTACTTTGTCTAGTTTGTCTAATCATATTAAGATGACCCATAATAACAATGCCGATGAATGGAAAATCAAGAGAGGAGTACCTGAAGGTAGAAGACAAAGATTAAACCCTCTTGTTAAAGAAAAAATAAAAAATTTCATCTTGAAACATGAAGTCTTAAAAAATTGCTGCGGAAAACTCAATGCAAGTCAATGCAGAGGGATTTTCATGTAAAACATAAAATATATTGAAGAATTAATAGAAAAGCATAATCTCAACAAATAACAAGAAATTATCCTTTAAAAAGAACATATAAAATTCTAAGAGTTGTGGAATGATATTGATATTAGCTAGATTTAATTCTAAACTCAATAATATCTCAATGCATTTTGCACTGTCTTTTTTAACGTTCAACCATTTATTGTTAAAAAAGAAGAAGAACAAGAAATAGAAGAATAGAAACAAGAAACGATTTCTATTGATGTCAAATCCTTTAACTTCTACAAAGACCTTATTAAAAGTAACAAACCCTTAGAAATCACAAAGGAATAAAAGTAGAAAAACTATAATAACAGTCTTAGCAGCTCACCTTCACACTCTAGCAGCAAATTCTAAATCGATTCTTTTGCAGAAAATAAATAAAATGAAAATTAAATTAAATAATGTAATCAGCTTTAATCTAATAAAGAATAAGCTAATTTCTCCTCATCAACCTCCAATTCTCCTTCAGAACAGTCTTACTTAATTAAAATCCATAGTTCTTTGAACTTAGAACAAGATTAATATATGCGCAACTTCTTCAACAACTACTTACTTAAACCCAATCAAAAGAACTGAAAATCAAGGCTTTATTTCAAAATATTTCTAAACGATAACATAAATTTATATAAAAATTAGTTAAAGTCCCATTTATATTACATAAATATTTATTTTCTCTCTATCTCTCTCAAATAACTATTATGCATAGAAAAGAATGCAAATTATGGATCAGAATAAATTGGTATTGTTAGTGACAATTAAAAATAAAAAGATCAGATCGACACAAGAATAAAAAGCTGGCTAGAAAGAACAATAGACTTTATAAGATAAGAATTTACTATAATTAATACATTTTAACAAGTTTTTCTATTACCATTACTGCTATTGTCTATAGTATAAGATAGAAAAGAGTCCTAATCAATCAATTAATTAATTGTCTCAAATCAATCTCTTCATAAGGCAGACAATATATTTAATTTTTCTTTTATATTTCTTTGTCTAATCCTATTTCTTAATCTTAATCTGTGGCTCTATTGAAATGCCTAACAAATCTAACAAATTTTGTCACTAAAAAGCCGTCAATTAAAGGAATCGATTTAATATGCTGTAAATAATCAAAAACTCTCTTAAATAATATAATTAAATATATTAAAAATGTATGTATTTATGTATTCAAAAATATATTTTTCATTTCATTTTTCAATTTCTATATTAAATATAAATATTCTTTCAATCATTTTCACTTTATTTTTTTCATTTTTATTGATTCTCACATGCAATCAATCAAACAAACACATATTTATTTTATAAAACAATTTAAAAATCTTTCTTACAATTTTGAAGGAAAAATCTAATTAAATTTAAAAATAAAATAGCTTTTTTTTCTCAAATAAACATTTATTCTATTTAAAATCATCACAAATTTTTGAGAATATTCATTTTTATGAAAATATCTCTCAAAAAAGGCAAAACCTAAGAAAATTAAAACACTTAATTCTCATCATCTAATGCAAAAAATTAATGTAAAACTTGTTAATTATTTTCATTAATCTGAATTTCAATTTGAGAAACAATTATAAAAATGTTTTATCTCAATAAAATTTAATTATATAGAAAAGTTAGATGCAATAAAATTAGATATCTATAGGTTGATTGATAGATGGATGATAGATAGATATCTTCATGTTTGAATTTTTTAGCTTTCCCATTATATACCTTATTTACTTAAAAACAGAGCAAAAACAAACAAAAAAACAAACGATAATTAATTACAGCAAATATGAAATCTTTGTAAACTAAAAACATAACAAATTTTTTTAAAGAAATATAAAGATAGATAGATAGCATGCATATCCTAAGATAGTAACTCTAGGCATAGTATTTTTAAATAAACAAGAAAAAGGGAGTTCTATTATGCTTCAATAAAATTTGATTAGAAAAACTAGTAAAAACTAGTCTTAATAAATAAAATAATAAAATTTACTCATTATAAAGCTTTAGTATCGAATATTATACATAAAAGTTATTGAAGTGGCTACTAACAAAAAATTCAAATGTTTTATTCTGAAATTTATAAGAAAATAAATCTGAGCACTTGAAGAAAGATAGATTAGCAAATATCAAAAAATATACTCTTTTTCTCAAAATCAATAAGATTTCTAATGATGTTATTATCTAAATAAATTTAGCCTTCTACCTAAACCTTATTAAATATAATAACTACAAATAATATTCAAATTACCTACCTATTCAATTAAAATTTCATGTTACTCAATAATAAAAACAATAATCTCAAATCAAATTAATTTCTCAAACCAAAAACCAAAAAATGTAAAATTATCTATCTATCTATCTATCTATCTATCTATCTATCTATCTATCTATCTATCTATCTATCTATCTATTAACAAGATTAATTCAATAAAAAATCCTTTATTTGTTAAATATTAAAATTTTTCTGATTTTATTTTTGTTAAAACTAGCTAGGGATAAATGATAGATATTATAAACTTTATGTATTTTTTTGATCATAATAAGAAGTAATAAAAAATCCAATTTTATATTCAAGCTTAAAAGAAATAACAATTATGAATTATAAATAAATAAATAAATAAATATTTTGATTATATTATAATATCCTTTTTATAAAAGTAAATTAAAAACACTTAAAATTAAATTCTACAATTATTTCAAATTACTTATTCCCTATTTTATTTTCATTTTTAAAAGATAAATGCCATTTATTTTTTAATTAGTAAAAACATATTTTATTCTTTCGTTAAGAAAAATTAACGAGTACAAATATCTTAATCTTTAATAAAGAAATATAAATAAGTGTTGGCTTTTATATATTTTAATTTTACTTTTTTCTTTTATAATTGTCTTCAATGATAATTTAAATGCCATAATATATATGATAACATTTAAAATAATTCTAATTAAATGTGTTCAATAAATTTTAAGCAAAGTGATTATATTTATTATTTTTAAAATTTCCATTTATATTTTAAATAGTATTGAAATCTTTTTATTTTTTGTTTTTATGATGCTCTTTGATATTTTTAATTTTCTTTTCAATTGTAATTTATTTTTTCATAAATATTTTGAATAAATTATTTTATTAATATTTTATTTAATCATGATTTAAACCAAACAAGAAAACAAGTAAATAACTAAATAAACAAATAATTTATATTATGCATAATTTTCCTATGTTAAAAAAAAATTAATTTTGTTGGATATTTTTTGAAAAATATTTAAAATTAAACTTATTTCATAAATATTTTATTGGACAATTCAACAAAATCAATTTAACATTATTCAAGAAAGTAATATTTAATTGTGTTGATTTTATTAAGATATAAAACGAGTAATTTTAGGGATTGGCTTATGTATTTATTTATTATTTTCTACTTAAATCAGTAAAAGAAAATAATTAAATTTATTATATTGGTTTTGTAATAATATATAAACAATTTGCAAGATAAATAATAAATAAATAAATAGATATTGCATTATTTTTTAAATTTAGTAATAAACCATTTAAGCTTAATTGAAATAAGAAAGAGAGGAATTTAATGGCTTCTGTTGAAAATCTATCAAGGGGAGAAATGGTTTAGTGGATAAACGAGGTTCTCAAAGTAACTATAAATTTAAATTTTGTATAAAAAAAAGGATAGATAATTAAGCATATTAAAGTTAAATATAACAAAAATAGAATGCTTTGGGACTGGAGCTATAGCATGTCAGTTGATTGATTGCATTCACAATAATAAAGTTCAACGTATTTTTACTAATATTCTAATTCATATTTAACTTATCCATTTTTATGTAGTAAGTAAAGTAAATTGGAAAGCAAAGCTTGAATATGAGTTTGTCAACAATTTCAAAGTTCTATAATAGTCATTCACTAAGATAGGAATTAACAAACCAATAGATGTATTCATTCGCTTTTTCTTATACAAAAATAATAAACCAAATAGATTTATAATAAATTTTTATTTTTTGTTTATTAGGTTGAGAAATTGACAAAGTGCAAATATTAAGACAATTTAGAGTTTGCACAATGGATAAAAAAGTATTTTGATTAAAATGGAGGAGCTAAATAACTACAAGAATACGACCCAGTTGGGAAAAGGGGAAATATTGAGGTAGATTTTAGCTTTATTGAAGGTAAAAGCAATGCTGGAGCTTCAACAACAACTACTATAAATTCAAAAGATTCTAATATTCAGGGAAATAAAGTAAATTAAAATAGAAAATAAGTAGCTCCTAGATAAGCGACGAGTATCATGATTTCCAATGAAATTTCCAATGATTTAAATAAATCTCAAACTCTTTATGAATAGAAAGAATAAAAGGAGCAAAATAATTTTAACTACAACATTAGGGGTTAGAATTAAATCTATGAAAGTATAATAGTTAACTAAAGAAAATCTAGTAATTCATCCAACTCTTCAGCATAGAGTAAACCTTTTAACAAAAATATGATAAAAAATGTTTAAAGTTCATATGAAATAAACAGTGTGTATAATAATAGCAATTTCTTGTTACCTATCACAAATAATAATTACAATAATAACAATAACAATAACATTAACAACAACAACAACAATATTGTGGTGAGTAGCTATAGCGATTCAAATGCAATTAATTAAAAATTACAAGAAGAAAGAGAGTTCTATTTTAGCAAGCTTAAAAATATAGACCATCTTCTTGAGCTTTATGAGGAGTTAAATCTTGGAGATGAAGTAGATGAATTAGTTTTTAAAATAAAAGATATTCTCTATTCTACTCCTCAAGAATAGGTTCAAATACAACCTGATTCTAATGTTTTAATTACCTAAAAATAAGAACAGAAAGAAAATCATGACAGAAAAATATTTATTTCAGAGTACGTGGACTAAGTTGAAGAGGATAATAATTGAAATATTTATTTATAACAAAACAAGCAATCAAGCAAGCAAACAAACAAAATAAAAATATTCACAATTTTTGACTTATTTATTTCCTTCTATATAAAAATTTTATATAAATAATTATTAGTATTAAATTCATATAATTAATATACATTTGCAAGGTCAATTTGGAGTAGAATTTCAAAAATTTCTTTTGCAATTGATTTTATTGAGTAAAATAATTAAAATTAGTTTTTAGTATAATTAGAAATAACTCTTTCTTTGTTAAAGAAAAAGTAATTAAATAAATAAATAAGTAAGTAAGAAAGTAGTTCAAGTGCTTTATAAAATTTCATTTTATTGAATTAATTCCAGTTTTAAAATTAATTAATTGCTTATTTCCATCAGTAATTTGATTAATTAAATATTATTATTAGCTTGGTTGGTTGGTATATTAGGCTAAATTTAAAACAATTTTCTTTGTTCTCTATATTCTGTTAAACAAAAAATTGAAATTAATTTAATATAATAGTAATAAGTTATTTAATATTTTCCAAAAAAGTTATCAAAGCTATGCAAAATAATAATAAAAAAATCAATAGCATTTTAATATAAAATAACATTTCAACAAAATTCATTTAAAAAATAAATTTAAATAATTGATTCTTTTATTTTAAGTAATAATGTAAGTTATTCAAATGATATCATAAAAAAAATAATTTAAATGAATTTCATTTTTATTGGATTAATTTGAAATCTTAAAATTAATTTATAGTTTTTTATTTATTTCCTTAATTTCATTAATAAAATTTATTTTTTTATCATCCAGTTGAGTTGTTAATGCTAAAAACAAAAACAATATTCATTCTTTATTTAGGTTTTATTTACTGACTATAAAAAATTTTCTGAAATATTATTCAAGGTATACAATAAAAATCAATAAAAGTGGTTATTTGATATTTCAATAATTATAATTTAAACTAATTTTATGCATTAATTATTTTTTATTCATTAATTATCTCAGTTTTCATCGTTTAACTTATTTGAAACGGCTCCCTTTAATTAATTAATATTGAGAAAATATTATAGAAATTATTAACATTAATTTAAGAAAGTTTTTTGGTTACCTTTTTACAAATGTATACAAAATGAACATTTGGAGAGTCCTTATCTTCACTAGTTAGTTATATAGAAGTGCTGATTGTAGGCTTGTGGACTTACTCTACTTGAATAGTCCATCCATATTTTGGCTATTTAAAATAAAGTTATTAAAGCTTGTTTTTTAAAAAAATAAATTAAACTTACCTTATCTAAATAGAGCATTCTATGGTCTGGTTAGCCATATGAGATGCAAATATATACACCTGTAGGAGTCAAAACATTAGATATATTAGTCAAAGCCTTTTATGCATTTGTAGCAGTATTTTCACCACACTTTTTATCAAAATAATTAAAATTAGTTCTCAATATGATTAAAATGCATTTATTTTTCTTACTAAAACAGAATCCAAAGTTCCCTTATCGAGCACAATATCATATGAACCAGCTGGAAAATCCATGTTTTTTACATCCATGCATAAATCTAAGTTTATTATAAAAATAAATAAAATGCATTTCAAACAAAATATAACAAAAAATCAGGTAGATTTTATATATTTTCTAAAATAATCTATCTACACTTCATATTTGGTCCCTTATCTTTGTATTTTTCCTACATTGCTTTGGTAACAACTTATGAAATATCTATATTAGTAATATTTTGGTAGCCTTCATCAAACATTTCCTCGCTCATTCCTAAATATTTATTAATGGTCAAAATTGTTAATGAGGTTTTTAAACAAATCTTTATTAATTTAGCAATTCAAAGAAAATTATACTAGAATTTCCAGCTCCGATGTTCAATATTTTGGACTCAGGAATTAAATGAGGCACAATAAACTATTTTACTCCTGAAAAACGCTAATACCAATCAAAAGGCTCTGGATCTCTATAATTTAAAACAAATATTTATAACTATGGAGTATTTATGAGCTATTAGTTGAGAAAAATAGGAATATTGCATGCAGAAATAATAAAAATACCTTGTGTAACGCTCTTCCCAGTAATCAATTTTACCATATTAACTCATTTTATTGAAATTCTACTTGCTAAAATATTATTATTATTTTTAAAGAAAGCTTTTTGTAGTTTAATAATTTAAATCGTTTAATAATTATTTGATTTTTTTTGAAATTTGATGAATTTCTGCAATTTAAAATACAAGTACTAATTAATATTTTATAGATAGATATATATTACATCAAGATATTTTTTAATTAATATACCAAACAGTTTGTTTCTATTTAACTGGACTTGCTTTCAGGTTTCTCTAAAAAGAAAATAAAAATGTCAATGAAAAGCAATTTTAATAGCATTTCTAATTCTAAATAATAAAAAATAGAAATGAATGAATGAATTAATAACAATTAAAACGAAAATTTTGGTTGGAAATTAAAAATAAATGCAGGGAAATATAATTTATATAAGATAAAGTTAAATACAAGTAATTTATTATGATTTTTATTTAATTCAATTGTCCTATTTTTCTAATTTAAACGAAAAATGTTTTTCATTCATTTTAACTAATATAAAATATTTTATAGATAGATATATAGATATATATTACATCAAGATATTTTTTAATTAATATACCAAACAGTTTGCTTCTATTTAACTGGACTTGCTTTCAGGTTTCTCTAAAAAGAAAATAAAAATGTCAAAATGAAAAGTAATTATTTTAATAGCATTTCTAATTCTAAATAATAAAAAATAGAAATGAATGAATGAATTAATAATAATTAAAACGAAAATTTTGGTTGGAAATTAAAAATAAATGCAGGGAAATATAATTTATATAAGTTAAGTTAAATACAAGTAATTTATTATGATTTTTATTTAATTCAATTGTCCTATTTTTCTAATTTAAACGAAAAATGTTTTTCATTCATTTTAACTAATATAATTTAAGAGTTTTTTTTATTTATAAATATTAATATAAGATTAAAGAATATATTTGTTAGAATTATGTTTTTTATACTAAATTGTATTATTCCTTTCAAGAATAATACTATTGCTAAAATTGCTATTATTATGGTAAGTTTAAATTTTTTAGTTTTGTATTCTTCTTAGCTGTGCTTTGCAACTCATGCTTCATCTAGAATTTAAAAATTTTTGAGTTAGATATTTAAATTTTTTAATTTCACTTTATAATGATTACTTTATTTAAAATAAATAATAATAGAGTTTGAAAAAGATATTTAAATTTATAAAAGTTAGCTTTTGATAAAAATTCAAGGAACAAAATTTATTTTAACTTAAACAGTTCATAGCAAAAGAAAAATAGCCAACTTATTATTTTTGAAAATAAAAATAACTTCATTTAATGCGAATAAGTTTAGCAGATGAATGCAAGAAACCAAAGAAAATTTATTTAAAATTTTAAAAATGAAAATCTAAAAATTGATATTTTAGGAGAATAAATTATAAAAATTAGAATAAATATTTTTATAAGGGAATCATATCTTTAAAGTAAAGCTAGCTTACTTCGATGTAAGTCTGTTCTAGATCGTCATAAAAACTCTTTTTTTCGTTTAGTATCCTTGATCTTTCGAGTATTTCTGTTTACTTATTCATTTCTACTAACTTTTAGATGAGCCACATATTATCTGTTTCGAATTTATTTGTTACATAAATTAAGAAATCTGCATAAAAAGCAAGTTCTTCATTTAATCTCAGGAACTCTTATGAGTTAACTTCACTTTAATATTTAATTAACAGTTTTTCATATTTTGCACTGAATGTTTTCAGGTGCTGAAGGATTGTGCTTTTTTCTACTTAATCATCTGCATCTTTTTACTTTTGTTCTTCAATCTTTTGACTAAAAAATTCCATTTTTTGTTTATATTCTTGCAATATGTCAGAAATCGATGTAATCTTATCAATCTCATTTACATTCACTTTTTCAGTCAACTGCCCAACAACTTGCTTAATATTTTCTATCTAAAATTATTGCAATTATTGTATTTCTTTTTTTAAGTTATCATTTTCATTTTTTATCTACTTTATAATGCTATCTTCATAGCTTTTTTACTAAAATGGATCTGTGTTCGACTTTTATTTAGAATGGCTCAAAGATTATTCTATATACTGCTGAGTTGATTATTAGAATTGAGCCAACTACTTTTTTAGCTCCTCTTGATAATTTGTTTTAATGCTTGTCATTTCTTGAATCAGCTAATGATTTTAATCATGCAGCTCTTTAATTTATCTATGTAACTTTAAATTTTCAAATCTTAACTCCTCCTTATCATGTTCAATCCTAGTATAATTAAGCTTTGAATTCGCTAGATTTCTCTCCATAATGGTGATTTATTCTTCAAAGTATTCAAGCAAATCAATATTGCCTCCTGAAATAGAATAAAATAAATTTTAGATCAGCAAAAATTCACTTATGAAATTGAATAAATTTATACTTGCAATAAAATATACCTTGTATAATATCCTATCTTAGATTTGTTATCAAAGGTTGTACATCCGCATTTAGAATTACACTTTACAATATGGAAATATATGACGAATATAGATATTTGATGCTAGATTATTTAAGACTCTTCTATTCTTTTGATGTGAATGTCAATTATTTTAATGAATAATATTTATTTAAAATTTCTTTAGGTAATTCACTTTATTCTAGAAGGCTTTCTGCCACTGTTAGCAGATAATCATAAGTTAAATCCATTTATTAAACAAATTTTTGTTATTGTATTTTGTAATGTTTTCTGATTAATTACTCAATTTTTGTTATTAATTTTTATCACCTTAATTTTTTTTTTCTGTTAAAAATATTGAAAATCTTATTTTTTTTACCAATAGATTTAATTAACTCAATATATAAATAAATAAATACTTATAATTTTCTTAATTTAATATAACTATGATAGAATAAATTTTCTTCTACAAAATTAACATCAAAAATTCATAATTGTAATGTGTCTGTCTGTCTAAATATGCATTTAATTATAGAATGCTCATAAAATCAAATAATTTAATAATCTCAAAAATATATTTTATAAATAAATTTAATAAATTCGAATGAAAAATATTTTTTGTTTATTGTTAAGTTTTATAATTTTTGTTACCGTATATGCTGTAATTAAGGTGCATAATGAAATCAGCTTTAACTAAGAATTTAAGCACCTCAGATAATTTTTATAAACATAAAATGCTTATATATTCCTACTGAATCATTTAGAAAACATATATTAAAATAATAAAATCTTTAAAAATAAATCTTCAAAACAAGTCAAATAATTTAAACTTAAAAATATACTTACAGTTTTTAGTTATAATTTTGAGATCCATTTTTATCTTGTAAAAAAATTAATAAATTATTATTGCCAGTCATTTATTTATTTATTTATATTCAATCTAGTTCTTATCTATTTAAAATTAATTAATTAAAATCAAAAAGGAAAACCAAAAAGATTTTGTTATTAACTTACAATTAAATTAATATTGTTCTTTGAGCAAATATTACAAAATTTAAAGAATTTTTTCTTCATAAAGGTTAATTGTAGCTTAAATATGGCTATTTAAATTAATTAAGCATTAATAAAATGCCAGCTATATCTTTCTAAAATTATGAAAATTAATATTTTAAATCCTTTTAAATAAAAATGAATCCTGCAATATAAATAAATAAATTTGAGAAAAAGAAAATAAAATTCTAAAATAAATTAAAAAATGAATATATTAAGGGTTAGGATGGACTGAGTTTAGAATAAAATTTTTTTAAAAATTCATATTAATTCATAAATAAATTAAATAAAATTATAATTTAAATATTAAAATAAGCAAAGTTATGAATTGATAAAAGTACTCTTTTATATTTATAAATACTGCTTAATAACAATTTTAAATATATAAAAATATATTTATCTTTATACTTTTTAAATAAGCAGATAGATTAATTAATTGATAACTAAAAGGATAGATATATCAAACCAAATCAATCATTTACTCATTAATATACTTAAAGACTACAACAAAATTTCAGTATATAAATAATTGAATTATTCACAATTTAATATTTTATATTGTATTTATCTTTTTGTCAAAAAAACTGGCATTAAAAATTCTTAGGAAATAATAAAAGTGTTGGTGATTCGCTTAAACATCAATTAATTTCTTTTATGATAATGTAAAAGGAAATTATTCATTCAATAATCAAATAGTTATAATGAATATTTGCTATTTCATCTAATTATTTTGAATCTTTTTGAAATTTTTAATTAGCTTTCTAAATTTGTTTACACTATTAAAAAATTGGAAATAAATGAAAATTGATGTAATCATGAAAAAAACGATAATTAATTATTTGTTTTAATCAAAAAGTTAATCTTTTCCTATTATGTAGCTTTAATTATTTACTAAAAGATAAATATTTAATTGTTAATTTGTATTTTATTGATGTATCTATGATGTTATTTTTTACCTTAATTTTTATGGAATTTTGTTAATTAAATAAATAAATCACATAATAAGATATTTATTATCAATAACGAAAATTATAAATAAAAGTTTAAAAATATTCCTACATAGCAATTAATAATTATTGTTATGCTTAAAATAAGTTCAGTTTTATAATATTGAAAGCTGCTTAAGATATCCTTATTTATTGTTATTGATAAAAAATATTTTGGTGTTTATTCTTTAATCAAATATTTTGATTTTAGAAATCAAACTATTTATAATCGGTAATTTATTGTCTGCATCATTATTTTTTGAGAATAATCCTTTTAATACAAATTATTAAACAAATTATTGCATTTCATATTATTTAAATATAATTTGAATATAAACTCATATGCTTTAATTTTAAAAGAAGCAATAAAATATGTTTATTTTAAATATGTTAAAAAGATTTTAGTTATTTTTATTTTCTCTCTAACTTTTAAATAAAAACACTTATTTTTATTTAGTGATATATTTATTTTTCATTTAGAACAGATTTTACAAAAATAAATTTAATTTGGATTAACCTTTAATTAATCCCAGTTACTCAAAATATAATAAAACAAAATCCTGAATTTTTTTATATTTGAATTAGATATTTATTAAAGTAAGGTTGTTAAATTTTTAGGAAAATATTTTAATTTATAAAATAGACGATTAATAGCTGCTAATTAAGTAGATAAATATTCAAGAAAGAATTTTTTAATCAAGAAAAAATAAATATATTTTTATTTAGATTATGACTGAGGATTGATAGTTTTTGAATTAACAACTATTTGAAGAAATCACTCTTAAAAATTTTAATTACAATTCAAGATAATTTTAGAATTTATTAAATTAATTAGCGAAGTTACAGTTAAGCATATTTTTAATAATATATATCAAATTTATAATATTAATTTGTATAAATTCTTTTATAGCTTTCACAAATAAAATAGGATTTATTTTCCATTTTTGTAATTTATTTTTATAATAGCTATCTATATAAGTTTGTTTCACTAAAAAAATACTAAAAAACTGTTAAAAAATATATTATACTACCTGTTTTTGAGAATTGTTATCTTTTAATTAACATTCTATTGAAAAGGATATATCTGAAACTAATCAGAATAGATTAGTACTGGTGTAATAAGAAAGCATAAGAAATTTTTTGTTAAAATAAATTTCTTAAATTTGACAGATTAAAAAAGAAAAAAATAATAAGAAATCTATACTTATTTTCATATAGGTTGTATGCAATTGACTTAAAGCTTTAAAATAAATTTAAAAGTTTATGAATTTATCTTTTATGTTTAACTTCTTTATGAAAATAATTTATTTTATTTTGTTAATCCTATCAAAAACTAATAAATTTTATATCAAATTATAAATAAAGGTATATATATACTTAAATACGTTAAACAAAATCAATAATTAATTTGACCAAAAAAATATCAATAGAAAGAATTCAAAATGAGAATAATTCTTTTAATTTAAAAATCTAAGATGATCATTTCTATTAAATAATTTTTTTGAAAATTAATTAATCTTTTAATATATAAGCATTGGATGAACCTTATTTCAAATAAATCTCAGAGTTTTATGCCTCAACCTTAATACCTATTTATTTTTTCTTTTGAATTTATAGAGACTTTGAAATTTACAATAAATAAAATAACACACTAATTTTACATCTTTTTTATTTTTCTTTACTCATTTAACCTCAAATTAAGAATCATTTTCTTATCTGTAAAGATAATTTATTTTTGATTACTTTAATAACTAATTTTAGGTTTTATTACATGATTAGGGTATTTACTTTTATTGAACTATTGAATTTAGTATTTATCAGATTTTTTTCCAAATTTTATGATTACAACTAATGATTTTGGTAAGATTTCATCTTATTATTAAGTTTTTTACCTTAAAAATATGAGCTTTTCTAAAATAATAATTTATTTAATCCATATAAATTTCTTAAAAATTTATCTACTTTCATAAATAAGCTATTAAATGAATAAAAACAATTAGTCTTTGAATTGCACTACTTAAAATTCTTTAAGTATCAACCTTGCTAAGACCGATTCTGATCGTACTGTAAGCTCCTGTAGTACTTATTCTGATACCTCTAACTCAGGTTCAGGCAATTCTTTTATTGAAACTAAAAGACTATGGATGCTTCCTCTCATTTCTAGCATTACCTTTGGAGCTTTCTTTAATGTTTAATTTTAATCATTTATTAAGCAGTAGCTTATGGATTAAATGCATATGAACAACAATGATTACGCTTTGTTTGTACTTATTCCCACTATACCAAATATTCCTTTAGATTTGGTTATTGGTCCAATTCTTGATACTATTGGAGCTCGTTTGGGAATCATTATATCAACTGTTTTTGTAGCTATTGGTCTCGCAATTTGCATGATTTCTATTAGTTGTCACTCTTTCACAGGACTTATATTTGGAAAATCACTCTTATCTGTCGCTGCTGAAGCTCAAGGTATCGGACAAGGCTGTGTAGCTGGAAAATGGTTTACTCAAAAGGGTCTAGCCATGGTATTTACTGTCCTTAGTTTCCTTAACAAAGTTGCTAGCTCTTCTTCTGGTATCATTTATCCTAACCTTTATAACTCTTCTGGTAGCGTTATGACTCCTCTTGGAATAGGATTAGGATGTATTTTACTTACAATTATAGTTTCAGTAGGTATTTATATTTTAGACAAAAGGGCAGATGAATATGAACCAGCTAAAAATAATGAAAACTAGGTAGAAAAACCAAAGCTATAGTTTAGTGATATTAAAAAATATGATAAGATGTTTTGGTTTATTGCTTTGCAATGTCCACTTATGTTTGGAGCATTCTATTCATTCATGAATTACTTATAGAGCATCTTAATTACCAAATTTTTTATTGATAAAACGACTGCAAGTGAATTGGTTTCAATCCCATACTGGATTGCAATGACAACTCCAATATTCGGTATTTTAGCTGATAAATACGGAAAGAGACTTTATTTCATGTGTTGCACCACATTTTTATCTTTTCTTTCAGCTCTTATTTTGCTCCTAGTTCCTACTGGTGAAAACTATCCTGCTGTTTACATTTCTTTGATTATCTTTGGTGTATTTTTAAGTATGATGTGTTGCTTTTTATATCCAAACCTTCCACTCCTCTCTGAAAAATACTTACTAAGTACTGCATTTGCAATTTGCTATGCTACAAAAAACGCAGGCACTGCTATTTTGAATTATTTAGGAGGTTTGATAATGAAGAATGACAACTCTGGATATAACAACTTCTTGATAACATTTTTGTTTATATATTTAACAGCTTTCATAATTTCTATCGGAATCACATTATATGATCGTAAGCATGGCGGAATTATTAATTCCAATACTCCTTAACGCTATCTTGAATATATCAAACAAAGAAGAAATGGATCAACAATAAATTGAATAAAAAATTTGTCGTTTTTAATATATATAATTATTGAACTTAAAACCTTAAACAAATTTATATTTTATACAGTTTTCTTAAAACTGCTTATAAATAGTTGTTTTTTAAATTTAGTTTGTTTATTTATATGTATATGCTTAGAAAATTTTTCATATTTAGTAAATTCATATCTAAAAATATTTGAGATGTCCAAAATAATAATTTTTTACTCATTTATTAAATGAAATGTATTTTCGAAAATAAAAAATTTTCTTTAAAAATTATTTATTTATTTTCGAAAGATTTTAAATAAAAAGGAATTCTATAAAATAAATAAATTCTATATTAGGGTTTTTTTAAAATATCACATTAATTAAATAACAAATTTTTTAAATTTACAATCTTAATATTACAATATGTATTCAAAGGTATGAATTTAGAAAAGTATTACTTTCTATTTATGGATTTACTTAATAAAGACTCCAATTAATAAAAAGATATTTCACATTTATACTTTTTAGATAGGCATATATACAGACAGACAGACAGACAGACAGATTGATAGAAAGATAGAAAGCTTAATTACTTTAAAGAGATATAAATATAATCTAGCCAGTCAACCATTTTACACTCATTTATCTACTTAAAAGCATAAATAAAAACTTAAGTGTATTTTTATATTAAAATAAATAAGTAAACTATTTGCAATTTAATATTTTATACAAAAATGGAAGCCCACTTACTTACATTTTTTCAAAAAAACTCAAGGTATTAATCATTCTTAGGATTTAATCAAAATGTTGATATAATATGTAAACTCCAATTATAATTTTTGATGGGAGTGTAAATTATAAAATTCGACCATAAAATTATTAAAATTAATATTTGCTATTTCTCCATGTTTTTAATTCTTTGAAAATTATTAATTAGTTTTCCAAATATGTTTATTTACACTAATATATTTGAAATAAATTAAAATTGAATTAATCAGTCATAATAATTTATATAAATCAAAAAATTAATTAATTCTTCTTATCTAATTTTGATTATTTACTCAATATACCTATACAACTTTTATTGTATTTTATTGATTCATGATGTTACACTTTCCATTAATTATTATGGATTTTTGCTTTTTAAATAAATATATAAATCCCATGACGACATGATAATTATGATTAATAAGGAATTTAAAAAATAAAAGTTTAAATAAAAATACTCTAAAATTTGTAATTAGTCATAAAATATTATTATTGTTATGCTCTAAAGTTTTATAATTTTCTAAGCTGTTAAAGATGTCTCCTAATTTAATCCTACTAATGAAAAAAATACTTTGATATTTAACTATTGTTCCTCTTAAATCAAATTATTCATAGTCATCAATTTATTGTCAACGTCATTTGATTTTTTTGAGAATAATTCTTTTAATATAAAATTAGAAACAATTTTCTACTTTTCAGATTATTTAAATATAATTTGAATACAAACTCCTCTGATTTCATTTTAAAAGAAGCAATAAATTATCCCTTATATATGTTAAAAATATTTAAATAATTTTTATTGAAATAATAACATCTATTTTTACAATATTTTCTTGACATATAAATATTAAACTTTTCATTTAGATTAGGTGGTTTCGCAAAAAAATATTTATTTTGGATAACCTTTAATTAATGCTTGTTACTCAAAATATAATGAAAATAATCCTTAATGATTTTATTTTTGAATAATATTAATATGCTAAAGTAAGATTGCTAAGTTTTTCGAAAACATTTTAATTCATAAAATAGATTATTAATGTAAACACCTAATTAATTAATTAATTAATTAAATAAATATTAACCAAAGAACTTTTTATTTTCTAGAAAAATACATTTTTATTTAGACTTTGATTGATGATAGAAATATTTTGAAAAGCTTTTGGAGAACCACTCAAAAAAATATTTACAGCAATTCAAATTAATTTTAGGATAATAAATAAATTTGATTAGAAAAATAATTGTTAAGCATATATTTAATGATATATATGAAATTTTTAATATCTATTTTTAAATAAATTCTTTTTTGTATTAATAAATAAAATAAGAGAATCCATTTATGTAATTTACTTTTATCACAGTTATATATGTTGGTTGATTTCGCTAAAATAAATACTAAAGAAACTGATAAAAAAAATATCAGTTTTTAAAAAATTATTGTTTTCAATGGCCATTTTATCTTTCTATCTATCTATATAGATACATCTCAAAGTGAATAGAAAATATTAGAATTAGTGTGATAAGAAATCATAAGAAAAATTTTTGTCAAAACTAAGTTTCTTATACAATTAATTAACTAATTAAAAGAAAAAAAGGAAAAAAATATTATAATTTTATACTCGTTTTCAAATATTGACTTAAAAATTTTATATAAATTTAAAAGTTTATCAGTTTATTGTTTATGTTAGACTTATATTTGAGAATAATTTATTTTATTTTGTTAATCCAATCAACAGCTAATAAATTTTACTTCAAAAAATAAATTAAGGTAAATAACTAAATACATTAAACAAAAAATATACTTAATTTCAATTTATTAATATCTAGAATTCAAATTGAGAATGAATGACTGATTTTTTTATTTTATTTTCTGAGATAATGGTTTCTGTAAAATAAATTTTTTTGACAAATTTAATTAATATTTCAAAAAAAAAACAGCAATTAGGTTAGCCTTATTTCAAATAAATTCAAAGTTTTATGCTTTAACCTTATTATAATTAAAAGCTACTTCGAAATTATTACAATCTAAAAGTATACTAATGTGACAGTCTTTTTATTTGTCTTTATTTTTGTAATATCAAATTTAGAATTATTTTGCTGTTTAATGCTTTTCTGTAAAGATATGTTTATTATTGATTACTTTACTTACTAATTTAAGGTTATTTTTAAGATTAGGCGATTTACTTTTTACTAATTATTGAAATCTAAGAAATTATCAGATTTTTTCCCTTAATTTTAAGATTACTGCTAATCATTTATGATAAGCGTGTTTCTTATTAATAGGTTTTACCTTAAAAATATGATTTATATATTTTATAATTTTATTATAATTTATTTTATCCATATAAATTTCCTTAAAAGATAGATTACATACTTTCATAAATAAGTTAGTTATTTAATGAGTAAAAGCGATTAGTCTGTGAATTGTACAACTTAAGATTCTTTAAGCATCAATCTTGCTAAGGCAGATGATGATCGTACTGTAAGCTCCTGCAGTACTTATTCTGATACCTCTAACTCAGGTTCAGGCAATTCTTTTATTGAAACTAAAAGACTATGGATGCTTCCTCTCATTTCTAGCATTACGTTTGGAGCTTTCTTTAATGTTTAATTTTAATCATTTATTAAGCAGTAGCTTATGGATTAAATGCATATGAACAACAATGATTACGCTTTGTTTGTACTTATTCCCACTATACCAAATATTCCTTTAGATTTGGTTATAGGTCCAATTCTTGATATTATTGGAGCTCGTTTGGGAATCATTATATCAACTGTTTTTGTAGCTATTGGTCTCGCAATTTGCATGATTTCTATTAGTTGTCACTCTTTCGCAGGACTTATATTTGGAAAATCACTCTTATCTGTCGCTGCTGAAGCTCAAGGTATCGGACAAGGCTGTGTAGCTGGAAAATGGTTTACTCAAAAGGGTCTAGCAATGGTATTTACTGTCCTTAGTTTCCTTAACAAAGTTGCTAGCTCTTCTTCTGGTATCATTTATCCTAATCTTTATAACTCTTCTGGTAGCGTTATGACTCCTCTTGGAATAGGATTAGGATGTATTTTACTTACAATTATAGTTTCAGTAGGTATTTATATTTTAGACAAAAGGGCAGATGAATATGAACCAGCTAAAAATAATGAAAACTAGGTAGAAAAACCAAAGCTATAGTTTAGTGATATTAAAAAATATGATAAGATGTTTTGGTTAATTGCTTTGTAATGTCCGCTTATGTTTGGAGCATTCTATTCATTCATGAATTACTTATAGAGCATCTTAATTACCAAATTTTTTATTGATAAAACGACTGCAAGTGAATTGGTTTCAATCCCATACTGGATTGCAATGACAACTCCGATATTCGGTATTTTAGCTGATAAATACGGAAAGAGACTTTATTTCATGTGTTGCACGACATTTTTATCTTTTCTTTCAGCTCTTATTTTGCTCCTAGTTCCTACTGGTGAAAACTATCCTGCTGTTTACATTTCTTTAATTATATTTGGTATATTTTTAAGCATGATGTGTTGCTTTTTATATCCAAACCTTCCTCTCCTCTCTGAAAAATACTTATTAAGTACTGCATTTGCAATTTGCTATGCTACAAAAAATGCAGGTACTGCTATTTTGAATTATTTAGGAGGTTTGATAATGAAGAATGACAACTCTGGATATAACAACTTCTTGATAACATTTTTGTTTATATATTTAACAGCTTTTATAATTTCTATCGGAATCACATTATATGATCGTAAGCATGGCGGAATTATTAATTCCAATACTCCTTAACGCTATCTTGAATATATCAAACAAAGAAGAAACTAATAAGCCACAAATACAAATTGAAAAAAAAATTTGTATTTTTTAATTTATATAATTATTGAACTTAAAACCTTATACAAATTTATATTTTACACAGTTTTCTTAAAATAGCTTATAAAATGAGCAGCTCTTCTTTAAAAATATTTTATTTAATTATTTGAATAAAATTGACTTAAAAAAAATTAATTAATTTTAAAATCTTAAAAAATTATTTTATTTAAATTTAAAATGTTAAAAACTTTCATAAAGTATTTAAGATATCGAAAATAATAAATTTTCATATTCAAAAGCTCTTTTATTGAATGTTCTTTGGAAAAAAAATTGAGAACAAATTTTATTTAAAGATATTTTATTTGATCTCACCCAACAATCATAAATCAAACAAATATCATAATAAAAAATACTTCTATAGCTTACTTAATTTTTTAAATTTTGTGATATTTAAAAGAAATTTAATACATTCTTATATTACTAAAATAATTTGTTTTTAAAAAAATTGTTTAATCAGCTATTTATTGCTAAAACATACATCTTTGTATTTACAGTGCAACAAGTGTCATTTCAGAATAAAAATTAATATATAAACTCAATTAATTTCAAAGGCTTATATTCTCAATAGATAATATTTATTAGAAATTAAAAATAAAAAAAATGCTAAAATTTTCCATTTTTAAAAACATAAGAAGAAAATACATAATAGAAGATAAAAACTCTTTATCTCAAGAGTAAAGGATAAATGTATTCTATGAAGCTGACATAAAATATTAAATAGATAATTCAACTTTTTTCATATTTTATTTGTATGGGAAGATAAGATGTTATTTCTATTATATAAAATTTTGTATATAAAAATAAATAAATAAATAATTGAAATTTATATGATATTTGTCAATAATTATGAAAGTTATAATTAAAAATTCAAAAATATTATTAAACATTGATAAAAAAATAATTTGATATTTAGATATTATTTGTCTATTAATAAAAAAAATAAATAAATATTTAAAATTTTAATAAATTAAAATACTATTCTAATTCATTTATTCTTATATCATATTATTTGAGAATAATCCTTTTACCTTTAATTGAATCAACTTTTATTTTTTAAATTATTTAAATATTATTTTATATATTTTTCACTGATTGATTTTCAAAGCAAGCAAGAAAGAAAGAAAGCAAGTAAGAATTAAACTATCTTTTAAATATTGTTGAGCATCTTAAATAGTTTTGTACTCTCTAATTTATTAAACTTTCCTATAAAATATATATTTATAACATAATTTTTGCCATTAATTTGAATTCTATTTTTATCATTCAGATTGGATTTTGTAAAAAAAATAAATTTAAAATAACTTTTGGTTTATGATTGTTACTCTAAAAATAAAGAGAAAAATCCTGATCTTTTTATATTTTTTGAATAGCATTATTAAATTCTTTTGAAATGATTTTAACATATATAATATCTGATAAGTGCAAGTGTTAAGCAAGTAGAAAGAAAAGTATTTTATTAATCATAAATCATTAAATATCAAAAAAGAAACACTTTTTGCTTCTTTCTTATTTACATATTTCCTTCCTTTTGAATTAAATTTAAATTATTTATATCACACCACACACATTAGTCAGAATTAACTGCTCAATTTAAAGTTACAGGAAGGGAACATTATAAAATTTTTCTAAATTACAATTTTATCAATTAAAAAATACCATTCTTAAACTAAATTAATTAATATGAAAAATAATTATTTATATCATTTAACAGAATTAAAAGATTAAAATTATTCCAAAATTTGTTAATATGCTACTTTTTTATTTCCTAAAATAATAATATTCTCTCTTTTAAATATTAAAATTTTAATTTGCAAAAGTTTCATTTGAAATCAAAAGAAGTCATTCAATAAGTATTAACAATTAGACTGTAAATTTTTAATACTAAAAGTTCATTAAGTATCAATCCTGCGCAAGCTAAAGCTCATCACAATCAAAATTTGTATAGCACATACTCTGATTCATTTAAAACTGTTTAAATAAATACTTTTATAGAAAGCAAAACAATTTCAAACTCTCTCAGTATTTAAAAATTTAATGAATACTAAAATGCAATTTTCAGTAGGTAAATTTTTATAAAATTAATTTCATTTAAAAAATAGATAAATTTGGTTAAAAGTTTTAAAAGAATTCAACAAGGAAATAATTTAAATTTGTGAAAAAAGTAATGAAGCCCTTTTAAAAAAAAATATTTTATATTTATAATTTAGAAATTAATTGAATATATAAAGAGACATAAATTCATTTTATTAATAATATGTTTTTCATTCAAGATCTATTTTTGAAAGGTATAATTGTCTTGTAGATATTTAAGGTTTCGGTCTTACCAACTTATCCCTTAGAAATGTTTATGTACTTAGGATTTGAAAGACCGCAGATATGAGTGATTCTCTTAACTATGTTGGTAACTACTTAAACAACTTTGACTATTTTTTTGAAGATTTTTCCAAATAAGAGATTTCTCTTAAAGAGAGATTTGAAATCACATCTGAAATATCTATAATAGACATCTACTGAATATTCAAAGGGAATTAATTGAGCATTAATGTCCAAAGTGGCTTGGAATAACTTTCTGTTAACACCGAGGTTGAAGTTAAAGTAGCCATTAGCAACTGAACCACGAGCAGTAACACCACCTTCAGCTATTTTAAGAATAGAGATACCACCTTCGGCGTTGATAGATGGTCTAGCATAGGTTTAGAAGGAGATATTGCATATTTCAGAAGCGGGAGCTACATTGAAGGACCATCCCATCTAAACATTAATGTAAGCTCTAATAGGAATAGTAATAATACCAAGAATGGGGAATTAAACTTCAAATATTTTGAAATTCTTATCGAAGTTAGAGCCTGAGCCTGATTTGCTTGATTGGCAAGCTAACCAAGGATGATTTACTCTCAATGAGTAGAGATCAGTGACTTTTTTATCATTTAAGAAAATGGCAGCAGAAACATCAGAATAGATTTCATAATTTTCTTGAATAATTTTCATTTCTATAGATTGCTTGAAAATGGATTTCTTGAAAACACTGATATCCTTAGTGTAAGCGTAGATGGCACTAGCACCTAATAAGGGTTTGTCTCCAGTTTCTAGTTTAATGGTGTCGTTGTTGGAGTTAATATTGAGTAAACCTCCATCAGAAGCAAGATCAACAGTAGAAAAGGCGTTGTTTTCTTCGTATTTTCTGATTCCTTCTAAAAGCTCATCATCTGATTCTCTGACATGATTTACAACCATGCTTGATTCGATTTTAACGGAGATGAGACCGATCATTTCTTCATACTCTCCATTAGAATTGTTGATAGTAGGATCAGTAATATTGAAGTGCATAGCTTCTTCGTTTGAGTTAATAATACCTTAGTCGTTTACAACAGTAAGAGAGTTATACTTGACGTCAGGCTTGTCACCACCTAAATCGTAAGAGTAGTTAACAAAATCGTAATCGGTGTATTACTTTTAAAGGATGGTGTTTCCGCTTTAATCAACATTGAAGGTGTATTCTGCAGAAACTTCACCAAGATAGGTTTCTTGAGTTGGCAATTATTAAATTTCTTCAGCACTCATTTCTTGTAAAACTCTTCTTCTTCTGTTTTGAGAACTTCTTAAAGCATAAGGAGTGTTATAAAGAGCAGGGTCGAGTTCAGGGAAAGTTTGTTGAATAAGTCTTTCAGTTAATCTAATGGTGGTATCTGGTTATTCACCGTTAGGGGATTCTAAAGATAAAAGAGTACCTTTAGTAGAGATGGTAGCCTTAAAGACTAAGTCGAGTTCATCCATATAACCATCATAGGTGTTTTTTCCATCATCAATCATTTCATCAACAGTTTCTAGTTTGGCAGCAGAATCAGTTTTTTATTCATCAATAGACTTGTAAAGAATGTAAACTGAGAGTTGATCTTAAGAAATTCTCTTAACAACAATTTCTTGCTCTGTTGTGTAAAGAGTGCAAACATTTCTGAAAGATTCTTAATTCTAATCGAATTAGTCAGTGCAGATATTCATTTTACGAGTTGAGTTGATAATTTAGGTTTTTTCTTTGGCATTGTAAGCTAAGTTTACAATGTACTAGGTCTTGTTTTCACTGCTGCCAGATGCTAAGAGGACATAACCTAAGCAAGCAATTACAGCCACACAAACAAAAGCTACTAAAATTTTCTTAGATTTGTTCTAAGAAGATTATCTTTGTTATTCCAAGTTAAAGTATTACATTTGTGAAAATTCTTCGTTTGATTAGTTTTTCTAATTAATTATTTAAATTTATATTATTTGATTTTGTATTTTAATAACCAACAATAAAGTTTCTATTGTATGTGATTAAATCTAAAAGCGGCAATTTAATTATAAAAGATTTTTAGTTTACAGTGTTTCAATATAATCTATTAAGAATTGATCATTAAAAACATAATTTGGATTAAATTAAAAGTTAAATAATCATCACACATTCTTACTAGCCCTTATTTTGTAAGTTAATAAGGAGGAATTCTTCAAATTTTAATCCATCGAAAAACTCTAAATAGAAATGTAAATTTGCCTAAAATATGATAGATAAATCATCTAAGACCAATTAAAAAAATGTGTACATAATAATATCAAATAAATAAATTTAGTTTTATATCAAAAATGAATAAACTTTTATCAAATAAAATTTAACTTGAAAAATACAAAAGCAATTTATTTATATTCAAAGTTATTTATCGTGTTTATTTATAATAATCAATAACAAAAACAAAAACAAACTAAAATTAGAAATTTAGCAAGAAGTAAGCTAAAATATTCAGGTTTTTTAGAAAATATTTTAAACTTGAGAGCCAATTTTACATTTTAAAAGATAAATATTGTAGTCAAATAAATATATTAAGAGTTGCATAAGAAAAGCAGTTTTGCTTAATTTGAAGGAGCAGTCTTATTGTAAACAATGTAAGGGATAAAATTTAATAATTTTTTTTTTTGATTTATCTTTGTAATAACTTTAAAGCAAGCAAGCAAATACAAATAAATAGATAAATTAACAAAAGCAAATCAGTCATTAACTTAATAAAATTTAGTTTAATTTAATCTAAAGCAATTGGATCCCCCTTTCTAAAAAAAATAAATAAATAAATATATTTGATTTATTTCTTTATATTTGTAAAATTGTTAAAATATCTTAAATAAATATTTTTCATTAAATTGTAATTTAATAGAACTTTTTCTTATTATTCTGTTCCCTTATATTATTTCTATTTAAATTATATATATATTTATTTAAAATCTTTAAAAGCACAATTAAAATCTTCCCAATAAAATATTTATCTCAAAGAAATTTGATTTATTAATAAGATATATTTACTTTTTAAACAAACAAGCAGCTTTAATACAGATTTTACTATTAAAATCAAAAAATCTGTTTAAAGATATAAATATTAATATTATGCGTAGAATATAAAAATATAAATCACGAAACTTCTATTTAAGAAAACATAAACATAAAATACTGTCAATCTTCATTAATTAAGGCTCTGTTATATATATATATTCTTATATTAAAATTTATCATCAAAAAAATTTAGCAGCAAGGATTTGAAGGGGGAGTAAGTGAATTAATGAATATTGATAGTATATAATATAGTTGTACAAAATAATTTGTAATTTAAAAGAACTAATCTAAAATAATAATAAAAGGATTCATTTTTATATTTAAAGCTTAATTTCTAAGTTAAGGTTAAATAAAATAAATCAATAAAGAATAGGCATAGGCAGATATACAGATTCAAATGATTGAATTTTCTAAAAATTTTTAAATTTAAAAAACAATAATAAAAATCAAATATGATAAAAAACATGCAATTCAATTTAGATTAAATTTTTCATTCAAAATTATATTTTCCTTACCTAAATTAATTCTTGAATGAAGCAAGCAAATAAATAAATAAACTTCTATCAAAAATAAAAGAAAGAAAGAATATTTGCATTAAATTCTAACAAATAAAGACTTATATTTTTTAATTTTAGATTTTTAGTAAAAAGTTTCTAATAAGCTACTAAAAATGCAGTAAAATTTAGTGTAAATAAATAGAACCAATATAAATAAAAATAAGTAGCAATTTATGTTAAGTTAATATCTTTTTTTTAAAAATAAATACTTAAAAATCAAATAAGTTTAAATCTTATTTTATATTTTTATTTAACTGAACCAAAATGCATGTTTGATTAAAAATAAGCATTAAAGTAAATTATTTAGAATCAATTTTTTAAACTTATAAAGAAATTAAATTAAACTTATAATATATTTTAATTTAACTTTAGAATAATTAAACAAATAAATGTTAACATTAAAATAAAAATTATTATATAAAAAAGTTATTACATTATAATATTTTTATCTAAAAAATTAGAAATTAATTATTTAATAATTCAATTTTAGTTACCTGTTATTAAAATTAAATTTATTAAGCATCATTAAAAATTTAAATAATATTTTCCTTTATTTCTAAATGAATGATATACTATCAATCCTCACTAATTAAATAAGGAAGTAAGTAAGTAAGTAACCAATCAACCACCCCTACCTACTTTTCTCCTTCCAAAATGTATCATATATAAAAATCTTTATTTGAGGTTTTAAATTAAGATATAGTCTTATTTCAAAAAAAATTATCTTATTCATAATTAAATTTTTGCAAAAAAATTGTTATACCTTAATATTATTTTGTCTTTATTAATTATGATTCATATGGTATTTAATTTTTTTTTGAGAATTTGTTTTACTTCTTATACCTTACTTGCTGCTATTAGAATTTCAAAATTTCATTTAAATAAATAAAATTTTTTAGCTCTAAATTTTGATAAATTTAGTTACTCAATCATAACTACTGAATTTTGTGAAAGCAAACTAAAATAATTTTTAACCTTAAAATTGCACAAAAAGCAAGTAAAATTTTTATTTTTTTTAAATTTAAAAAGTTTAAATTGCTTTCTAATAAATAGCTTTTAAGACATTAAATTAAAACTCTACTTAAATATTTTTTTATAAAAAAATAAGAAAGAAAATTATTAGCTGAATTATAAATTTTATGATACCTTATTAATTTTCAATTTTTCTACCATAGAAATAATATATGGATCTTAAGCATAAATCTCAATTTAATAAATAGCTTAATTATTATTTTAGCTTAATGTAATTATCAATATTTAAAATAGGCTTCTGTTTAATTAAATTTATTTCAAATATTAATTAAAAATTTTAGTTTTTCTCATAAAAGTTTTTGGCAAAGAAGAATCAAAATTAATTTTATACAAATGAGAGTTAATACATAACTAATAAATCAAATAATAATAATTTCTGTTTTAATGTGTGCTTTCTTTATTTAGAATAAAATATTTTATTTTAAATATTAATTGAATAAGTTAAAATGCCCTTTATTTTTAAATATTTTATATTTTTACTTAGTTATTTAGCTTTTAAATAACTTTTTATGATTATTTTATTTTTAAATATTAAATATAAATATGTTATAATTTTTATAGAAACCTTAAAACTTTATATAAAGAAGTAGAGTTTAACCAATTTTAATGAAATTCAAACCTGTTTCAGTTTTAGATAATTATAAAGATATGAAAGAAATATTCAATATATTTATAAAATAAATTCCTTATCATAATAATTAGATTAAATTTTAAAATTGCAAATTAGGAGGTTAAATTTTTATTTATTTAAAAAAATGAAAATAAATTGTATTTTTTAAAAGCAATTTAGGAAGTGTAATGAACTTATTTATCAACTTCTTAGCTAAAATTGATGTAAATAATTTAAATTGTATGGATTAGAGTGAGTGCATTAGTTATAATATTTTTTGATTTTTAGATATAACCAACTCTAACTTTCTTATACCATTAAAAAATATCAATTAATATTCTCTCAAAATTATTTGATAAGAAAAAGAAGCATAGTAATATATTTTTGTGTGCGAACACTAAAGAAAATATAATTTTTATACTTTAATTAAAAAAACTAGAAACAAAATGAATGAATCAAGTTTAGAGCAAAATTTAAAGCAAAATTCATCATGTGGATAACTAGAATAATTTTAAGACTAATCATCAATCGTCAATAATCCTGTAGAAAAGATTTTTAAGAATAGCGATAAATTCGATTTCTATTCAAAAATAAAGGATTACAGTGTTAAAGCGTGGACTCCGCTTATAAATAAACTTTGTCTCTCTAAATAATTAAAGTTAAAGTTCATAGGAATTACAAAAGTGGATATATATTTGAATAGTGATGACGAAGCGAGTTATACCTTCACATATAATGCTTTTGGATCAACACTTTGTGTTAAAGATGAAGGATAGAATATCGAAGTAGCCAAAATAGAAAATGATTTAATATACTTAATAAGAGAAGATGGAAAATATGAGAAAATAGGATAAATATTAAATCAAGTTTAATGTAAAAAAATAAAAGTAGTTGCATGGGGCTTAATGCCAAATTCAGTTTTTTAAACAGGATCTAACAAAAATATAAATTTATAAGTATTTCCTTGCTGTTTTCCTTTCTATAAAATCTATAGATACTTTCAGAAAGATGAAGTTATTGTCAAAGATAAAAATACAGATACAATTTATTCTACTTACTCAACTAAGTCTCTCAAAAAAGAAAAATAATCTATTTTTACATTCTCTGAAAATTTAAAATAAAACATTGATAAATTACTAACCTTTTTTGTGGCAATGCAATATATTGAAATCATCTGGTATAACCGATATTCATAATATTTTCAAAAGTGAATTAATTAATAGATATTTCTTTATTAATATAGCTATAATATTGTTGTTGCGTCATTTTTAAATATTTCTAACTATAAACTAATAATTAATTAGAAAATAAACCAATAGTAAGTAATATTGCTTATAAATCTATTAAATAATTAATTAACTCATTAATACTAAAACCTTCTCTATAAAATTTCTAGTCTTCTTTATATTTATTTATAATTTTGTCTTATATTTTAAATAATAAGAATTAATATGTAACTTAATTGTAGCTGCTTGCCTTTTAAAAATATTTATTTAATTTAGATTCAACAAAAAATGTTTTTCATTCAAATTTCATTTATATTAAATTGTATTTTTTACTTAAATTTAATTGAAAAATTGAAAGAAATTTAAATCATTAATAAAGATAGTTTATTTAAAATTAAAACTTGTTTCATTCCCATTTTTTGAAACATATGTTTTTACTTAAGAAAGGGTTTGTTTGAAGTAAATGTCTTCTAGCATTTATTATTAATGTACATCTGATTGTTATGCATAACAAGTAATATAAATAAATACATTAAATTAGTTCTAGTTGAATGCTTAAAATAGTATGCTTAATTTATTTTAAGAGTAGCTTATTTATCTATTACATTATAATTTTATGTGAATTTAAGAGTAATTTATACTTAATTAGGTAAATTTAGAAGGAATTTATTGATTTCAAAATGAACTTTAACTAAAATACTTGTAAGTAATATATGAAGGTAACAAATAAAATAAACATATTTATAATTTTAGTATTAAATAAGTAAAATAGAAGAGAGTCAGTTCTAAATACAATTAGTTATAGTAAATTAAAAATCATCTAAATTTTAAGACAATATTAACCAGTATTGTTTGTTCTACATAGAAAAATTGCTTGACTGCCTGTCACTAGCGTGACTAAATTGAAATAATAAATTAATTTTTTAATCAATTAGAAAGAAGATTTTTGAAATCTTCATATTTGACTTCAGTAGTAGCTGGTGATAATTCTTTAACTAGTCTCTATTATAAAATTGGTGAATTAATATATAATCGTGATGAAAATTAATTATAGAATTTATTATTTAATTTTTTTAAAAATTGAACACTTAATATTTAAAAAATAATGGAAAACTCTATGCTATTTGATATTTTATGTTATATTTCTAATTATTTTGATAATATATAAACTATCTACTACTAATTGTAATTATAATGGCTTAAAATAATTTTGTTATTAATTGATTTAAAAAATATTAAACATTTTTGCAAATTAAAATGATTTCAAATGAGAATTTATTACATTTAAATCAATTGTTAAGCTAAAATCTGAAGAAATGACTTCTTAAAGAAGTTTTCTGTCTATACTACCTGTTTTGTCTTCGTTTCCTATTGTTTTTAGTAATCATTTTATTCATAAAAAATAACTTAACTTTGCTAAGTTAAGCTATTTGTGTAAATTTTTACCTCCAAGAGCTACAAAAGCCAAAACTGATAATTATTTTTAAAAAAATATTTATAAATAACAAAAATAATAAAAATACAAAATCTACTTATATCTTCCTCATCACTGTTTTACTGCAATTATTTGTAGTATGCTATAACTGTTAGGAAATCATCAAATGCTTATTTATTTTAATAATATTATTTCAATAAATGCTTCTAAATGGTAAATGTCATTCTAATAAAATTTAATAAATCTAAGTTTTCCTAAATAATAAATCAAACGCTTTACAAATGGCTCCTTTTCCTGTTTAATCGACTTCATTTATCATCTTGATCAGCTCTTCCTCTTGGGGAGATTGTCCCATTTCTAAATTTAATAACAAAATGCAATTTTAAGCTTTTTTTATGATTGCATAATCAATTTTATACCTTCAAGAACTTTTTTAAGCTCCTCCTTTTCAATGAATTTGGAGCCATTTTTATCAAAGGCTGTAAATGCTTCTTAACATTTATCTATTTCTTTTTTAGTGAGAATATTAATATCAACGTCCCTTAACTGCTTGAGTGAAAGACTCATTAAAATTTCTTAAATATATTTCGAAATTGCGCGAGTTACTGCAGATTAATAATAATAAATCTAACTAACAAACTAACTAAATTAAAAAATAAATAAAGAATTAAATAATGAATAACGAGCTGAACGTAATTTTAGTATTAAATTGTTTAGAAATTAAAACAAATTAATCTAATAGAATTCTATAAATCTAGAAAGCAAATCTCCATAAAATTTTTTGATTAGTAAAGTGAATTTTTGTTAGTAACAAAAAGTAAATTTTGTGGCTACTTTCTTTAATATTTATTTGGAGCAAATAAAAAGGTAAGCAGCAGGAATAAAAATAGTCTTTTCTCCTTTTCTCCAATTTAAATAAGCTTTCTTCAATTAAGTCATATAAATATTCCAAGGAGGAACTCTAAATTATATAATTATGTTGATTTTGTGTAAATTATATTGAAGCAAAATAGGTAGAATTTAATTTGGAGATAAAAAGGAGATTTTAGTGTAATATGACAGGAAATTTAAATTATTCTCAAAGAAATTACCATAGTTATTTGAATTTGAGAGCGTTATATGAAAATTAATATGTTTTTGAGTTAATTAAAGTAGTACAGATATTTAAGTTATTTTAATGATAGGAGTTAGCTTATGTTGAATGAGTTATTAAATGAATTTTTCTTATTTTATTTGAAATACAAATGGATTTTTATTATAATTACAAATGTGGTTTGAACATTCTATGTGTGGCTGTGAAAATAATAAAATTGCATAATAAAATAAATGAATAAATATTGGAGGAAGAGCTTTTCAAATGATGCTTAAATTTGAAAGATTAATTAAAGTAATTGTTTGCTTGCTTATAAAGACTAATTATAAACACCTAAAATAAATATATAAATGACTGACTGACAGAAAGAATTATTAAATTGAATGACACTATTATTTAAGATATTAGCGAAATATGCTAAAGGAATGGACCAATCAAATGAAATAAACCAGCTGGTAAGGAGCAAATAATTGTCTGACTTTCTTATATGTCTGTATGTATTTAATAATAATTCTAAACAAATTATAGTGAGTTAGAAAATTTATTTAAAAAAGAATCTATCTAAATCATACATACATACATATAAAATAGGCACAAACATACATACACATATAAATTCAAAGACCGACCCTTAATTAAATTAATCAAGCAAATTTAATAAAAATACTAAACAAAACTGAAAAAAGTAGTCATTAAGTAATCGCAAAGAGAACACAGCAGAGCAATTACCAATCAATTCTCTCTTTAAAAACTCTTAATTAATACAGCTATAATAGCATCTAGCATCAACCTTTTTATATAATTTAACAGAAATTTCTCATATAATAGCTTACAGCTTAAGTTTAAAATTATAATATTAAGCAGTGCAATAAATACATTTGAAAGCAGGATTGGCTATTTTGAAATCAATTTAAAGCAAAATCTCTAAAATTTAAAGCAAATCGTGTTGTAAATGTCACAAATTGAAAACTAGCATTGTAGCTAAATTGAACTCTAGCAAAAAAATAATGAAAAATTAGAAGCAAGCACTATAGCAGATCATAATAATTCTTTTAAGTTAGAAGATAAAAATAACTATAACTCAGAGCTATCTAAATATAGTTCTACGACAATTTTAAAGAATTCCCCAACTTATCGAGATAGGTAGCGTATTGACTCGATAGGATAGCCTATCTTAAAATTTGGCAAGTAGCATAAAATATAATTTAGTGATAATCTCATAGATGTGCATATAGTAGAAAACTGGAAGGAATATAATGTGCTAGACGACGAGGAGTTAGAGTAAAAATGCAATTGTTGGCTAATTTGAAAATAGTTTTAATACAGAAAAAGACCAAATCTTCTTTTGAAGACAACCCCTTGTCAATTCATTAACACCAGCTAATTTATTTAAAAATATAAAAATTCTAACCAAAAAAATATGAAAATAGTACAAATAAATATTAACAATACACATAATAAATGAAAACACACACTATTAAAATAATAACATAAAAATAATATTTTTTCAAAATACTTATAAACATGTATAAAATCAAATAGCACTAATTAGTAACTGATAAAGCACGTTTTAATTATGTCTAAAGTCGTACTCTTCTTTAGTCCATCTGCCTCTTCTTAATTATTCAACAATCAAATAGTCAATTTAGCAATTAGGAAGCGCTTGATAAAAATAAATTTATATAGATAGATAAGATGAATTATGAAAGCAGTAAATAAATAGCTTAATGTAAAGAACAATAAAAGCAATTTACTAATAAAATATGTTAACATTTAAATAAAATTTTACAGTTACTTACTTAAATATTGAATAATAACAAAATAAATAAATAAGTATAGAAATTTATTTTTAAGCAATTTTGATATTAGGATAAATAATTTAAACCTAATCAAGCTAAACAAAAAATCAACAATCAGAAATTTTGTCTGAATATGCTTAAATCTAAATTGAGAAATAAAAGCAAAAGTTTGCTTAAAATTTTGAAATATAAATTAATTTAGAATTAATTGAATTCTTGATTGACTGGAGAACTTATAAAAAATTGAAAAATTATTAGTTAAAATTTTGAGAAAGTTAAATCTCTATTGAAAAAATATGCTTAAAAATTAAAAATTAAAAAATAGAATTGCTTTTGATGATATATTTAACAGATAATTTTTTTTTGAAAAATCAATAGAATAAAAATTCTATGCATAAATTAATTATTAAAATAATACATTAAACAGTTAATTTATAGAAGATAATAAAAAAAATAAATAAATTAGGAGTAAAATCATAAAATAAATCAAGAAAATATTGTATAAATAAATAAAAATATATTAATAAATAAATATTTAACTCACTTGAACAAGTTAATCAAACAAAAAATTTAAATAAATAAAACATATTTTTGTGTTTAAGTAATAACTAATTAATGAATAAATAAATGATTCAACAAAAAATTATAAAAAAAATTAATTAACTTTATTTTAAAAAGGATGCTTTATTTATTTAATACTTTTTAATATCCTATCCTAGTTTTGTAATATATTTCATCTTTATTATTTATACATTTTTATAGATATGTCAGCTATTATTCATTTATTTACAAATTATATCTAACTAAAATCTTTACTTTTTTATCTTTTACAATACAATTATACTTGTAAAATTAAAAAAAACGTTACATAATTTTGATTATATAATTAATAAAACTTCTCATTTTTTATTGAAAATTATTTAAAATTTTATTTTTGTAATTTCCAAAAAATTTTGTTTTTTAGAAAGATTTTTTTAGTTTTAAGAAGTTTAAATTAATATAATTATAATTGATAAAATAATGAAAGTAGTACAAACAAGTTTTATTGTAAAAATAATAGATAACAAGATTGATTTTTTTGCCACTTTTAAAAAAAGAAAGAAAAAAATTAGATGGTTTTAATTTAAGTTAGGAAAATTGAGTTATTAATTTAGAGATTCAAAAAAAGTAATATTTTTTATAATAATGATTTATGAAATATATTAATTATCAGAATTATGGTTCTTTTACACTATATTATTTAGGTTTATAATAAATAAACCTTAATTTTCAAAAAAAACTTTAATCATCAATCTTATTTGTTAATTGAAATAATTTAAAAATGTAAAAACCTATTAGAAAATGTGCCAAAAGTAACTCATAATATTAAAATATAACAAAGAATAATATTTAAATGTTTTATTCACTGAAATATAAATATTTTTTAAAATTCTTTGTTATATTTTGATCAAAATTTTTTATGCTTAAAACATACATAAAAATTAATGTTTGATTGCTAATTGTTTATTATATCAAAAAAACTATTTGTTTTTAAAAAATTCAATTAATAGAAGTTAGAGCTAACATTTTTAGTTTTTTAAAATAAAATCAATAATTTTTCTGAGATAAATTTTAAAACTATTTAAATAATTAAAATATTTGAATAGTTTTTCCCTATTTTATAACAATTAGAATTTATAAATAAACTCCTTAACTCTTTTATTCTTAATTTTTATTTAAATTTAAGCAACAATAATAACAAATACTTTGCTTTACAATACTAATAATTGTTACTTAAATTTTACGCATTTTTATTGCTAAAATCATATAAAGAAAAAGTATTTATTATCCACACGTTTTGATTGAACATATATTTTAGTGATAACTATCTTAACTTTTTTTTTGTATGGAAATAATTTAAGGGTGTAAGTAATAGTACTGAATTAATTAAATTTATCTTAGTTTTAGTTATTTTTAATAGATTTTTAAATTCAAAGATAGATAGATAAATTTATTTTATTTAAAGATCTTTTAAGAAATAATATTATTATTATTTTAATTATGTTTTTATTTTTTTAAATTATTTAATATGATTTTATATTTATGAAGTATTTTTAGCTGATTTTGTTAAAAAATTAAAAAAAACAAATTATTTTGCACGATAAAAGCCATGAATTCTATAAGCCTATTGCGTTTTAATGAAAATCCTGATTAAATTCACTTTTGATTAATATTTAATAACTATCCTAAAATAAAGAAATCATAGTACTTTCAAATTTTTCTTTCGTTTAGATTTAAATTAATATTTTTGTTTTATATCTTTAAAAAATTCTACATGATAAAGTAAATTTACCTTACTTGAACGATTGAAAATTAAATGCTTTGATGATCACTAATACTTGATATCTTAATTCAGAAATAAGTCGCAATAGTTAGTTACAAAAGCCTAATTTATCAATTTTTTATCTATCAAAATTTTAAAAAAAAGATAATGAGCTAAATAATTTATTTAAATTATTATTTTACAATAAAAAAATAATTTTTTGGAATTAAAAATATTAAAAAGTAAATTATTCAAATTTGATATTTATTTGAATTTAAAATTAAAATTAAATTTATATGAAGATCAAATAAATAGATGCATTTTATGATAGGAATGGCGAAACAATCACTTACTTGCGAAATATTCGTTTCAATAAAAAAAATTATAAATTAAATTAGTGGAGGAAGAATTGCGAAACCAAGAGTGCAAAGGTCAATAACAAATATTGAATGGTTGTTTAAAGATTATTAATTTACTATTAGATGTAATTAAAGTAAATAAAAACTAAATGTGCAGTAAAAAATTAGTTTTAAAGATTTATTCAATGTAAAAATATGCAAGGAAGCTAATGCTTATTTAAATATGAAATATAAGTGGCTAAGAATAAATAGATATAAGATCACTATTATTTTGAAAATGATAAAAAGGTAAATTTTACTTACAAGATTAAGCGAAAATGAAAAAAAATATAAAAATAACCATATATTTTTTGAAGAAAATTCAATATTTAACAAATGAGAGTATTCCTGCGAACTAAAATGAATTAGACTAGATATGATTTATTATACTCAATCTTATACAATATTTTCTTAGTTCTTTTTTCTATTCATAAGAGCCAATAAAATTTCAAAGGAATTTGATCACCTTTAAATTTCTATTCATTCATTTTCTTAGAAACCTATCTTTATTGATTTTGTATAGAGCTATTTTGTTAAATGTATCATTCATTTATTGCCTGCTTAATTGCTTTTATTCTTGCTTGGTAGCTTGCCCTTAATTAACAAAAAATAAGCAAACAAGCTAATTAATAAACTGACTAGTTGGTAAGTAAATAAATAAATATGCATAAACACTCGATTTTACATTTATTTTGATGCAAACAAGAAAATAGAGAAACAAATATTAAATAAACAATCTTCATACTAAACAATACTAATAAATATAGTAATAATTTGTCAAATAAAAAGGAGCTATTTATTGCCCACTTCTAATTTGACTTACTAATCAATACTCCTTACCCTTTTTCGTTAGATGAACGCAGCAGGTGTGAGGGAGAATATGAATCAGTTGGCTCCTTCATAAAAAAAACTAATTAGAAACGAAGAACCACCTCAAAGCGACTTAAATTCTCTCTAGTAGTAGATAATGCCATCTGCAAAAAGGTCTTTTTCAGCAGAAGGTACTGTGAAGAGATGCTCTAAGCTTCGAACTACTGTGAGAAATGAATTTTTTAATGGAGCTAAGAATGCTAATCCAGAAGAAGATACTTCGTAAGATTGATCTTTTGAGATTTATTTTATTCTTTCTTCTTAAGGAATTTCCATTATTAATGCAGAGTATTTATTAATTTGATTATAATTACAAGGTAAAAGAAGACTACTTTAGTCGTGTTAAAGAGGTATAATAGCGCTTTTCCCAAGGATTTTTTTGGCAATGTAAGGCAGGGAAATGACCAAGTTTCAAATAGGGTTCATTAAAATGATTCCTCTGCTCCCAGCAATTAGGGAATTGTGCCAACTGGATATACTTATTCTATACGCTAAGATTCATATTAATTTTTACAATAACAGTAACAATAACTTGGCTTTTTAAATGATAACTAAAGCCAATAAAATAGCAAGTTAAGTCGCTAGCAGATGCAGAATCTTAATTAAAGTCAATATCTTCATTAAAATATGTACTCCCTATAATAAGGCGTCAAATAAATGATGCCTGCACCAGTATAATTTTAACAGTAAAATTTATCTAGCATGTAAAACTCCTTGTAAATGATAAACTAACCTTTTCCTTCTTCATAAATACTCTAATAGTAGCAGTAATACAAATACAGGTGTTAGAGCGAAGCAGACTCGCCGATTAAAAAATCTGCTTACGACATTTTAGAAAACAGCTCTAGAATACCATAAATTACTTAAAGCGAATAAAAAATTTAATATAATAACTAGAGTGGACCATCTGCAACACATCAAATGTATATTTAATAAAAATAATAACCTTAGTAGATATAATATCTCAAAAATAATCCTATAAATAGTTCTCAGCATTAAAATTACAATCAAAGTTATTTAAACTCAAATAATTATCCATCATCTTCTTTAGTGAGTGGAGAGAATTCACCCTTAAAAGAACAGAAATTTAACAACCAAACTTCTTTTACTACAGCATCGTCTTAATGGAAACATATTTTTACAAACAATCAGTAGACTTAAAATTAAATTCCTAAAATTCAATAATTCCAAGCTGCTAATTCTATAATTAAAAATTAATTTAAAGCTCGATAAAATATTCCTCCCAAGCCCTAATTCTAGCACTAGAATTACGCATATTGTAAAACTGAATAAAATGAGGACTCAGTTTAATCAAACTCAAACAGTATAACTGATAATCCTCACAGCATTAACTCAAATAATATCGATATGTTTAGAAATACCATCAATAACGATACACCAAAGTTTACTTCTGACGACTCAACAACACTCTCATCATAATAAAATTAAACAAATTCTTTTACAGCTGCAATTATCTAACAGTAATTGATGTAAAGAGTCTAAAATAATAACCCAAGCCAAATCATAAACAAATCCTAATTTTCTAATAATTAAACTCAGAATGAATAATTAAACTTGAAAATTGTTTAGTAAAACGCAAATGCTCCTTCTTCATATCATATCCAAACAAAGCAAAAAAGAAAAAGCCAAGCAGCTAGATCATAAAGTGAAATTAAGCTCTCGAACTCTATTTATTCTAATCAAAATTAAGATTAAGCACTAAATAACTTTGATAAGAAAAATCCATTATATGAAGAAGGATTGCAAAAATCAGAGAAAGGAGATGCTAATTTAGATCAAGTTGAAGATAAAAAAAATAACTTGAATTATGCTACATTTTCTTCTTCCTCTCTTCTCAAAATAAACTACTTACAAAACGAGAAAAAAAAATAAATAGAATAAGAAAAATAGTAAATTTCTTCTCATTAATAACCTACTTCGATTTTGCAACAGAATTTGCAAAACAACAACAACAATCTGCTTAATTCTTTATAATTATAACAAAATGTTAATTTATAATAAAAGTAGTAAACAAATATGCTAAACAGTTCTTCTGGCTCGGGTGAAGACAAGTTAAACTTCAATTAGAGTCGCTAATTCTTTGATTTTTAAATTTAAATGCAAAATGAATCATAAAATGGACTAGTTTAATCGATAAATGGTACTTAAAATGAAATTAATATTTTAGATAACAAACAGCTTTTAAATAAGGACTATTCGTGCTTCTAATTCAACTTACAGCCTATCCCTGGTTTATAAAATCAAGCTCTCATAGGATAAAACAGCTACCAAAGCTACCATTTAAATAGCCGAAATATCAGTCCTGAAGATGATAGAAACGGAAAAGAAAATTTAATAAATCAAATAAATAACATTTTCTAAAATAAAGCTAATAAAGTAGACTTACAACATTCTTAAAAATCAAATTACTTGAATATCCTTCATTCTCAACAAAACGGCTTAACTTAAAAGATATCAAGCAACAGTAGTGAGAATGTGAACGACTAAAACTAGAGCAGTTCTGAGAATAAAAAGAGCAGTAGTAGTATACAAAAACCAAGAAAATAGAATGAAGAATTCAAAGAGCAGAAATACACTAATGAGTTTATAGATGATCATATTCGAAACTCTGAAAAATTAGTGAGCAGAGCCTCTCAAATCGAAGAAGAGAGTCCTACAGAAAAAGCATCAAATTTATCTAGAAAAAATTCAAACTCATAATAGCCAAAACAAGCAAAATCAACTTCTATAAGTAGCTCAGCTAAAAAGAAGAGTAGAATAAAAGTGATTTATCCTGCACAAATGGATCCAAATTCTCTGAATTAATCATCTAACTTAAGAACTTAATCAGAAGCCAATTTATCAACAAGATAGAAAAAAAATTCAATCATCAAACCATTTTAATGCCAAAATAACAATGATAATAAAATAGATAACAACGCTAATGATATTAGCGAGGATAATTTTTCTCCTGTCCATTTCCATAGGCTCAACACGGAAGCTGACAAGGATTCTGAAAACATTTAAAGTAATTATGATTTTTCTAGAAAGGTTTTTTCAGTAAGCAGCTTTTAGCAGCTGGATTCAAATAATCCAGACTCAGCACAGTAAAAGAAAAGAGTACGCAAACCAAAGAGCTACCATTCACAATAAGTTTTCAATTTAAACTCCAGTGACACTAAAAAAAAGATAGGGTTTTTCAACTATAATTAGGAATAAACAACCTCTAATAATATTACTTAAATTATAGAAAATACTTAAATTTCCAATTATCAAAACACAAATGCGAAAGAGAAATAGTAATAAGATCAGTCCCAAGTACAAAACACTTCAACTACAACTCTTCCAAAAATCTACACACATTAAAATACTCTGTCTTAAAGCAAACAAAATTTTTCTAAACAGAGAATTAGATTCAACTCTTATCAGAAATCCAAAACAGAGATATCCCCAAAAGATGAGGAAAATTAAAATAATTTATCTTTGAGTAACTAATTTTAGAATCAAGTTCAATAGAAAAAAAATAATCTTAGCCAATAATAGCAGTAGCCATCTTCTTAGCTAAATTAAAAGAATAATTAAACAATGAAGTTGAGTGATTTTGTTTCCCTAACAGAGAAGAAATAAAGTGCAGGCTCCTCAGATTATGAATAAAAAAAGACTAACCCAAATGAAGGCAATTAAAAGGAGTAACTTTAAGTTAAAGCAAACCCTTTTTTGCAGTCTAATCTTAACCCTAATTAATTTGAATTCAGTTTTAGGAATAATTAATGTTAAAAAGAATCAGAAAAATAAATAAGTTAATAAATCAACAAGCACAAAATTCAAAGTGATTCCCAGCAAAGCTCCAGAAATTCTATAGTCCAACCAAATAACAATAATTCAAATTAAGCAAATAATAATCATAATAATTAAAATTAAATATATGAGTAGAAAAGTTAATAGCATGCTGCTCATAACCAACTTACTAACTAATTATATAATTTCAAATTAAACATCAACAACTAGCAGCCTTATTAAAGTAAAGATACAACTAGCATAAAACTATCATCTTCACAGCTTAAACAACCAAACAAATTCTTGTCTGAAAAAAAGTAACTTATCTCACAAAATCTCAAAACTGATTACTCTTGAATAAATAAATAAATAAACAAATAAAATAAATAAATAAACCAGGTAGATAATTAAACCATTTTTACGAACTAACAAAAGTTAAATCTCAAGAATTTATTAATGAAATATTTACAATAAATCCATAAAAAACCTAAAAATAAATAAATAAAAAAATTAAATTAGTGCTATTTATCCTATACTTTTAAAAAATTATTTTAAATCAAACAAAGCTTAAATCTTAAAAACATTTATAAATTAATATATTTCAAAGTTCAACTATTTGTATAAAAATTTTTAAACTGAATATTTATCACTCACTCACTCATTCATTCATTAATAATTTAAATTTCTTATTATTTTTTAAAAAATTACTATTATTTCAAAATATATCCTATTTATTTCATTATAATATTTAAAATTATTTATTAAAATAAAAAACTACTTTAAATTCTCAAATATTAAGGACCTTACTTATATTAGTATTTAATATTGAAATTTTATTTAATTTTTACTATCCTGTAATTTTATTTATAAATTCCACTAGTAATAAAAAAAAATTAAAGTTTAACTTTTAAAATACAATTCATCAATTTAAAAATTATATAATAAACTTGATATAAAAAAATATATAAAATAAATCATTTAATAAAATAGAATTTTGTTTAAGATTTAATTCGATTTGATATTGTGAATGATTAATTTATTTATCATAATAGGAATCTCATAACATAATCTAATTAATATGTATTTCATAAAAATTAATTACTTGATTTTCTACGTTTCTAATTGAACTTAGGATTGATAACAAAATCCTTAACTTAGATTTATTTAGGTTATAATGCTACAATTGCTTTTACATTTCCAATAACTTCTGAATCATCTTATTAAGAATTTTAGAAAATATTTTATAGCCGATAGGTATTGTCTTCATCTTTATTAACTATCAGTACTTAGATATCATCATTCTTATCTTTAAAGTATTTATAGACTCTATTGATGTTGTCAGAGAGTTTTAGGATATAAATTATGCAGTGAAAGCCAAAATAGAGCCAAACTAAAATGAAGATGGCTTCGCCTGATTTTAAATAGTTATTCAATGTAGAAGATTCAATAATATAATTATTATTTAGCATATTTTAATATTGAGTGAACGAATATAACAGAGCACTCAATAGGACAAGCCATGCAATAGAAGAAAAAATTTTAAAGTAGTTAATGCAATTGAAACTAAAAGGACGAGTAAGTATATCTAAAAATAAACCTAAAATTGATATTATTATCAAGAAAATAATACCTATTTTAGGTGAGTTATACATAACGACAACAACTAGCATGTAAAGAAACTTTTTTATGAAGTGAAGTAGCTTATAGTTTAACCTTATTGAGTGTTACTTAAAATCCAAATACTCAACAAGATGGAATAATCTTTTATATTAAAATCCCTTTTCTGATTCTGAATTTAGAATTTAATAAGTTTTATAGTAAAAGAACATCATCGCTAAGAAAAAAATACAAGAAAAAATTGCTGAAACACCATTAAGACCGTTAGAGAACTGCATGTTTGTGAATTATAAGAAAACGCTTAACAAGATATAGATGAGACGCACTTCCAGTAGGTTGTAAAAAAAGGAAATAGGGTAATGATAAAAATTCTTTCCCTAAAATAATTTGTAATTTGAGTCATCTAGATACTTCATAATTCCAATTACAATACCATTAATAGCTAGGAGAACTAGAGTCTCAGTAATGTTAACTAAAAAATTTGCACTGATACCCATTTGTTGGTAAGGGTAAAATGCCTGCTAATCACTAACACTAACTTCACTGCCATAAATATTATATGAAGGACTCTTGTATTAGTTAGATTTCATATTGTTGAAATTGTAATTAATCCAAACTGGAGTATAAGGGAAAACAAAGCTAGCGAACTGAGAAATTAGGAGATGAGCTTTCAATGGAATGACAGTGTTTATCAGTAGCAATGTTGATATGGGTTGTAAACAATTCATAAAAAGCAAAGGAATAGATATATATCTTATAAAAGAAAAGAATGAATTGCTCTATAGAGAATTTAAAATTTACTGCTAATATTGAAAGTAGTTCAAGTCGTCTGAACCAAATTTCATAATAAAAGGCTAAATATTAAATTCGAATACTTAGTTTTAGAAAGAGGGATTTAAAGGCACACCGTTAATTGTTCGGATAGCAGTGTTTTTGTTTACAACAATTCTTATTAATTTAGAGAAACAACTCTGTTAGACATCGATATTAATGTAACCCACATTAGGTTAAGTGCTATCATTCGACATTGTTAAATTGAGATTATTTTCTCCTATTTAACTACTGCTAGTCTATAAGTTTCTTCTGTTGTGAACTATTTGCAAGTTAAGTAAAAAATATATTCTTAATTTATTTGTAAATAAAATTCTAATTACGAGAGTTATCATTGGTTATGATTTTAATATCCAAAAGGGTGATCCATTAAGAAGTTAAAGCATTTTCTAGTTGTTATCCATCTGTCAGTTCAATTTTTATCTTAGGTCTGAAGTAGTATGCATCTGAAATCAAAGAAAACTAGACAGATGTGTAGTTTTTGCAAAATCCATTATAATCTAGATATTATCCACTATCTTAGCACTAACAAAAACCAATACCTCCAGCGATTGGTTTAACCAATTTTACTTGGCTATTATCGAATTTGCAACTACTGCACTAATTTTCTAATCCTCCCATACATGTAGCACAACTAATTACAATTAAAATTATTAACTTAAAAAAAATTTTTTTATTATATTAAAATTTTATTTACTTTGGAAAACACTTTTTACATGGTGCATTAGAGTTTGTATCGTCATAGTATCCATCCATACAGTCGCATGAATATTTGCTTTTCTAAATTCTAAAAGTTTTGGTTTAATCAGGACAAACACAAGAACTTGAATCACAACTAGCACATGATTTACTACAAGGAACACAAAGACCCTTTTAGATAGATGTCGTATCTGATGGAATTGGTTCCAAAAATTATGAAGGGCATGTACAAAGGGGTGGATTAATTCTATTATTTTTACACGTTAAGCATTTATTTGTATTGTCACAAGTGGCGCATTTAGGATTACAAGCTATTTTTTTATATTAAATTAAAAAATTAATTGTTAAATGGAGAATTCAAAGATATCAAACAAGATATTTTAAATTATTCTAAATGGAATATTGATTTATTTATTTATTTAAATGTTTCTTTTTAGATAATTAAATTCTTGAGACTAATAAATAAAATAAAATTGTTTGAAAATTTAAATTTTTTGTTAGCAAACTCTTTAAATAAAAGTTTATTTTAATTAAGTTATTTATTTTTATGAATTAAAAATAATTTTAATGGAAAATTATTAAAGATTTTTTGTAATATTTTTTAATATATGTTTTTTTTACGCTAGCATTTAAACATAGGATCAGAATATTATCCATCCGGACAATTACAGTTGTTTTTTGGATCTCTACCTTATGTACAATTAATACATTTTGAAGGTAGTGCTTAACATTCATTAGTGCATATATTCTAATTCACTCCACAAGAATGAATCATTTGAATACTATCGTATACAAATTAGCCAGTTAAAGGTGTATCTTTTATACAGTTAAAAGATAAATTACTTTTTGCATAAAAACCTTTTTAGCAGACAATACATAAATTTCCTCCTGAAGTTACAAGACAATTATTAGAATTGTTTAAGTAAAAAGGTTGGTCAAAGAAAGAAATGTATCTTACAGCAAAGAATTGAGTTTGAGGAGGAGAAAATTTGTTATTATAATCACCAAATTAAACTTATAAAACTTAAATGCTAGTCGGGTAAGTTTCAAAGTAGAAATTCTTAGAAAAAGAGTTTATGAAAATAGTGATTTGAAAAATGGAATTATTTGAAGGGGTCCAATTAGCTATTGATATTGCAATCTAGTTCCACATATTTGCTCTTATTTTTGATTATAGTGGTGAAAGAGTTTAGCACTTTTAACTAAGGCAAATAGTTAAAGAATATTCAAAATTGTTAATTTAATTTAATATTATCATAATTATTGGATTATTAGAAGAATCAGTATAAGATACTAATTTTACATATCTGCCTAAATTAGACTAAGGGTACAGCCAAAATCTCATGTTTTATGCTTGTGCGTTATTTAAGTTAATTATTTAAAATTATTATAATTGAAAAAGCTAAATACCATAATCTACATCAGCAGTTATTGTATTTGAAACATTTTAATCATATTTAAGACTAACATCACTTAATTGGTATTAGTAAATTGGTTTGGTATTTATGGATGCTATCGTCACAAGTTGTTAATCTTGATAACTGATATCGAATACATAATACACCTTTGCAATAGTAGAAGTAGGAGTGACTGTTGTTGCTTTTATGCACTGATAACTTATTCCATCATCATAAAAATATTATTTACAATCACACTGTTAAGTTAATGAATTAAATGTTCTTGTTGAAGGGCAAGCTTAGTCTAGATTAGTTTTATTACTGGATAGGCATTATGCTGAATTGATACCTGAGCATTATGCACAAGAATATCCACACTAAATAGAACATTTTGCTGTGTTATCAATTTAATAACCAGGAATGCAGTTTTTAATGCAGTCACTGCTATCATGTAAAGGATCCGAACACAATACTGCAGGCAGGCATTAATTAGCTGAGGAATCTATACCATCCGGGCACTGTGAAGCTCCACTTAGACAATATTCTCCATTTTAATACCTCTAATCATCACATTTCAGGCAAGATTATGTTTGATATTAAGATAAAGTTTAGCCATTTAACCAACTTAATGCTTATTAAGAAACCTATTCAGAAATAGGGAGAGTATTAGTTGGATTCTAATTATTCCACTACTGTTTCTCAGCATTAGTAAGTTCTTTACTCTACTGAACTACACAATTTTAATTGCATGTTGAATTATAGGCAGAGAAGGCACCATAATATACTTTTAGGGATTTAAGCATAAAATAATTAGTATATTGAGAATTTTAGTTACCAAATACAATGAAAAACTAATCGCTACTTAAAAAAGTTTGAGGATTTTTGTAAACAACTGTTTCGCAATACTAATAATTAAGGTAAATATCAAAATAATAATTTTTTGGTTAGTAATTGGATTAGAATCTTGCATAGGTATATCCTGTAATCACAAAGTAATTCCACTGTGTTATGCGTTATACATTGCATTTTTATAAAGTATTGTTTAAATTTTAGTTTTGATACTGAAAATTAAAAATAATTTATTCTTGATAATCATTCAATCTATTTAAAATGATTTAAAATATTATGAAACCCTTTTCATCCTGGAAACTCATGATTGTATACGGTTGAGGATTAATATCAGTAATCACTGTTTGAATGCTAAATGAAATAGTGAACTCTCTCTAGACTTGAGTCAAGCGAAAGCCATTTAGAGTTATGTAGTTCTGTGCTGAAAAACTTAAGCTCTTGTAGAATAAAATGGGAACACTATTTTAATTTTGCTTACTAATATCTATATTGTTTTGATAATAGTCATTATTATCATCCAAATATTACACTAGCAAGTCTTAGTTAAATAAATAATTTGATATCAGGATTGTATTGTCTCTCATCATCATTTTCAAAATATTCTGATAATCGCTAGTAATATTTTAAATTCCATAGTAGCGGTGCAAGTAAATTGTGCCTGTGTATTATATATCAGTACCAGATGTTATCAAAAAAGTTTCATATTAAAAGTTATTAATAGGAAGATTTTAAAGTTAAGACTGCTAAATTGGCATAAAATGTACTGCATCACTAGTATCAACTGAATCAGCAATAAATAAGTTAACTTATGGAACTTATGGAATGGTATTAGATACATCCAATGTAATGAATACATACATCCATAGATTCTAAGCTTTTGTGTATTTTAAAGGAGTTTGTAAAAAACTTGAACTATCAATTAAAAGCTATGGGTTAGTCTATGATGTAGTAGGATTTATAGATAGGAGCTAGTATGATTATTAGGATAGTTTCACAGAAAATTAAATTTAGAACGATGAAGCTATGTTCATCCAAAAAGAAATACTTAAGCTACTCATTTTCTTAAATTGAATATCAGTTGATAAGTCTAAATCTTTCCAAGCATCCTTTTAATTTTCACCATAAAAATTACCTGATAGCACTTAGCTATAGCATGGCACAGATTAAGATTTAACGGATACTATTATTGCCAATAATAGACTTAATAAATATTTTATGTAATTAGAAGGCGACATTATTTTGCTTTGCCTAAACTTTTTACTTAGAATAATTTTTGTATGATAATTCTGACTAAATATTTTTTAATTAACTAATACTTTTAGAACCTTTTCTCAATTTTCAATCTTAGGATTATTTTGTTAACATTTTGTTTATTATATCAAAACAATTATTCTCTCATTATTTTCTTTATTTATGGTAAAAAATCGATCAAAGACTTTACCAAATCTATTTAACTTACAAAATACAAAGATCTTTTTGTATTACCATTAATTACATACTAAAAAAAGTAAATAAAATGTTTGTTTGTATTTAATTTGAATTGAACTTATATTAAAAATTTATAACAAATATTAAATAAATGAAATTTATTCGCTTATATCCACAGTAAATTCAAATAAAATTATTGCTAAATATAAAAATTAGGAATTAATTTAATAATAACTTTTTAGATTTTGAAAAATGGTAGATATGTATCGAAATTATTTATATTAATTTGAGATGTTTATTTTTAAAGAGCTTTATTTAATCTTTTTTCAGAGACTAATAGGTACTTGATAAAACCAAAACTAAAATAAAAAAATGATATTTATTTTAATATATTTTTAAAAATAAATTAATAAAATACAATATTAATTGAACTAAGCTTATTTATAATAATAATTTTAAGCTTTTCTTTTATAATTTTTGCATATTTTTTTATACAAAATAAATTATGTCTGTAAAATATTAAGAGTAACAAAAATTATATGTTTTATAAAAATTGTATTTTTTTCTATTAAAAATATAATCTGATCTAAAATCAGTAAAATTGTTTATCTTTTTATTATTTCCTATTGTCCAAAGGTATTCTGCATTTATTTATAATATATTAATCCAAAATCAAAAAGTAGATACAAATTGCAATTACAAATATAAAATAAAAAGTTAATAAATTTATCATTTTTGATCAAATATTTTATTACTATTCTTATTCAAACCTTGCTTGAAAAAATATTTACTATTGAAACTATTCAAACAGAATTCAATATGTAATAAAATGTTTTTCAATAATTAAATGATGTTTCTTTAAAAATTTAGAAATCAAACTATAATCAAAGATTATTTATAGGTTAATTTAAAAATTAAAAAAGTTATATAACTATTGCTGCTGACTCTTTCTTTTGTTATATCTAAAAAAACCACAATATTGTTTTCAAGGTTAATGCTTTTTATCAAAAATTTAATATAATCTAATTCATTATTCAACTAATTATCTCCATTTGTGGAATGCATCTTCTCCATCAGTCATCACTTCTATTCTTCCACTTCCTGAAGCTACTTCTCCATTTTACTTTAAAACTATCAATTTAGGTATTTTAGTTACTTTGAAATGAGAGGTAAACTTAGCTATACGTTCATCGCCTAACTGAATTGCAAGCCAAGGCATAGGCTTATAGTAAATTTTAAATTCATCCTCTGTTTAATCAAATGGAATCAAAATTATTTCTAAAACTTTATCTTCAGCATTTACTTCGTTATAAAAGTCAATCAAAAGAGGAGTAAAAGCTTAACATGGAGGACAATAAGATGCAGAAAAGTATAAACAAGTGACTTTATTTGTTTTTAAAGGTGAAACATCTAGCAAACCATTTTTTCCTAAGAAAGTTTAACCTAATGAAAACTCTTTAACTTCTTTCTTTGAGTCCATCTCAATTTTTAAATTTCTAAAAAAACTTTTAATATCTCTAATGAATTCTTTTAAATTATAAAATATTCTTTCTATTAATCATTTAATATAATTATAAATAATATCAATTAAATAATCAATATAATAAATCAATTTAACTTCTAAAATAAATTTCCTTTTATCTAAAAAAAAATAATAATTTTATTGCATTTCTTGTTAAAAACCTAATAATTTAAGTCAAGAAAAAATAAATTTAATATGCAATAAGTAATTTTAGAAAATTTTTGTAAAATACTTCTCTATAAAAATCAGCAAGCGAGTATTATTCGATTTTAAATTTAGTGATATACTATCATCAAGAGCAAAATATGAATAAAAAAAATATTTTTTTGGCAATTTTATATCATTAAGATTCTTATAATGCTAAAAAATGTTGCTAAAAATTATATAAATTAACAACCTAACTAACCTTGACAAGCATTTCAAAAAAATTTATGAAAATAGATTAAAACATTATAAATTAAATTTACTTAGGATGGATTGTATCAAGTAGAGTGGATATTTTAATATATCATTAAATAAATTTGTTAATTATAAAACAGGATAATTGTGATAAAATGTATTTATTTATTTTAAATAGTATTTAGCTACTTATATACATTTTAAGATAGAAAAATATAAACTAAAATAATTCTGAATTAAAATAAAAATTTGATTATAAATTAATGAAATAAGTTGAATAATAAAAATAGTGAATGTAATAATAAATTTATTTTTAATCAAAGAAATTTAAGTTAAAAAAAGCCGAATTATTTTATTTAAGATAAAAAAAGATAATTTAATTAAGTTTTAAAATTTTTTAAATTAAAATGAATTAATTAATTATTTTTAATTGAAATAAAGCTATTCACCATTAAATAAAATTACAAGAAAAAACACCAAGAAGAATAAAAATTACTTTTTAGTACTTTTGATATTCAAACATTACTTTTATAAACTAAGAATAAACCATTTTTTCTTCTTATAAAAAATTTTATTTGAAAATTATTAAAGATAAAAACACTTTCTCTCTTCTCTAAACTAAAAATAACATTTTAAATATTTCATTTATTTAAAAAAAACTAAAATAAAAACTATTTAGGGTATTAGTAAATATATTTTAAAGCATATATTTTATGTCTAACTAATTAAATTTATTTTGATTCATAAGACTATAAAACATTTTTTAATAAATCTAATCCAATACTTACAATTTTTTAAAGAAAGTTTATTACTTACAAACAGAAAGATAATATTTTTACTATAATTCTAAAAATTCATATATACTTTGATGTTAGATTTCTTAAATGGGTCATTCTTTTTACTAAGCTGAAATAAGAGTTTTTTTGTTATCTATTATACTTTTTAATACTAAAGATGATAATTAATCCTCTGACCTATTTCCATCGTAGAAACCTATAAATTCTCCCTTAGTTCCCATTAAGAATGTATTTGTAGTGTGGTCCATTGTGTAAATTTTGCTTAAATCTCCATTATATTTTTTAAGTAAAGTTTTTAGTTCTTCATCATCAGGATCATAGTTAATTTTGTTGGCCACTACTTTAAATGATTTCAATGCTTACTTTAATTTGCTGTCATCAGTTGGAGATCCAGTTGCACCTAAAAAGGATGTATCATACATATCCAAATAATCTCTTATGATCTAAGGAGTATCTCTCTCAGGATCGACACTTATAAATAGGACTTTAATATCTAAGTCTTAGCCTTCAGGCATCTTTTTAATATGATTAAGTGCATTTCTAATTTTAATTAAATTAGCTGGACAAATGTCAGGACAATGACAGAAACCGAAATAAACTAGATAGTATTTTCCCAAGAGAGATTAAGGAGTTATAGGATTGCCAGATGTATCAATTAACTCCCATTCATCTCCTATTTTAGCTTATCCTTTGTGAGATACTTTGACCTCATCAATTTTTTTAAGCTGAGATTACATCTCATTCAATTTGTAGACTATAAATAAAGCAGATGCTCCAATTGAAAGTAGAGCTAATTTAAACAAAGGAGTCATTTCTTAATCCTAGCTATCTTCATCTTTTTAATAGTCATCTTTGTTTTCTTTGGCATCTCTGAATCTATTTAATTTGATTTCTTCTACTTGAATATCTTATTTTATTTTTTCTTCTCCTTCTTTTTATGGAGTCTCAGAAAAGCTGAAATTTGTGATTTTATTTAAAGAGTTCACAGCATAGTTATTTGGGAGCATATAGCGACTGAAAAATGTAGAATTTCCTCCATTTAAATTTAAAGTTCTCCTTAAAGTTTTCAACTAAAAAGTTTTTAATAAATTAATCATTCAGAGAGAATTTGCCAGAATTAGGGTTTAGAAATAAATAAAAGATATTAATTTTATTATAAATAATAAGAAATTTATTGAATTATTAAATTATATTTTAAATTAAAAACAAATTTTGTTCATTTTAAACTCACTAAAATATTTGTTGGTTGCATCCAAGCAAATGATTGATTTTTCAAATAAATTATTTGTTTGTTTGTTTTAAAAAATAAATAACTGTTTGTTTATGAGAAAAATATTTAGAGAATCAATTTATTAATTTATTGATAAAATTAAATATTTTATTTTAAAATACAAATGAATAATAAATAATTAGTTCTCCTCTGATTGAATAAAGATTTTAAAAATAGTCGAAATAATTAAATAAATAAATATATAATATTCTTGACTTTTCTTTTTTGTGTTTAATTCAAATAGTCTAAAAAGCTGGGGCTGCTATTAAAAATACAAAACAAATTAATCTAAATTAAAATTAAATAATAAGCAGGATCAAAAATGAACGCTGCAAGATTCCTCACTAAGTCCTTGTAACGATTTAATAAATAATCATCATCCAAAATAGCTAGCTGATTTAAATAGCATGTAGCACGTCTATCAGCGTTATTTGATCAGCAAAAATTAATACCAAAAAATAAGCATTTATTAACTGATTTTTCAATTAAAACAGCTAATACAGTAAATCTATGGGAAGATTTAGTAGTGTATAAAGCATGGTTCCCATGAAGAACTATTCAAAATTTCTTGAGTAAAATTGAAAAAATTTAAAGAGTGATTGTAAAAAAACATTTTTTTAACTAATTTTGATTAGATGCAAATACGCTACCAATGAAATCGCTCTCAAGATGGGTACCCTTGTTGTCTTAAATCACAGAATCCTCTTAGAGAATATGAATTTAGCTTAGACCTTTATTACTGATGATGACGACGGTAATTCTTCGAATAAATTTATTTTAAAAGCTTAACAAAAATTCAACAATTTATTCTAATAAATTTTCTTGTATTAAAATAGACGACGACCAAGATGAAGATCAAATGTAATTATTTTAATGATAAAAGAGAACTCTTTTTTTTCGGCTTTAATGAGCAAAAAGTTCTTTAGTGATTCAATTCTCCCAAACAAAACCCACAAACAATTGACGATGAAGTTTTTATTTATCTTTTTAAATTACACCCAAATTTATTTCTACACGAACAAATCATAAACTCTTTAGCTAATAATCGCTTGCCCCATTCATTTCAGTAATTTTACTTTATAAATGAAAGCAAAAGTAGTAGGAAGTCAAGCAGGCAAAGAAGTTAACATACAAATTATCAATGTATTTATTAGTGATTTTAGCTCATTTAATTGATTGAAAACAAACAAACAAAAAAAACAAGCAAAATTCATTTAGCTAAGAGAATCAAAAATTTTAATAATTTTTAAATCTTTAATTAAAATTTAATACAACTCCAAGATTTGATTTTCTGGAAATTTCAATTTTTAACATTCTTTTGCTTTGACTTTAACAATGAATAAATAAATAATTAACTGAAATTTTGACTTTAATAAGTAATTTATTTTCCAAAAAATAAAGTGGTAGAGGAACTGTTGTTTGAGAAACATGCCCACAAATAATCTTTCAATAAATCAATCAATCTATCAATCAATAATTATTCATTCATTCATTTATTAAATAATCTCACAAGTTTCTATTAATATATCAAAAGAAAATCCACCTCAATCAATTATTGAGTAGTTCAATTTATGAATGAATGAATGAGTGAATGAACAATATTATTTAATGAATTATTGTAAGAGTGAATAGTTAATTTTAAGACAGGTTAATTAAAATTAATTAATAAATAAACAAACAAACATAAAATAAAGAGAAATACTAAACACTAATCATTTAACTGTCTTTCAAATTATCTATATATCAAGAAGATGATTGATTTTGAATCTATAAGATTGATTTGTTAATTTTTATATAAACACTCAAAAAAAAAAAGATTAAAATAATTAGATCCACTTTATTAAAATATTATTTTTGTTATTTTTATATATCTAAGTTTGTTTGAGTGAAATAAATAAATAAGACAAATAAATAAATAAATGCCCTTTAATTTCAATTCAATCAGTTGATTTTTTTATTATTTTAGCTATCGTGTATCATTTATTCATTTATATTTCAACAATTTTTAAATCACTAAATTAACTATTGCTTATTTCTATTCTCTTTTTGTCAAATGGTTATAATAAATTAAGTACAAATAGTAGAAAATCAACATCAATAACACAAAGGAATACACTATGAAATTTGAAGAAGAGGAGATCACACAAATCACATAAATTCAACAATTGAGAGATAAGATAGCCATCTAAAGGATCAATTCTAGCTCTCCTAAACTCACTTCTCATAATTCAATTTGAACAGATTACTTTATATCGCTCTAATAAGTTGCTTAATCTTTAATAAATTGATGACATTAAACATATTTTGATGTTATATTATCACACAAGCTATCTGGAGGGTGCATGCTACTTAAATCTCATAAATTAAGAACAATCTAAAATTATTAAAAATTAAATAAATTTAAATACCTATATAAATAAAATAATCTTCTCTTCTTACTCATAGGTACTCACTTACACGTGATGAAAATTATGTGTAGCTTTAGCTTGAAGAAGATAAAAATTTTTACAATAAAAAGTGTAGGTAATATAAACAAGCAACATTTTATCTTAAATTAATAGTTAGTAAGCACTAAAGTATTACTACTAGCAACAATAAATAAATAAATCAACCAAACAAAAGATAAATATTTAAATAAATTTTAAAATCCAAAAACAGCCATCTTAATACTAAAATATTAATAATCTTTCAGTTATTTTGTATTTATATACCTTCACTTCATATTGCATTTATTAAATCTTTTAAAAGCTAAAAATTAGCTTAATTATTTAAAATCTTTAAAAAGTTTCATTTTTATTTTTTAAATTAAAAATTAATTTGTTTTTTAATTGAAATATATTCAAATTATAATTTATATTCAATTAAATTATAATATTTATTGATTAAATTTAAGAAATATTTCCATTGAATAAATATAAAGTGATCATTGAATATTTATTACTTAAATAAATCAATCTAAAATAAAACTTATCACAAAAATAGTTTTTTAGAAATTAATAATTTAATCAGAAATGTTAAAAATTTAATTCAATAATATTAAAAATCACTGTTTTAAATAAATTTACATTAAAAATCAAGCTTTTTAGATTAACATTTTTTTATTAAATTAATTTGCTTTCTAAAAATGATTATTCTAATTAAATTTGTATAATAATAATTTAATTTTTAAATTAATTTGCTAACCAAAAATATCTATTTTATTGAATTTAAATTTACAAAATAAATTTAAATTTAATATTTTGTCTATAAAAAATTAATAATAATTTAAATATTAAAAAACCAAAAAAAATACTTAAATAAAAATAATACATATATTTTTAAAAAACAACAACATTTAAAAACAATTAGCTATTTTTTCACAAATAAATATTTAAAATTTATTATTATTTTTTTAATTTATTTTTACTATTAATTAAATGTTAAATCAAGATTTATAAATTAAAAAATAGATTTTAAATATGATTCAAATATTTAAAATGTTAGCTTATTATTATAAATATATATAGTTTCTTTAGAATAGTTGCAGTTTTATTAATCCAATAAGATTAAAAAAATCTAAATTACTAATATAAATTATACACATACAAATAAAATTCAATTGGTTTTAACTTCTTCTTAAGTAGTATTTGTATTAGCTGTTTTGGCAGCGTAATCCTTTTTAATTTTTTTAAGTTTGTCCATTAATTTACCAGCATCAGTGAAAGAATTAGCAGAGTATTTTTTAAGCTTGAAACAGAAATCAGTCAAATCTTCCTTGTTTTTGAACTCGGTTTTAGCATGCTCTAAGATCTCTGTTAATCCATCATAACGAGCTTTAAACTCAGATTCGAGAACAATTTTTGCTAATGGTTAAATTTCTTCTAAAATAGCAGTAAGTTTTTCGCTTTCCTTTTAAATATTTTCATTGAGTTTTTCAACATGTGATTAATTTGTGGGATCTCCCTTGGTTTTGAAGTGCTCCTTGTGTCTAAGAATTGCTTCTAAAACTTATGTAATTTAAGCAATAACCTTTTTGAAATTCAAAAATTAGTTTCTTTCTTAGCTGATTTAGTCGTATTCAGGACCATAGTTAATTTCTTTAGGCTAATCGTTAATATATTCATTTAAGTTGTTGACATTAGAAGGATACCTTTATGATATTAAAAAATAATAAGATTTTAGAACATTTTTAAACTTTATTACATGGTGTTCATAGACTCAGGAACTCTCACACCTCCAATAGGTACGGGTGTCTTATCACCTTAGTGATATAAAGGATTGTTTGGGTCAAATTGGGCTCTGAATTATTCCTCAGAGTGTTCAATCATTGCTTAAAGATTATCTTTGCTTTATTCCATTTTATCTATGAATGCTTTATTTTTATTTTTTTATAAAGATTTTGATTTTTACTAATTTAGATATTTTTAAATTTTTTGAAAATTTTTAAAGAGTTATTAAATATTTCGCTAGCAGCTTAAGAAGCTTATTATTTATATGTTTAATATATAACTTAAATATCTTCTATGATATTTTAATGATTTGTCAATCATAGAAAAATTGCTAGCTGTCAGTCAGTCAGTAAACATCATCCACATCAAATTGTTACAATAATTCACTAAAATCTATTTAAATAAAACAAATAAATTTTTCTATATTTAAAATAGCAATAAAATGAAATAATTAATACACATTTTTATAATTGACAAATATTTGAATTAATTTACAATAACAAATAAATAAATAAATATTTGTATTAATATATCAATCAGATTGTATTTATTAGAGAAGATATAAAAACCATAAAAGATGTACAAATTAGAATTTACTTCAATTTAAAGCATAATTTTCGAAAAATTAAATTTTATCATTTTGAAATATTAATTTGTCAAATATGAAAAATATCTTAAATTTCAGTAAAGACTTGTAAAAGAATGTTATTAGATGGATATTATTTAATTAGAAATAAAAAGTACTTTGAAATTATTTTATTTTTTATAAATTTAGATTCACCTATTTAACTAAATCTTAAAATACAAATAAATTCATTTTTTAAAATGTGTTAAATAATTTAGTTGATATTTTGTTTTGTACATCTGATTTGTTTAATTTAGCGCTTAAAAATATAAAAGAGTTTATCAAAATAGGTTTGATAAAAATATCAAGCAAATTGAAGATATTAGTATATTTTAAATATTTATTTAATTTATTATTTTTTTTATATTTTATTTCGAGTTGTAATAGGAACAAGACTTTTAAGTTTAAAATGTGCCATATTTAGCATGAATTTATTCTATTGTTTCTATTTATTTAGAGAAAATGTTATTTTGTTTGTGATTATGCCATTTTTTATCATAAAAAATAATTAATTAACACCATTATTTTTGTTTTAAATTTTTTAGAAATATTTAAAAAATAAATTGTTTGCTCTTATCATATGAAATATTTTAGAAGTTATTTATTTTAATAGCTGTTTTATCTGAGATGATTTAAATTATACTTGAATGACTTTTAAAAATGTTAAATTGATTGAATATGATTACAAATAAAAATATATAATTATCAACTAAAAATATAGAAAACACTTAATCCTAATTATCAGCTTGATGCTCCTTAGCTTTCAGTAAAAACTATAATTTCTATTTTAGATGAATCACAACTTTAGAACTCATCTCCTACTCTTTTATTAGAATCATTACTTATTCTTTAGCCATTATACATCAATCTAACTGATTTAACATCTGTACTAACTAATTCTGCAATAGCTTCAAAAAATTCACCTAAAGTTAGCTATTTTTCAATATTAGCGTCAAACTATTGATTCAATCTAGGTATTTAAATGCTAAATTTGTATTAGTCACCGTTTTCAAGTTCAATTTAATCATCCATTTTTACAAAAATCTCAAAAGGATGCTATTTTTTTTATAAATTTAATAAAGTTTGTTAGAATAATTATTTAATGACTAATAATTTTAATAAAATAAATGAACAATTTGAGTAGAAAGAATAAATTAATTGTTAAATGAATAAATATCTCTTCAATAAAATATGTTTAGAGTGAAAATAATTTGATTAGAATATTTTGGTTTTTTTGCAACAAGTATAAAATTTCTTATTTTAAATCACTCAAATTATCTGCTAAGAAGGCTTATTATTTTACTTAAAGTAAATTGATATAAAAGCTGAATTAAAAATAATTTTATCAAAGAATTTATTTCCTTTAAATAAATCTAAAAATTAATAAAAAATTATTTTATCATTTCATCAAATTCATTGTTTAATTTCTTTTTTTAAATTTCGTTAAATTTAAAAACAAAAGATTTTAAAAATAAACAATTTTAAAAGATTTTTTAGTAAATGAAAACCTTTATTTATTTATTTAAATATTAAAAAAAATATATTTTATATCAATTAATTAAAAAAAGAAATTTATATTCTGATTTTGTTTGTTAAATTTTTTTATGTTATATTTTAAATTAAGAATGATAAAAAATTTTAAAGCAGATCTAAAAATTTACTATATACATTGAGTAGTGACGATAGGATTATAGCGATTATTTATGATTAGGAGGATACAATTTTGAAATTATTTTTTTTCCTTATTAAAAACTATTTTACAATGATTTTAGAGTAAGGAGCTAAAAAATCAAAAATAAAATTTTTTCTCCCTCCTTTTTCAAGAATATTTATGATATTATTTTATTTATTTTTTTATTAATTACCTTTTTTGATATTTTTAGAAATGGAATAGATTTATTATTTAAGTTAAATTCATTTTTGAATATATTAATGAAATAAATTAGGTTCAAATATATTTTTAAATCAAGTAAAATATAGATTAGAAAGGTCATTAATTAGTAATCGAAAGAAGTAATTTTAGTAATAATGCTTTAAATTCATTAATTAAAAAGTAATAAATTATTAAAAATATACAAAAGCCTATTTGAAATAAAATTAATTAATGAGTGAATAAATTTCATACAAATAAGAGCAAGGATAGCAAATATTTGGGTTAATATTTAAATGAATTTTATTTAAATTATTTATAAAATAGTAATAAGTATAACTTTTGGTAAGAAATACTTAATTAGGATAAATATTTTACTAACAATTCTTAAATATATTTATTTACTTTCTAAATTTCATCATAGAAGTCAAAACTTAATTATAAATTTTTACAAACTATGTATGTTTTATAATTATTTTTGACTTTAAGCTTAATGATAATAGGTATTTATTTTAACTAATAATTATAACTTTTAGTAGCATCTCTCATTAATGTTTGATAAAATAATGTTTTAACAAATAAGTATTTATATACATGGATAACTAAGAAATAATTTAAATAGTTTTATTCATTTACAATTTAATTAATATTTATTTTTTTATAATAAAATCTTCTTTGAATAAAGATTGATTGTGATTGAATAGTAATAATGTTAGATTTATTAATAGTTTAAGTAATAATATTTAATAACCATTCCTTCGTTCTTTCATTATTTTTTATAAAAAGTTAGTTTTAAAAAGAAATAGTTGATAGAGTAGTAAATAAATAAATAATTTTATTTTTAAATTATATTTGATTTGCTTTTATCGTAAATAAGTTATTTACTTTGCTAAAAAAAGCAATCAAGATAGATTATGTATTGGTTTATTTGGTATTTTACAAAGCTTTATGTTTCATCTATTAGATTTTATTGTTCAAATATATCAATTGAAATTAATTTTTGTTTTAACTAGAACTTTTATTATAAATATCAAAATCAATCAATCATTCATTCATTAGATTAATATCAAAGGAGTATTTATTTTCTTGTGTTTATTATTAACAATTATTATAATTCTAATTATAGATTTTTACTTCAGATGAAAATCAAAATTTTTTTAATTGTCTGAAAATTAAGAACTAAAAGTTATCTAGCTTAGTTTATTTACTATTTATAAACACAGCTTTCTATTTGATTCATTGATTGATTGAATAAAGAATAATTGATTATTATTTTTCATTTTTGTGGTAATTGCTTGGATTTTAGAACTTTTTGCAGAGGGTTATTATTATACTTAACGATTTCATTTTTAATTTCAAATTCTTTCATAAATTCCTTTATGTTGTCAGTAATATCTTCTCTCACTTCGAATTAGTTGTTTGTCATTTCCTTTGGGAAAACCACTTTAACTTTTCTATTCTTTTCTTTTAACACTTTAGAGAGTTATATTGTATGATCTGGTATTATTTTGATATCTTTTTCTCCATGGATGAACAATGTAGGAGATTTTATCTTTTCCATCATTTGCATATTATTGAATTTTTCTATGTATTCTCCTTCTACTTTTTGATCTAAGTCCTAAAGGAGTTGCTTGACGGTGGTAAAAGGACTCATCAATATCACACCTCCTGGGCTTCTTTCCGAAGCTAAAAAACAAGCTGGACCTGTTCCTATAGACCTTCCAAATAGCAGTATGTTTTTCTCTGGGATGTGCAATTCATTTGTAATATAATCGTATACTCTCAGAGAGTCTAATTTTATTTATTCTGCAGAAGCTTGAGTTTCTTAGTAAATTCCATATCCAGGATATTCCATTTCAATAATATTTACGCATAATTCAGTTTAAATGAGTTCAAGTAAATATTAAGGATGACCTGCATCCTCACCATTGCCATGGAAGTATATCAAGACTATATTAGAGGAGTCTTCTTCTTCTTTGAATGGAAACACAAGAAGAGGCATCTACAATTCGTGGAAGCTGGAATCTTTTATTATAAAAATATTTGATGAGTTTTTTTGTTTGTATTTTGATATGTTTAAAGTAGGAATTAATAAAATGTAATTATGTGATTTTACCTTTATTAATGATCTGGTGGTTAACATCAACCGTAGTAATTTTAATTAGCTTAACACATTCATCATCTTAAAAACGCTCTTCACTATAGCTAGGCTTTGGAGCTGGGAATAACTTTTTTTCTAAGCTCATTTTTGGCTGAATACTTGCTTTTTTTGTTTAATTATGTTTATTTTGCTAATGATTAATTTGAATTGCTAATGATTAATCTGAATGATTGATTATTAATGAGTAAGAATCTAAAAAATCTTTGTTAATATTAATTACTATAATTTAAGATTATTAATGATTATTAATTTTTATAAGCTTGTCTCTTTAAATGATATATATATATATATATTCTTAAATTGTGACTATCGTTTAAATAATGTAATCCAATATATTTTAATCATAAATAAAATTATTAAATAGTTAGTAAACATCTTACGTACTATTAATTCAAGGTTATCTACAAGTTGAGCCTTTTTTTACTCCCTTTTTATTAGCTCTATTACATTCTTTTTTATAAAATCATGTAAAGATATAGATTTATAAACCAAATCAATATTTATTGACTTATTGTCATTTTTTTTTCTCTCCAATTTTATTAAAATTTTTTCAGCTATCCGCATATTAACATAACTAATAAGAAAGTATGACAAAACCATTTTACTATCAGACTAAAAAATTTAAGCTTTTTAAAACAACTCTAAATTTAGTAAAAACAACAAATATTCATGAAATTAAGCTTGAATTTATAAATTATTAAGTATTATATTTTGTTACTCCTTTTAACATAAACTCATTTTCTAAAATTGTTTATCTTATCTGTTTGTTTTGCACTTTTACTCAAATTATTGGAAAATGACTGATGAATTTTTTTATTTTTAATTCTTTTAAAAATAAGCTAAACGAGTGATCATAATATTATCCTAGTCTAATTTAACAAATATTCCCTTAGTAAAAAAATGTGCTTAACTCTTTCTCAGTAATAGACATTCTTTCTACCTATTTTGCAGTCTAGATAGCTTGAAAGATAATTAAGCCATAAAGTTAAGCCGCCTAACAAATAAAAATTATCTATTATTTTTTTACAATTAGAGTGGCAAGATTTATAAAGTAAAAACTTTAAATTAACTCTATTTTTAAAATGTTTTTAGGCTATAATCAGTTATCTACATTTTTTTTCAAATTTATTATTAAAAAACTAATAGAAGTACTTATTTCATCAAAAGAACTTCAATAAGATATTTGCACAAAATTAAATTTCCATTTTTATGTTTTTTTCTGATTAATGCTATCAGCTGATTGTGTTTTAATAAAAGATTTTTATTTGAAATTAGTGTTTAAATATGTTTGAAAAATACAAATTAGTAAATTAAAAAACAGCATAAATAAAATTTATATTATTTTTAGTAAGTAAGTAAGTACTGAATTAGTATTTAAATAAAGGCTAATATTTAATGTCATTAAATTTAAAAAAGCATTCATCAAATTATCTAAAATTTTTATCCAATTAATTAAACTTGATTTGAATTTCAATAAAGTATGTTTAATGTACTCTTATTTTTTATTTTTAAGGGTTTTACTTGAAATTATTTTATTTTATTTATTCTTAGTAGTTAGTATATAAGTTTGTATTTATTTTTATTTAAAATAATTTTAAGCCTTTATTTTTTTTTTTTAAATATTTTTTTCAGCTTTTAATGAGAATCTGTTTAAATAAAATATAAATCATTAAAATTTTGTATCTATATTAGTTTATTAATTCAAATTAGCAATTTGCAAACCAAATATGAAAAATTAACAATTTTTTTTGCAAGTTAATGGTTAACTACAATATATAAAATGATCTTTATTTTTATTTACAATAATTTTAATCATAATATAAACTTTATGTTTAAATCTTATTTTTTTCATCTTTAAATAAGAAGATTTCAATAAAAGATCAATATAAAAGCTCTTTATATAAAGGATAGATTTTTTATTATTTAAAATTAACAAAATTTTAATTCTGAAAGAATTTGCAAAATAAATAAAACTATTATAAAATAGAAGATTGACATGAATTTTAATTTTATAAAAAATATTAAAAATGATGTATGAATTAAATTAAATAATTTTTTTGTCATGAAAAATTATGGGTTGTTTCTTGAATTTTACTGAGTAGAATTATTTAGTGACTATATTTTAAAATTCAAAGATTATTTGTAAATAATTTATAGAATGTAAATAATATTTTAAGATGTAATTGATTATTTGTTTATCAAAATTTTATAAATAACATCTAAAATTTATTAATTCATTGATTTTTCTAATAGCAATTAAGATATATCAAATTAAACATAATTATTAATAAGATTTTAAATTTACCTTTAAATTAATAGTGAGTTAATTAAGCTTAACAACAATATAGTTTTTTAAAAATAAAATGATAAGCATTTAATAACTTAACAAAAAAACTTATCATTAGAAATATACAATTTATATTAGAATGATGAAGAGTCATTTTTTATCTTAAACTTTATCAGTTAATTTGAAATAAAAAATTTGAAAATTTACTGATTAAATAAATGAATATGATTGATTGCTTTGATTAATAATAATTTCTAGAAAATAAAAATTATTAAATTATTTAAAAAAATTGAGTTGTTTTGACCATGCAAAAAATAAATACAAATTAATTTGAAATATAAAAATAAAATTTAGAATGAAATTTAGATTAATAATAAAGTAATAAAAAACAAAACTAATTTAGAAAAATCAAAATAATCTAAATTTTATAGAACATAAAGAAGAATATGAAAATTAATTGTTGATAATTATTTAACAATTTTGATATTTTAAAAAATAATTGATAAAATTAGTATTTTTAAAAAATCACAAAAGCTAAGCTTTTTTATCAAAATAAAAATAAACTTTATTATTGAAATGATAAATTTAATTTTTTTAATAAAAGGATGAAGATATTTTATTAAATATAAAAATATCTTTTAAAAATATTCTGCATTTAATCCTTAAAAACATAGTGAAAATATTAATTTAAAAATATATAATATTTCAATTGAATTTATTTATATTTCTAAATTACAGATGAAATTTAAAAAAATTTATTATTGATGTACATAAAATATTGAATACTTAATTGAGTTTCAAAAAATTTAAATTTTCAGGCTTTACGAATCTTTCTTTGCAATAGATTATATCCCTTTTTAAGTTTATTTAATTTATTATAAATTTCTTATCAGAAAGAATCTGATAAAACAGGCATGGAATAAAGTGACCTGACAAAAAAAATAATTTAATAGAGATAGATGGATATGTAGATATAGTGATTTCTGATCAAATCTTTTTAAAAGATTGATATCTTCAAAATAAATTTTATTTTAAGAGAAATTATAAATAATTAAAAATTGATAGATATCGTACCCAATTTATTATTATCAAACTAGATTAGATTTTTATTTTCAATTAGAAACTCAAAGATATATAGATAGATATAAGATTAAGGAGTAAAAAGTTCATTCATGATAATAAATTAATTACAATTTAAGAAAGAAAGTAGATATATAAATAAGTAAATAAATAATTTATTAGTTTAATGCAATAGTTAATTTTATTAGAACTGTATCTTTTTCTATTAATCAAACATCTTAATTTACTCTTTATTTTGATAGAAAGCATTTCTTCTAAAAAGAAATTAAAAACTTTTTTAAACTTTGCAGAGTAAGAAGAAAATGATAAGAAAAATCGAAAATCATACTCATTTAAAATGAATAAATTTTTAATTATATATAAAAATAAGAAAAATGAAAATGATTTGGATTGGTCTGATTAATGAAAATTACCCAATGAAATCAAATTTTTAGAAAATATTTAAGTATTTTTTTATCAGTTGAGCTAATTTTATAGACGAAAATATTTATTTGACAGTAACATAGCATCATTTAATTTTAAAAAAATACCTTAACATTTAATAGATACTTACTTTTTATTGAATTAATCAACCAATACCAAGTAAATGAAGGAGAAGTGTATCACTTTCAAGTATTATTTGGTGTTGATAATATTAAGCATTATGCTTGAGTATGTAAATATAATTTAAGAGAATTTTTTTTGTAATAATAAATCAAAAATCAAAATCAAAATTTGAAGACAAATTAGCTTAATAGTATTAAGAGTAGTGTGATTTTTAATAATTGAAATAAATGCAAATTAATTAATTAAACATATCTTTTTTTTGAGATTTATTCATAATATTTTTAATTATTTACATATTTTTTAGGAGACAAATCGACTATTAAGAAAGGAGTATTTTATTAAAAGAATATCTTTGTTATATATTCTAATCTCTTTTAAAGTAAAACCATAAGATTTATCAATATTTTTTGGTACTAGTTGATTACTTTTGTAAAATTATTTTTACAATGAATATGCGCTTAGCTTTTTATAAAAGAACTTGATTGATACAAATTTCATTAATATGACAAAGTAGCAAATTATAAATTTGTGTTTGTTAAAAAATTAAAAATATTTTTTATTTTCTAGTGTTATTAAAAAATGTCAAGTATACTACGATTTCTCTAAATTATTTTTATTGAAGTAAGCAAGGTAAAAATGAAGAATGTAAAATTAATTGAAGCTAACTGGTATTTGCTGAAAGAAAATTCAATTTATTAATTAGCTGATATGTGGCTGATAAGATCTTTAATTTCTAATTATTCTCTTCAGACTGAGTATAGCCCGAACCAAACCGGGATTTTTTAATAAAATTGATTGTGTATTTACTTGAATAAACTTTGAATTTAAATTTCATGATATTTTGTAATTAAAAGTATACTTTTTTTGTTTGATCTTACAAGAATAATCAATAGATAAATGAATGAATTGAGGATAATTTTTTTTTTGATAAATTAAAAAATTGCAAGCACAATATTTTTAATCAGTAATTAATATGATGTGAATAGAAAGGCGCATTTATTTGATGGGAGATTTTGTCTTTGGAAAATTTTTTAAAACTCAAACGATCAGAATTTATGTGTTTTTAACATATTTGAATATTTTCACTTGTAAATAAGATTAACAATCGTTTGGTTCTATAAGCGAGTTTATTAAAATTAAGGAAGAAAAAAATTAAGAAGATATTAATAGCTGGATTATCTTAAAATAAATTAAGGGCTCAAAAGCAATAAAATTTGAAATAAAAACATAATTAAAGCTTTAAGCACATCAATTTGTTAAAAACATCACTTTTTGTAATATTTTGCTTGTCTAAATATACCAATTTTGATCTAAATCTAAATTTTTAGTGCTATTAAATTTTTTCAAAATTTTTCCTCCTATTTAATTCCATTCACTGAGCAAGGGAAGTTTCTAATACAAATTATTTTCTTTGTTGTTATTCTAAAATATCTTTTTTTTTCCCTTAGCTTTTTTATTAGATGTCTCAACAAGTCAATAAATTTTTTGAACTAAATTTTTTTAATATAATTAGATCCAGCTCAGCTTCATCAAATTTATTACTTGATCAGCTCACAAAAATATAACATATATAAATTTTCAGTAAATCTAGCTAAATTAAACATTATTATGACTAAAATAGAGTAAATAAGTCTTTATTAAAATTATTAATCGTTACATTAACAAAAGGATAATATATATTTTCTAAAGGGTAACAAATAGAAAACTCAATCGTGGGAAATTTATTTGATCCTAAACCAATTTTTTAAGCAGTATTTTGGAAATTTTTATCAAAGTACCCTTTATGCCTTGCTTCTTGTATTCTTGTCAATTTATGAAAGTCTACAAAGAATATCAAAAAAATGACTCCTCGAAACTTTTGATAAAAAGATCTGTGTAAACACTTAAAAATGAATATGTTTTTGTTATTAGAAAAAAATGCAGCTCTAAATTAGATATTATGTTTTTTTTAAGGTTTCAACTTGAAAAGTTAAATATTCAGGTAAATTGTATGACAATAACTTTAATATATTTGAAATTTTTAATATAATTCATTGAGTAATACATACATACATAACTTCTGTTTTAATTAAATAATCAGAACTAAAGAGCAAAGAAGAGTTAACTTTGATCAATAAATAGGAAATAACTTGAAAAGCTAATTTTTTTTCAAAATTCCACAATTCTTCCAACTATTCAGTTTAGAAAGAGAGATACATTGAGAGAATAGGATATTAATTAATTAAATAGCTCAGCAAGTCATCTCTTCCATGCAATGTATAATAAAGATTAGTATCAGAAGTTAGAATCCAACTAAACTAACACACAAAAGGCTAATTAGAACGAAATCAGCTCAGAGTTAGCCAGAGTCTGTAAGGAAATGGATTTCTACTCTGAGCAGCTATAAGTTTACATAAACAAGCACTAAAACACTGATGACATGAAGATTCTTAATAACATGGATGAAAAGATTCGACTTTTGCTGCAATTGATCTAAAGAGTTCAGAGTGACACTCATAAGATCTAATAAGACAAGATAAAGTCAATTAATGAAAAAACTTTATTATAAAACTAAATTTCATCCAAAAACTCCAACACAAACACAACTTTTAATCCTTTTAAGGTAACCAACCATTTGACTTTAGGTGATTCATATGTTGTACCTTAAAAGTAAAATTAGTTACCGCTTTTCTAGCTTCCTGCCGCTCCTGCTAATTAACAATATTCAATCGAATAAAAATTACAAGGAAAGTCCTCAGTGCAGGATAATCAATAATAGGAGCTTTTAGCTTATCACAGTCAGGAACAGCTGAGCAATCATTAAGAAAAAGAGTATAATGCAGAAGATTATTTGATTGAAAACTAGAAAAAATACCAATAAATAGACTCAAAAGAATAGATTTATAAGAACAATACAAACAATATTAATAACAACAACAACAACAAATTTAATAAAAAACGTAAGTAAAACGAGCAGTTCGAAGATAATTTTATTAAAATGAATAACAAAGATATTACTAAATCTCACATAAATGATAATCTTAGTGAATATGAATAAATGTAAAAGATCTAAATTCAAGGTACTTAGCCTAGGTTGCTGCAAACCTATGTCTAAGCTAAATCTGGTCAATAATAATAGATTCTTTAATAATAGTAGTAACACCATTTCTAAATGCCTACTTAAAATATAAATTCTGTAAACTAGACGTATTAACAAATTTAGTAATAATAGCTCTAAATTAATACATAGTAAACTTAAATTCATTAGAATCAAATTTAACTTAATCAAAACAATTATTTACTTCATTAAAATGGGGCTATCAATTAAGAAGAAAGTAACTTCTTTAACTAGAAAGAATAACTTAGCAACAACAACAACAACAATAATAATACTATATAAGGTGGTAATAATACCTTAAGTAACGTAAACTACTAAGCCAACAATTCTAATTTTGCCTCTAATTTTAATGCAGTTTAAATTTAAGGTTCAATGATTAAAGTCTATCCTAAGAAGGCAACAACATCGAATCACAATTTGAATTCTTAGAGCAATAACAGCAGTGGAAGTTACAGTCATACTCACAGCCAGTCGAGTAAAAGCCAACAAGCATTAAATAAAATCAATCAAAGTAACTAAATAAATCAAAATTAGATTGAGAATACTAACGAGCCAATATCTTTAAACTCTCAAAATAATTAGCTTTCTCACCATGAGATTGCTCAACCAGTACAAGATAATGTTGAGAATTTTTTAAACTACTATCCTAATCAATAGAATCAGTAAAGTTAGTAGTAACAACAACAGTAATAGATGTCTATTTCATAAATAAATCAAGAATAATCTGCATAAGTTTACCACAATCAAAATTTTTTAATGAGCTGCAGCTCTAATGATACATAATAAAAGATGGCCTCTGACGATTAGAATATAGATTTATATCTTCATCATGATAATTTTCATGAAGCAACACATTAAAATAATAGTTCTAATATGATTGTACTCTCAAATACAAGTTAAATAAATCATCACATAATTCATCACAGCAAGAGTATGGGAACTCTTTAAATAAAATTGAAAAAATAGAATTTAAAAAGTGCTCATTAGCAAGACATTAATTTGACTGAAATGGACAATCATAATTAAAACAGCAATTTAGTTTAGAGCTAAGATTCTGGCTTGAAGGACTCTGATATCGGGATGATTACACTCGAACAGCATAAAATTCTTATGTCAAAAAGCTTGGGAGATAGTGACAGGAATGTTGGCAACAACCAAAGCTAAAATACATTTATTACAGACAATGAAAGAACTAAAAGCAGTAATAACAACAGTAATTTTTTAAGTAATAGCACAACCTTGAATAATATGCAAAGCACTGCTAATACGGGTAAGTAGGATCTAAAGATATGCAAGAAAGAAGAGGAATATAGTGATTATGAAAATGATGCTGAAGGAAGTGAGTCAGAAGAGTAGACTCCGTTGGCAAACCAAGATTTTAAATATAAAAATGAATAAATGGTTCAAGTAAACAACAAATCGAGAGCTTTCGATACGAGAAATGTAATCAAAAATCTTCTGACTTTCTTAAAGAAATATTTGACTTCATTAACAATTCCTCAGAACTTGTTAGCATGGCAAACAGCACAAGCAGATTTCCGAGAATATATAAATAATTACAAAGGCAATGATGTGAAGAGCTCTCGATCTATCATCTAAAGCTATCCTTTAGTCAATTCAATAAGTGAAATTCAGAATGACTAGCTGAAATAAGATTTAGAACTTAGATTGTAAAGCTTTCCATTATTTCCTTTGAGCGAATAAATAAGAAGAATAAATTATTTCAACAGCCTAGTGAGAAGATATTCAATGACTTACTTAACTGTAATAATGCCCTAAATAGTTTAAAAAAATGGAATGTTTATCTAGAAAGACAGTATATAAAGATTCTCCCAACTTTTTCTCTCTTACATTAAAAATCCTACTTCCTACTTAAGAATTCAATCTTGATAACAAAATTTAACTAACTGCTTATGAAACTACTACTCCATCGATAACAATAATAACAATAACAACAACAACAACATCTCTTGTTATAATTAATTTAATCTTAAACCAAAAATTTCTTTATAAACAACAAATTAATAACAATTATATAAAAAACAAACACTTAATCCCTAAAAATGCCAGATCTTATTTATTATGCTCTTTTGATAAACTGGCTCGCTCTACCTAATATTATTTATAAATAAATAATCTAAACTTTTCAATTATCTTATTTTATTTAAGTTTTTCGAATATTTGGCTATTTATATAACTTTGTTAGAAAATAATTCTTTCTAATGAAATCAGTACACATTATTAAAAAATTTAAATTTATTATTTTTCTTAACTCAATCAATCATTCATTCAATCAATCAATCAATCAATCGATTCTTATTTTTTATTTGTCTTCGATAATTTTTTATTTTTAAATGCTCTTTCTTTCTCTTTCTCTCTCTCTCTAATCTAATCTCGCAAAGTTATTTCAATAAAATATAAATTGTCTTCTATTAATTTCAAACTATGAGAAAAGACAAAATAAAAATTTGTAAGCAAACTAATTAGAAAGAAAAATTGTTAATTTTAACAATAATTTAAAATAAAAATTAAATTTGAGCAAATATATTTGTTTATTTTTCTTCAATCTATTTTAACTAAATTTTTTGGAGAGAAAAAAAATTTTCCCCCTCTTTTTTAATTTCTTTTTGCCTAACAAAAAACAAAAAAACAAAAACTAATCAATCAAAACAATTTAAACAAATCTTTAATCAGATGAATGGATATACTTAAATAAATACCAGGGTTTGTATAAGTAAACATTAAATGCTTTTACACACCACCAGAAAAATAAAAAATATAATTCTACCAAAAACATATTTTAAGAATAGTCACTAATTACTATTTTTAAAACAAATTCAATAAATAAAAACAATTTTTAAATTATTACTTTTAAGTATAGTAAGGACATAGTAATAGTCTATACTGTTATTATGCTCGTTGTTACTTAAATTACACTTATCATTATTTTGTATATTATAAAAAAGTATGTATGTATTTATTATTTGTCCTCCTTTTTCATTTTTTTAATAAAATATTTTGTAATAAATAAAAGACCAAAGAACATAATTATTGTGGTAGCTTTTTTAAGTAAGAATTTGTTATAAAAAATAAATTGTACACAATTTAAATGAATAAAAATAATTTATTTATTTTAAAAAGCTTTTTTCATCACTTAGCTTCGATGTATTATTCTTCTTCTCTCTTAATTAAGTTAGAAGTATGATCAATCAATGATAAGATTTAGTTAACATCGGTAGCCCATTCGTTGAGAATATCGTTCTCAGAGCGTCTAAGCTTGAAATTAACTACGCCTTCCAAACGATCAATCTTGCAATTTACTAGCTAGTCGTTTTGCATTTCACAAAGCTCATTTTCAGCTTCTTCTTAAGAAATATTCAATAATGCAGCAAGACGGGATAAAGAAATTTAAGAGTAGTACTTATTAATAACACGAATATTGTGATGAATTAATTATTTTCTGAAATCAGTTATGTGTTGAACTGACTTTTCAGGTCTAGAAAAACATTAAATATTCTGTAAATTGTAACTTGCAGGGTCTGTAGAAATTAATTCATCTAATAAGTAAGATTCAACTGCATTCTTCAAAGCAGGATATCTTTCTAGAATGTGTTTATACTTGCTGCTTACTAATTTCTGTAACAATTAAACCTATTCATGGCAGTGCTTATTGATGAGAAGGTAAGCAACAAAATTTTCAAATGTAGTCTAGAAGGAAGCATCAAAGTTAAAATCCAAAACAGTAGGCAATTCAATGTCCTTGTTTATTTTATCATTCACTGCATCAAAAATCTGTTAGAAGCAGTTAGAAACTTGCAAATATATGCTTTCATGATAGTAATATTCAACTAAATAAGCGTAATATTAAATCTTCAAATCAACTATTGTTTTATCATTTAAGGCTTAAGGTGTTAACTTCTTTGAAATAATCATCAAACGAATGTAATCTTTCTTCTTAAGCATGATCTTCATTTGATATAAGATGAATTCAATCTTTTCTCTCTTATCCATAGAGCCATAAGTTTCAACCTATTCGTTAAATAAATAGATAAGTTAATAATCATTCTATAATAATCACATTATTAAAATAATTTCATTTTCATATTTCATATTCAAACTAAACTATGAGTGAATAATAATAATATTTTTAAATATATAAAAATATGATATCAAGCTATTTATTTATTGAAGAATATTATATATTTAATTATAATTAATTAACACATTTTATAAATTAAGAGTGTTGTAATAAAATTATTTTCTATATGGATGATCTAAAAAATTATTAATCATTTCTTAAACAAAAACTATGTCTTTTTTATTGTTGAGGAAATTCATTTAACTTTATCTTAAAAAATTAAATTCAGTAAAATTGTTAATTAAATTATTTCAATACCTAAATAATAATTATTTTAATTATTAATTATTCTTATTGTGCTTATTAAAGAGAATCAATGCTAAAATTGTCTGATTGAATAGTAATTATTTTATTATTCAAAGTACATTGATTATTCATAAAAAATATTTAATTTTAAGAATATTATCTGTTTAAAATTAGTTTTTATTTGCTATTTCTCAAAATGATAACTCTTTTTGCAAGCTTTAAATTTAAAATACTTCAATTTAAACTATGTAGTAATGTGTAAAATGGAATTCAAGATTTAAATCTTGATTTGCTTTTAGTAATAATTAATTTAAGTAGGATTCATAGTTATTAATAGTCAATTTGTGAATTGAATGTATTCAAATTTTTATTGAAAAATTTCAAATATCGTTTTTAGCGTATCTTTTTTATTTGTATATTTATTATTAAATAAAATAAAAGGAAATGTCTACTTAAACTTCTTGCAAAATCTTAGCAGCTTCATTAATTTCGTTATCACTTTCCTTGTATTTAACGAGCTTTAGACAACATCTAGCATATTCTACCTATTTATTAAAACAAGAAATACTTTATTTCAAATTCGCATTATTTTTAAATTATTTTAAGAAAGTAATTCCTTCCTCTAAAAAATTTATTATTTAAATCTAATTTTTACTTCTAAGTAAATTTTTTTATCACAAATGTTTTTAATAGTTTCGATTAATCTAATTCTAGTGGGAATGTCTTAAATCTAATCTATATATCCCATAGCAATTTGGATCATATCAGTTTAAGCTTTCTTGCTTTGACCTCTTCTTTAAGAAAGTGTAGTCATGAGTTCAAAGAGCTTGTCATAATTTTTTACTTCCCAAGCTAATTTGACCTATTTATTACAATAAAAAAATTTTAATAGAAATATATGAAAGAAAACATAATTCTATTATTAATCTCGAGTAAAAATAAGCTTCAATTTTTATGTAATGGCACCTAATTGCAAAGAAAGACACTGCAATAAAGCTCATTCATTACACAATAATCAATAATGACTTCTAAAAGAATGAGTTACGATTTGTTTAACGATGTTGACAAGTTCTTCACTCTTGTTATTGAGACGAGCTTCTCTTTCCTTTTCGAGGAGGGAAGCAATCTATCTATCGAATTCGGAGCTTTCTTCAATTTCCATTATGCTATTATTTTATTTTTATGTGCTATTAAATTTTGCTTATGTGTAAATTTTATTATTGTTATTGTTATTTTATTATTAATTGGTTTGTTATCTTTCTTCCTACTAACAAAGTTAAATAAATTAATAAATAAATATCTTGTTTGTGAGCTTGTTTCTTTATATAAAAATTAAATTGATTCTTTCTGTTTTCAAAATGAAATGAATGATCAGTCTAATTAATTGCATTCAATATCTTGATATCAGAAAATGAGACTCTAATCTTGAATTCTTTCCTCTATCCTAACAAACAAACAAACAAACTAAATATATATTATTTTTTTAAATTTTACTTTTAAAACAGATTTCAAGAAAACATTAAATATGAACAATAAATATTTTTTTACACTTAATAAAATAATTACATTAATTTATTTCTTATCCCAATAGAAATAATTCTATTTTTAAATTTTATAAAGAGAAAAGATCTAATTTGATAGATAAATTACATTATTTATATTAATAAATTGCAACTTTTTCAAAAATATTTTATCCTAATAATGAATTGCAAATCATAAAATTAACTATTTTTAATGAAATTTTATTTTTAAGATTAAGATAAATAATTTGATTTAATCAATTTAATAAGATATTTTGGATTTATTTAAAATAAAATAAAATCTTACCAAAGAAAATTATATTTTTAATAAATAAAAAATATAAATTCGATATTCTTATATTGAGAGAGAAAACAAAGTTCTGAAATCTTTGAAAAAAATAAATAATTTTTATAAGAAATCTAATTATTTTATTTTGTAAACTATCAAAATAAAGATTATTAATTAATAAATCTATCTATCTAAAATACCCATATTATTTATTAATTTAAACTGTAATTTTTTTAATGAACACTTCTTTATGGAGATTTGAAAAAATATTTTTTTTTAGTGATAAGGATATTTTTATTTTAAAAATTAGATGCATTAAGATGTAAGAGTTTACAGATTTTTTAAAAAATATGCTACAGCAAATAATTTTTTAATAAAATAAAAATTATTTCACAAATTAATTAGTTTGGAAAAAGATATAAAATTAATTTTTTCAATTAAAATTAACATATTTGAATTAAACAATATACTTAACATTTGTTAATCATTGAGAACTTTATTAAAAAATATTTATTTTTATTGAAAAAAAAAAAATTATTTCAAAATTTAGTTATTTTGATTCTATATTCTAAAATCAAAAATAAAAGAATTAATAACATTTTAATGAATTGAATTCTTTGTGTTCTCAGTAAAAATTAATTAATTTAAATTATAAGATAAAAATAATTATAAACATTAAATACTCTAAATAAATTTAATTTTATTTTTAAATATTTTTTTTAATAATTTAAGTTTTACAAATTTATAAGAAAATAATTTATTGATTTATTTATTGGTTTTTTATTTTTATTATGTTAATTTTTATAATCGAATAAAAGAATCAATCTTTCTTAACTTTTTTATGTGTAATTAAATGATAAGCAGACATTAATTTATCGCTTTGTTGCTTTCTCTTCTTTTTTAAAACTTTTTCAAGCTTGCCTTCGTTTTGAAGCTTATCGTACTACACTTTGAGCAAGTCGTCCTTAATTTATGCTTTAAAATAGTATTTAAAATGTATTTTTTTTAATTTAGATTTAAAGAATTTTACTTTTTTTTGCAAAATATGGCATTTAACCCTTTTGTATTTGTTCTTTAGCTTGCTATTTATACTTGTCCATAACTTAATTTTTCCTATCATTATACTCTTTTTGTTTTACTTCACTTTTAATCTTGCCTAATTCCTTTTTTAACACAAGCTTTTCTTGGTCAGAAAATTTATTTTTTTTAATATCTTATTTCAAAGTTTCAATTTCTTTATTTTTCATTTCATCCAAGAATTTGTAGCTGTTTTAATACATAGTAGAATTGAATTCTCCTGATAAACCATCAAATCTAGGATCTCTACCTTTTTGCTATAAGTGAAAAAAAATTAATATTGATTAATTCTAAATCAAAGACAAATAAATAAATACCTTTTTGGAGCTGATAACAGTTGAGAAAATTGATACAGGTTTTTTAGCACTTCTTTCAAGAGGACTTTTATAAAAATAGAGTTAAAAGTCTAATTTAATTTTATATTTTTCTAATTTTACGCTCCTTTTGATGCTCTTTTGTCTTAAATTTTTACATTGTTGTTCTCATTTTTTTATTTTCTATCTGCAGATTTTGATTTTCTGCTCTTTAATTGTTATTTCTACATTTCTATTTGCTTTTATTAAGCTTTTATTTTCATGATTGTTTCAAATGAAGCATGCTTGAGCTATTCTTTAATCTATTTTTTATAAATTTCTTAATTGTAAATATAAAATATCTATGAGCTTCTATTAAATTACCAACTTTTCTTCTTCTTCTAATCTCGCTTGCTCATCATCGCTATCATTTTCATCTTCTCCATCACTGCCTTATTAGTCATCACTATTATCTTCAGCTTAATTTGGTTATTCATCTTCGCTATCCTAAACCTCTTGGTCTTCTTATTCATATTAATCATCTTGATCTTCTTCTGCAGAAAATTGAATTTTTTGCTTTCTAAACGACATTTTTCAAATTTTTTCTACTTAAAAAATTGATGTTTTTTTTATTTAATGTATTGAATTGAGTATCAAAAATATTAAATGTAAGAATTAATGACAAATTAAATTCCCTCTTTTTTAGTAAAATCTTAAATATAAATTCAATATCAAAAAGTATTATTAGAATTAATTGGTTATTATTTTTCTCTCTAATTAATTTATACACAATTTTTTCATAATCTGCGCGCAAAATTTTGTATAATATCTTGTTAAAATATTCAAATAGTTTATAATAAGCTAAAGTAGAAATAAAATTATAAAATGATCAACGGAGTTGATTCTATCCAATCATTCATACACTAAGAGCTGAACCTAAGGGTTGAGGCGCAAGCCATATAATAATTCTATAACCAAATCATACAACCTCTTGATCGTTAGTAGTAATTTAATAGCTCTATGCCTCCTAAAGTAAATTCATAAATCATCATAAAATAATTAAATCATCATCAGTTAAATAAAAAAGTTAATAGAATATCTAGAATACATTATTCAGGAACCTTTCGAAAAATATATAATTAAGCAAAAGTGCAATTAGCTATTGGCAAGAATAAAAAGCTAAACAGTAAAATAACTTTTTAATTCATTAATCATTTCTTTTAATATCAACAGAAAACATTTCTTGAAAAAGACACTCTTTTTGAAATTGTGATTGCTTAAAATGTCAGTGAAAGAAATGATACATGTGCTTCAAATACTATTAACGGATGCTTAAAAATAATAATTACAGATGGTGTGTAAAATAATTTTTTTAAATTAATAAATCTATGTTTTTTAATTAAAATTAAAACCATCATCAATATAAAATTTTTTTAATGAATAATTTATTTAATTTAGATTCGCGTTCACTGCAATTGAAGTATCAAAAATTCCTTAAATCCCAACAGATTTAAAGTAAATTAGAAATAAAAAAGTAAATTTTATCAAAATCAAGCTAGATTTTTCACTTTCTTACTTACATTTCTTATATCTGAACAAAAAAGATATTGATTAGACAGAACACAAAGATATAATTTAATATGCTATTCATAAATCCTAATAATGCTTACATCATATAAAACGCATAAAACTTGATTAAAATAAAAGAAAAACCAGCATTAAAATAAGAAGACATGTACTTAAATACAACCAGTGGAGTTTTACCTTTAAGGATAACTTAAGACAGCTAATTCTTCTCTAATTCAATTAATTAAAATGCAAGTGTCAATACAAATATTTTAAAAATGATTGACTAAGACACAGATGAAGATGAAGACGATGAGGAATTAGAACTTTAATGAGCTAAAGAAAGCACTTATTTTTATTTACAAAAAATATTTTACATATAAAAAATAATAAATGTTTATTTAAATCAAGTAGAGTAAGTTCATATGAATTAAAACTAAACATAATTTGTTCGAGTTATCGTAACCATATATAAAGTAATTAAATATGCTAAAGATTATTAGAATAGTTAAAAACTCACTTAATCTAACTTACATACTGGTCTTATATATTAATATTCGCTTTTTTATTATTTTTTTTCATATAAACTTGATATCATTTATTATTAACAAGATTTTAGATTTAAAAATACATAAATTAATGCAATTATTACTGAATTATTAATTAATAATATTTTTATATATGATAAATTTTATCAAATATCGGTTCTGGTAATCATTAGTTTGATGTGAAAATACAAATTTAAATGGTAATTTCAAAAATTTCACTATTTTTTTTAATCTTTTTTTATAGCTTATAAATTATTAGCTACTTTTTTTTAGGATATTTGAGTATTTTTAACTAAGTTTAGAATCAAAAAATTTTTTGCATTTAAATTAATATTTTAAATACGGATAATATATACAAGTAATAATTGTAAGCAAGCACCTGATTTTCTTTTTTTAGATAATCAAATTATTTATTAGGAATAATTTGAAGATTATTTATTGTAAGCAAGGTCAGATTTTCCAAATAAATAATCATCAAAAGTAGTTAAGAAATAGATCAATTAATATCATATAATTTTAATAATTTACATTTTAAAGCGATATTAATAATCATTAAAAATTACAATTCTAAATTCAAATTAAATTATTTTTTTGTCTTAGATTTAATAAAAATTTATTCACAAATTAAATTAGTAAAAATATAAAAAACTATCTGAATAACTAAATAAATAAATAAATAAAAAAAATGCTTTCGACATTAGAAAAAATCGATATTTTTGGTGTTGGTATAAACATTATGTTTAACTAATAGAGTAAACACAGGACGAGGTTTGGTGGATTTATTACTATTATTATTGTAACACTCCTTTCTTTGCTCTTTCTTTCTTCTATTAAATAGATGATTTACAAAACAAACCCTTAAGTAATTTACGAATAGTAGCTTGTTTCTAATCCCTCAAGGTACGACCTATAAACAGATAATTTTTCATTTATGGTATCTCTACTTGACTAAAATTTTAATCCAATTTATGATGAATCAATTTACAGAATAGAAGCCAGTTTTCTTTATAAGGAACCTTCAATCAACCCTGATGGATCTGAAGGTCCATCAGCTTTTAAAAATTAAGTGATTTAGATGGAACTGTGCACAGAGAAACATTTTTAAGTAGAAAATGCTAGAGACTATTTCTTGAATCTACCTTATTAGCAAATGCATTGCTTTAAGAATATAGACGACTTGTATCTTGTTGGTTAATTTGAAATGGATATATTTTCTGTTATTAACATAAGTGTAATCGCTTGTGACGAAAATGATCCTGAAAACAAGGTGTAGTGCCTTGAAAAAACTAAAAGGGATCAGATTTTATCCTTATCATCACTACAAGTTTACTATACCACATAAATAGTTCAAGTAAGCAATCACTAATAACCTTTCAGTTCAATAGGTACAAGCTACTTCTGGGAAACAAATATTGATTTTTTGTAAAACATAAGCTTGCTATTTATAAAAACATATATTGAAGACAATCAAGGTTTGATCTTAGATGACATTAAATTACAAAACTCATTGCTATTCAGCAGCGAGCGTATGATGATGTCAAGTAAAAAAGATTTCTCAATTTATAAAATAGGTATTTATTTAGAAAAAAATAAAGAACAAAAATATAGCAGAAAATATTTAAAGATATCAGAAGCTTTTTCTCAAGTAGGAGGTATATTTAATGTTCTATTTATGATTGGATGTATAATAGCTTAGCCGTATTCACAAATGCAGTTAAACAGGAAATTATTTAATTCAACCTTCTTGATAAACAAAGATTTTTTTGGCAATTCAGGAAGCAATATTCAAATTGGTGGCTCTGATAAAAGTCCTCCAATTAAAAAAGGAGAGTAAGACAGCTCAAAATAATCATAATTTTTATTCAATTAAAAAAAGCCCTCTTAAATTCTAACTAAAAAATAGTCTTAAGTTACAGCTAATTAAAATTAAGATCTGTAAACTAAAAAGTCATCATTTATTGAAACAAAATAAGAAAAAGATTCAAAGTAGCAATAAAATTAAACAAATGACAACAATTTCTTAGGTATAATAAAAACTCAATTCAATGATCTGAAAATTTCAACTAAAGAATACTTCCTATTTTATTTTAACTGCTTTAAATGGTATAAATCACAAACATTAGAAATGATACAATATGGATCTTAGTAAGTATTAAATTATATAGACATATGCTTCCTTATCAATAAAAGTATAGAGTTAGAAAAATTTAAAAGAGTCATGCTTAACGAGTAGCAAATCAAGTTATTTGATTTTATTCCGAAGCCAAGTATTGACTATCAACTATTATAGCAAATGCATTCAAGAGATTAGACTAAGATGGCTAAAAAAACTTAGTTGTAACTTAATTCGAAAAATAAAGTAAACAGTTAGGAAGATTAATTTACAATAAATAATCTTGAGAACAAAATTAATAAAAATAAGATGTAATTTAATATTCTTTCAGTGTAAAATAAGTCTTTTATTGATAAAGCTAAGGAGGCTTAATTAGCTTTTAATCACATTTACAGAAACAAAGAAAACTAATCAAAAATTGATCTCAAATTAATTTAGATGTTAGATGATAAGCTTGTTTAACTTCTTGATGTTAACGGTTTTGATGAAAGCACAGTTGGAGCTGGAACAAAGTTACAGCTTAATAATTAGTTTAGTAAATCAAAATTTAGAAATTTAATCACAAATTCAAATAACCTCAAAATAGATTTATTTTCAGAATAGAGCCTAATACTTAATAATCCACCCTAAGAGCCCTAAAATAGGCAATCAAATGAAAATAAAGATGAAAATTAGTAGGATAGGCAAAGTTACATTGTTTTAGATAACATGGAAGTGCTTTCATTAAATTAAGATGGAACTTCAAGCAAATATGAAACATCTGAAATTAATTTGAAAGGAATTCATAAATTTTAAAGAGAGTAAACTAAATTTTTAATTTCCTAATTACCAACAACTAAATGCAATCTCAGAAGCTCAACTGTTCTTTGAATAATTATTATGAAATATATATTAACATGTTTAATTTTCTTAATTATGTTAATTTGGGATTTATTTTGTTATTATTTTTCATTAATAATTTATTTTAAAAAAATCGAAGATACTTATTTGTATTTCAAAAAATTATATCTCATAATTGTTACCATTTTCTTTTATTGTAACTTTAAATTCTATTTCCAGCTTACAAATATAGATTGTCAAATAAAATATTACAATAATAAATTATTCAAATTAATCAGGATTGAATTAGTTATGACCATAAAAAAATTTACCCATTAAAATGAAGCAAAAAATTTCATCAGGTTTATTTACATATTAAAATTGTAAAGATTGTAGATATTGTCTTATAAATAATATTGATAATTAAATAAAATATAGTTTTAAAAACTATATAATAATTTATAATATCTTAATCTTTTCAGTGCTGATTTTTCAAAAATTTTAGTTTTCCATTTATCATAAGACCAAATACATTGAGTTAACTTTTTTTTTATCAAAGCTAATTATAATTGAATTTAACAGAATTATTAATATTAAATTTATATTTAATTTCATAACCCCTTAGCGACAACAGGTTTTACAAGCTTTCTGGCTCCATTAATAACTTTTAAGTTGTATTTTCTTCTTAAATTTTATTTAAATAGAGTTTCATCGTCTCAAAGCTATTTTTCTTCTATTTTAATTGAAAATATTTTGAAATATATTTCTTTTATTAAATTCATGTATGATAGTTTAATTTCAGAGACTTCTTAAGTAAATAAATAAATAAAAATTATATATAAAGATCTATATCTTATTTTATTCTCTTATTAATTTATTATTAACTTTAATAATAAAACTTTTTAGTGTTTGTGTGAGAAGTACCTGAATCCCCTTTTAGGATTCTAATGATTTCTTTTACTTGAAATTTTCAACTTTAAAATTATCTTATTAACCAGATGATTAGAATTTCTTAATCTCTTTGATTTCAATAACCTGTTTCATTTAATTGAGTAATTGAAATATCCTCATATATTAAGACCACATCCCCAAAGTTTTTTGGAATAAAGGGCCTTAAAAAAAGATCTAATTAATGAAATTAATTTTGATTAAACACATTTTTTTTCATTCATTTTAAAAGATTTTTTTTATTGAAAAAGTTAAAAAAAAACCCCATTTTAATTTTCCAAAAATTACCTTAATAATGTTTGACTTTAGTGTATAAGGAAATATTATATTTACTCAAAAAAAATAAAATAAATTAACAATTTATATTCTTATATGTAATAATTATTTACTGAATAATAAATAGCAATAATAAAAATCAAAAATGTGTAATTAAAAGTGAAGTCTAAGAAAGTAGAATGAGTTAAATTAAGAAAGATATTTAGTTTCTTATTTACCATCTCCAAGATGTGATCCTAAAATTTTTGAAAAGCAATATAAATATATTAATTAAGTAATATTTTTATTATTTCTGTTTATTACTGCTATTGACTTTGTTAACCATAATTATATATTAATTGTGTGGATATTTTAAGATTAATTCCAATCAATAATTTAATTTTAATTTTATTCTAAATTCTTTCCTTTTTTATAATAAAAACAAATCAATTTCCGAAAAATTAAGGCAAAGAAGAAACTGTCTGTTTAGTAAATTCTTTCAAACAAATTAAATTTCCAAAACTTAATTTCATATTTAATCAACTAAACAATTTATCATGTTTTTATGAAATGTTATTCATATTTATTGTAATTTATTGAGAAATAAACTTTTCTAATAAATTAAACTATTTTTAAAATAATAAATAAAATATAAATTGTATCCAAAAGTGCAATTTTGCTGATGCTTTTTAAAAATTACACTTAATTAGCTAATTAAAAAGGAATAATTTTGAGAATTATACATTTAAAAATAAATTGAGAAATTAATTATAGAATATATTTTCTTCCTTTAAAAATATATATTATAATTAAATTTAAAAATCATTTTTTTTTATTTAATTTTCTTATTTTTTCAATAGAAATTGTTAGATTTAATTCTTATTTTATAAAATTAAATAAAATAACTGTAATTTATATGATGAAGAATGATTTTGATGGATAAAAAATAACATCTTATAAAAAAATGCAAGATTATCAGTGAAATAAAAATAAAAGAAAATTGATAAATTAAGAAATTAATTTATTGAAAACTTTCTAGTAAATTCTCTTGATTAAGATCAATTTTAAGTAATATTATTTATTAAGAATTTATATTAATTATTTAAGAAACAAGACAGTATTAAGTAGTAAGGTAAACAATTTTAAAAATATAAATTTTATTGAGTTTATATTAATTAAAAAATTTAGATAATTTTAAATTATTAAACTGAGGAAAGTTTTTAATATCAAGAAGATTTTTTTGAATCAATGAAAAAAATAAGTAGATGTATTTTTTTGTTAAAAATATCTAGATTAAGGGTGTAAGACTAAAAAGAGAAAGTTCATTTACATTAATTAAGCCTTTCTGATTGATAATTGATTGTAGATTTTTTATTTAATTTTAAATTACTTTTTGATTGTAGAATATAAATCATTAATCTAAAAATTTTTTTCATTTTTCTAGAAAAAATACAAAAATTTTACATAATTAATTATAATTACGAAACTTGAAATTAAGAAATAATCATTCTTTTAAAAGAAAATTTATCAATTAATAATGATAGACATATATTTCATAAAAATTATTATTATTTTAACTTTTATTTTTAGTTTATGTTTTAATTAATTACTTTATTAAAATATTTTTATATCTATAAAAATAATAAAATATCAAAGAATACATTGATTTTATATTCTTTAGATTAAAAATAAATAAATGAGCAAAATTCTTTATAAAAAAATGTAAAAATAATTTGAATGAATCTAATTTTTCTAATGAATTAAAAAATAGATTAAAATTTTTTAAGTATAGATGATATTAGTATTCATTATTCTATTTATTTATATTTTAGTGCTTTAATGAATTTCTTATTATTAATTATCCTTTTTATGAATTAATAAATTTCATTTATTTTATTAAATAAATTAATTAATTTACTTATATTTAAAACAAACAAATAAAAAAGTAAATAGTTTTTAAAAAACAATAAATTAAATTTGATAAATAAATTTAGAAAATAAAACTTACAGATATCAATTTTATTTTTAATTGATCTCATTACAGATAGGAAGAATTTTTTTACTGAATGAATTTTTCTAAAATATATTTTTTTTAGAAGCAAAATAATATGGCTGATAGTTATTAAACCATATTACCTTGTTTTTGATTGTTGATTATTTATTATATTATTAAATTTTTTTAGCATTGTTCATTGCGATAAAAATGAAGATTATCTTATTTATTAATTTTCCAGATAATTATTTTTTTTTAATATTTTAATATCTGTAAGTAAATATCTTTTCACTTGCTTACAAATAATCTAACTAAATTCACTTATATGCTGCACTCAATAGAATCTTAAATATTTATCTATATATTTTTTATGATTTTACTTGTGTAATTTAAACACAGCAATCACACAAAATATTATTAACTTAACGCAACAAACAAAATAAGAAAATTGGGAAGTATCCTTTTTACAATAATTTACATTATTTAGGGGTTTTATTATATTGTAAAAATTATTATTGTTTTTCTAATCAAATTAGATTTTTTTGCTGAAGATCTAATAAGAAAATTTAAAATTATCAAATTTTGTAATTAATTATATTTTGTAGAAAATATATTAGAATATAAAAAAGCTATAAAAAAAAGAAGAAAAAAACTAAAAATGTTAACTGCATTAGAAAAAATTGATATTTTTGGTGTTGGAATAAACATCATGTTTAATTAATAGAACAAGCACAAGACAAGATTTGGTGGATTCATTACAGTTATTATTGTAACGCTCCTTTCTCTTCTTTTTCTATCTTCTATATAAGAAATGATTTACAAAACAAATCCTTCAGTGATTTATGAGCAGTAAATTGTTTCTAACCCCTCAAGATACAATTTAACAACAAATAATTTTTCGTTTATGGTTACTCTCCTTGATTCAACATTTAATCCAATATATGATGAAACAATATACCGAATCGAAGGAAACTTTCTTTATAAGCTGCCTACAATTAATCCAGATGGATCAGAAGGTACTGCTCAATTTTATAATAAGGCTATTGAAATGGAATTATGCACAGAAAAGAGCTTCTAAGTTGAAAATGCCAAAGATTATTTCTTAAACCTTCCATATCAAAAGATGTACTGCTTTAAAAACATAGATGATTTTTACTTAGTTGGATAATTTGAAATGGATATCTTTTCTGTTATTTAAATTAATGTAATTCCTTGTGATGATTAAGATCCTTAAAATAAAATAAAATGCATGGAAAAAACATAAAGAGATTAAATTTTATCTAAAACATTATTACAAGTATACTATACTACATAAGTAGTTTAAGTTAGCAACAATAAATAACCATTTAACTCTATTGGTGCAACCTATTTTTGGGAAACAAATATTGATTTTTTGCAAAATATCAATTTGCTTTATATTAAAACTTATGTTGAAGACAATTAAGGTTTAATTTTTGATGATGTTAAAACCTAAAATTCTTTACTGTTCAGCAGCGAGCGTATGATGATGTCTAGTAAAAAAGATTTCTCAATTTATCAAATAAGTCTTTACTTAGAGAAAAATAAAGAATAAAAATATCTTAGAAAATATTTAAAAATATCAGAAGCTTTTTCTTAAGTAGGTGGAATTTTTAATGTTCTTTTTATGATTGGTTGTATAATAGCTTAACCGTATTCGTAAATGTAGCTAAATAGAAAACTTTTTAATTCGACTTTTCAAATAAGCAAAGAAATTTTTGGTAGTACAGAAATTAATAATTAAATTGGTGGAGGTGATAATAGTCCTTCAAATAAAAAGGAAGAGTAAGATAACAAAAGAAAATCATAAGAATAATTAAATTAGAAAAAATCACTTGTATCTCAAATTCTGTGCAAAAAGAAATCTTAAAGTATTACAAATAAAAAATAAGAACTGTAAACTAAAAAAACTTCAACAAATGAAATAAGTAAATATAAAGATCAAAAGCAAGCATCAAATAAAGCAAACGATAGCAGTATCTTAGACATGATTAAAACTTAACTCAGCGAAGTGTAGATAAGTACTAAAGAATACTTTCTTTTTTACTTTAATTGCTTTAAATCTTACAAATCATAAACATTAGAAATGATTGATTATGGATCTTAGTAAGTTTTGAATTATATAGACATTTGTTTTATTATTAATAAGATCATAGAATTAGAAAAGCTTAAAACTGTCCTCCTGAGCGATCAATAAATTAAATTGTTTGATTTTATTCCTAAACCAAGTATTGACTATTAGCTTGTAAAACAAATGAAATAAGGAGATTAATAAGCTGATTTACTTAGAAAAAGTTAATATTAATTAAATTAGAAAAATAAATTAAACAGCTTAGAAGATTAGTTTTCTATTTATAACTTAAACAGCAAAAATAAAAATATAAGGAGGCAATTTAACATTCTCTCTGTTTAAAATAGATCATTTAATGAGAAAGCAAAAGAAGCATAAGTAGCTTTTAATAACATTAATAAAAATAAAGATAAGTAATCGAAAATTGATTTGAAATTAATTTAGATGCTAGACGATAAGCTGGTCCAACTTTTGGATATTAATTTATTTGATGAAAGCACAGTTGGAGCTGGAACAAAGCTACAATTTAATAATCTATATAATAAATCTACAATGAGAAATTTTCGCTCATTTTCAAATAACATCAAAATAGATATATAATCAGATTAGAGCATACCCTCAAGTAAAAAATAAGTATATATTAAAGATAAATTTTTGAGTGAAGAGAAAAATGAAACTTCATAAGATAAATAGATAGATATTGTTTCAGAAAATATGGAAGCTTTTTCGTTCAATCACTAAGCTATCTTTAGCAAAAATGAAATATCTGAAGTAAACGAACAAGGAATTCAAAATATTTAAAAAGAGTAAGAAAGATATTTAGTTTCTTATTAACCGTCTGCTAGATGTGATCTTAGAAGATCTACTATTCTATGAAATATAAATTTATAAATTTTTATTTTTCTTCAACACTAAATCGAGTAATGTTTTCATTAATATTTCTGTATCCCCAAAAAAATTATATTTCTGTTTATTACTGCTCCTAATTTTGTTTACTTTAAATTTTATATTTAATTGATGAATATTTTAAGATTGCTTCAATGATTTAAATTTTACTTGAGTTCTAAATGCTCTCATTTTTAATTGTAAAAATCAAAATAAAATAAATATATTTCAAAAAAAAAGTTAAGAAGAAAATTTTTACAAAATAAACTCTTTTCAGAAAAACAAAATATTAGAAAAATTGATTTTAAATTTAATAAGCTCACCAATTTATAATATATTGTAATTTATTGAAAATAAATTTGCTATAATTTTTATATGATCAATATTCTAAAAATTTCAATTTTACATTTTGTAAATAAAATTTTAAATAAAATAAATTTAGAAAAGAAGATTTACATTTTATAAATTTAGAATAATTAAATATAATATTTCAGTTGATTATTTTTAAGAGTTGTGTGTGCTAATGTTTTGGTTTTTAGATAATTAAAGAATTTCTGAGCAATAATGTGTTATAATAATATTTAGTTTTGATAACTCTAAAAGTTTTTTTAATATTTAATTTTCTAAATTAAAAAAATTTTTTTGTTAATATTATATATTTATTTTTATAGTAAGATACTACAAGCAAATACTTCTTCTAAACAAGTAAACCAGTCGAAAAGGCAATATGAATAAATCAAGAATATTAAAAGAAGCAAATGAAGCAGCAAAGTTGAAAGAAAAGGAAAATTTTGTTCTACTTTTTGATGAAAATGATATTTTTAAGTGGAAGGCTTTTATTGTTGGACCTGAAGATTCACCATATTCAGATGGAATATTTGAATTAGGCATAAATTTACCTTCAAACTATCCAATATAAGCTCCTTAAGTGATATTTAAGACAAGAATATTCCATCCTAATATACATTGGGAAACAGGAGAGATATGGTTAGCAATTAAATTTAAGTTTTTCTTTAAGAGTTTAATAATTTCTAATTAATTTAGTTTGAATGTCGTAAAGGATGAATGGTCTCCTTATTGGACTTTGGAAGCTCTTTGTAGAGCAGTGCAATAATTAATGAGTAACCCAAATGCTGACTCACCACTGAATTGTGATGCAGGTTTATTTCATACAATTATAGATTAAAAATGATTTATTTTACAAATAAATTAGAACTATATTCTAATCTTTATTTTATATTTTTTTAACTAGGAAATCTTGTTCGTAGTGGTGATATGGATGGTTATTTAAGCTTAGCAAGAGTTTTAACAGATGAGTATGCAATTTAAAAAGATGAATTCTTAAAAAAAATATAGGAATAAGCTTCAAATAAATGATTATAGTATAATTTAAATAAATAAATTAATGATTTTTGTTCAGCTGAAAGTTCTTGTCGATTGATAATAAGATAAGTAAATACCTACCTACTTTCCAACTAAGCTATAAGTTAGGTAGAGTTGATAAATAATAGATTTATTAACTAAAATCGATGGAATAATTAATATGAAATAGTATAAAAATGTATATAATACTCACTTTATAATTAACTTTAATATTTTTGTATTGTCTGAAGATTTCAAATATTTGAGATAAAAATCACTTCCATTAGTCTAAAAATTTAAAGCTAAATTATTATTCTATAATATTCATTTAACAGAGAATGATCTATATTACCTATTATAATTCCACGATAGTTTTTTTATAACAAATCAATAAAAGAAATTATAAAATTATATTCAAATACAATTTTTATGTTTAAAAATAGTGAAAAAAACAATAAAAGCAATTTGTAATATAAAATAATTATAAAGTATCATAAAAATTCAAAAAATTAAATTGAAAGATTTTTAATAAATTAAATTGTTTATGCAGATATTATGGTCAAATATTTTATAAATAATTAATCTAAAAAAGTAGCATTAAACATTCTTTTAATATTAAATAAAATTTTTAAAATTTTATGAAAATACTGACAAAAATTCTGTTTAAAAATAATAATAATTTTTTTTTCAATACCTCTCTTTCTAGTTATTATTAATTAAAATTTTATTTTATTTAAATTTAATTAAAAAAAAATAACTTAAAAAAATATTTTTTTTCTTTATTAGTAATTTAACTTAAAAAAAACTTAATATCTGAAAAAAAAACAATTGTTTAAAGCTAAAATACTGTTTAGATTTAGTAATGAATAAAAATGTTTAAAGCAGACAATTTGATCTGTATTTTATTCAATTCATACTTCAAAAAGTAAAATAAATTATTTTTCAAATTTAATTTAAAGTAAAGATGTAAAATAAATATTTATAAATGGATTTACTACTTAATTTAAAAGAAATATTTTTAATGCTATTCTAATATTTTATATGAATATTTTAATAAAATTAATATGAATCAAATTGTGAGCATCTTAAAGTTAGTAATAAATGCAAACCTATACACACACGTAAATTGAGATTTTTAGTACATTTAACAATTTTAGATAATATTATAGATGTTGGATGAAAGCTATAATTTATGAATCAATTTATAAGCTTATAATAAAAGATGTAACAAGCGCTGAGAACTTTTCCTTATATCTTATTCATTTTATTTTATCTATTTTATAGCTTTTGTTTATACTAAAAATTCGTTGCTTTTTTTATATAAATCTTTATGAGCTTGCAAAATCTTTATACCAACTATAAATTACTCAAGTAAAAATAACTTTGAAGAGAACGATACATTAAGGCTTTATTTAATAAAATTGTACAATATAACTAAATTTATAATCTAGTTTAAATTGAAAAAAGCTTAAAATGATTTACTTTTTCACTTTTTCTCCTGAGCTTATGCATTTTCAGGATTGTTAGCTAATAAATATTAAGCGACGAATTCAATTGGATTGGCAGGTCTATTTTCAAAATGAAAAAAATTGATTAAACTAATCGCAATTGTTTAATTGTTTAATATTCTAATTATGGATAATTGATAAAAATGTTTACCTTTCTCTAACTAATTCAGTCAAACTCTATAAGAGTAAAGGGACCACAGTTTAATCTAAATAAGCTCTAATTGGCAAGTTTTAGAGATTGTTTTTCTTCTATTTTTTAAATAAAAAGAAATGAAAGTTATTCATTTAGCAGGAAGGTAGGCTTCATGTTTAAAACATTTAATTAACAAGATTGCTTAAAATAATTTACATCTTCTTCGTTCTTATCGCTCATTTATGCTTTATTTCTTTCTTTTGAATATTGTTTTTTTTATAAATTTCTTTCTTTTAAATTCTTAGTTTGAAATTATTTAATTATTATCTATTATTACCAATAAAGAAACAAAATAAATAAATTAATAAACACTTAATCTGTTTAATAGCATTTCTAAGAATAAAAGCAATTCATATTTCAATTATTATTGAAAACAAAATTTTCTCTTTGATTTACATTAATAAAACTCAAACTTCTTTCTTTTATTTATCTGCAATATTATTTAAGTTTCTTTTTTTGAACAAAAAATATATTTAAAGAAATTTCAACAAATTTTTTCATAATTCATTAGCAAATAAAATGTTTTCAATAAAAATGAATAAAAACTTTATTATTGAATTACAAATTTATGAAATTGTTTTTTGATAAAATTATTTATTAAAATAATAAGAATTTAAAAATTATAAATATTTTTATATTATTAAAATTTATATGTTTACATCTTTTTTATGATAGATTAAAAATAGTTATTAATAAAATCATCAATTATAAAGTATGTTTGAATGAGCTGAAAAAGAAAATTTTTAATTTTACAAATACTATTTTTATTTTTTTTTAAAGTAAATACTTAACAGACAGGTTTTATGTGTTTATTTATGAATAAAACAAAAGCGGTACAAATAATTTTAAATCTATACTTAAAAAGAATCAATCAAAAAAATTATTAAATTAAAATACACATCTCTCAATTAATTCTATTCAAGTATTATTTTGAAAATTGTATAAATTATTTACCAAAAAAAACAATTTTTAATTGATTTAAATAACTAATTCTTATAAAAATATTAAACTTTATTAATTTTTAATATAATAAATAAATTTAAGTTAAAAACCTAATTTAAAAATATGTTTCTAAAAAAATAATTAATTTATATTAAATGGGAGTTATAATTGAAAACAAGAATTACAGCAATAGATATTGCAATAAAAAAATAAAATTAATTAAAATAATAAAGGACTAAGATAAATAGGCAAAAGGATTCATTTTAATTCAATTAATATTATGATATTTAAAAAGATTTTTCTTTAATTTTAATATATGAAAATGATGAGTAAAAATGCTAACTTCTGAAATTATCTTCCAAATTATGTGCTTTAAAATATATTTAAGAATTAAATATATATTAAGTATAAAACAATTTACTAAAAAGTATATTTCCTGATATCAACAATCCATATTTTTAATATTATTTTTTAAAATTATAAGTAAATTTATTTCTTTTCAAATAAATAACTATCCATAAAAAAGCAGATTAACAATCAGTAAAATTATTGAATTTACTTGAAAATTTTTAAAGTAGAAAATAAATATATATTTATTATTATTTTTAAATAAATTAATTATAGTATTCTTCTGCTTAAAATTAAAATTAAGTAAAGTTTATACAATAGGAATAATAGTTCAGAAATTATAATTTGAAAGTAATATAATTTATGATAATTTACTATAATTAGATTTGAAATTGTTTGATTAAATATTATATTATTAGTTATTACTTTATTAAAAAAGTAAGTTAATGTTTACTTATTTTGTCATTCTTGCTATTGTTAATTTAATTTAGCTTAAACATTTGTAAATGATCTCTTGCGACTATAGACTATTTCATATTTATTTTAGAGTTTTTAATTAAGCAGGTGTTCGGCTGTGTTTATATCTTTTTCTATTATTTACGTTTAGTTTAGTTTTTTGCTTTAAATATTTGCCTGCTTTTATTGTAAAATTTATTACTTTTAATTTGAATAGTTAGATTATAAACTTTTAATTTGAAAATTGTTGATAGTTTGATCTTAAGAGATCATTCTAAATGGAGATACTCTTTCAGTATCCTTCACTAAGAATTTGGGTTTTTCAGGTTGATAGTTTAATTAGGTATAATTATTGTTTGCAAAATTACTTGTTGTTTAATAAAAAATATTATTATTTGTTTTGTTTTAGGTATTATTTAATTGATTTTAAACTATTTGGTTACTAAATATGTTTAAGTTGCTATTGACGAATGCAAAATTATACATTTGATCTTATGTATTTTATTATTCTTTTGGCTTTTTATTCAATATTTCTTTCCTGTTTACATCATAGGCTTGCTATTATTCATAGTTCCTTTATTTTAAGTAGCTAGTTTAAGCCATTCTACTGTGTTAAGTTTCATTCAATAGATTTTGTTTATTTTTAAACTGATTTGATGCATTTTGTTAATTTTAGCTATCTTGAATGATTCGATCAGGTGTTTTATTATTTTTATTTTAATTTTAACTATTTAGAAGTTATTCTTACTAAAATAAATAGTTATTTAGACTGGGATTTAATTCATAAAGTTAATCAAAGTCTTGTTGTTCAGTTTGTAATTTCCCATTTTGGAAATTATTTGATAAAAATAATTCAGGTTCAGTTCGTAATGAGTTTTATTTTTTTTGATCAGACTTGATCTAAGCTGATGTTATTTGTCTGTTAAGTAAACGTTGATTTGGACTTGGACTATTCTACGACATAACAGTCTTTATTTTTTTAACTGCTATATTTTATTAATGCTGCTAAATGTATCTTTACAAATTAGATAGTTTATATCCAGTTAAGAATTAGTTTGTTCTATTTTTATATTAATTGTTATTGTTTAAAAATTAAGTAGTTTGTTAAAACTCTGCTGCAAAGCCTTACTAGAAATAGTCTAATTTTGCATTTGAATTTAAGAAGTGCATGTAAGAATTTTTTGTTTAATTTTTAGGATTACTACTATATACTGTTGCAACTAGAGTAGATTAGCCATCACTTGTTTTGTTAGCTAAAAGTTACTATGGCTGAATGGATTCTTTTATCTAATTTATCTCTGATTAGTTATTATTTTCAACAAATTCATTTTCAGCTTAATTATTTTCTAATAAATTTTCATATTGTCCTTCCTTTTGAAATTTGGAATAAAATCTTGGATTCGTTTTGGTCATAATATCTTCAGGAATTGTGCTTTTTTTATCACTTTCATTTCTATATATTGTATTATTTGATGTTTGGCTCCTAAATGGTGGCTGAGGAGTTTAACTTTTTCTAAAATTTTATTTTTAAAAATAGTTTGTATTTCTTGAAATACCCTCAAAATTCTTTTATATTGAATCTTCTTAATTCTGCCTTTATTTATCTTCTGCAATTTCCTTTTATTGCTAAAGCTTGTGTTGACATAAAATTTAATTTTTTTAAAATTAATTTTTCTCGTTTTGATAGAGTATTAATTTTTGTTTATTAGGTAAATTTGCTGATAAAGGAGTAAATTCGTTTACTGAATTAATTTGCTATTAAATATTAGTATTAATAATTTGGTAGTTATCTGCTGGATGGCACTTAATTGGAGTTTTTCTAGATTAAGTGTTAATAAAATTATATATTTTAGGTGAGGTATCAGTTTCTAAAATATCTTATTATGTTTTAAGTAGAGTTTGTTTGCCTGAAATTTAAGTTAAAGGCCTACTTGGTTACTTTTTTAATTCCTTCAGATCTTAAGAAATAGCTTTTTCTTCTTTTCTCTCTTTCTCTCTAATTGGGGATTTTGAAAAATATTTTGTAATAACAATCCTATTTTAATAAGAACTTGCTACGCGCTTCCTTTTCTTTTTATTAGACTATTATTCATCATTTGTAGGCAAAAGTTAAACAAGTTCTTTTTCATCTAAATTATCACAACTAGGCTAGCTATCTGATCCATCACTTTCACAATCATCTTAATTTTTATTATTTTAAATTAATTCCTGCAAATCTTAAAGGTTGATATTATTTTTTTTAAGGCATTCTTCTTTTTCATTTGAGAATCTGCATAAAATTGATTTAGCTAACGACGCTCCTATTTGCTTTAAATCCTCAATATTAAAATGTATCAAAAGGCTAGAAGGTCCACAAAAAGATGTTTCTATAGTAAATATATTTTCAATGTTAAGGTCTCTAAATAAAGTCTATCTAGAAGTAGACTCCTTGCTCTTATAAATCCTAAAATCACAGCTTTTGAAATCAAAAAATGGATTAATCTTGCTTAAAATGAATGGAAACTCCCTAACCTTTTTTAAAAAACAAATAAGAATTTTTTCTTCAAAAGATAAAATTTACTGAATAAAAATCATTTCTTTCTTCACAGCCATAAAGGAAAAAGTCCTTTTTCCGAGAATGGCCATGCAGATCACAATAAAGTATAAGTGGATAATTTTCATTTAATTCATATATTGCTCTCTTTGTATAGTATATCTCAGGGTGAACATTTTTAATTGGGAATCTCCACCTTCTATTTAAATCGCATCCTGCTAAAGAACATCTGTAATTCCCATGAATAACTCCATCTGGATTGAGCATGGGAACTATTTTAAATATAAATTACTCTCTCAATTAATAAGCTTCTTCTGAATCACTAAATTAATATAAAAAATTAGGTTTAATTAAATAATATTTTTAATTTTGATTTCTAAAAACTGATTAATTTTTATTATACTTTAAATAAAAATATAATTTAAAATCATTCTTCTTGAAAAAAACAAAGAAAATTTAATAAATTTTCCTTTTAAAATATTAAAATTAAATTCTTAATTTTTATGAAATTTTTTTAAAAACTTTAATTTATCCTATGAAAACTGTCAAATAACTCAGATAAATTCAAAAATTAAACTAATAAAATACCTCAGCAAATAATTAATTAGCCCTTCTAAAACATAGCTGGATATTGTTTCTCCAGGGTGAACTCTACAAGTAATAAAAATAGCCTTTTTTTGAAGATCTTGATTTTATTTAGTAATAGGGTTTGTTATTGTTATGAGGAAAAGCTGGTTTCCAAGAAGTGTGTTGCATAGGGAGCGCATTGAGAAAAAAGTATAATTTTAAGATAAAATACTGTTAAGATATTTTTACAACTATGAGTAAGTATATGGTACACTGTATGCAAAATAGGTTTCATCCTCATCGTATTCGAAATCATATTTAAACTGGAGCAGATAAGAAACTTTCCCGTTTTAATTAGAAGAGAAATAACTTACACCTTTTTATATAGTGGATGAACTGTATTTTATGTTAAATCCAGATTTATGCCAGCCTATTCCTGAATATTCTAACTTTTTTTTACTAAAAACTGATATCTTCATTCCCTTTTAAAAAAGAGAATCTTTTTTGTAAAAATTGCCAATTGTGAACTAGACTTTTTGGCTCTTAATTTTATTGGTAACTTTAAAATAGAACCATTAGGTATAACCATTTGTGTTTAAATCTTATTAAACTAATAAATTGTATTTTTAGTCATTTATCATATAAGCAGAAGCCAGATTTCCACTTTCAAATTAACTATCAAATACCAAATTTTCGTTTCTTGTATTGCTTAGTTCAGACTATAACATGAATTTCTTACTTTGAGTGTCTTTAATAACTTAAATTCTATTTTATAAATTAACTAGCATGTGCTGATTTTACTTTTTATAAATCAGCTTTACACCTGTTGATTTTTGGGATTCCTCATTCTAGTAAAATTAACAAGCTGTTTAGCCTTTTAAATTTTCATACACTGCTGATTCAGACTATTTCTTTTCTTTCGTTTTTTACTTTTGTTTTACTTATTTATTTAGCTTCTCAGCACATTCTTTTTCTTCTTAATAAACCTTTTGGCTTTCTTAGCTTTCATCAATTTCATTTTTTTCTTAGAGATTTGAGGATTGAGATGATGATTTAGATAAACAATTTTGCTATTCATTCGCATTCAATTAAGTTTTATTCTATTATAGTTTATTTTCATAATCCGTATGTAAAGGCTCCCTACTATTTTATTATCCCAAAACTAATAATTCGTCATCTTGCTTAAGCTAAAATATGCATTATGTGCTTTTAAATTTAATTTAATCTTCCTTTTGTGATTTGTCTCGAATCGGGTTTGCTTCTGGCAAAAGATTCAAAAAAGAATATGAACTCATTTTATTTTTTTACAAAATCTAAGAATTTTCTTCCAAAGTTACAGAATGAGATGAAGAGCAAGGACTTTTTTCTTTATTTTTACTATTTTCAATTAAATCAGCCTATGAATCAGAGTCATATTGTAAATGCTACTATTAAAGTTATTAATCTTTAAGTTTTTAGAGTGTCTCCTGATTAAAGCTATTTATGAGCTTAGTCTTAAACTAACTAACCTTATCATTTATGATCTCTTTGAAGCTCTAATTTTTTAAATTCTAATTTAATCGAGGAGTGTTTTTTGAAGGTGAAAGTAAAAGCTGCATTTAATAATCTTATAATAAACCTTCTTACTAGTGATAGAGAAGGATTTAAGTAATATATATTAACTTGAATTTTAATTAATTAATTTATCAGTTATCACCAATAGTTAAAAAAGTCTTTTACTAAACCAATTTCTAATATCAATATTTGAAGTCATGCATTTTGCGTAAATTTGTAAATTAAAATGTTTGTGTATCTTATCTTTACTCATTTTTTCACTTGTACTTGAATATATGCAAACAATTTGAAGACTTTAAGAACCAATAATTTATGAATATTTTTTACTTAACTTTACTTATATTTTTTAGACATCTTAATCAAGCAAAAAAAAGTATTTATTTTGCATGGATACGTTTACATTTCAAATTCATATCAAACAAACAATTTTATTTTTATCATAGACAATTAAATTTTACAAAATGTAAGTATTTTTGTTATCTAAAAATTACACATAAATTAAATTTATTTAGCCAGAAAAGATAATAACTAAAATTAATAAAATCTTATTTTTATTTATTTATTTTAGAGCTCTCTTTCATTAAAAATCAAATAATAATTCTTTTAATTTGCATTCATAAAATCTATCTCTTCATTTTTATCAAATATTATTTTCATTCCATAATTAATGTCTTCTAATTTAATTTGTAATAATTTTAGAGAAAAATAATCATTTTTACAAAAATTTAAAATAGAATTTAATAAAACAATAATAAAACGAATTTTGGTTTTAGTGGCTTGATTAATTTATTATTGTATGTTTTAATATTTATTAAAAATTAAAAAAAATTTAAAATATAAACGCTAAATATTTTGAGTAGTAATCAGGAATATTGTTGGGGTTTTTAAAAAGTGAGAAAGGCTCTAGTCAAAAGTGAAAAATGAATAGAAAAAATTTTTTGGAATATTTTTTTATCATCAAAGTCTTACAATACCAAAAAAATATCATTAAAAATCATAATTAGATGGTTTTAATTATTCGATACCTCTATCACAAACCATTATAATAAAAAATAACAAAGAGTGAAAGTAAGAATAATTTTAGATAAAATTAATAGAAAAATTGTTGAAATATATTAAAAAAATATAAGTAAATAAAATTATTATTTGGATTTATCATGTAAATCTATTTTATCATAAAATAAATTGATATAAAATTTCTTTTATTCTATATTGTTTCTTTTTCTTAGTTCTATCAATTTAATAAATTTAATTCTGATTTGAGAAGATATTTTTTTACGTTTTTGGTTTTTGATTATTAAAAATAATTAGTTAAAATAAATGAGTTTTTTGAAATAAATTTAGCAAACAAAATAAATGATTTAATTATTATTTTAAGTTCTAATTTAAAAATAAATAATTGAAATTTATTATTTAATTTATTTAAAGTTTTTAAATAATGAATTATTTTTATTAAATTTTGTAGATTATTTCAAAAAAATATTATTATCATAAAAGTAGGTTTGAATTTTTTATGTTTATAATTTAATGAAAGAAGAAAAATATTTTTTTACTTTTAGATTATAATAATAATAACTATTTAAGAATCTTATAATTAAAATAAAATATTACTAAATATAGGAACTTTAAAAATAGATAAAAAGATATATATTATTTTATTTTTACGTGTGAATTATTCAAAATATAATTTAGATTGTTTGTTTTTCAACTTGTTATTTAGATTGGAGGTTTGTTTGTTTTTTAAATTTATAAAAAATCTTTGAATAATATCTAAAAAACAAACAATAAATTAATTGATTTAAGAATTAAATTTTATAAATATTTATTAGATGAGAAGCGTAAATATTATAATATTAGGTTTGTTATTAGCTAGTTTATTGTCTCTAGTAGTTGTTGAAGCAAGTAATTATTTTTTGATAATTTATTATTGATAATCTCCATCTATTATCAAATGATTAGAAAATATTCATTTTAATTTGTTAAGAAAAAAAGAATCCTTAAGATAAGAGACCTACTCATATAGAACCAGAATTATATTGCAATTCATGCTAAGCAATTGTTAGAGAAGTTTTAAAGAAAATTGGTGAATCAAGAAAAGAATCAGATGTAAAGACTTTATTTTAATACCTTGAGTTTATTTGAGCAAAGCCGAAGCAACAAAATTGTTATAAATTTCATTTTTTGTAAAATAGATTGCTGATGCTCTTAGCAATATTTGCTCATAAAGAAACTATGCTGAGTATGAATTCCCCCCACCAGATATGGTTAAAGGTTGTCACGCCTTTATTAGCGTAATTTTATAAGATATTTAAAATAGCTTTTTAATTTTATTTATAAATATTTATTTAAATTGATTATGCATGCAGGGTTGGGATGAACTTATTGAGAAAAAGATGGTCAATAGAGCTTCAAACGCTGATATTGAAAACGATATTTGTTTAAAGAGAACAAGAGTATAGAATTGTTTGTATAAGATAGTTTATATATTTATTTTATTTCTACATTAAAATAAAAAGGCTTGCTTAGGAGTAGATCCTTCATCCTCATCTAGGAAGGTTTAAGAAAACCCTGGATTTGTTAAGATAAATGACAAAGAAGTTCCTATTGTAAAACTTGAATTGCTTATTTATTTATATTTATTAAACGTTATTAAATTTAATGAATTAGAGTGCAGATGGATAAATTAATATAAATGGTGCAGATTTGTGATAAAAACTTTGGAAAAATAATCATTGTATTTTATAATATTTTCTAATGCATTTTTTCTATAATCATTTGCATAAAAAAAATAAAATAAAATAAAATAAAGATAAAATGTCTACATATTTATTTGAGAAATTTTTTTTATGCTTTTATAATGATAAGACCTAAATAAATTATTTTTCATATTTATTGAATTTTTTGCAAATCTCAAAATAATAAATATATTTGAGTTGTTAATTTCAAGTAAAACGTAGAGCAATGAATAAAATGAACAATTACCAATATTATATTTCGAATGAAGATATTGTTTTTGCTAAATTAAAATATATTTATTTATCAACAGTAATTAAAATAATAATTTGCTTGAAAAATTAATTGATAAATTAGAATTATAAATTTACATTTAATAGTTAAAAAATTAAATCAATAAAATATAATTTTTTTATTAGAGTTATTTAGGAAGAAGGGAAAGAAATAAAGAAATAAATTAATGAAACAAAATTAAAAAATTTTATATAAACTAAGTGTTGATGTTATTCGTTGTTTGTATAATTAAAATAGTATATAATTTTCTTAAATTATTTTAATAATTAATTTTAATTTCTTAATACTTCTTTTTTGTAAAAAATATTTCCAAAAGAAATAATTAAATCAAAGATTTACTTTTTATAATTAATGACAGATAAATAAAATGAATAACAAACAAATTAAATGATTTAAAATATAATTTTATAAAAAAAATATTTTTTTTCTCAAAAAATGAGTTTGATTCTTCTTCTTCTTGAAGACTTTTTGGCTTTGTTTGGTCTTACTTGTAATGGCTAATCTTCTTTTAAATCATCAATTTTCTCTTCTTTTAAATCATCAATTTTCTCTTCTTTTAAATCATCAATTTTCTCTTCTTAGCATTTTTTCTATTCATCTGCATATATTTTGACTGGAGGCAAATAAAAATCTTCAGAGTTTTCTGATTCTTATTCTTCTTCTTCAGGTGTAAGATCTTCGAAGTCATTTTCATCTTTGCTCAAGAAAGTTTCTAATTCGTCATCTTAAACAACATTAATATCAGTAATTTCTACTTCGTAATTCTCTCCAGGAGCATAGAATTAAATACCAAATTTATATTCTTTATTATTGGAGAAATTTTCAGGATTTGCTTGATTGATATTTTAGTAATGAGGATAGTCTGCAAATAACATAATTTTCTTATTTACGTTAACTCTGACTTCAATGTAATCTACTTGATCTCTGACGTTAAATAGATTACATCCATTAATTATTTTGTTTAAACCATAACCATTTCTGCTAGATTTAAAGCAGAGGTTTTCTTTCCACAAGTATTCTTTTTCAGTGTTAATATCTTGCATAATACCAAAGGCGATAGCATCACAGTTAAGGTTCTTATTCAATTTGCATCTAAATACATAATTTAAATTTGGATTTAAGCTGTTTTTAGTTACAACTAAAGCCATAACCGATTTCTTCTAAACTAATAAAGGGTTATTTTATATAGACTTTTATATAGATAAAGGATTTATTTCTGTCAATTAAACTTGTTAAAACTCTAGTTATAACTTATGAACAAAGAGGTCTTCGCGTAGATCAAAAATAGGATACTTAACAAGTAATTATTAAATGATGTCTAATTATTCAAGAGCTCTTTCGAGTTTTTATTTTGTATTCTAATCTTCTATTTCTTGCTCTTATTCTAGTTTTAGTTATTATTCTAGAGTTTTGATGTTTAGACATCTCTTAATCTAATTAACAAAATGTGCTGATTGAATTTGCTAATAATGAATAGGTTATTTTGAATTTAAATAACGAGAATCAAAATCATCTTTTAATTGATTCATCTTTTTTGCTAAGTTTTGTAAATTAGTCATTTAATGATTATTTAAACGGTTGAAGTCCATAATAGGAGATTTTGATTTTTAAAATATTCCTTATTTTAAAAGTAAATTTTCTAATATGTCTGGGTATTGTATGCTTACTAATTTATAATTATTGATAAATTCTACACTTAGATTATTTGTTTCATTTTCTAGTACCTTCTTAAATTCTTCAATTTAGTTAAATTTTTTCTTATCATCTCTCTCAAGATCTTTGACTAGTTCAATAAGTTGTTCTAGTTTAGCTTAATTTAACTTAGATCCACTTATCTAATATCCTTTATTATCTAAATCTAAGCTTTTAATAAATGGATTTATTTTATCTAATTAAGATGAAATATATTCTAAGAATTCTTTAGAGCACTAGTTGAACTTGTTTGATATCAAACCCATTAAGATATCCTTATTATTATTTTTAGGTTAGAAACTGCTGCTATTATTTGAATCCTAAAATAAAAATCATTAAGATTAATATCAAATTATAATAAATTAAATTACTTAAAACAAGCTTTCTGATAAATCCTGAATTAGTTTAATTTAAGAATCATCAAATTTGTTATAGTCCACCTTAAAAAGATTGTTATTTTTAGGAATCTTGATTCCTTAGGTGTCAATAAAACCCTAAATCTTAGCTATTAATTGCTTAAATTACTCTAATAATGATGGAGGACAGTTGTTCATTTTATTGCTTAATAATCTCACAAGCAGCTAACTTGCAGTTAACTTATTAGGATCTGTTTTAAAGAGCTCTTCATTGTAAACACTCATATTATTTTCATAATCTGTTTAGCTCAGGGATTTCAAATCACTAATTTTAAAGACTTCTATGGCACTAATTTATTAGAGAATTCTTTTACTTATATCACTTACTTGATCATAATTAATTGCGCTAATTTAAGTTTGGTAATTGATCATATCTTATTAAACTTCTTATTAGAATTTCTTTTGGCGAGTATAAATACCATCGATTATGCTTTTTAATTTTTATTCTACTTAATTGATATTTTAATCCTTTATTAACAACTCTTTTATTTTATCTTTTTAGATATAATTATTATAGTTCTGTTGGATCTTATTTTAATAATTTTCAAGTAATTCAGCTTATTTAAGCATTTCTTTTTATTTAATATCTAATTGGCTGATGATTTGCTTTTTTAAATTTTCAAATTTATCATTAATTTTCTACTTTACTTAATTGGAGAAATCTTGTTCGCCTAATACATATTACATTTATTTTAAGAACTCAGAATTTTCTTATTCTTCTTTTGGTAAATTTTTAATCAATTTATCATTGCCAAATATCAAATCTAAATAGATATATTATCCTCCGTTACCTTCTGATATACAGAGAGGACAAAGTAAGTATTTTTTAGAATTTTAATCTACACTGAGAAATTATAAATTATATCCTTAATGACTAGGACAATTTTTTGAAAAATATTGCTTTTTTTCTTTCTCTTAACTTTCATTATTTTTTTGAGTAATTTCTTATTTGTGTTCTTCTTTGTCTGCTTCTTAATTTTACTCACTTTGTTAACTAGGCTTTTAGCTATTAGCTTTTATTGAAAAAAAAAATTTTATTTAATGTTTAATTTTCATTTTAATCTACAATTTCAGAAAATAAACCTAATAATAAATAACATACTTTCTTAAGAGACTTGATTTTTGTCAAAACTTCTTCCTGTACTTTGAAAAATTGAATCTTTAGAAGCTGGATTCGTGTCAAAAAGTCCTCCTTAATTATGAAAAAGTCCTCCTGAATTATGAAAAAGTCCTCCTGCACCACTTTGAGAAAATGGATCTTATGAAACTTGATTTTTTTCAAAAAGTCCTCCTTTACATGGAATAGCCGAATTTTGAGTAGTATTAATAGCGTTATAAAACAACCCAATTTATGTCGAAGTATGTTGAGGAAAAGAATGTGAACGGTTAAAGATATTTTCTTCTAATTTAGCACTTTGTAGCTAATCTTCTCCTTTCTATTCAATCTAATTACTGTCTTGCATTCTATATTAAGTTAATTATTTTTTTTTCTATCAATTTTTTTTATTTTGAAAATTAATAAATTATTTCTAAATTTGTTGGAGGTATTTAAGCAAGCAAGCAGTAATAATAATATCTTCTTATATAATAATTTGAAAATATTTCAAGAATTTGTAATATTATTTTTTTTAACAATCAGCATATCTTTTACCTAAAAAAAAGGAGTGTATTTGAATACTTGACATATTATGATAGGAGTGTATGTGAAATAAAATATTTTATGCAAGTTCTTATACAAAAAAATTGATCTTTTCTGTTTAAATTTTAGTGGCTATTGAATGATGAGAAAAATCTAAAATTTACGTGTTATGAATATATGTTGTATGTTTATTATTTGTGGAAAAATAAATATTTTGAAAATTTAATAAAAAATAAGAGATAAAACACTTTTATTTCAAAAATACTTCATTATTAATTGAAGATTTTTTTAAAAATGAGAAAAATAAAAATAGAACCAAATTAGTAATATAAATAGTTTGGAGGTAAATTAATCATTCCCATAAATAATTTACAGAGATAATCAAGAATTAATCTTTAATTTCAATTAATTATTTTAAATTTACCACAAATAAATTATTTATAGTAGAAAGAGGAGCAAGCATTATATAAAGGAATATAAGGTATAAGTGTACAATATAGGTCATTTCAATAAAATCTAAACTTTTTCATTTAAAAAATTCAATAATTAATGTCATTTAGTATCTCTTAGCTTTTGAGGCATGCTAAATTGGGAGAACATTTGGTAAAAAACCCTATATATTAATCTGCTTTTTTATAGATATCTTCAAATTAATTGTAAGTAATTATTTTAGAGTAACTTCATGTAGCCAAAACAAATTTATTGAAATTTTTAAATAAGAAATCAAAGAAACAACTTAGATTTATCTGAAAAAAAAAATATTTTATAGATATTTCTATTTTAATTATGTTAAAATTTAATGGTAGCTATCTTTTTATTTTATTAAAAATAGTGGTTTATTAACTATGGAGAAAAAGTATATTTAAGCATAATATCTATTAACACACAAAATTGATTAAAACAAATATCTTTTTAATTAAATTTATAAAATATTGTAATACAAGATAATAAATGAATGATAAGTAGTAAAAATAAACTATTAAAATTTCACAAAATCTTGGCTTTTATTATTCTTTTTTAATTAATTAATTTTTATTATATCAAATAAGATAATTACTACCAATCAAAAATTGACTTAACTTTATTATTACAATATTAAGTATTATGTTGCTATTCGAATCAACATCTCTTTATTTATTAAAGAAAATATGAAGTTATCTAATTTACTTTTATCTTTAATATTAGATTTATTCAAACAAATACTTTCCCTCACTCACATTATATTTTCGAATAAAAAGATTATTTCCTAAAGTAATAATATATATAGTACCAATAATACATTTAATAGTTAAAAATATTAGATTTACTTGAGTCTAATATAAGTTATAGTTAAGCTAAACACCATTAAACTACACATAAAATATTTTTAAATATTGTATCATCATGATTTTAAAATTAATATATATGAAAATTGTCAGCCTTTATGTAATTTTGAAAAGTAAAGAAAGAGATCAAATTAATTAAAATTTTGATTTCCAATAGAGAAGTAAAAATATTTTTATTTTAATTAAAAATAGGTGGAATGTTCATTCATCTAATTTTACAAAAGGAAAAAAAATATTTGTAAACAAAATCTTGAAATTTTATTAAAATTTATGCAATCTTACATAACAAATTTTATATATATAATAATCCTATCCCTGCGAGGATAAAAGTAAATTATTAATTTTATTTATGTTTTTATCAAAATATTTTGGAGTATTAATTATTTTTTTCAATAAATTTGTGAGGCTATTCTGATAGCTTAGAAAATTAATTATAATTATTTATAAAATATCTTTTATATAAATATTAGTATAGTATATATAATCCATAAAATTAATAAAACAAAAACTCTATTATTTATTACCTTTGTTTATCAAAATTGCAATTTTTTTAAAAATATAAATTTAAAATCTAATAAAAAGTTATTATTTTGGTTCTTTAATTCAGAAAGATTCTTTACTGTTTTTTGTTCTAATGTAGTTTTAATCAAAAAAATTGTGTTTATTAAAGTTGCCATAATAAAGAATTAATGAGGATTTTGAATAATATTAAATATTTATTTAGGATTTTTCAATTTAAAGGTAATTAATTATTTATAACATGATGTAATATTTACAACAAGCTATCAAAAATTTAAAATAAGCTTCTGATTTCTTAATTTGCTGAATTAAATTAATAAAATATATTTTTTTAAAATAGTTTGAAATATTTATGCAGCTATAAATATTTATTAAAAGAGATTTTTCTAGCTAGATTCTTTTTTGGTCTCAATTTGCTAAATAAATTCATTATTGAAGCTTAAATAAATATTTGGTAATATTATATATTTATTTAGGATTAATGAATTATTTATAATAGTATGAAATATTAACAACATACTATAAAATTTTGGAGTAGTGTGTTTTTTATATTCTTTAAAGGTCAAAGTAAATCAATTTCATTTTAAATTGCTTTTACCGGATATATAAATCTTGATAATTTTAAGCATTTAAAATTTATTTATTAATTTAAAACTAGTTCATAGTATGAAGTATTTATCAAAGTTTTTTAAATAAGGTCTTTTTAGATCATTTTCTGTAGGAGTTAACTAAAAAAATTCATTTTCGAAGCTAAAAACTAATATAAAAAATTTGGTGGTGTTAAATAAATATTATTTATTTTTTCTATATTCTTTATTGGCAATAGTAAATTAAATTCATTTTGGATGCTCAATACTAATATAAAAGTCTTGATAATTTTTAACATTTTTAATGATTTAATAATTTAAATAATATAAATTTTATATTTTTGTAAAAAATATTTATAATAGTTTATCAAAAAATTTAAAAGTGTTCCTTCTAGATTATTTATCCGGTATGGTTAATAAAATTGATTTTGGATGCTCTAAAATAATATAAAATTTGGATATATATATAGATGTTTTAAATATTAATCGAGCAACATAAATTATATCGTTTTTTAAAAAAACTAGAGAAACTATTCTAAATATAATCAAAAATTCAACTAAGATTAGTAAAAATATATATACATATATTTAGATACTTTTTTTGCTTTCAACCAGTTAAATAAAGAGAGATTATTTATTTTTAAAATTATACTTGATTTTTAGGATAGCGTAGTTATTCATCAAGAAATATGCTGTAATAGAATATTGATGATGATATTAAAAATCTAGGGCAATTAAAATTGCTAAATCATAGGTCTTAGAGCACGGTTATTGGAAACACAATGATTCTAAATCATAAATAGAGCTAATTGGATGAATCTAAACATGAAAGTTATATAGTTCCTGATAAAGATGATAAATCAAAGCAAAAAAAGCAACAGGAAGAGTAGAATAAAGTTAATTTATCTCTAAAAAAGAGTAGATAGCAATTTTCAAAGAAAGAAATATTTACCCTTTGTGCATTTACCGCTATTATGATTTATATTATGAGTGCATAATTAAAAATCGATGAGTAAATATTAATTAATTATTTCAAAAGATTTAATATTTACATTCAAATTTTAAAAGAGTTGGTTATTAATAAAATTAAATATTTGATTTAAAATATAAAGAAAAAAATAATAAAATGATTTTTAACTTTTGGTAATTTGAATAATCTTCATTAAAATTTTAAAAACGCTACTTACTTGCTTACTTATCTTTATAGAATTTTAAATTAAACCCTTTAAAAAAATAAATTAATAGATCCTACAAGCTCAACTAATTCTAAGAATATTACTTTGCCAAAAATTTTACTACAGGTGACACCTTATTAAAATCAGATATTGATGTCTATTTATCAAACTAGTTGCTCAAGGCATTTTATACCACAGAGTATTATAATGAATATCTTTTATAAAGTGAAATGAGACATATTTCATATCTAAGACTAACACAACAGAGAGTTAAAATTACAAATTAAACTCTAGGAAATAACAATACTTTCAATATATGGGATAATCCAATCACACCAGACTATTCTACCTATGGTCCTTCTAATATATTTTAGTAATACTTCATTTTTTAATCAAATCTAAAAGACTATAATTTATATTTATGCTATTTAATCATATAAATTCAATTTTAAAAACTAATCAACTTTAAAAATTACACATTAAAAAAAATAAAAATGATTAATTATGTTCTAAATATAATTTTGAAATATCAATCAATTAATTTAAAAGCAAACATTCTTCAACTAATCAATAAAAACAATTATTAAAATAAAAAATCATTTTTTGAATCCAAAAATATCAAACAAACCTTTGAAATACTTAACTAAAGATTATTAAAACTTCATTTATAAAATTTATTTATTTATTTTTACAATATTATTTTTTATATTTTACATCTTTCAATTTACTTAAAAAATTATAAAATAGGCCTTTAAATAAATTAAAATATTATTTACTCAAATTAAATATTGAATTTTATCAATTTATTTTTAACTAAAATTAGTTAAACATCTTAAAACATTATTGAATTCTAATGTTTATTTATTTATTTATTTATTTATTAATCTTGTATAGATATGATAGCTATAATAATGGATTTGTACAATTCTTTAGTGCTTTTAATTTAACTCATGCTTAAGCTGTTGATATGCTTACTAATTTAAGTAACGATTAGTTTTTCGATGAATAAACAAATTATATTTCTTGTGATGGTGTTTTTTATAATTCAAATTATGACATGGTAGCTGTTTTTCAAATAGAATTTTCATTGACATCTGCAGGAGCTGTTTACGTAACAGTTTTAACTGAAGCATATAGAGTTGATCCTTACAGCTCTACATAAGATAAGGTGAGATTTGCTTTTGAGATAATATTTTTGGTGCTGTTCATATTCTATTTTATTGATGAGTTTATAAAGATTTACAGATAAATAAGCAAAGTATAGAAAGAATATAATGAAAAAGAAAAGTATAAAGAGGAGCTAAAAGAGAGAGCTAAGGGATTAGATAAGCATGAAGATAAAAATTAGCCTTTTTCATTTGATAAGGCTCTAGAAACAATTAAGTAGGTAATAAAACCAATATTTTTATTCAATTTATTTCTAACAAAAATAATTTATTTGTATAGTTTTCTAGACTAATTAACATTCTAAAAGGACTTGGTAACCACGTTTAAGATGTATGGAGCTTTTTGGATGTAGCTCTTCTTACATTTATAGCCATAGCTATGAGTTATTGGATAAGATTTGCGACAAACAGCTAGCTAACTGACATAATGAATCAAATACCTCCTACAACATCCACTTTGGAAAGATGTAAAATGCTTAAATATACTATTAATTTAATTAAAGAAAATATTTATTTATTAAGATAAAATTCATTTGTTAAACAGAATAGATTTCTGAAAAAATTATAAAATTAATTTCATCTAAATTTAATAAATTTATTCTTTTGATTAAATTGAGCATAAATATAAAATATTAATCTAAAATTGAATAGAAGCATACGATTACTCTAAGGTAAATATCATAGCTTTGAAATTAGCTGATTATTTGGTTTAATACAGAATTTTTGCTTGTTTGGCTGTTTTTATTGCTGCCTTTAAAACTTCAAAATATATAATTAGTCTTTCTGCTAGATTGAGTGACTACTTAGCTATTATGATGAGAATGTTAGATTTTATGCTTTTTTACATCATTTTGTTAACTAGCATCATTTTTGCATTTGCTTACATGGGAATTTTTATTTATGGTGCTAATATTTCACTATACAGTACGCTGTACAAAGCGATTGTGCAAACAATAATTCTGATGGTGAGTGGATCTAGCGTTTCATAAGAAATGATTTCATACACTTTGATAGGAACATTTTTCTATTTTCTGGTCTTTTACTTCTTGACTATTAGTATTTTAGTCAACATGTTTTGGGTATTTGTAAAAAACGAGTATCTAAACTTCGAAAAAGAAAAGCAGGAATTAGAGGATTAGCTTTACATAAAATAGGATTAACACGAAGAAATAGAGCCACATATTTATTACTATTTCAAAAACTAAATATATGAGATTTGGATGCGAATCAAATACTCCACAAACAAAGAAAAATACTAAGAGTAAGCAAATATATATATATATATTTTCTTTATTTATTTTTTATTAAATGAAATTTTTTTTTTCTAATATTTAATTGATGCTTTTTTTAATAATTAATTTTATAGATACCTCCAGGATTAGATTATAAACGAGAAAAGGGTATAGAGAGAATTCGAGTATTCTTAAGGCAATGTCAAGTTTGATATTGATTTTGCAGATGTTCTCGAATAAGGGCAAACTAAATCTCTTGCTTTTTAAGTGGAAGAAGAAAGAGAGAAACATATTTAGAATCTTAAAATGGAAACTATCAGAATTATTTGGTAGACAGTATTTTTATTAATTTTGCTGGTTATAAACATAGAAATTCTGTTCCTTTTTGATAACCCTATAAATTCACACAATTAATACCTAAACTAGTATACAAATATTGTAAATTCAAATGTAACTATCATTCACACTGATTTCGTTGATTATACAAATTACTTAGATATTAAGTAAAAAGATTAAGTCTTTGGTTGGCTCTCAACTTCTCTAGATAACTAATTTTCAGCAATTAACATGACAAAAAACATTTCATTCTTATTCCCTAGTGGTCGCCCATAAGAATTAGGTAGTCAAGATCTCTATGGATATTATATAGACTTTTACAATTTGCTTATGTTTAATAAAATTAGATTAACTCTTAAATATACTTCGCTCTCATCAAGTACTTCATTTACCAATATAGAGCCACAATTCATATAATCTCTAAAAGGATATGCTGATGATACTGATTTAGTTTTAGAGAGCGATACCCCTGTACCCTCTGGAGTAGATTATTCAACTGATCCAAATAACGGAATAAAATACACTAGAGGTTATACCTTTGGAGTTCAACCATCTAGATTTGAAGATCTCATGGGCATATTGAAAAGAGAAGGAAATCTAAGAAGAGAGCTATCAAGTATCTGTATAGATTATGCACTATTTAACCCATAAGGATAATATAAAGGATTGACCTACAATAAGCTAATCTATGAGTTTGATTACGTAATTAATTAATTAATTTTTAATTTCAATATAAATTTAATTTAATAAATTTACTCATCACCCTAATAAATAAAATTTTCCATTAAAAAGGAACAAAAAAAATTAAATATTTTTAAGACTAATAAATTAAATTAAATTAAATTAAAGAAATACATTTCTAAAAATGAACCTATATTTATAAGTTTAGATTATTAATTAATTAATTAATTAAATCACCCTTTAATGTATCTTATTATTTTAAATTAGCTTTATTTAAATTACTTTTTTTTACAAGATAAACAATAAATCTTGTTTAGCGTTCTGGTTCAAAAATTTCAATATTTTAGTTTTTTAAGAAAATTAAAATTAATCACTTCTTAAGCTAAAAAAAATAAGTATTAATGAATTTCAATTGAAAAACTAACTAAAATTAAAATGCTTAATATATTTTAAAGTTTATCAAAATTACTTTTTTATAACCAGAGAACAAAATTCTATTCATTTTTATTTAGTCATTATCCATAAATTGATGAAACTTTTAAATACCTATTGAAAAAGCACATTTTTTATTCAAACCATGATTTGAATTTATATTAACTTTTATTTATCAAACAAAATAAACACATTAAATCAATTTTAAATAGAAAATCTTACAAAATTTGTATTTTTAAAACAAAAAATAATTGATTCTTAAATTTAAATTTACATTTAATTTAAATAATTTTTTTTGAATTATTAATAATAATTTATAAAATTAAGAATGGTCTGTTGAAAACAAACGATGTCTAAAGTGAGTCTATTGTCATTTTGAATTTAAATCAACCATAATCTGTGATTTTATTAATTTTAATTATTCTTTTGGCTTTCTATTTATTATATAATTTATACTAATTGATCCAAAACCTACGTGGAAAGTATAAATCTTACTAACGCTGGTATGAGTTATACATACTAAATTACTTATCACCTGGATAGCTTTATTATAGGGAAAGACAAAAGCCTGAAATAATCAGAAAAATATAATATATTTTTAACGTGCCTATAATATTGAGATTCGTATACACTATACTAATTAGTCTTATTGTTATAGCTTTTCTGTATATTATTTTTTAGTCTCTATATCTAGTTAATCGTGGATAGGTCTTCAATATTTCAACATAGCATTTCTTAAGCTTTCATTTAAATGAATAATATGATACAGGATTCACATTTTTCTAGTATATCAACAAGCATGCAGATTTAATATAAACTTTTATCATAGTAAAACACATCAGTGTTATCAGTGTGTTTATTCTGTGTATTTAAATCTTGTACAATCTCACCACTAACTAGGCTTTTCAAGACATCCTCAAAGCTATCAAATATGTTGTTAGCTAATTGCCTTTCCTCATTTTACTTCTTTGGATGCTCCTAACTACATTTTGTTTACTAACATACTTTAAGCTAGGTAACCATCATTTTTAACTCATTAAATCATGAAACTAATTCATAAAAAAAATTCTTCAATTTATTTAAATAGAAAAATATTTTTCAAGCAATAAATTATAAAACTCAACAAAAAAATAACAATTTAAAAAGACCAATTTTAACAAATTAATTATATTTTATTCAAAGAAAATAAACAAACTATCAGATTAATTCTTTTAATAATATTTAATTTTAAAATATTTTAAAATAAATAATTTTTCTTTTTTTCTTTCCTTCTTTCTCAATCAATTTTCTTCCATGAATATTATTTGTGATAATTGATTGTTTTTTAATATTAATGAATTAATTAGGAAGCTACAATGCTAATTTTTCTAACTTTGGAGATGCTTATATTTCCCTTTGCTAATGCTTTTATTCTCTGAAAGATCTATTAGATATTTTTTAATAAGATGGTAGCTGGTTCGAAGTATTTATCTTCTTAATACCTTATATTATTGTTGTTAGATTCTTAATGTTGAATTTGTTTTCAGCAGTGGTTTATAAAGGCTATGAGACAATTTTTGTGCAGAGAAAATAAAGTATCAATTAAAATCGAAAATTTCTTAAGTAAATTTAAATAACTTCTAAAATATATTTTAGGAGAGAAAGAAGATGTAAATCAAATTGATCCTCTTGCCATAGGTCTAAAAGAATTCTTTGTCATGAGTTGGAAATTCTTTAAAGAGAAGAAATAAGAGGAGTTTGCAAAAAACAATGAATTTATCAATTAAATTGTTAAAAAATCCTCAACTTTTGAAATTTTTGACTAAGTAATTAATTATTTTATCAAAACTTTAATTTTAAAATTTTTATAAAAATAATTTTATCAGGTAAAGACCACAGTTAGACAGTACAAACCTCAGTAATATTTTAATTTTTTTAATTTAATAAATATTAATTTACAATATTATATTTATATAGAATGGATGCGTAGGTTTGGGCTGATAGATGTGCTTCTGACCTCAAAAAAGAAAATGATGTTAGGTCAGCTCTTAAGTAAGTTTGTGATGAATTGAGTTTGACTTATATGAAGAGCATAAATTAGGGGAATTTCTCTTTCATTAATGAATTAAATAAAGTAATTAATTTATGATTTTAAGACATTATAGTTCATATTGAATAATTAAAAATAAAATAAATACATTTATACCTAAAAATAAATTATATCTAATTTGAATAAAATTCTTCATAAAAATTTACTTAACTTTATATTAATTAAAAAACAATTTAGGATAAAAATAGGAAATTGGCAGAGTTCAAGCTTAGGTTAAAATATTATACTTATTTTAAGTTGGGTTATTGTTAGTATAAGTAAATACAATGGTAGTTTGAACACCAATTATAATTCTTTAAAACTAAGTTTTCTACTAATTTCAATTAATAAACCCAATAAGAGATGTAAGAGTATTATTTAAAGTTGTACATCTGCCAACTCGAGGAAAAAATGAAATAAAGGTCATACATAATCTAATAGATCAAATAAGATATCTAATTAGTTACTAATTATGTTCAAAAAAGAAATGTTAATGATTTTAGTGATATTTGATATGCTTATCTTGTAGCTTTTATTAACCAATAAAACATTTATAATTTTTTGTATATTAGTATATTTACAAAATTTAATTATTATTCGAAAAATTGTTTTCTTCCCCACTTAATTAATCTCTATTTATTACTTTAAATCTGTAAATTTACAAAAATATCTTTTAAATAAAATCTTCAAATGCAAATTTTACTCAAGTATTATGTAAATATCTCTTAAAAATTAAGAATAGGAAAATTATTATTTGACATTTACAGTCATTTAAATCTTTGATTTTTAAAAGTTTTGGCAAAATTTCACAATATGACTACTCTAACAACCCTTCTAAAAACATTGATTATAAGTGAATTAGTGTTTCTTGTAATTTTTATTTGAAAATAAAAATGTAATTATTAATTCTATCATTTTTTGTATTTAATATATTTTTTTAAGAATAATCAATCATTTCCAAACCCTACTTACTTATTTCATATACTTAAAGCATTATGAACTATAACCATTATTGTATGTTTAAAATACTTAATACTATCTCATCAAAGAAAAAAAGTGAAAATAGAAAATAACTTTTTTACATTTTCTGCCATAAAAATCTTAAAATTTCAAAAAATATGTTGTTAAAAACTCAAAATATGACTACCTTGATGGTCCTATCAAAAACAGGATTGGTATTAAGGAGGTATTTTTCGTTTTTTTTTTTGATTTTATGAAAAATTATTATAAATTCTTTGATTTTTGTATTATTAGTATTCTTTTTATATACATAATTAATTTAAAATCCCTTATAACTTTTACTTAATGTTGATGGTTAATTTTTAATCTTTTTTTGTATTTAAGTGGATTATTTTATGAGCAAAAAGAGAAATATTAATTAGCTTCTCATTACGTTATATAAGGTGATATCAAAAAATAAATACATGTATACTACTGAATGCATACAAAAAGTCATATAAAATTATATTTGAATAAATATTAGGTTTTTAAAATATTAAATATAAGTGAAGGCATTTAATTAGTGCGAAATTCATGCTCCATAATTATTTAAACTAACTTCAAATTGGATTTAATCTTAAGAACTGCTTATTATATTGCTTAATTGAAGATATTAATTAATAGTTTAGTTAACATTTGCGTCTTTGTATTTATAAACTAGCTCTAAGCCATAGAAGTCTAAGCTTAACGCTTCCTGTATTAATTATTTTAGCTCAACAAGCCGCGTTTAAGGATGGAGGTTTAATCTTAAAAACCGATTAGCAAATGTAAAAACTAATATCAAAGTAATTGATTTTTTGTTATCTATGCTATTAGTTTGATTCATATTAGAATTTGAATTGTTGGTGCGTGCGCTTGTGCTTTAGATATTATTATTGCCTGGTTCATTACTCCTTTGCTGTTGCTATTATTTATTTTATACCCCTTTTGTTTAAGCTGATTGTTAGTTCAATTTGTTTTCTTACATTAAACATATTTGATGCTTTAGCTATTGTGCTTCTTTTAAATATAGCTTTAATGTTTTTAGTAAACAAATAAATATTTATATATATATACATATATGAATGTCTTATTAATTTCTTTTTTTTTGTATTAAATATTTATTTCTGATTTAAAAAAATTTAAATAATCTTGATTAAATTTATATTGATGTGCTTTTAGAATAGAAAATTTGCAAAAAGAATATCAGTAAAATTGCTTAAACAAATATTTACAATATTTTTATATTATTTGAATACAATCAAAAATTACACAATGCATTTACAAATGAATCAATAATATAGACAAAGGGTAAAATAAATAAATTTGTTGAATTATGATGACTACTTTAAATTTCTTTGATTTGATCCAAAGCTGATAAGATATTATTAGCTGCTTTCTTATTATTTATAGTCTTGAAATCTTTAAGTAAAATTTAATAGACTTATATGATTGCATGAAATACATTCAGGGGATTATTTGAATATTAACCTTTTATTTTATATTTAAAATAAATAAAAATAGAAAAATAAAAATTTACAATTACTTTCTTTATTCACAAGAGCTAGCTATTCAATTATAGGAACATAATTTCTTTCAAATTAATTATTAAAACTATCGGAAACAATTATTGGGGGAAAAAAATTCTTATTGAGGAGCATTTTGTCTTTTATGTAATCGATTGATTCTATGAATTTATCTAGAGCTTGTCTAAATACATGCTGAATTTTTTGCTTATATTGCTTGAATTGAGACTAGTCAGAGCTCTAAGCTTTCTATTCATCTGCCATCCTTTTATCTAATAATTTTATTTTATCCATAACTTCATTGAAAAAATCATTTGAAGATAGAGTATCAATATGCTTGTGCATGTCTAATTTTTTAGAGGAATTATTTAAAGAAATAGGCTGGTTGAGTTCTTTGTCCTCCACAAGAGACTTCAAATAGAAAGATAACTGATAAAATACCTCACCTTGCTGTAATAAACCTGATTTCCATGTTTTGAGAATCGACATTAGAGAAAATTAAAATTCCACGATAATTACATTTTTTTGTTAATTTTCTTCAAACAGCCTTTAAAGTTTGTTAATGATGAATTCATCTCTGCTGTTCGCGTTTATGATTAATTATTCAGCAATTTCGTTTAGCACACGACAGAACTTCATTACTTTGATCTTTAGATTTTGTTCTGCTTCTTTTTTTATCAAATTTTCAATCATGTTTCCTGTAAATTTTTGACATTACTATTCAAGATCATCTAATGATTCAGCATTTTCAGAAAAGTAATTACTGCAGCAGTTCGAGTTAAATGGCTAGTTTTCTTTATAGCTCGATTCGTTTTTGTTATGATAACCTTTGGCTTCAAAGTCTTGGTTATTCTTTGATTCTATATAATCAGCTCTGATTTGCCTAGGTGATTTATTTTTGTAAAATCTGCTACTTGTTGAAAGTGTTGAGGTAGTATTATTTTAAATATAATTGCTATTTTCTAACATTACTTAATTAACCTTGTTGTATCCCTAAAGAACAGTTTTCATAGTTGAAGATATTTTTTCTTTAAAAAGCTGCAGCTTCTAAACAAACATCTTAACTACATAGTTTTCTTCAAGAAATCCTTTGTATTTTGAAATAAAATTTTACTTCACACTATACTGCTCTAAAGACTTTGTTAGCAACGAAAGGAGGTTTTCAATTTAAGATTTATAGTTAAAGCTTTTGTCTTCTTCCGATTTATTACGCGAAGCTGCAATTATATCGCAGTAATCTTGCATAATTGATTCATTTTCTTCTAATTTTTTTTTCAAAGTCTGAATAGTTATCTCTTTATCACCTATTTCTTATCTTAGTTTCTAGCATTCCTCACTATTTTGATAAACTCTCTAATTCAAAATATTATGGAGGTTAGCTTTTTATTCTTCAATTACCTGTTTAAATAGTGTTAAAAATATTATTTAGATATTATCAAAATGTAGTAAAATTATATTTTAAAATTTTAAATTTCCTAACTAGTAAATAATTCTTAAGGCACATATTATTATATATAACTAATTTAATTTTAGTGTTTTGATTTTGGAAGAGGAAAAACGATATTTCTCTTTTTTTAATAAACATTTAATTGCTATAATTGCCTTATTTAATTAATCCATTAATTTTTTTAAAATATTGATTGAATTATGCTTGATTTTATGAAATGAAAAATGAGAATTCAATAATTAATGAGAAAATCTTTGGAAATATTTGTTAAATTCTTTTTTTAATCTAAATATTTTATTTAAAAAAACGTGTATTTGTTGTAAAATCTCTATTTTGCATTCATCTCTTGGTTCTTACTAATCCAAATAAATAATTAGAGATTATTGGGTGGGAGCCTAATCTAACTAAAAAAATAATAATTTTGCTTTTGTTTTCAAAACCTCTGCTTTTAATTTTTTTTCAAATTAGATTAATTAAATTTAAATGATATGTTGGAAAATTTAAATTTCTCTTTTTTTGTAATAGACGACTTGGACTAAAATGTTATTTACTTTTTACAAATTATCTATAACAAGTTTTTGCTAGTTAATTTCTTCATGTTAAATATCATTCTGCTTTATGGCTTGATCTAAATCTAATAAGCTTTAGTCAGCTAAAGAAAGTGATTACTTGTTTTCTTGCTCCAGCTTGATTATTTTCTCTTGCTACTCTTTCAAATCAATAACAATCTATTCAATTTCTATTCTTAATCCAGTATTTGCTTCTTTCAGAATTTGGTTTTCTTTTTCTAATTCAATTAATCTGTTAATTTACTCGTTCTAATTACGCTCAGATGATATTAAATTATTTTTCCCAATATTTACTGCTTTCAAATTAGCTCTCTGAGAACTGCCTATAATTTTAAATAAAATTAATGGATTTAATAAAATTATATTTTAGATAACAATAAGAATCTATGTTACTTAATAACTGACCGCTATATTCAAAATTTTACCCAACTAATTAGTCTTCTAGCTAAATAATCTGCTAAATAAGTTAATCTTTTTCAAGTAAATATTTCTCTCTCTCAACTTAGAAAAATAATTTTTCTTCTTCTAATTCTTCTAATCTTCTTTATAGATAATCATCCTTTTTAAAATTAATAAAAAATGATCAAATTTTCTATCAAATTTAATAAAAATTTCGAAACACTCAAATCAATAAATAAATAAATGCAATTTAATTATTTCACTTTTAACATTAAAAGTTAATTTAATTATGAATTTAACACAAATTCTTAAATAAATTCAGAAATTATTTTAATTTTTTTAGTAAATGAAATTGTTGGAAAGAATTTATTTGAAACACGTTTACTTTATTCCTTTCAGATTTTTCAAGGGCAAATTTCTCGTCAAGTATTTTTTCATATGACTTGACTTTTTCTTGGAGCGAATATATTTTCCTAATAAGATTTTGGTGTAAATTGAAATCAAAGAATTAATCTCCTTAGGTTTGCTAATTTTATGATGAGAGTCTTCCTTCAAATGTAATTTATTATTCTGAATCAGTGTTTCGAATGTAAAGAACATTATTATTATTATTTTGTGCAGCAGTATTTCCTCTACTATCATTTGGATTAAACGAAGCCATTTTTTATGGAGTAGAATCACTATCTTACCATGAAGGTTAAAAATCTCCTTTATCTTCTAATATTTCCTTTATCTATTTATAAGCTTCACTTACTAAAAGGTTTTCTTTTTCAAGAGTTTCTACTCTTGTTCTTTAACTGTATTCCCCTTAATTCTTTTACCTTACAGTATCTTTACTATTTTAAGTGATAACTTCCTGAAGTTCTTTGTCTTTCTAAGAATTAAACTGAATAATTTCATTTCTGACCCTTCCTAAACATGATCTTATCTCAGAATAGCTCTACAAATAAATTGTTTCTCTGCTATCCTTAAATTTATAAAATAATAATAATTTTTAATAACATTTTTTTTGAATATTTTATGCTATAAAAAAGCATTTCAATATGATCAAAAAGGAAGATAATAAATAGAAAATTTATTTTTAAAAAAGCGATAGATCACAATTTTTTAATACTAGATGTAAACTAAATACTTAATCAGCCTAAGACAAAAAGATAAATTTTATTCTTAAACATAAATTTATTTTAAAAATTAAATAATTTCTATAAAATTTTAATTTTTTAATTAAAAATATTTTTTTACTCTTGTGAGGGTAATAAATTCAATTTCAACATTATTAATATGCTATTCTAGTTTGTCAATAAAGACATCAAACATAATTTTTTATTCAATTAACGTCTTCATAGTGAGTCTTTGCACAATTTAGGAATCTTTTATAACCTAAATGTTATAGGTTTATAAATTTTTTAGAAATTTAAAATAATTGATTAATACTTACTTATGAAAGCTGAATAGCTTTATAAGATTAATCTTCTAACTTTTATTTTAACTCTTCAATCATCATGAGATATCTCTCTACTTCAGGTCTAATGGCAACCTCCTTATCGAAAACATCTTTTGAATAATCCAGAACTCTTTGTGCTTCATTAGCAACAATTCTATCAAATTATTCAATAACTTATTTCTCTCTATCCAAAGAATCTTGTAATTCTGTCTCTAATAGTTTAATTTTTAATTCCAGCTATTTATATTCCTATTCTTTATTAAAAAAATGTTTTTAGCTTTTGCTTTTTTGATATAAATAAAATTACAATTTTCATTGTTATTATCAAAGTCTTGTTTCTGTAATTGTGATCTAATCATTTTTTGGTTTATGTGACTAGTATTACTAAATTGCTATTTATCATCAAAATGAAGATTGCTCATTGATTAACTGTTTAATTTTCTATGACTCAATTAAGATTAGCTAATTGATCTCTTTTTAGAAATTGGCTTTTTTTATGATTAAACATTTCTATTAGCAAAAGACTAGTCTAATGTTTCGTTGAGGCTCTCTTTTCCTTTTCTAGGAGTACCTGAATTAGATTTCTATTGTTTAATTTTAAATTTACAAATTTGCTAAATTAAAATTTTATATAAAACATAGATCCGTTAACGCTTCAATAAAGCTTTATTAACTAAATCATTTAATAAAATAATTAAAAATGAATAAAGTATTATATATTTATTGTACATCACCAACAAAAGAAGCTGAATTTGCAGATGTTTTGTTTATAGGAGTGAATTTAAATTTATTTTGGTTTTCTATGACTTTTTTTAATAACTAAATCTCATTTTAATAGTGTGATTCTAGATCTGTGATCGACTGTCTTAAATTAGTAATTTGAGAAAGCTTATCAGTCAATTGATTCTCTTTATATTCAATTTTTTCTTTAAGAATAGCTTCGTTGCTCTCAAATTGCTTTAACTACTATTTGAAATATGTTAAATCCTTTTAATTATTTTTATTTTTCTAGCTCAACATGTCAATTTCTTATTACATCTCATCAACTTAAGATTGTAATAGTTTATTTGTTTCTCTTTCTTCTTCAAATTTAGACTAAAGCTCTTTTTCTCGAGAGCTAAATTAACGAATTTATTGTTCCATCTCAGATTTAAATCTTGAAGTATTAAGAGCATTAAGTTATTTTTGAGCATCTTTCCAATTCTTTTTAAATTAATCCCTTTCATTTTCACTTTCTTATAAATCTTAAACAGCCTTTTCCAACTATTTAATTATAATAAGTAAATAAATAGCATAATTATAAGCTAAGAAGTTCAATCATTTACATCTTCTCTTAGCATTTAAATGACCATAGAAGCCTTTTAAATTGCTTCATCTTTTGAAGTAATTTCTTCACTTAATTATTGTAGTTGCTATCCTAATTCTTCCTATTAACAAATAAAATAATAAATGGTTAGTTATTACAAAGGATCTCCAAAGCAATAATATAAATAAATGGAATGATAAAAAAGAGTGAAATACATTTTCTTCTACAAGCTTTTATACTTATAATTAGTAGCTTTCTATTGTTTGTTTACTCATTTAATAAATATATTAATTATAATGGCTATTTAAATAATTTTGTTGATATAATTTGAAGTTAGAATAGTGTTTAATTATATATGTTTGTTTTATTCCTTCAATTCAATTACTGATTATTTGAGAATATTTTTGTTAAAAAATCAAAATTTGAATTAAGCAGTATATTTTCGCAGAGATAATACTTTCAGCAAAGTAACTAAATTCAAATGATATAATTTCAAATAAAACAACTATCATAAAAGCTAAATATTTCAAATAAAATAATTAAATTCTAAGACTTTCATTTAATTGTTATTAAAATTACTAATAGCAACTTTAAAATGAATTAAATTAATCAATACTTAAAATTTAATAAATTTATTAGCTATTCCTAATATCTAATTCAGAATTAATATTTAAAAAGACTTAAATCATTTTTTTTTAACTCCTAACAAACTGATATTATTTAGAACAGCACAATACTCTTTTTAAATAATTTAATACTTTCAATATTCATTAAAAATAAATTTTTTATAGTAATCTAATAAATTTAGAATTATTTTAAAAGTGTTGTTTATTTTATTATTTTAAAGACAGATATAATAAATAAATAAATAAATAATATTGCAAATATTTTAAAAATGCAATTATTTTTTTTACTAACCAAAAAACAAGATAATATTCTAATAAAAAGACGTCTAGTATATCTAATAAAAACTTAAAGAATATTCATAATTTTGATAATCATGATAATAATAACAAATATTCTATTAAATAAATAGTTTTTTTTTGATTGTAAGGATGATTCATTCAAAATTTGTTGAAAACCTTAGAAAATCAAATTAGGGAGTAGTTTTATTTAATACATTTGTTTTTTTCATTCATTTTTTAAATACTTAGAATAAATTGAATTTGTATTCATTTACTTTTTGTAAGTATGAAAAATTAGATTTACCATATTATAAATTGCTCTTGCTTTATTATTTAACAAAAAAAAATTGTAATCCAAATAAATTTTTTATTTTTTAAATTGGAATTAAAAATATTTTTGTAGGGTATTTTCTTTAATAAATTTATTTTAAGTTAAAGTAAATTCTATTTAGTAGATTTATCAACAAAATCTCTTAAATTAAATATAATTAATATGTATGATGTTAAATTTATATTTCAATAAAGTTTTTATTTTTATAGAAAGTGTCTGTCTTTAGAATTAATTATTATCAAATCTTTTTTTATTTTAATATTCTTTTATAAAAATTAGGGCATTCTTAGGATATTTTCTAAGAATTTTTCAGGAAAATATAAAATATTTACTAATATTTTTATTTATTCAATTTGAATCTTTAATGAAATTCTGGAAGAATCTAATGTTTTATGGTTAAATGCTTCTACCTTTAATGGAAGCTTGAATAGTAAATGGAAAAGGAATTTTCCATATTCTATCTATTGAAGATAATTTACACTATATTGCTTACAAAATTATTAAAACTAGAAGAAAGATAGTAAAGAAAGAAAGGATAGTAAAATCATATCTTCACTTCGTCTTATTTTTCTAAAAAAAGTATATTTGTTATATATTCACAAATCAGAAAAGTATCTTTAGAGAGATATTCAGATCAAAAATCTCGAAGAAATATTGTAAGTAAATATTATCTAAGATATAATAATAAAAAAAATAAACTTAACAACTCTTTGAATAATTCAAAACACACAAAAAGCAAAAAACCTAATAAAAAAAGGAAACTATCAAGATGGATTCAACTCTCTAAAAGCCTCCTACCTAATTCAACAAATCAGATATTTCTTCTTTAGCTAATATCGATAGCGTTGTTTGCACTCATCACGACATCAACTTGACCATTGAGTTCGATAATAAGAGACTCTCTGGTTCTGTAAATTTTATACTATTAGAATATCTTAAATTAAATTTATTTCATTTATAGATTACTTACCATCTTAAAGTCTTACAAAACACCTCCGAAGTTGACTTGGACATTAGAAACATCCATGTTTCCCGTGCTGTTTTAGACAATACCGAATTATCATTCAAGGTAGTCTAATATGAAAAGATCACTCACACTTTAGGTGATTAATTGAAAATCCAACTTACTACTCCTCTTGAAGCTGGAAAAACCGCTCAACTTACTGTTGAATTCTACACTCTTGAGTCTAAGGAATCTGCTTTAAATTGGCTTTTGCCCTCTTAAACTTAAGGTAGTGTTTCCTCAAACTTTAACATAAACAAATAATCAATGAAGCAGAAGATTTTATAATTCAAATTTTCTTTTTTTAAACAGGTAAATAGCATCCCTATTTGTTCACATAATGCGAACCCATTTGGAATAGAACAATCTTCCCTTGTTAAGATACTCCTGCTATTAAATCTACTTTTACTGCCCACCTCACAGTACCTAAAGCTTTCAAAGCTTACGCCTCTGGTAGATTAGTTGGTTAAAAAGAAACCTCAGAAACTAATGTCGTAATAATATTTACTTTAATCTTTTATTGAATAGCTAAGTAAAAATAAAAAAATAATTATATAGATGACTTTCTAATAAGATATCCCTATCCCTTCTTATCTTTTCGCCGTAGTAGCTGGTAACTTGGTAGAAAAAAAGAGTAATTAAATATTATTTTGAAAGTGTAAAAGGATATTAAATTATTTTTATTTATAGTTTCTGATAGAACAAGTGTTATTGCTGAACCTGAAGTTATTGACAAGTGTGTAAAAGAATTAGAAGACATGGAAGTTTAATTAAAGGCTTTAGAAGATTTCATCACTCCTTATGACTGGAAGGAATACAAGGTTGTAGTTTTGCCTCCTTCTTTCCCCTATGGTGGTATGGAAAATCCCCTCTTGACATTTGCTTCTCCTTCTATCATTGTAGGAGATAAGTCTAGCACTGATGTTATCATTCACGAAATGGCTCACTCTTGGAGTGGTAACCTTTTCTCATGCAAGAACTGGAACTCTTTCTGGCTTAACGAAGGTATTCTTTAGCAAAATATTTATTTTAAAAAAAATAGCTTATCAAATTATAATAATAATAAAATATAGGTTGGACTGTTTACTTCGAATGTGAAATAGTAAGAAGATTGCATGGCGAAGAAGCTTACAAGGTAATATAATGGATAAAAAATTCATTTAAATGAATAAATTTTTATATTTTATTAAAATAAAAGACTAAATTCACTTTGTTGAACAATGATCTTACTAACTGCATTGATGGAATCGGTTTGGATCACTCTTACACTACTTTGAATCCTTAAATTGGATATGATAATCCTGATGATGCTTTCAGCACTGTTCCTTACGTCAGAGGTGCACAATTATTAACTCATATTCAAGATGTAGTCGGCAATGAAGCCTTCTAAAAATTCACTAAGTCTTTTGTCAACACTTACAAGTAGAACTTAATTAAAAATTTTATTAAAAGAAATCTTATTTATTTATTAATAAAAATTAGGTTTAAGAGCTTAGATACCGCTGAATTCTTATAATTCTTTAAAGATCATTTTGGCAATGAAATTTATGAGAAGATTGACTGGGAATCTTGGATCAACAAGGTTGGATATCCCCCTCACCCTTTCAATTTGAAGAGCGAATCAGTCAGCAAAACCAAGTAAGCTGCCTAAGAATTCTTAGACAACAACACTGTTTGCAAGAAGACCTGGGATTCTTTCACAGTTGAATAAAAGATTATCTTCTTGTAAGAAATCAACAATAAGGATAAGCTCACTTTAGAAAAAGTTTAATTATTGGAAAAGACATTAGAACTCAACACAGTTTTGAACCCTGAAATTTACACTAAGTGGTTCGTTGCTGCTCTTTCTGTTAAGTATGCTCCAGTTGTTCCTCTAGTCCAAAAGCATTTAAGCTAACATGGTAGAATGAAATTCGTAAGAGGTATTTACAAATCTCTCTACCAATATGATCCTAAAATAGCAGTTGATACTTTCCTTGCTAACCAATCTCTTTACTACGGTATTACTTATACTCTCACTAAGGCTGATCTTAAAATCTGATTTATCTTATTATATTTGTAATTTTGTGATTCTATTTATTAAAGTTATATTTTTATACATAAATACAAATATCCAAATTAATAAAATTACTCCTTTTCTTTAAAAATATTCTTTAAGATGAATTCTAAATAGCTTAAACAAATATTTTATTTAAATAAATCAAAGTAAATTCTATAACAATATTATATTTTGATAAGTTTTTTTAAACCATTAAATTTAAATAAAATGATAAAATATAAATTTATTTATTAATTAATTAAAATAGTTTTTAATTTTTATAAGGGCTAGAATTGATTTTTTTATTCAATAAGAAAAATATTTTAAATTCTTCTATTTTAAATTTAACAAAAAAGTTTAAAAAAATATTTTTATAGATTCTTTTTATAAAAAGAATTAATGAAGTCATATAATAATAATGTAAATATTGTTCTTTAGTATTCATAAAATCAAGTTAAGCGAAATAATAATGAAAATATTTCTTGAAAAAAAATTACTTAGTTAAGAAGAATGAAAAAATGAATCAAATACCATTTTAAATAAGTAGATATTTTTATTAAACAACAAAAGAGAGAAAGCTTATTTTTTTTTTTATTAATCATACAAAACAAATTAAAAAAATGTCTTTTAAAAAGAATAACAAAAAATTTATTGTTTCTTTCAGTAAAATTTATTGATTTTTTATTAAAATTTATCATCTAATAAATAAGTAAACACGTGATATTAAATTGAATATTAATAATTATTTTTATTCTAAATAGAAATTATGAATAATTTTAATTGTTATTATTATTTTCTATTAAATAAAAAATTTTACTAATAAATGTGTTGATTTTTATTTTAAATTCATCATTTTATCTAATAAATAAATAAATAAATTTATGAAATTAAATTGAGTATTAGTTATTATTTCTTGATTCTAAATATAAATTACGAATAACTTCAATATTTTTAATAAAAAATAATTTTGCTTATTTATTAGCATATTCTGATGATTAGAATTGCTCTATTTTTCATTTGGAATTTTCTTTTTTTATTACTGATGAATGCCAGAATTTTATAATTTATCTCATAAGTATGTATACCTTATATTTTAGAATTATATAAAATTTGCTAATTGAGTATCATAATTTAGATAAAAAAGATATTTTTTGGAAATTAAATATTTATTAGTAGAGTAGATTAAATGTATAGAAAAATGATACATAAAATACAATAATCTAAAAGTTTGTAATTTAAATTAGGTGCAACTTTATTCACAACGGCAATAGGCTTAAGTTATGCTTATTATAAGTATAGAAAGGAGAGCTTGAATAATTTAAAAAAGTAAAATACCCCTAAAGTTAAAGATAATTACAACTCTGTTGATGAATTATCTTTGTCAAACATAGATAAAGTTAAATGTCTACACTATGATTTAATATTATATATCTCTTTTGATAAAAAATCTATAGAAGGAAGTGTAAATTTTATTCTATTTATAAAGCCCCAAATCATACAGTTTATTTTTTACTATTTAGGTTAACTATCATTTCGAAGCAACCTAAAAAACCAGAAAAGTTTATTTAGATATTAGAAACATAAAAATTAAAAATATCATAATGGATGGTCAAAAGCTGGAGTACACAATATTATCAATTGACAAAACAAAAAGTTTTGGTGAACAACTTCAAATATTTTTACCATAAAAATACGAATAAGGGAGCAAATTTGAATTAACTATTCAGTATGAAACTATCTAGTCTAAGCATTCAGGTCTTAACTGGTTGAATCCCTCCTAAACAGAAGGTAAATAATAATATAAATTAATAAGCTACTAAATATAATCAATTAAATCGAGTGTAATTCAACACATACTTCTAAACTAAAATAAAAAATATATTTCAAATTCCTTTAATAAAAGTTGAAGTATTATTTCATTTTTAAATACTCAAATAAATTTTCATTATATGAATTATAAATTATCTAATTAGGAAAGGTGCATCCTTATTTATTTACTTAATCTGAACCATATTGGAATAGGACAATATTCCCTTGCTAAGATAGTCCTGCTATTAAATCAACATACACAGCTTAGTTGCACGTCACATAACCTTTAAAAGCTTATTGCTCTGCAAAGTTAATAAGTAAGTCTGAAACAGAGCACGAAACTATTGTAATTTATTAGAATTTATAATTTTCTCTTAAATTTATTTAATTTTAATCAATTTATCAGATGAACTTTAAATAGGACATTCCTATCCCTTCTTATCTGTTTGCTTTAGTGGCTGGTAATTTAGAAGAAAGAAAAAGTAAATGCTTTTAAATTTTTAATTGATAATTCATTTATTAATATTATTTATTTGATAAATAAGCTTCTGATAGAACTAGTGTCATTTCAGAACCAGAAGTCATTGAAAAATATACTAAAGAATTAGAAGACATGGAAGTTTAATTAAAAACTCTTGAGGAAATAATAACTCCTTATGAGTGGGAAGAATATAAGGTAATATTAATATAATTATTTATATTTTAATAAATTAATTTTTAAATCAAGATAGTTGTTTTGCCTGCTTCTTTCCCCTATGGTGGAATGGAGAATCCTTTATTGACATTTGCTTCTCCTTCAATTATTGTAGGAGATAAATCAGCTACCGATGTAGTCATTCATGAAATGGCTCATTCTTGGAGTGGAAATCTATTTACATGTAAAAACTGGAGGGAGGTCTGGTTGAATGAAGGTAATTTAAATAATTTTAATAAAATTTATTTTAAATTAAAAATAAATAAATAAATAAATAGGATGGACTGGATATTTTGAATGTGAAGCTATAAGAAAGTTGCATGGAGAAGAAGAATATCAAGTAATTAATTTATCATGAAAAAACTAATTTAAGATTTTAATGATTAAAATTTTTAGGTAAAATTTTCTATGCTTGACAATGAACTGAAAAACAGTATTGATAAGATTGGGCACCATCACAGTTATACTACTCTTAATCCTATCATAGATTTATCAAATCCCGACGAATCATTTGTAGGAGTTCCTTATTTAAGAGGATTATAATTCCTGACTCACCTTTAGAATTTTTTAGGAAAAAATGAATTTTCTAAATTTACAAGAAGCTTTATTGAGAAATTTAAGTAAAATTTTTATTTATATTTTTTAATAAACATTGAAATTAATTCATTTTTAGATATAAAAGTGTTGACACTCAAGATTTCAAAGAATCATTTAAAGAATTCTTCGGAGAATAAATATACACTTAAATTGATTGGAACGCCTGGATTACAAAGCCAGGTTACCCTCCTTAAGTCTTTGCAATTAATTGTCAAGGTGTTGAGAAGCCTAAGTAAGCTGCTTTGAGATTTTTAAATGAATCAAATATATCTAAATAAGAATGGGATACTTTTTCTGTTTAACAAAAAATAATTTTTTTATAAGAAGTTAATAAAAAAGACAAATTAACTTAAGATAAAGTAAAGCTATTAGATGAAAATTTGGAACTGTTTAATTTAGTAAATCCAGAAGTTTACACCAAGTGGTTTGTAGTTGCCCTAGTGGCTAAGTATGACCCTATCATTCCTTATGTAAAAAAGCATTTAAGTTAGTACGGAAGAATGAAGTTTGTAAGAGAGATTTACAAATTGTTAGATGAATATAATCACGATTTAGCTGTTGAAGTTTTCAAATAGAACGAAGAGCTTTATTACGGTTTTTGCCATAGTTTAGTAAAGTCAGACCTTAAGTTATGAATAGAGAAAAATAATAAATAATTTTTTTCATTTTTTTAGAATTATTTTAAATATTTTTGTAATCAAAGCTCTAAAAGCAATTTTTGTTGATAACATAATAAAAGTAAAAAATTTTAATTGATTAAATTGTCAATTATATGATATAAATCTTTTTTTAAAATTACTTATTTGATTATTATCTTATCATAGGAGTTTAATTTTGGGGGGTTTGGGAAGGGGAGTAAAAACACAGACCATTTATAGGGAGGTCAAAATACTAAAAAATTTTGAAAATTTTAAAATAGCAAACTTTTTTACACCTAATTTAATGGATTAATTCTAAAATTTATTAAAAATAATTTATTTGCAGTTTCTCACTTATAATATCCCAAGAAGTAACAAAACTATTTTTATCATAGATTATTTAGATACTTAAATCATTAGTTTGCTTTTAGTTTTTATTATTTTTTTATTAGAATAAATTAAAATTAATCTTTTGTATATTTTTTAAATTATTTTGAAATGCAATATTTATATAAAGTATCTGATCTTATTCATAATTGATAAAAATATCAGTTTATCTATTTTAAAATTAAATGACTTTAAATGTTAAAAAAATAAATTACAAGTTAACTGAAACAAACAATAAATAGACAAATAAAGAATTATCTAGAAATAATTTTTAAAAATTCTAAAAAGCAAACTATTAAAAAGCATATAATAGACGAATAAATTTTTTGATTCTATTTGAAAACTCTTAACGTGTTATATTTGTAAAATTACACATTATAATTCTAAAGAAAAAAATCTTAAAAATTTTTTATGAAGACAACACTTTGTTAATATACTGAAGTAAATAAAGGCCATCAAAATTTTTTATGCGAATAAGAAATGAAAGATTAAAGAATATGAATGAACTTATGTGCGTATGTAAAGAAAAATTAATATTTTTGTGAATTAAATTTAGGTAATATTAAGTGTATCTATTGATATATCGATAGATTCATCTATCTATTATATAAGTGATGATCTAATTATTATAATATCGAATATATTTAAGAAATTAAGAATATTAATAATTTTTAATAAATTTTACAACTAATTAAATTGGTAACTAAATTCCAAAAAAGCTAAAAAAACATTTAAAATGTTTCATAAGTTAAAAAAATTCAAGCTAAGAGATATTCTTTCGGATTCCAAAAATTTTTTAGTAGTTAACAAGAAGGTGCTAACCATTTTAGCTGCATCAGCTGCTGTTGCCACTGGAACGTATTACATATATAAAAAGAGTAAATTAGGATAATAGAAATAAAAAGCTATAGAGGAATAGGAAAAATAGTCTACTGATGTTTCTGAAGACTCAGATGAGCTTATTGAAGAGGATTTAAAAAGTAGTTTGTCAAATGTAGACTTCATTAAATGCGAGCACTACGATATAATATTAAATTTTGATAGTGAAACAAACATAATTCAAACAAGCGTAAAGCAATTATTAGAAAAATCTATATTATAAGTTTGATGGAAAAAATTAAATAACTTCAAGAATTTTATAAATGTTTTATTAATAAATTCTAAAAGGTTAATTATCACTTTAAAGTTCAAAAAGAAACTAACGAGATATTGCTTGATATGGATCAGTAAGAAATTATCTATTGTGTTATTGAAGGGTTATGCTAAAAATTTGAAATTAAGGACATATAAAGCGAATAATAAAGTTAAGAAGGAGTTAAGGAATTAGATTAAAATATTTAAAGCAATTCAAAATAATTAAGAATAGAATTAGGTAGGCAAGTGCAAGTTGGAGAGAAGTTAGAATTGACAATTAATTCAATTTGCAGATAAATAAACAATCCATTTGTTAAGCTCTTTGAAAGCTAAAATATTGATAGTAAATAATTAATTAATTAATTAAATAAATGAATAACTAACTACTCCTACTTTAATATTTCTACTTTTTAAAGCATTTTCTAAATATTTATCCATAAAATTTAGATTCTCATAAAGTGTTTATCTCTACTGGTAAAGGCAATTAGAGTATATTTCCTTGTCAGAATTATCCCTCAGCAATGGCCACATTTGATATAACAATTGTAACTAAATGTCTTTCAATTTCATAAGGAAAGTTTAATTAGGAAAAAGCACAATTAAAAGGTATTGCATCAGGATAGTATCTAGCTAGTTACCAATATTCAGACTAAAACTATGTATAATCTTATTGAAGAAATTATTTAACAAATTCGAATTATCTTATAACATAAAAAAGACTGTTTTTAGATGTCGAAGTAGGACTTAATTACAGAAATTTCACATAATTATAGCAAATATCGAAGAAGTTTAAAGTAAATACAAAAAATAAATTATTAGTATTTAATTAACACTATCTAATATAACAAAGTTAACGAAAGCATTTCAGTTTTCTAAATAAGAGGACAACACAATATAAATACAATTTAAGAGAGATTTTCATTTATTTAAAAGAATCCAAATTTATATGAAAAACTCTAAGCCTTGAACTAAGAATACGAAAAGAAAGCTTATGTATAAATTTAAATTTATGAAAAAAATTTTAATTAAGTTAATATCATTAAATTTAGTTTATAATTATGCCAAAAGAGATAGATTACCATCATCATTATAATTGTTCACTTGAGCCAATGTAGTTTATCCCATCTCATCATATAGAAGGCAATTGCAAAACATTTAAAGAGTTAGCTTTAAAAGGAATAGTTATCAGCCAAATATATGATCACTTGAACTTCAATAATAATACTCTTTAAAAAGTTAATAAAGGTATTAAATATTTAAACTAAAATTAAATATTAGTTAATTAATATATCCCTCAAAATAATAGAAATATTGGCATACTTTATTAAATTAGGGCTATAAAAAATCTGTAATTAAAATGAGGTAATTATTTATTTATTTATTTAAATTTAATAAATAATTTTTATTATTAAAAATATTTATTCATGTTTTTAAGGAAAGCTTCTAAAATTTTACAAAATGCAGTTTCTATCATATTTAGTTAATAAAATATAAAATCAATATTAGTTTAATAATATTTTCTTCACAGAATTATTTAATTCATTTGAATTGAATAATTAGATAAATTGATTTGATGATAATTTAAATTTATTAATTTATCTTCTTTATTTGATTTGAATATTTTATTTTAAAAAAGATTGAGTAAAAAAAGCATGTGTTCGAATAGATTAATGAGGATAATAATTTTTTCAACAAGATCCAAAAAAAGTTTGATAAAGAATAAATTGAATAATGCTTAACATAATATCTATCAAAAACATGTCTTTGTTAAGAAAATGAGTAAATTAATTTAAAATTGTTGATATTTATTTACAAACTTACTTTTATTGATTGAAAAAGGGAAGAGATACAAAACAATGTGTAATTTGAAAAGTAAATTTATAAATAACTAAAAAAAACAAAGCACATATAATTTAAAAATGTTTGCAATTGAATATATTTATTAAAAATAAAGTTATCATCTTAATTCATATTTATTTATATCTACAAAAAATTTTCCACTTAATAATTTAGTTATTAAAAATAATTACAGTTTAATAAATTTAGATGCTTTTTTATTTATGAAATTTATAATAAATACTTTATCGCTAATTAATAACATATCAAAATATTGGAATAAATAAATAATTAAAACTAAATAATATTTACTGGTTATACATTAAATTTGTTTATTTTATAAAAATTTTATTTTGAAAATATTAGTTTTAATTTTAATCCGATAATAAAATATTTTTAATTTACTGATACTAAAATTTGAAAATTTTATGGATACTCCAAAATATTATTAATTTAGATCACCTCTAATTATAATTAATATAGATATGCTATAATTAAGCATGTCTTATTTTTCTTAACATCTGAGTTAAATGAGAGAATTACATTTATATAATTTATAAATAATATTTAGTTTAAATTTTTTTTTTTGAAACATAAATATATATATTAACATAACAAAATACATGTTTCTATAATTAAATTTTGTACAAAGTAAAATTGTTTAATTTCGCTAGGTTTTTTAGCTATGATTTTTGAAATATTTTATTAAAATAGAGACATATATAATAAAAAGTTTAAATTATACTAATAAAGAATCATAAATTTAGATTATTTAATAAAGAAAGAAAAATATTGTGGTTTACCAATGCAAGCTATTAATTGTATTTTTCTAAATTAGTTTAAATTGAAAGTTTTTAAATTATCTTTAAAATTAATCTCCATGCATATTTAAATAATTTATTAAATATTGAGTAATTTAGACAATCGAAATTCATATATGATAAGAGAGATCGATTTATATTTAAAAACAATGAATAATTCAAAATAAAAGTGTGTATTTTTAAATATTTTACATAGTAAAGCATTTTATTTTTGCTTAAAAATTGTATCACCTTTAATTAGCCACTTATCCTATCTTAAAAAATATTTTATGACATGCGAAAATGAGCATTAATTTATTAAGTCTCCATTTACAGATCAAAATAATTTTTAGATTTTTAGATTTGTAAGAAATGCTTCTTAAATTACTAAATAAGAATTTAAGCCAGTTTTTAATTTAGTTTTATTAATAAAAATACATATTTGAGGCAAAATGAATATCTGTTACTAACTCAAATTAATTCAAATTCATTCATCATCCATTGATTTTATTTTCTAAAAATAGGTAAATGAGTAAGAGTTAATTTTACTATTCTAAAAAATATTTGAGCCAGGCATAAAACTTAACTATTCCCTGCTTACCATTCGATTTATCTTATTGAAAAACTGCGCTTAAATTTGTAACATTTTGATTTATTATTCATTTTATAAACTTGTTATATTTAAATTTAATAAATAAAATTTCTCATCTATTATTTTAAATGAAAGGTTATAGTTGATCTTTTGAATTTTTGCAAGAGTTAAAAATAGATTTTTAAATTTAAATGCCTATTCTAAAATGGTATAAAGGCATTTTATACGTTTTCCTTCATATAAAAAAATAAAATTATTTGGGAATTTGTTTGTGTTTAGGAAAAAAAAAAGTATATTTTTAATGCAGGAGAGCATTTAAAATGCTAAGATGAATTAATCTTACTGATCCATACTAATCTACTTAAGCAAATCTTTTAAAATTACTTGTATTTTTTAAGGTTCTACCAAATAAGACTCCATTATTTAAAATATACTAATTAACTAATAAAATGCAAAAAAGATGATAATAATAACCAGTATCTTTTATAAAACATAAAAGAGTACTTAATCCTTATTGAAAAAAGGTATGTTTTATTTAATTAAATATCAAATATAATTGTAATTCTTGAACATCATTTTTTAGTATATTTTAATTTTTGAAATAAAATTCAGTTTTTACCAAAAAAAAAATTTTTTGAGTGATTAGAGCACATTTAAAAAATTTGAAAATAAAAAGCAAAATGGAAAAATTTACATTATTTTTTCAATCAGTTGTTTTAGAACAATAGTATCAACAACGAAATAGAGCTATGAACTGCAAAATATTCATTAATTTATTGAGATTGTACATAATTTCTGTTATTCTTCCAAATATAGTCACACTATGCTTTTCTTATAGCATGAATAGCATGCTGATATCAATTTTAGGAATGACTGCATTATTATTTCACCATTTCACTGTGATATTTTTCCCAAAATACTTCAACTTGTGGGCGAATTCTCTTATTTTATTGGTAGGAGTTCTATAGTCAGCTTAGATTTTTATTTTGGAAAAGTAAAAAGAGGAAGATTAATTTTTTTTCTTCTATTTTGCTGGAAGTACTATTCCAATCCAGATTATTTCAGCTATTCTAAATTCAAATTTCCCTTTAACTTTTGTTGCATTAAGTGGATCTACTATAATGTAAGTTATTATTTTAAGTATATATAAGCGATGCATTTTACTTCTTTTTAATTAATTGAATCAAGAATGATTTAAAAATTTTTTTTTGTGAGTAATAGTTAATTTCTACTGAAAATTTAAGACAGTAACAAAGAAATTAATTGAAATTATTAAATTCCTATTAACAAAATCTTATATTTTACATGTTTTTTCATTAGTTTGTACTATCCAAAAGGTATTATTTTACGATGAGTTCTTCAAAAGTATATGACTGCAAATTTCAATACGGAGCTTCCTCTTTATTAGTTATATTTTTCATTTATCTCTCTCAATAATCAAAAAGAAAATAATTTCTCTAGGAGAATTCTAAAAGAGAGTGGGAATTTATTGGAAAAAGTATATTGCCTATGAATATAATTACAGTCAAATATCATAAAAAAAATAAACAAATCTCTTTAGATAAGATTAATGATAAAGCAAAGAAGTTCCTTAATATAAGTACCAATGAAGAATTTTTATAATTTACAAGAAATACTTTTATACTGGATGATATGGATAATTTTTATGATCATGAAATATTTAATAAATCAGACTTCTAAACTAATTTCTCAAAATCTTAGTCAGTAAAAATAAATATTCGACAATAAGAAACGCTTGAATAAAAATTACTGTAAACCTTAAAATAAGATCTATAATAACACCAGCAATTTTAAGATCATCTCATAGATTTATTCAAAAAATAAAAATAAAATACCTACACATTAAGCAAAAACGAGAAGACTGATAATAACAATATACTATAATAAAATATCGCAAAAGAGAGTAAATTCTATGCACTACTCAAAAAGGATAATCAAGCTTTCAAAATATAATTTTAAACATATACTTTATTGAATTAAAAAAATACGTTTTGCTGTATTTTGATATCAGAATTTGAAGAACAACCGCATTATAATGTCACTGCTTTATAAAATACTAGAACTATTTTAGAGAAAATGTTTTTTGAAAGTTGCATTTACATAGGTATACATTTTCATTAAATTTTAGACGAATTCTTAAAAAAAATGCTTATAATTTAAAAATATATTTGAATATTTTCTATTTACAAATTTAAAAATATAAAAATATAAAAATAAAGGTGATAAATTATAAAATATTGTGGAAAATATCTCAGATTAAGAAATAATCAAAGCAAATGTTTATTTGAGTTACAACAGAATGTATAATCTTAAAGATTATTTCTAAATATTAAAAAATCAATTCAAAATAAGACTTGAAAGCTCAGTGATTTCATCTATTTCGTTACATTCTTTGAGTAATCAAATGAATATTTTAATTAAAAGTATATTAAACAAGAAGAATTTTCAAATAAAACACATAAATTGTAATTCTCAAACATTAATAAATACTTACGCTGATAAAATAACTCAGTTATTAATCAATTTAATTAATTTTTCTACAAGAAAAATGTAAAATTAATATCAAAAAAAGTCGGCAATATTTCATTATATAAATAACAATAAAAAACAATTAGTTGAAAATTAATCTTCTGAATAGACTAATTATGATGAAATTGAATTTGAATTTCATTAAAAGTAATAATCTATTCAAAATTTGAAAATTTATTAGCCTGATATATGCAAGTGCAACATTTAAGAAATCAGTGCTACTAATTAAGAATTTTAAATTTAATAAAAACAATAGTAAGATAAAGTTATCGAATGTGAATAAGAATAAAAATGTGTTTAATAAAAAGATACTTCAACTTTAAATTTGAATGATATAGAGTTATCTTTCGAATTATTAAAAGGAGAAAATGCAATTTCAGATATTCTCAAAATTAAAATTTCTTAAACGAAATCTGATGCATCTTTACATGATATACTTAATATCTTATAAAATATTGAAATTTAAAATGTAAATAGTATATCAGATAAAAGCAATTAAGAGTAAATTGAATGGAAAGTTAACTACAACATAATAGGAAACATAGGACCATTCTACAACCTTTATGCAAGAAAATCTCCAGATTAAGTTAATATTTTATTAAATTTTTTTATAATTAAAAAAATAATTATAATTAAAAAAGGCATATGAATTTCATTTTTACATTTTCAAAAACGCGGAAATAATTAAAAGCAAAGACCTAAACAAATAATAAATATTTTAAAATTCACTCTATCAAAAACATTTATCTGTGTCTAATTTAGAATATTTTCATTTAAATAACATTGATGATCTCAAAAATTAGATCAATAAATAAAGCTCAAATTGCTCTATTGACATCAAAACAAATGAAGAAAGTAGCCATCAAGGAAGAGATCTTGTAAAATTAGAATTTTAAAATATCAAATGCAACTCTTTTTTAGAAAAAGATAGCTTTTCTCTTTAATCATCTGTAAACCAATCTATGATTCCGTTTTAAAAAAGTACGTATTCAAGTATAGTATCATCAAATAATTACAAGTATTAGTTTAAAACTAAATTTATAAAATAAAATAACAAAACTGATGACCTCTACACCGAGAAAAAATTCATAGTAACAAATTTATGAATATAAATAATATGAAAGTTTAACAAAATAAAAAATTATATATATTAAAAACTAACAAGATATTATTTTTCAAGAAAAATATGTCAAAAATAACCCAAAAAAATGTTGTTTTTTAAATTTATGTTTTTTATATTTTTTATTTATTTTTAAAAATAAAATAAAGCATTTTAAATTAATCACAAAATATAAAATTCACATTACAATTAGAAAATTATTGCAAAGAAAGTCTTGACTTTATAAAAAAAACTATTAGATTTTTTTGATTTAGAAATAGAATAAATGAATTTATTTTATTAAAACAAAATAAAAAGTATTAATTTAATTAAGTTTCTTCAATGAATTTACTAAAAAATAATGAGTTCTTTAGTTTTGTATTTGTGTTTATTTAATTGGAAAGCAGTTTAAAAAATTTTTTTATTAATTAAAAATACTATTATTTAATGTAAATTGATTAATAAAATGAAAATTTGATTGCTTTTTAATTTAAAAAAAAATAATACAATTAAATTAATTCAATAAATATTTATAAAAATATTTGTTTAAGCTGTTAGGAGTTTATTTATTTTACTCAAAATTGAAAGAAAATATTAAATAAATTATTTTAAAGTTTTTAAAAAAGAGTAACATCATAGATTGGTAAAAAATAATAAGACAAAAAGTAAATATTGGTAGAAAGATTGGTAGGTAGGTAGGTAGATAGTTAGATAAGTAATTATTTATTTGTTTTATGTTTTATTTTTGATAGAAAAATTAATATTTTATTAGTAACATTTAGTTAAATTATCTTAAATGCATCTTATTTTAAGAATTTCAATACTATTAAGTTCTTTAAGATACTCCATTGTTTTGAGGATATGTTTTTTAACCATAATGTTTATAGTTGTTATTGTTTATAAAGTTATTATTATTGTTATTATTAAAATTACTATTGTAGTTGTTATTGTTTGGATTGTTATTATTATAATTGTAATTATTGTTGGGGTTGCCATTATTTATATTGTTATTATTGTTGTAGCTGTTTCTTTTTTGATATTAGCTTCCATTAAATTGATTATTACTGTGATTATTAGGGTTGTAAGAATTATTTGAGTTGTAGTTATTCTAATTGGCAATACTATTGTTGTTGACAGGTGGTTATCCTTTGAAATTATTGAATTAATACTAATTATTATTATCGTTTGAATTAGCATTGTTGTTGCTATTTTAGTAGGATTATTGGGCTTAAGAGGGTTTATAGTTTTGGGTATTAGGCCCTTTTCTGACTTTTTTATCAGGAGAAAGACTAGATACAGAGTTTAAGGTGTTGCTACTTGTGTTCTTTGATGATTAGGAGTTAGTTTCTTGACTTTGAGAATTTGCTACATTTGCAAATTAAGGGAGTATAGTTTCTTCACTTTCCTCTGGAATATATTCAATATCAACAGCCTTTCTGCTTTGTTTGTGTTTGCCAATATATTTAATGAAATGAAATTTAAAACGAAGGTTCATCAAAGATGAGTGTTTTAAGATGTCTTTAGGGACAGTAGTAACTTAAAGATCATCTAAATGAACAAAAACATCACTCTAATCTTCATCCAAATTGAAGAAACCAAAATTATTTGAAGTGTCAAAGAATTTCAATCTCCCTTTCTTTTTCTCTTCTGTTTATTCCAATACTTCAGGTTTCTTTGGCTCTTTCATTTTTTAAGGGTCTTTTTGATCTTCAATATTGTTAGATGAGCCAATACTATTTGAATTAGGAATTTTTTGCTTTTAGAGGTTCTTAGAGCTGCCAATGCTATTTGAATTATTGTTATTACTGCTATTGTTATTGTTGCAGTTATTATTGTTATTATAATTATTCGTATTGTTATTGTAGTTGGTATTAAAACTTTGATTGTTAGTGTTATTGTTAATGTTGCTGTTTGAGTTATTTGATAAGTGAGGATTCATTTTATTGTTGTTGAAAGTATTGTTGTTCTTAGACTCTTTCTGTATTTTGTCATTTGGAATTTTAGATTAATTAGACATCTTAAAATTATTTTATTAATAATTGTTTGAAGGATTATTTTATGCAACAACGTTTTGTGACTGATTGTAAGTTTATTTGTTATTTTAATTGTTGTTGCTATTTGAATTCAATCCATAATTTTTTTAGCTAAATTACCTTTGTTTTTAGGCTTCATCACTACTTCCTTAGGACTGCAATTATTACTATTCGCTTTACTATTGTTATTATCTATAAGGCATATTAAAATTAATGTTTTATTATTATTATGGTTAACTAGACTATCTGAAAAATACTTGCTGATTATCATTAGGAATTTGCTATGGATGGTATATATTATCATTATCTAATAAAGATGTTATATTATGGACATCATTGATACTAGTATTGAAATTTGAAAATTGTGTATTGCTTTGCTATGTATAATTCTGTTGAATAGGTTGTTTTCTCCCAATAACATTCTAATTAATATTGTTCACTACTCTATCTGGAGGTATTAAAACTGTTAAATTATCAATACTGCTGGGTTATGTTTGATGAATGATAGCAGGAGGTAAATTTTGGGGTAGAGGGGGTGTTGATATGAAAGATTATTAACCTATATTAGAAATATTATTAGTAGGAGGAATGCCTTAGTTTATTGCCTAGTTAGGAGAGTGGTAATAAATATTACCTATTATTGTCTACTGTTATTAAGGTTGCTATTCTATAGGTTGAGGAATTACTATTCTGTTTTTATAAGGTTCAATAGGATTAGTGTTTATGGGAGCGAATGGAGGCTGAGCATTGGTACCTTACTGTTACTACCCCTATTATTATTGCTATTAAGGAAGGTATCTTATTTAATTTTATTCTTAATATCTCACTTAATAAGGATAGTGATGCATCTATTATTGCTAAGTAGCATACCATGCTTCTGAGACATGTTAATAGTCAGCTTACATTTAAGGAGGAGGTTATGCAAAACTATTTTTTTAAAAGCAAGAATTAATATTCAAATTTGTTTTGAAATTAAATCATCAAAAATAAAAGAAAATTATAGTTTACTCTTCGTAGTGAGGATAGGGCGATGCAAAATAATTATAAGTTGGAGGAGGTTGTGTAGTGTAAGGATTAGGTAAAGGAGAAGGAGCTGCATTTGGATAAGGTTAATAAATAGGAGGTATTTATGGAACTTAGTACTAGGTATAATTATAAGCATTTATCTATTACTGCTACTGCATTTAGATATACATAAATTATTTGTATCCTACTGGTGAAATAGGGGCACATTCTTAGCTTTCTTCGTTTTGGTGAAGGAGTAGATTTGTCCAGGGATCCAAGAATTCTGTAAAGAACTACCTTTTAGAATCCTCAGCTGGAGGCTGTTCGTATTCATCATTACATTCATTCAAATTAAAAGTAAAATGCTTCTGCTGCTTATTGCTTTAAGTCATAATTCTTTCATTAGCAGTTTTTAAATTGTGGTAGCCAACTTAAGCTGAAAACTCTTTATCATTACTTTTTTCTTTATCTTGATCTAATTCTTTTAAATTCTGTTGAGAAAAGCTCCTTTTTATCTATAGTCCTTCTGTTGGTGCTGGGAACTTGTAAGGAGATTTACGACTCTCTCTCTTGTTTTCTTTATCTTATTGGTGCTATTTTTTTAATAAAAATCAATAAAATAACAATTAAAACTTAATTCAATTCACAAAATCTAAAGCTGAAAAATTAAGAGGGAATTTACCTAGAATTCGAGATGAACAAAATCATGGTCAGGATTGACTAGCTCAGCCTCTATGACTTTTCCTAAAATCTTTTTATTATAGATTTTAACATAAATTATTAATGAAACAAAAATTTAATATTTTGAAAATAAATTTAAAAAGTAAGTAATTTTATTAATCTTACTTCATAAACAAGATTTTAAGCCATTTTTGCATGATCTAAGAACTGTTCGTCATAGACAGGAGTATAAATTCCATCATCCCATAAAAGTTGAATTATCTTTGTGTGATTTTTGCTATTAAACTACTTAGAATTCAAATAAGAATCATCGCCTACCTATTTCATTATAGTTTACATTATTTTAGCTATCGAATACACATAAAAATAAATATTTTTAGTGTTAGAAAATAAAGTTTAATTACCGAGAACACTATCACTTTAACTTTGTAAATCATTGAAACAACTTCCAAATTAACCTATAATTTAAAATATAATTTATATTCACAATCAATCTATTATTTTGTTGCATTTTGCATATTTATCTGTAAATAATTATCAGATCTCTAGCTTTAGCTAAGTACATAAGTCTATTTAACTATTTAATTATACAAATTAAAAAAAACAACTTACATCATCAAATATGGAAAGTTCTGGATTATTGCAATAATCTGAAAGAAGTTAAAAGTTATGATAGAATTTTTCGAGAGTTCTTGTAAGTTTCTATTTTGAGTTAAATGAAAAAAATCACTAAAATTCAACAAAAGCATTTCTAATTTTCTTTAGTTAAGCAAGGAGAAATTGTAATAATACCTTTTGCTGAAAAAGCTTCTAAAAGTATTTGAAACAAAGCGCCTAAATTTCTTAGTACTTGCTAGTTGTAAAATAAAGGCAATCTGAGACTGCCCTCATCAAATTAGATCCACCCTTTTAATAAAAAAGTATTGAATTAATTCCAAATGAGAATTTTCAAAATCAAAATTATTAATGCATAATTATGACCAAAGCTAATAAATGATTTATTTACCTCTGGAATTGGCCTAATTGCTAAATTATTGCTATGGAGTAAGTTTTTAATGGTGGAGTTTATCACTTAAGGCTAGTCTCTTTAATTTTATATCTTGAGCAATGCCTCTTAAAGAAGAGAAGAATTGAAATCCATTCACTAAAAACTTGCTTGAATACTAAAGCTTTGATTGTTATTCACTTACTAATATAAAAATAACTTTGTTTGAATACGACTGCCTGCAATCAATCAATCTATCTATCTATATACTTTTATTCTTAACGCCACAAAAATTAAATAATCTCTCTTAAATATGATTAATTAATATCTAATTATTATATTTTTTCTTTCATGCATCACAGAATTTATTAAAAAAATTTTATATACATTTTCAAGAATTAATAATCAAACGCTGCGTTATACACACAAACACATAAATATATATAGGCAAATAAACAACATACCTATGCATGCATAAATTATGATACTACAAAATATGACATTTTTAAAATTGACTTTAAAATAGAATTAAAAGATTCAAAGCTTTTAAATATATTTAATATTGCTTAAATAAAATTTTAAATAACAATAATCCTTTTCTTAGCTAAAATTTATATATATTTTTCATTTATTTAATATTTAAAAATTCATGATTTTGTTTTTTCAATAACTCAATTTTTTCAAGATTACTTCAAAATTTTATAAAAGATATTTTTTTCTCATTGAAATAATTATTTCTACATTAAAAAATTAACTAAAATTCTCATTTAAAATTATTTTTATTTAAAAATTGGCTTTCTCATTTAAATTTTTAATTATTAATTTAATGTTAAAATTGAATTTTTTATCAATTTAAAAAAGAAAAATCAACATTTTTTTTAACTACATAAAAGAATCAAAAAAGAAAAGAAAAATCCAAGAAATGTTTTTTTATTTTTTATATGTATGCCTTTGATCATCATCTTATGAACATGAATGCTCATATATGTCACAAAAAAGCAACTGATTTCACATTGCTGAAAAAAGATACATCTATGAGTCTAACTCAAAGAGATAAACTAGTTGTAACTATTCAACACAATGTTTGATTTTATTTTTTTATTTTTTTTATTTTTATTGATTGACTGTTAACCCACAAGGTAGGGGTATGCCCATCGAATAGAGCATATCCCTTGTAGTAAAGTTATTTAATTTAGCACCCCTTAATTAGGATATACCTATTGGGAAGATATATCCAACTCAAAAATGCCTTGAAAGTTTTATTTATTTTTAAACTAATTTCTTGTTTTTCTTGATTGATTGTTTTTTTTTGTTTTTACAAATTATCTAATTAATTAATTTATAAAAAAATAATGAATTCTCTTTACTATAAATAGTTTTTTTTGTTCTACTTTTAGCTTTCTCATTTTTATCTTGGAAATTGCTAACACGGCACCTAAGCTCAAAATAAAATATGCACGAATGTTCTATCAAACTCCATAATACCTCAACACAAATCAATCAAAAATGCGCAAAACTATAAAAATGTGTCTTACATTTTATTTTATGATTTTAAAAAATATTTAGAATTAATTGTTTTTATTTTCCTTTAATACAAATATATTATAAAACTAAACAGATTTATTTCAACTTTGATAAATATCTATAAAATTTTTTATTTTTTATTGAATGAAGCAATTTGGATTTTTGTATCCTTTTCTATCTGGTCTCTTTGGCTCTTTAGCAGGCACTTGTGGTAAATATTTACTATTATTAGCTTTATTTTTCAGATAATTCTGCTTTTAAACATAAATAGTGACACAAAATAAATGCATTCCAATTTTCTAATATGACTATAAATATATTAAAAAATATTTTTTAACTCCCTTTAGGAAAAGTAACATTTTAAGATGAAGACTACTTTGCTTTCACTAATAGCTATTTAAATTTATCTGTGAGAGGAGCTGGTTTAGTTTTAGTTTTATTTTTCAATCAATTAATGATGAAATTCTTGTTAAACTCTTTCCAATTAAATGGCGCTACATTAACAGTGCTACTATCTTTCATATTCAACTCAGCATCAAATGTAATAGCAATTAATATCTTAAATAATTTAAAATAGAATTTAATAAAAATAATAGTGTTTTGTTGGCTATTTTATTTATAATGAAAGTATTTCTATGAGATGGGGTCTTGGAATGCTCTTTATTATGATTGGAGTTCTCCTTCTTTCTGATAAAAACAAATTAGAAGCAAAGGAAGAAAAATAAGAAAAAGACACAAAAAGCGAAAATGCAAATCCCTCTAACAAATAGAAAGATAAACAAAAGAAAGATAATAAAAAAACCTAATGAATAAATTATTCAAAAATATAAAATATTTTTTATAAAAATTAAAATTTCTTATGTTCATTAAAATTAGATTGAACTTTTAAAAAATCTTTTAAAAGATACTTAATCTGAATAATAATCTATAAAAATAAATATTCATTTCTTTTAAAACTAAAATATATAAAATATTTTCTTTCTCTTTATATTCATTTAAATAGTTAGTTGCTTACAATAAATATCAAAAGTGAGTATTTTGAATTAGAGTAAAATTATTTCAGAAAATATTATTAATTATTTTTAAACTTAAATGGTACATGATATAAATAGTCAGTTTAAAATCCATTTTTTTATTTCTCACAAAGCTCAAATTGTTATTTTTTTTTAAAGAAACTTAGGATTGAATTAATTTTTAAAAATATTAATAATACAACATAAATCCATATTATTGCCTTTTTCATTTTTAGTTTCAATCAATTCAACATGAAAATTCTTGATGCCATTTTATTTTTTATATTTAATCAATTAATTCATTTTTTTAAAATGTAATGTTTTTTCAATATATAATATAAATATTTAATCAAAAATGTATTTATAAATTATAAATAGCTAAATTTTAAAGGCTTTATTTATGTAAGTGTAAATTAGCATTCTTATTTTTACCAATCTTAAAAAATAAATTAACCATTCATTTATTTATATTTGATATTAAAATTTATGCACTCTTTTAATTTTAAAGTTTTTCTTATTCTTTACTGGTGAATTTGAAATTATCTATTGCATATATTATAGGGTTTTATTCAAATATATTTTTAAGGTTTAATCTATCAATTTTTTATTTAAGTTGTAAGATTAATTTACAAAACATTTTTTAAACACTTACTAAATTCATTTGATAAATTAAGCTTAATTGAAAAAAGTTGAAAAAATATAAATTATTTTAACATAAGAATAGGAATAGAATTGCTAAAACATTACTAAATAATTAGGTTTTTATTTTAGCTAAGAAAATAGACTTGAGAAATTAGATTTATTTAATATTAAGTATAGAAATTATAATTTGTTTTAATTATTTGTAAAAGAGTAAATTCGGATTACTGAATAAATTAACTCTAAATGGTTTAATATTATATTTGTAATTTAAGATATTATTATTGATGCGTCATCATTTATAAACAAATTGTTATGTTAAATGAAGAATGATATTTGGTAATCCTTAAACTTTTTTATGCTTTTAATTGAAAATTTGGACAATCATGCAATTTATTTAATGTGTATTTAAATAGAATGAGTATAGCAAAAAGTAGTCTTAATATTATTAACATACGTACGTACATATATAGATTGTTTATTCTGTTGCAATCAATTACATTAATAGTTAAGAGATAATATTAAGCATAAAAATAATAATAATAATAGCGAGTCACTATATAATTTAATTAATTTCACTTTGATTAATTCACGAAATGAGTAGCATCAATAATAGGAGATCTCAGAGTGTGAATTCAAATGCTGTTTATATAGGAACAGCTACTTAAGCAAAAAATAACCAAGCATCTAATTCTAATTCGTCTAATTTATTCTAGAATCAGCGAAGCAAAAGCAAGTCACAGCAATTTAAAAAGCTGTAATAACTTAGGTTGCATATTGATGATATTAGTACTCTGCTAAGTTGTTATTAGTCTAGGGAAGATAGTATATTTTAAATGAGGGTTTGTGTTATGCAAATATTAGAGAATATTTAGGGGAAGTCTTTGAATGAAATTTAAAATATTGTTAGAAATATTAGCCATATTTTATTAGACACTGAAAGAATCCGTTTTGTGGAGGAGAATAAAGTAATTGAAAAGTATGCTTCTCCATTAATACAGCCTATATATTTAGAGAATAATTCAAGTGCAAAGCAAATGGTTTTTAGATATGGGTCTAAGTTAAATAAAATCAACAACTCTTATTATCAAAAGATATAATTTTACTTTCCTCGTATGGCCGAGCTTATTCAATAAGAACAATGCAATTGGAACAGTTAATTTAAAGAATCACTACAATCCATAATGTCGAATAGTTCTTAAGGCGGCAATCAAAATTCCTAATCTATATCTTCATACTCTTAATAAAGCAATCACAGCAATAGTGCTAGCAATAATAAAGTTTTATTGACTTCCGTTTTGAAACATATAGTAGTTAAATCAAGATAAAAGTTTCAAAAAGAACACGTAAAGTTCACTTGTTATCAGTAGGCGTATGGTGGCCTAATAGAAAAGATAGTAGGAGTTCCTAAATAAGTAGATAAATGTAATAAAAACGAGAAATTTTTTATTGATAAATACATATAAGGTTCTGCCGCGTTTGCCTACACTTAGCTTCTTACTTAAAAATATTTAATAAAATCGTCAAATAAATATATAATTATTGGTTATAGTTCGTAAATGCGTTAAGCAGTTAGATAAACTTGGAGAAATCCTTATGACATATTATAACTCGAAGATAAAAAGTAAGAAACAAAAGCAGCTAATGCTTAAAGTTCTGTAGGAAATTCTAACTAGGCTGCTAATGGTACTACTCCCATTTCTTCCTCTTGTGTGAGCACCTCAAAAACAAACTCAAATTACGAGAGCTTATGGGAAATTATAGTTACAAATTATGACAAAAACATAAAAGAAATGTTTTCATATAACAAGAGTATAAACTACTAAATAAAATAATATATAGAATCATATCATAAAAGAGATTAGCAATAGTAGTAAAATAAATCTTAGTTATTACTTTAGTCAAATGTATATTAGAATAAAAATTAAATAAAGTAATATAACGTTTAGAATACAGTTTAAGGAAATTCATAAAGTTAGAGTAAAGACCTCATTATTAGTGAGGGTGAGAATCAATCTAAGCAAATTTAATAAAATATTTTTTAAGAGTTCAAAAAAAATAAATAAGATAAAAACATTGGCAATAATTAAAATATAAGTCAAGATTTTGATGAAAGTTTGCTAAAAGAATAATAAAATAAATAAATCGAATCAGATTAATAGTAAATAGAAATAGGAGATTAGTTAACTGAAGCATAAGATTAAAATTAAGAAGATGATAAAAGTTTGTAAAAAAGCTAAACTTCACCAAAATTTAGCATTTCTCAAAGCTCTCTCAGTTTATCTCATTCATAGAAAAACAAACTCTCTTAGTCTTATTATACATACTTAGATGAGGATTAAATAAAAATGTAAAGCTAATTAAATTAGGAAAATAGCGTTTAAAAAAATTATAAAACTGATTACTATTCAAATGACTGTGAATATGCATCTGATTGTAAAGATTAAGCGTAGAATAATGATGCTATCTCTGTTTATGAAGAGTTTTTTACAAAATAAAACGAAACAAGTGAATAAAATGATAATTCAAAAATACAAAAATAGGAAGATAGAAGTAATAGCCTCTTAGAAAATTGTCAAAGTAAAACTTTTGATGTTTCGAACTTTTATTCTCGTTATAAACACAAGAGCTTTCAAGATTCATTAGGGGAATACTAATTTGTACCGAAAAGATAAATTAATAACTTCAAAAATATACCTTAAAAGAGTAAATTACCATTTATTAAAATATAAATTTAACTTTTGTTATAATAATTTTTTAAAAAGCGATAGAACATGAAGAAAACTCATTTTAATTAGCTATTAATCCATATAAAAAACTAAGGAATTAAAATTAAGGCGAATTCAATATGAATGCTTAAGATGAAAATGTGCTTTAAAACTCTTAAATTAATTTAAACAACAAAATTAATTTAAGTAATATATAGAACAAAGAATTAACAAGAGTTGTTTTAAACCCTTTTTCTAGCGAAATCATACCAAATAGCTGCATAAATAGCAATTACAACAAAAAATTAAATGATAATCATCTCAAGTAAAGCAGAAATACTATCCAGGGTACCTCTTTAAAAGCAAGTTCATCAAATATTAATTTAATGTCACCAAACTAGTCAAGTAGCATAAACTAAACAAATATCTTTAGTTACCAGATCTCTTCAGCCAATAAAGCCAATTTTGAAGTAAATAATAGTTTGAGTAGCAGTAGCAAGAGCAGCAAGATCAGATTCTCCCTAACATCAATTTAAAAGCAAAAGGACTATCCTTACATTGATTAGTTTCATTAGCTTTTTGAATCTAAAAAGAAGAATATTAACTAATCGTGCTCTTAGAATTAACAGCTGGCCAATTAAATTTAAAATTCCATAGGCAATCATCAGTTTTCGAATACTAATCTTAAAAGTAACACATTTACAAATGACACCTAAGCTTATGATGGATAAGATGAAATTCTACCTCCTCTATTAGAAGCAAATAATTTTGCTAAAAAGCAAAAGTAAATAAAAATTTTTACAATCACTCAAAGAGAAGGTAACTATCAACAACAATAAAATGAAAATGTACAAAAAAATTAAATTGCTAATGACTAGCAAGGACATTTTGGTTCATAGAACTAAATCACTTCAATAGGAAATACAGGGTTAACAACTCCCAGTTCAAATATTCATTTGACAAGTCTAACTAAATTTCCTGCAGATTCTACAACTAACAATCAGAATTTAAATAATTAACAGCATTCTACTTAGAATAGCATTAACTCTTCTAGAATTCCTAACAATCAAAAAAGTGAACATCCCTCCAACAGTAGCTCCTAAGTAAATATAATTAGCAGTTGTACAAATATAAATATAAGTAACAGCTAAAATAAAACAATGGAAGTTTAGAGCATAAATAATAATAATAATTTAAAAGTGAATGCTGTTAATAACCAAAACACTCCTAAGGCAAATTACTAGCTTAAAATGAATCATAAATTGTATTCTGGTCCTACGTTTAATACTTTGGCCACAAACAAGCACAGCTAGGCTACTCCTATAAAAACAAATAATTTAGGCTCAACAAAGAGTAAACGTTAACAAACTGTGTCTTCAGATTAGTAAGCTAGCTTGATAAAATCTATTAATATAAAATAAATTAATTCATAAGAAACTCCTCAATTGAACTAGAATTAAAAGTTCTGCAATTTAAACTTAGACTCAAATATTTACTCATCATTGTATTTTGATCAACAACCTATGAATTTGCCAGAAATTTTATATAAAACATCATAAACACCGTCTATAGGGAAAACTTAAATGAGCATTCCTCCTGATAGTATGCATTTATTAAAGCAAAATTACAACAACTCTCAAAAAAAACACTTTGATAGCTCCAACTAAACAGGTTAATTCATTAATTTAAATACTAGCAATTCTAATTAGCCAGTTTTGACAAGGATCAGCAATGCTGTTCAAGGTTCCTTTAGTCCACTAAAGCTAGATTCTATAGAATAAAGAAGACAGCTTTCAATTAAAAATAATGAAAACTTGTAGTTAAGTATCTCAAAAAGAAATGAGAGTTTTAATAGAAAAAGCATTAACTCTACTTAAAATATTACTTAACAGTAGAACTAATACTAATAGTAGCAGCATTAGTAATATTAGTAGCAGCTAGTTTAATCTTAGCAAGCTGGAAATATTTTTAACAACATTACTCCTCAACTACGAAATATAAATAGGCAGAAAAAATGTAACATCATTAATTTACAAAATTAAAATTAATTCATTATAAAAAAAAATTAACTTAAGACCTATGAAACAAACCCTAATACTTCTATATAAATAAACAAAAGTCCAGCTTGAAACTAACAAGCAAACAATTTAAAAACAGATAAATCAATAAACCACAAATGAATAGTAATCTAACAAATAATCAATATTAATTAAATAATTTAAAGGTATTTAATGTATTAATCAACACTATGTTTATATCTTAGACTCAATATACAAAAAAATTAATTAATAAAGAAAAAAAAACTAAATCATTTAATCAAAAATGCAAAAAATCAAATCGTTTTTTAAAATATTAGTTTATTTCAGCTAAAATCTGTTAAAATTTTATAATCTAAAAAATTCATAATATATATATTTCCTTATTAACTTAATATTAAAGAGTAACCTTAAAACTTATTTCACAAAATATAAATCAATTTAATTTTTCAAGCTATTTCATTTTAATTATTTTTTTCTTTATGCTACCTCAATATTATGCAAATTTAAAATACATTTTAATAAATTCTTAGTCTAATATTTTTTTTAATTGTTAATTATTTCATGATATATAAATTTCAAAGCACTATTTTTAAAAGTTAAATTATTGATTAAATATTTATTGTCTAATTTGAATATTATACACCGAGCTACTTTCATTATCATCTGAACAATTATAAACTTTTAAATTTGAAATTTTTTAAATTTTATTTAAAAAATTTAAAGAATATAGAATATCACATATTTAATAATCCATAGCTGATGTCAAGGTATATTTAAAAATAATTTTTTAACTAAATTGGCACTTTAACTTTGAGTTTCATTTTAAATTAATTCTTTTCATACAAATGAGATGGTAATAAAAAAAATAAACAATAATTTAATTTATTTGAAATGTTATTAAATTTTTATAAAGCTTTTTTAATTACTTTCAATAATATTAAATAAAAATAGAAAAATAAAATATTTTTAGATTAAAAACTTAATATTTTTTATATAATAAGTGTAGAATTTAAATTGAATATTAACAGTTTGCAATTAGTTTTGCTTATTAATGAATAAATAGAATATTTGTTATGAACAAATAGAAGTTTTGAGTAAGTAGAAAATCCTACATCAGTAGCAATTTATAATAAATAGAATTTTTATCAATATTTTATTTAAGTTATAGAGCAAATCCAAACTAAAGGTTAAAATACAAAATTAGAGAGGAGCATAAACTAAATTAAAAAATATTTATTAAAAATAATTAAATCTTAGATCAAATAGATTTTTAAGCAAGGAACAATAACAAAGTATATCAAAAATGGATATCACAGGTCGTTTAAATTAAGAAGTTTAGATTTAAGAATTACTAGAAGGCTGCGATGAGAATTTAATAAAAGGTCTTGTCAAAAATAAAATAGTTCATCCCACTTTTTGTCAAGAATAGTTGTTTAATCTCAATAAGGAGAGAGATCACATTGTCATTAGAAGTGGTATGGTTTCTGGTAAAACAACCGGTTTGCTCATAGTCCTTCTCAATGATTTCATAAATAAAATGAAGCAGTTTAAATTCGTTGAAGGAAATGAAACTGAAGATGAATCAGTTGGTTTATTCTCAGTCCTCATCACTGCTTCTAAAGACTTAGCTTAAAAGAATCACAGTGTAGCTGAAAACATATGCGCCTTCATCAAAAAGCCATACAACATGCAAGTTATGAATTTAAGCACATTCTCTGAAGAAAATTTCACAATTATACCTAAAACTCACTACTTGATTGTTGCCACACCTTCTACTTTCTTGAAATTTGCCAAGCATACTAAATTCGATAAAAAGAAATTCGTTAACTTTGCCTTTGATGATATTGATTATATGCTTTCTTTTGGCTACAAAGGCGAATTAACCAACTTCTAATTTTTCTATGAATCTGAAATCAAGTAAAATAAATATATTTTCTAAACTATTTATCTTTTATTTCCTTACATTAGCGATGGAATCTATTTATTTGTATCTAATTTATCGTAAGTAAAATTAAAAACTATTTTATTATTAAACAGGCAAGAAAACTTTAAGTGTTACTGGAGTGCAACAGAAGAATTAAATGATGATTTAAAGGAATTAAAAAAGACTTTCTTGCATAAAAGTGTTATAATTAATGTAGATGATGATTATGATGAAATGGATGATTAAGAAAGAAAGAGCAAGCAAGCTCTTTAGTTTGATCACGATTAAATTACTCATTACTATACAACAGGAGATGAAACAACTCAATATATAATCTTATACGTCTTATTCAAGTTACGTTTCCTTTAAGGAAAATCTTTAATCCTCTGTAGCGACCTAGAAACTGTATACAAGGTAATTAAATCTATCTTACATTGCTTACTTTATATTTATTTTTAAATCATAAAACTATTTATTTGCTCATTTATTTAAGGAATTATCTTTTAATTTTGCAAGTCTATAATTAAAATTAGTAAAAGCATATTGAAAAATAGAAAAATTCTATTCAAAAATAATTAAAAACTTTTTTATTGTGAGAAATTAATTTTAAAATTTTGTTAAAATAGGTTCATTTATATTTAGAAAGAATTGGTTAAACAGAAATGCAGTTATATAATCATGAAAATCCCAAAAATTTACGTTACTATATTGTAACACTTTTCAACACTGGTATGATTAAAACATTGGTTTCCACCAAGTAGTTGTTCTAGGATTTCAAGAATAAAGACTTTTATGATAAAAAAATAAAAACAAACAGACTTAAGGGTATTAGAAATATTATAAATTTAGATTTACTTGATATTGGAGAGGAATATAATTAATTCTTCAAGCTCTTCAACGGTTAGACAGGAAATATTTTCAACTTAGTCTTAAACGAAGAAAAGCAAATTGAAAACTTGATGAATCGTATTGAATATGAAAAAGAAAATTTCAACAAAGTTAATTTCAAAGAATTTCCTCTTCGTCGTCATGAAATTGAAGCATTTAGGTAAATATAAATTGCATATATTTAAAAATTAATTTAAAATTATCTTAAAAAAAATAGATATAGAGTCAACAACGTTTATACTAGCTTAACCAAAAAATAAATAGCAAGTGCTAAAATGCTTGATTTTAAAAAGAAAATGCTTAAATCTCCTGATATGAAAGAATATTATGCTAAAAATATTTCAGAAAAAGAATTGTTGATTGAAAGTATATAAAAGCTTACCAAGTAACTCAAAAAGCACGAAACAAGATGTGAAGGCGATGTACCCGATTATCTTTTACCTTAGTTCTTAATAGATTAAAAGAAAAGAGCAGAAGAACTTGATCCAAATGCAAACAAGAAGGTCAAGAAAATTTTAGTTTACAAAGGTAGCAGCGGTTCTCAATAAGCAGATGAAGGCAAAAAGAAAATGAGAGGTGATAAATACGTTTACATTAATGAAGAAAAAGAAAATGAAAATGAAACAGATGCCTCCAGATTAAAAATTTTATCAAGAAAGAAATAATGGAAGCTTCGTCATGGTTTTAAATTAAAAAGAGTTAATAAACGTTTAGAGAAGAAAGGTATTTTCTAATCTTGATACATATCAACCAAATAAAAATTAACATTTTAGAACATATTTTGTTTAAATTTATAGATTATTTATATAAAGTGTAATATATTTCTTTAAAATTTCAAAAAATCTTTCAAAAATTAATTTAAATGTTGTTAACAATAATAACTGTTAAAAAATGACTCGAGAATTTTTATAACATTCCAAATTATTAAAAATCAATATTAAAATAAAGAAATTCATTCATTTAAAAGTAAATCTGCATTAAAAAATAATATTCTTTTTATTGAACTTTAATAAATAAAAATTAATAAATTAATTATTTATTAAACTAAGATTTTATATTAATTTTATGAAAACAAAAATTAAAATTTTTTTTATCATGCAAAAAAATTTTTATATTATATTTGATGGTCCCAACTTGGAAGTTCGCACTATATTTTAAAAAAATGAAATATTTATTTTAGTTAAATAATTAGTTCGTATAATAAATAGACTTATGGAATTTTATTACTAAATAAAAATATATTTTGGACTCACAAACATAAAAAATTCTTATAAATGAATAATTTTTTAAACAAACTAAAAATTTTTAAATAGCTAATAATCATTTATAAAATATAATATTTAGTAAATTATTCACTTTTCATAACACATGTAATATTTAAGAATTTTATCTATTATTTCTTCTTTAATTTCCTTTTAATTTATCAGATCTAATAATAACTTAGGTATATCGCCTTATAAAACTTAAGTCATATCCTTTAGAAATATTTCAAAACCTTTATTTCCTACAATTTTAGAAGCAAAACGTATCTTTTCAATATTTGAAAGATAATTGATAGATCTGATATTTATTTACTTTTCACGCATATTCAAATTTAATTGTTATAATCTTTGGATGATTCTTGGATAAGATTCAACAATCTCTACATTTTAAAGAAAATAATTTTCTAAATCTTTTAACTTAAAAGTTAAATTTGTATTACATTCTTTTTAAGATTTACAATCATTATTTATTTCCTTTTCCACAGTAATTTTAGAATATTATTATTCTAACTTTTTTTACTCTAAAAATTATTTATTTTTTTAATTTTTTCTAACTGTTAAATCTTCTTCTAATAATTAATCATCTTTCACATATAACCTATTTTATTATTGATCATCAATAAAATTACATATCAGTTAATCATCTGTAACCATAACTTAATTATTCTTATTGCTATTTGGAATATCAGTTTAATTGCCTTTTTATGGTTATTATAAAAAGTTTTCTATTTATATATCTTATAAATTTTTTTAATCATTATCAACTATAAATAGTGAATCTTCAAAATTTATTATTTCTTCTTTACTATCCTAGATTAATTTAACGGCTGCTTAATATTGCTATTCAATATTAACATAAGAATTTTGTTAAAATTGTTATTCGGGATTTTTTCTTTCAAGTTTAGCATTTTCTTATATTTATACCTTATAATAGTGAGGCTCTTTATTACTTATATTATTGCATTAGTCATCTATTGCATTATTTTGTTATTAATTATCATAATTTTATAAAAATTATTATTCTATTTCTATATTTTTTAAATTTTATGTATCATTATCAACTATTAATAGTGAATCTTCAGAATTTATTATTTCTTTTTTACTATCCTAGGTTAATATAACTGCTGCTTAATATTTCTATTCAATATTAACATAAGAATTTTGTTAAAATTATTATTAGGGATTCTTTCTTTCAAGTTTAGCATTTTCTTATATTTATACCTTTATATAGTGAGGCTCTTTATTAATTTTATTATTGCATTAGTCATCTATTGCATTATTTTGTTATTAATTATCATAATTATTTAATTTATCCAATTAACCTTCTAAATTTATTACTCTTTTATTACCATTTTCGATTTATAAGTTGTTTGCTTAATACTCAATTTGATGATTTTTATAAAAATTTTATTTAGACTCTTCTTTTTCATCAATTTTACAGTTTTATGGTATTTTTATTCCACTTTAAGAATATTCTTAATATTATTTTGTACTTTACTAATTATCTATTGAATTATTTTTCTCATTTTCTTTTTGTTGTGTTTAATGAATTTGAACATCATGCTCGTTTTATTGTTATAATGTATTTTGAGAGTTTATGATAATCTAATTATTATATTACAATACTTATGATATTTCTTTCTAATTTTTATTATCTTCTAGTTATTTATCATTTATTTAAGATTTTTATTTTTCCTCTTATAAATTTATTTCTTTTTTTGTAGCAATGGTCATAGTGTAATTATTTTTATCATGAATATTTTCAGTATCAACTTATTATTATTATTAATTATTAAATTTAATTTTATCGTTTGGATTAATCATATCTAAAGGAATTTTTTCTTTAACTGAGCCATATTTTTATTTGTATTGAAAAAGTTTTTGCTATTTAAACTAATCGTCATTATTTTCAAAAATTGAGATTTATAATTCCATTAAATATATCAATTCTTCTAAACTGCATCTTAAGTAAGGCTAATCATTAAATAAGCTCATAATTTGTTTAAAAAGGATTTATAGATAATCATCTTTATGTTTTGAAAATTAGTCTTTATATTTCTCTTTTATTTATTTTTTATGAAGTGTTGATTAATAGCACTTTTCTATATATTTCTCTTTATCTTAATTATCTTTGTATTTATCTTCACAGTCACATTTGTATAGAAACTCTTAAAAATAAAGTAATCTGATAATTGATACCCCAATACTTACATAATCACTATAAATACTTTTAAATTAATTTTTTTCTTCGTAGCCTGGTGTGGATCCTAAAGTGTCTTCTATCATAAAACCAGATTCACTGAAATCAATAAGTTTTATATTTCTTTAACCTTTTTTAGAGCTGATTAGAATGTTCGAAAGTTTAATGTCTCCATGAACAATATTTAGCTAATGCAAAAACTCTACTGCATGAAGTATCTATATGCATATTTTTAACTTTTTTATTTTAATTCTATTTTATTTTTCATAGTTAAAAACTTTCCTATTTTCTAACTTATTTTAATAGTATTCGAGTAAGTTTTGGCTTTCGAAATATTCTAAGAATAATTAAAACGATTAGCCATCGGATTGATGGCCTTTATATTAAATAATATATTAATTCTATGGAATCATAGAAAGTATACTTATCTCTCTCAATTACTGCTCAACAAATTTTTTTTTATTTAATTCATCTCGTGGTACTTACTTCATCACAAATGTTCCTTAGTTTTCTATTGATACTTTGTAAATTTCAAATTAGCTCTTACCTATTTTAATGTATTCTGTAACATTAAATTATTATATACTCTTTTAAATCAATTCTATTCTTAGTTCAATTTATTTTATATAAATCTTTAAATTTATTTTGAATGTCAAAAATTTTTTCCTTCCAAGTAAACCGTAATAACTGATTATATCTTCAAATCTTTATTTGCACTGATTTAATTCTTCTATTTTATCTGAACAGTTTTCAAAAGCTTTCTATGCAAGAGAAAAATCTGCGCTTAAGCATAAGTAGAATTTATCTGTTCCATTAAAAAAAGCATGTTCTCCTTATTTTTGTTTATTTATAAATGTTTCTAAATTAAATTCATTTTTTAAAGAAAGTATAAAATTTTAAGATGTTTATGAGTCCTCAATATTCAGCTAAGGAATTTTAGACTACTTGATTAATTTTATAATACTTTCAGTTATTCCTTTTTCATCTATAAATAAATAAGACAGAGTGTAATAAAGTTACCTTTATCTATAAATACCGTAGTATTAGCACATATCTATTGTTTATACCAAAGCTTTAACTAATTCATCCAACTCACTTTTCTATTTATCATAATTCTTAGAACTCTTGCTATTACTCATTATTATCAAACTTTATAAATTGATTTAACACACTTTAAAATAGAATTGGCCTTCAAAAGCTTTAAAATTTTGATTATGCTACTTTAAAATTGGTTAGTCGTAAATTTCTGAATTTTTTTTGCTGAAACGTGACTTAAATCTTTCATACTGTTATCTTTGAATAATTTCCTTCAATTTTTGTATAAAACTTGTCCAGTATTTAATATTTAAGTCTGTTCTATCTGGATATTTTAGGAAAAGTCTCTTACCTCTTATGATTTATTAAACGTAACCAATTTTAAACTCTGTTGGCTGATAGGGAAGTTGTTCTTCTTTTTCATAAAACCTAGCTACCTCAGGTAAAATAGCTAAGATTAGAATACTTTGTATTCCATCTATATATAGCTAGAGCTATTCTTTATTAAAGTAACTGTCAGACACAATATATTTCTGGTTTGCCCATTCTTTGAATAAACAGATAGTGCTTTTTTTTAAAATTTCATCATTTGATCCTTCAAATTAACTATTTTCTTCAGACAAATAACTCTTTTATTGCGTATCCATCATAAACTTTAAGATAAAAATGTATCCCAGTTTAAATTTGGAGTTAAGATTTTTGATTGTTTTAATTTTCGTTATTAATTTTTGAAGTTTTATCTCTTTATTTATTACTATATATCCAATTTTAACTAAATTAATCAATGAATATAAGAGAAAATACAAATATAATTCATCTTCTTCCAAATTCTCTATAATTTTAGAGTCTATTAAAATAGTATAAAAATCAAATTTATCAAAAAATTTGAAATTTTGAATTTAATAATTTTTGATCAGATTCGATTTTGATTCTTCTTCAAAAAAGTTTTCAATAATTTAAAAATAAAGCAGTGATTTTTTAGCTTTATAATATTCTATTAGCTGCATATTTCCATTCATAATGTAACAATCAATAACATCTCTAAAAAAACTCTCTTCTTTTTGCAACAAATCTCCACGAAAGCTGACTTGCTTCAAATCTTCAATAGTCAATTTTTTGAAAATATTAGAATATTCGTATTTTTTCAATTATGAAAAGTATACAATAAAGTTCTATTACTCATAGCTGTTTTCGTAATCTACCTCTTTATAATTTGCGTTTTCTATTTAATTTTAGAATTCTTTACATCTTTGTTTGATTAAAATATCTAGCTATTCCTATAATTGCATGAGAAACTCAATAAGCTCTTTTACATGTTTTTGACTGGGTTAATACTTATCCTTATTATATCTCTAAGGAGTTAAGTAGTATGTTACTTTAAAGTATAAAAATAGGATATGATTCCATCCACATGAATCTTTTCTCTTTGAAGTTTTTAAAAAATATTCAAGTTCACTCTAAAGTTTAATGATTGACTGATAAGTATTATTATCTATCACTAGCTAAATAATTTCATTTGTATCTGAATGATCCTTTTTTAATTGATACATAATATTTTGGAGGATAAGTCTATTGATTTATGTGTTGCTTTCATATTCTTTGATACAATTTTCATATTATTTAATTTCTGCGGAGTCTAAGTTAGAATAATTTGTGCTATTATCACATTTTTCTTTAGTAAGTTATAAGGTGGCATCCATAATTAATGTCTTAGCTTCTTATTTTAAAGGTAAAATTTAAACTAAATTCTTTAAAAAATTTTGCATTCTTGATATTTATGATAATTCTTTTTGTCAGATTGCTTCTTTTTTTCTTTATCTTGTTTTTGATTATAAAATTAATAAAAAGATTTGATAATACCATCCAATTTTTAAATATTTCTTTCATCAGAGAGAAAAATAAATTATAATTTTCTCTATCTAATATCTTTTATTATTATAATAAAAAATTAGTAAAAATACATATACTGAAAATAAAAACTTCAGCATTTGAACATAAACTTATAACAAATTTCTAAAAACGCCTTTGAATTTATTATAGCTTTTATTTTTATTAGTTTTTATTCATTTTTTGATTAAGATTATAAAAGAATTAATGAGTTTATTAGTATATTCTGCGATTATTTTATTATGAAATGAAAAAAATTGAATAATTGAGTCCATAAATTTGAATTTTAAAATAATTTTAGATTGATTCTCCTTCTTAAAAATAGATGTATTTGTTAGATTTTGCTAGATTACAAATGAAAAATAAATATTTCATTTTATTTTGTACTTTTTTTCCAAATTTTAGAAATACAAAAATCCAAAGCAAATATTTAAAAAAGAAAGTTCAAAATATATACTATAAAATCAAAATATAAATAAATCTCTGAATATAATGCAAATTCTGATGTATTAAAATCAAAAAAATTTTTTAAAGATCCTCATTTAAATATGTAATATACCCAACTTCATTGTTTTGAAAATAAATGGTGGGGGACATGTATTTTGAATCCCATAATATATTATTATATTAGATTAATTAAATTGTATTCATTTTAAGTTTAAATTTCAGTGCATTATTCACTTTTTTTTAAAAAGCGATAATTTGATTAAAGCATACAAATTATTAAATAAGTTTCTATTTAAATTAAGTAGAAATATTTAGTTATAATGTATTTGAAAAATCTGAAGACTTTTTAATTAAAAATAAGTAAAAAATTTTAAGTGTCACTCCATTGGTAGAAAAAAATTAAATAAAAGAAAATGCAATATTCTAATTTAAGAAGTAGAATTGATAAGTTTTTATTAGAAGAAAAAAAGTTTTTAGTCAAAAGCATAATTAAAAAAAAACAAATAAATATTTCTTACAAAACAAAGAATGTGTAAAAAAAAGGATATTTTATGTAAATTTAAATATATCTTCATTGTTTAAATTTTTTTTGAAAAATTATTTTTTTTTAGCTTTTTTAAAATGAATCAGGATAAGAATTTAAAACACATGCAACATATTCCTTTTAAAAAGCCAAATAAATTTTTGATCACAAATTTCATGCCATTTATTCCTCTTGGGAATCTTGAAGCTACAAAAAATCCTAAAGAAAGCATCTAATATTAAAAAAGAATTAAAGAACTCATTTAAAACTAAATAAAAAGAAATATTTCAATTAAAAATGTTTTATAAACTCATTTTATTAATTGCTTTAACGAATAAATTAACTTCTTTGATAGTTTATAAGTTTACCTGAGCCATTTTAAAGATAATTGACAATAAATCAGATATCTAAAAGATCGAGAAGTGCAAAGTGCCAAAAATTGTAATAATATATGTGATTGAATACAATATATATTTTTTTTAATAAGGATCTTTATGAATTTCTTAAAACCTTTCAAAACTACTTTACTTAAAAGAATGCAAACACTTCCTAAAATAAAGAGACTTGCAAATTTAGAAGGGACTAAAATAAAAATGGGCAAGAAAGCTATTGATTCTAAAATAAAAAATGCACCAACGCTAAATAGTATTAAGAAATTTATCCAGTTTTCAGATGCTTTTTAAACTTCTTGCTTCTTTTTTGTCAAACCCTATAAATTATTTATTATATGAGCTTGATATACTATTTTTAAAATTGTCTTTGAACTTCCTTAATGCCCTACTTATCAAACCATTATTTTCTTCATGAATATAAAACCAATTTAAGCTTTTATTTGAATTTTAAATGCCTGTTGTATTCTAAAGAATTTCATTTATAAAAAATTCTACTTTTTTTTATTTGCAAAGTTTAATATTAATCCAATTAATATTTCTATTTTTATGATTTTAATATGAATAGCTAAATTTTTATTTCTATTTAAAGGTTTTTAAATATGCTCAGAAGTAATAATTTTAATATAAAAATAAATTAAGATTATTCAATATAGTTAAGATTAAGTAAAAATATTTCTGTTTCAAAGTTTTATGTTATAATCACATTATTTCTTTATTATTTTAAAAATTAAAACTGTTATTTGTAAACAAATTTAACAAGCAATTTTTAAATTTAAATATAAATATTACCTATTGCAATCTTATAGAATTTTTAATAAAGCTATTACTATGTATTTGAATAAATATATTTAAATTTTATTTTATCTATATAATTATTTGATATTTTCAATAAATTAATTTTATATTTTTTTCAAATATTATACAAGAAAATTCCTCTAGCTTTTAATTATGTTATTTATAATACTTTGTTTGGTTTCATATCATTAATAATTACGTTAAAGGTATATCTAAATTTTATAATTTGAAAAAGTTATTTCATATATCATTTATTTAAAGTTTATAATAAAAATAACTAAATGTTATATATTTTATATAAATAGTAATAATTTAATAATCATAATATGGAATTTCTATTAAGTTACATGAGTTGCTCTAAAAGAATTTTTTTGAAATTAATTAATCGCTTAAAAAGAAGTATTTAACTTATAATCAAATAAATTTAATCAGTTTAGATTTACTTTCACTTTACTATATATATTAGAAAAAAGGTAAATACTTTTTTTGAGAATAATCTATCTTAATAAATATCTATTTAAAATTTCTATTGTAATAATTTTGATGTCAGAGTAGTTTATAAATATTAAGATATATATATAAATGCAAGCCAACTCACATTAAAATAGATTAATTCAAAGTAGTATTAAATACCAAAATAAAATCTAATGTAAAAATAAATTAAAATATATTTATTTTAATGAGATATAAGACTGAAGAGATAAAAAAAAAATAATCCTTATCATATGAATAAAAAGATTTAAACTAAAAAAATAGCCTTTATTAATTTTAAAGTAAATCAAAAAAATACCACATTATAATTTCTTGGTTATTGTTAAAAAATATAAAAAACAATCTTTTAAGCATCGGAAGCAAAGATGAGAATCAGTTTGTAACTTTGATATTAATTTAGTATAATCGAGCAAGTAGCAGCATGCTAATAAATTATAAATTGATTGTTTGAACTGCTTATGAATGTTAGTCTATTAATGTGATTTGTGGAAAGTGAAGAAGAAAAATAATAATATTAAATGACTTAACTAATATATTAATTAATATGTATGTATGCAATCAATCATATTGATTGAGGAGACTTTATTAAATAAATTAAAATATAAAACAATCAAAGAAATAATAAAAGAAAGAAAAAAGTAGTACTATTAAATCAATTTATAATCCTGTAGTTAAAAGAAGAAAGAAAAAAGTGAAAGAGAAATTAGAAATAAGCAAGCCAATAGTATAGATACTAACAAACAAAATAAATTGCTCTAAACACATAAAAAAGCAAAATTAGATCACCTCTTCACATTGTCACAAAAATACTGTATCTCTATTGTAGCTAAAGCGGAGGAACACAGTCGATGGGGAATTAATGTTGCTAAGGAAACAGTCCTGGTGAAGGTGTGTTAGTTTATTTTTCTTTTTGAACTGCGCGTTAAAAAATTGCAAACTTATTCTTATTAATCTTATTGCTACATGCATATATATACGTTTCTCTTCATCCATCAAAAAAGAGATAAAAAATTTTATTGAGGGACATTGCAAATTATTGAAAGACAAGTATTAATATTGCAGACTAAACACTGCGAGGAATAAGAAAAAATTAATAGCAATTGATTTATAGCAAGCGCGTTTAATCATTGCAAACTTGAGACTTATTCTTGAGTTTCCGCAATAGGAATTACTTAATTATTTTTGATTAACGATCATTACTAATAATAAATAGATAAAAACACAATAAGTATGGGTAATAAAGATTTCAATGTGAATAGCGTTTAAGGATCATCTAAAAATATGCATAATGATAAAGAGAAACCAAGGGAAGAAGAGTCAACAAGATAGCTTAAAGAAAAATATGTAATAAAGTTAGTTACTTAATATATGCATACCATTTTTTATGAGATCATTAACTAGCTATCAAAGAATTAAAAGCTAACTCAAAGCATAAAAGCAAAATAGACAAAGATGATTCTTTTTATAAAGAAAAAGCAAGGAAATATTTTATAAACTAGTAAATAAGACAACAGGGAATTTTATTTTATTTAAATCAAACAAACGAAGTATTCCATAAAACCTATTTTTTAAATTATTCAAACAAATAAAGCATATTGTTAGTTACTGATAATAAATATAAAAAATATTGGTCTGTAATAAATTTCAAATTCTTAAAATTAGGGTAAGTCAATAGTCAGTCACAATTCAAAATAGGATTATTAAGATGGAGACGATAGATTAGTAGGCAGTCAAACAAACAATGTCGCGTATGAGGAGCAAGTCTCAAATCATGACAGTAAGAAAATTAAAAATAGAATTTGGATGAATTTTGAAAACATAAATGATTGGTCTATTGGCTAATTAATTAATCTATTAATCAAATAAACAAACAAAAATACATTCATTCAATCAATCAATCTATTAGTCGATAATTTATTTAATTTCTCACTTTACAAATAAATTTTGAATAACAAAAGTGATAGTGCACACTATTCTTTTAAAAAATACAATTTTATAACCAGAATAAGCATTCTAAAAAAAACTCTAAAGTATTTAACAAGCAATAAGCAAGCAAGGAAGTATGATTAATATATTAATCTCGTAAAGTGAAAATCCAAAAATACTAAACATGCTTTTGGATTAGTCTACAATTTTCAATTAAGCTTGATAAAATTAGCTAGTCAAAGCAAAAGCAATAGATCAAATCAAATACGCTAATAATTTTTATCTCCCTACCGACCTTATATTTATTTTTTTAATTTAATGGCCTAGTTAACCAAATAGTATGTTATTTATTAGCGTATTAAAGGGAAATATTTTATGGCAAATTTGTTTTTATTCATACTAAATGTGAATCTCATATTCAAATAAAATCAAAATGGATAATAAATAAATAATAAATTTATTTATTCATTGATTATTTTTTTTTGTCATATTACATCGCTTAAAGCAATAGGTACTTTTTACAAGAAAAGAATAGAAATTTAAATTATCAAACTATATGTAATAGCCGTTTGATCCAAAAATAATTATATAAATGAGGCTGTTGATTCATATTACAAATATAAAAATGAAGCGTCTGAAAAATAAATTTAATAGAATTTTAAATTATAAATTTGACAGTTGTCATATTACTTAAAGTAAAAGCAAAATAAATCATAAATAAATGAAATTTTAGTTAATTTAATGTGAAATTTTATTATAAAATTCAATATTACACTTTATGATAAATCAAAATTTGATATGAATATATTATCAATTAATTTTCTAATATTAGTGCTTTTTATCACTTAATTAAATTTTATCTCCTGCCACCTCACACTTTTACCCTTGAAATATTATTACTATCTTTCAACCACACTTTTTCAAAAAGAATTAATTTAACAATTAGTTGTTGCTATTTATTATAGTTGCAATTTTATATTACAACTGAAAATGTTTATACTAATTGCAAACTTTACTATTCTCAAATTACTGATTATTAGTTTAATATAACTTTTCGTAATTTAAATATTTAGAGGCTATAGACAAGTAGGCATCTCATTAATATGGTTCATCTCAACGCGAAATTTAATAGGGAAAGGAAGAAGCTTAGAAACAGAGTTCTAAAACAGGATCTTAATTGAATTTAAAAGGATAGTAAGCAGCTACATCAACAACAACAAATACAAAATCAACATCTGCTGAAACACACGCATCTGAATCAAATGGTGTAACAAAAGATGGGTTTAAAGAAAGTACAAATAATGGTAGTGCTTAACCAATAGCTAAGCAAGCATCTAGCGGTAAACAATCTAGCTAGAGTTAAAAAGAATAAAAATCTTCTTCAGGTGACTAGTAGCCTGCTTCGAGCAGTAAGCATGGATTGTAAAGATTATCTAATGCAGGTTTACCTCCTGCACCATCTACAAATCAAGCAAAGCAAAAAAAAGAGTCCCAAAGCGTAGATGCTAAAAAGGCTACCGAAGATGATAAATCAAAAAAGAGCTCACCATCTATATCAAAAAGTCCTTAGCGTCCACCTGCAAAAAATTCAGCTGTTGATTTCAATATTTCAGCTGATAGTTTTATTCACTTAAAAAAAGGAAGCATAACTTAGTAATATAAAATAGGAGAAGTACTCGGAGAAGGTAATTTTGAAAAAAAAAAAATCACAAAATTAATAAAATATATTTATTAATCTGTGTGTTATCAATTTTAATTCATATTTTAAAGAAAATTGTAAAAAAATTTTTAACTCTGATTTATTAATTTATGAAGCTTGAACAAAAGTTAAGTAAGTTTTTTTTATGAAAAAGGTGCTTTTGGTTAAGTATCAAAAGTTGTTCATAAATCAACTGGAATGATTAGAGCTATGAAGACCATAAAGAAAAGTTCAATTATAAAAGAAGAAGAAGACAGACTATTCTCTGAAATGAACATTCTTAAAAACTTAGATCACCCTAACATATTGAGACTCATAGAGCTTTTCTAAGATAATAAAAACTACTATCTTGTTACAGAGTATAACTTGATTTAATTATCTTAATAAATAAATTAATAAATATAAAATAAAAAAATTTTTAATTAAATTAATCAGGTACTGCTCAGGAGGTGAATTATTCGATAAAATTAAGTCTATGACTCATTTTACAGAAAAAATGGCTGCAGATTACATGAAATAAATTCTCTCTGCTGTTGTTTATTGTCATTAAAATAATATAGTCCATCGTGATCTTAAACCTGAAAATTTACTTTTTGATTCAGATAAAAAAAATGCAAATTTGAAAGTTATTGATTTCGGTACTTCTCGTAAATACGATAAGGCAAAAAAGATGTCTAAGCGTTTGGGAACAGTAATTATAATTTTCTTCATTTTTACAATATAACTTAATTTTTTCATAATTATATTCAAAAATAAAATTATTTATTTAATAAATCTTATTTTAATACATCAAATTTGTTGTGTGTTTTGTGATATTAAAATCAAGAAATTAATGTTTTTCTTAATAATTAATTCATATTTTTTATTTAAATAGCCCTATTATATTGCTCCAGAAGTTTTAGGTAAATAGAAGAAAGAAATTCATAAATTGTTCATAGAACTTATTATTTTTAAAAAATAGATTAAAATTATGATGAGAAGTGTGATGTGTGGAGTTGTGGCGTTATTCTTTATATTTTATTATGTGGTTATCCTCCTTTTGGTGGCAGATCTGAAGATGAAATTTTAAAAAAAGTACGTCTTGGTAAGTTTAAATTTGAACCTGAAGACTGGGACCGTATTTCAGAAGAAGCTAAAAATTTAATTAAAAAAATGCTTACTTATGACCCTAAAAAGAGAATATCTGCTGAGTAAGCCTTAAATGATGCTTGGATTTAAAAGAATGCTCCTGCAAACCATATTAGTACAAGGGCGTTAAGCAACTTGTCCAATTTTTATACTAGATCAAAGTTAAAATAAGCTATCCTTACATTTATTGTTTCTCAGGTTGTTTCACAGTAAGATAAAGAAGAACTCCAAAAAACATTTAGATCTCTCGATAAAAACGGTGATGGTACTTTGTCAAAAGAAGAACTCATAGATGGTATAAAATCATTAAGATATTTTAATTATAAAACTCATTCTATAAATTCTTATTTAAATAGGGTACACAACTGTTTTAGGAGATAAAGAAAAAGCTGCTACATAAGTAGACAGAATTTTAGATGAAGTTGATATCAATAAATCAGGAAAAGTAGATTTTACAGGTAAATTTTAATTATTAAATTCCTTAGATATTTTTTATTGATCGAGATATATTTTTATATGAAAAGAATTTTTAATGGCAGCTTCGAACAAAGAAATTCTTTTGTCTAAAGCAAAAGTAGAATAATCGTTTAAAATATTTGATTAAGATGGAAATGGTAATATAACAAAAGATGAGCTGTAGTATATTATGGGAGATATACCTGATGAATTCTGGAAACAAATTTTGGATGAGTGTGATACAAATAAAGATGGTATGATTTCTCAAACTGAATTTCTTGATCTCTTAATAAATAAAAAGGGAATGCCATCATAACACTGATAGAATTAATTATCAATTTAATAATGTAAATGAAGTCTTTTACTATAATATTATTTAGAAATCTTAGCTCAATCTAAATCCTAATTTATCTAGTAAACAACCTCAATAAATAATATTCAATAAATAAATCAATCAATCAATCAATTACTTGTTTTCTAGTTAGCTAGACTACAAAATTATCAATAATTTAATAAAATTAAAATAAAGAAATACTTTACTCATTTATTACTATTACCATTAGAATATTTTATCTTGTAAATAGGTTTTCCATAAAGAACATCAATTTATTTTCTACAAAAAAAATGAACTACAAAATATAATCAGTTCGACCATCTGCTTGCTTGCCTGCCTGCATGCATGTCTGTCAATCTATAACCAATCTATCAATAAGAACTTTACCAAACTTATACAACCATATAAAAAGTATATATAGCCTTAATAAAAAATGTTACAATACGAAAAAATATTAGAAGCCACTTATTTGCTTACAGAATTAAATTAAATTAAATCAACCAGTTTCATATGAGAGATAAAATCAGTTGTATTCTTATAAAATATAATTAAAAATGAGGTTATAATTTTACTTTTGTTACAAATTGATTAAGTATATTGTTCATTTTTGAGTGGAACCACATCAAAAAATATCTTTATTATTAATTATAATTTATAAGCAAATTTTGTGTCAAAATTTTAATTTTTACTTTGAATAATTTATTAATAAATCTAATAAATTACAATATTTATATTGATGATTTTATTCTATCTGTATTAAACTGTATATTTGATTTATTTATTTGAATTCTAATTATTTATGGTCAATCAAATCTAAATTATTAGAGAATAAAAAATAGTATCAAAATATAAAATATATATATATATTTTCATTCAATTTAGGTTTTTTTTAATTGCTTTTCAATAAAATAAATAATATTTTTAAAGCTTTAATAAATTAATTTAAAATTATTAAAGTAGTTTTTAATAAACCAAATGTTGTATATTTATTTCCTTTGTGAAATAATAGAGATAAACTAATTCTATAAATTACAAAAATTTTTAATATAAATTATTTAGTTTTCTCAATGAAATTATAAAATTATTATTCGTAGAAAAAATTCATTAAAATTAATTATAAAAAGGTATTTTTAAATTTTGTTAAGGATAATTTTCAAGCTCGTTTTTTGAAAAAAAAATGAAATAAAAAAGATAAAATTTGATTAAATTTCTTTTAATTAAATATTCTTTAGTATAGCCTATCCAAAATTAAAAAAGGCATTTAACTCTATATAAATTAGATTTACTATGTCACATAAAGTGACTGAGAAGATTAATATTAACTATATTTTTATGGAAATAAATTGATTAAGATATATAAATACTTTTCTATAACTTTAATGAGTATATATTTTATTACAATTTTGTCTATAAATTAATTTAGATTTTATTTGATATTCTTTTCAAAGATTTTAATTTTAGTAAAATAATTATTTTAATAGTATTTTTCAAGATAAAGCATTTTTGTTGCTATTTTAATTTTTTTATTTTTGTTGTTTAAAAGCTTTATTATAGCCAATTATGCTAAAATACTCATCTAATTTATTACTGTTTACTTTTTCAAAAATATTGATGCTAAGATCTTTTTATAAGTTATTTTATTAAAAGTTTTGTTGCTGGTTGATAGGATTCTTAAATATTGAACTAGAATATAAGTCACTTTTTTATGAAACAATTTTTTTCATGGATAATGTTTTACTTCCATGATTTAATACTTTATTTGGCTTAGTTACTGTTATAGGGAAGAATGAACTAGCATGTCTACTCATAGCTTGAAAATTGATTTTATTTTGACTAGAGTTGTCTGAATTCAGACAAGTTGTAGTATCTCCTGCATCGTTGCTTTTTATCTCTCTTCTGATAGGCGTATTTATCTACTGTATTTCCTAATATCCTAACTTATTATTAATTTAGGAAGAGTTTAGTGCTTCTGATTCATTTTTAACAATATTATCTGATGGACTTTTGTTATCCAATTATTTTATTTTTTAGTTCAAGCTTTCCTACACAAGAGAGCTTTTATCATTTACCATACATAAATTTTCATTCTTTTTTAAAACAAGAATGGAATTATTTGATGTTTATTTATTTTAAGAATCACTTTGACGAATGGCTGTAATTGATGCTTGAATTTCATTAGTTGAATTGATGTCATCGTCTATTGTTAGATTTTGCAAAGATGAATTAATATTGTGTTTATTTATTTAATTTTTCTAATCAAATTCACTTGAAACAGTTTACACATTATTACCATATTTATTATTTTTCTTATATTTTTGTTATTTTTGAATTGTTTCTAGCTAAAATTTTTATATCCTTGTTGGAGAAAGATGAAGAGTGCCCAAAACTTATGCTTCTAAGAACTGCTAAGAATTAGATTTTTAAATATGATTATTCACCACCACTTTCATTGGTTTCTTTAAAAGTACTTTGTTAGATTATTCATCGCCTAGCTACTTATTTTTAGTATTTTTAGAAGAATGAATTATGCCTAAAGGTAAATTTTCTTATATTAATTCTAGTTTTAGATGTTTTTGTTCTTTTAATTTAAGCTAATCATTGCTTTTTAGCTAAGGTAACTAAGTCGTTCCTTTTCCTAATTAGATTTCACCAATGCTTTAGATAAGACTGGTTGAGTTATTATGATATCCTTAAAACCCAGTTTAGTACTCGCTTGATATATGCCTTAGGTGCTTGGTGCTATAAGAACCTCCTTTATTAAATTTTATTTAATTAATATGCAAGCTAAATGTTTTGAAAATTACTTTAATCTGAAAGAAGAAGAATGCTCAACTTATCAGTATCTGACATATTACTAAGATGTTAAGAATCCAACTTTTTTCCTACTTTCTGCTTTTGATTGGCAAAAGAATGTATATTTTGCATGTCAGTGACAATATTACTGAGTAAGGCATTGTCTTATTAAACTTATTTAAGAGCATTTTTTTCTAATTGTTACTATACTGTAGCATTATTCCCACTAAAGTGTCCATCTTTCTTTTTTTTGTTTTTGGCATTCAGTATCTTTTCTATTCTTTAGGCGTTTTATATATTTTTTCCATCTCCAAAATCAAAAACTTGGCTTTTGACATCAAAAATATTATTTTATTGGCCTGGTGCCATATTAATTAGTCTTAGAGATGAAGAGCTTGTAATATTTTCTTCTTTGATATTTTAAGGGTTTTTTTCTGTAATTGAAGGTAGGAGAAGAGAACTTTAAATCTTATCTTGTTGCAATTACTATTACTAATTAGATTTTGTAAATAGGGGAACATTACCTCTCAATATATCTCTCTGAGAAGAAGCTTATTCATCTATGCTTTAGTTCTAATTTTGTGGTAGAGTTTCTGTAAAATGTTATCTATGACTTATTGCATCTTTCATTTTCTTTAATACCTCTTAAGCTTCTTCTTCGCTCCTATGTTTGTATTGTGTATTTAACAGCTTTTTTGATGTCTCCTTTTTCATTTACTGCAGTAACTCTTACCTGATTTCTTCTTCCTTATGCTCCAAAAGAATTTATCTACCCTTTTCTTTGTTTATTGTAACCTTCTTCAAGTAATCTTTCAAATCTCTTGGAAACTTTCTATCTATTATCTTTTTATCTGCTACTAAAACTTAGGCTTTAATCGATATAACTTCAGTAGTGTATAAATATTTTTACTCTCCCTTGAGCATAATCTCATCTCCCACCATAACACCAGGACCTTTTTGTTCAAAAAAAATAAACATCTTGTAAGCTTATTTTAATTTGTAAAAAATTTAACAAAATTAATAATTTGTTCAATTGCTTTTTTGTTTGTTTGTTTGCATACTTAATTTTCAGCATTTATCTGATGTTTTTTTTGATAAGAATTTTATATTTAAGCAATTATCATAATTAAAGTTTTATTTAAATAAGATTTTGTAAGATCAATAAATATAATACTACTTTTAATTAATTGAAATATTTACCAATTATTGTCAGTTTTGCTACTCTTTCTTCTTAGTGAGATTCACTAACTTGAATGGGTATTTTTTTCAATATTTAAGCCTCTCCCTCAGCAATAATGTAAAATTTATCATCTTGCTAGTTTTATTCAGTAATATAATGACCTCTGTTAAAACTAAGTACCTATTATTATTTTTTTTAATTTTAGCAACTATGAATATATTAACAAAATATACGGAGAAAGAATAGAGCATATTTTCTAATCTTGCACTTGAGTAGTTATCCATATCTTTAAATATTTAAAAAAGTATGTCTCTTCGGAGCTATAGAGTTTTTTTTAATTCTTCTAGAGCTGGAAGAAATTTATCTCTATCCAAAATGACCATTTCAGTGGGATGGGAATCTGCTAAAATTGTTGCAGTTCTTGCTTGATTAGTAAAGAGGGCTCTCTCTCCAAAAATACTTCCTGCTTGAAGAAGTCTCGTAGTTTTACCATAACGCTTCTTTAAATCATTGATTTCTCTTTGTGTAAGGTTATGTTAATCAAAGTCTAATTTGAAAATTTTAATTAATTGAAAAATAATGTAAATTTTTGTATTTTTGATTATATTAAACGCTATAAAAGTTATGTTTCAATCACTTCTATTTATGAAATAGAGGAAATTGATCAGTCAGGTATTAAACATTGAATTCTAGATTGACATAAAATAAAAATCATTTTCTTAAAAAAAGTTTTACCAAATGATATTTATTTTTTGAATTTGTGTCCTATCTATTTGATACGATCAACCATTGTTGATGGTATGTTTTATAATTGATTTTATATTACTTGATTTTCTGCCTGCTAATCCTAATTTTATGCATTTACAGTGGATTACTCGTCCTCTTCTTCTTAAAAATCTAAATCTTTTAATAGAAAGAGCATGCAACTTCCTTTTAGAATGATATATAATTTGTTGTTAGATGGTTCATCTTGATAGAAAATAACATCTCCCTTATTTTTTTTTTCATAAACTAACTCACCACAAATCTTTTTATTAAATAAAGATGAATGATAAAATACAGTTTTTACTGAGGAGTTAAGTAAATGTTTTATTAAATTATGGAAACAAAGAAATTAAAATAAATTACCTTAATCTGCTCAGAAATATCTGAACCATAAAAATAATTCTAAATAAATAGATTAAAACCATTCAGCAAGCTTATCTTATTGTATATTGTCTTTTTTAAAATTATTAATTAGTTATTGCTATTGAACCAAGCTAATTAATATCATTTCAAATTAAACAAATACCTCTAAATCTCTTTATGACTTCTCCTTTTTTTAAAGAAGATTCACAACTAACTCATAATCTTTTGAAGATGCTTGCTAAGCGCGCTTATTTTTCATCCAAAAATGATTTTAAAATATATAGAGTTTTGTGTTTTGATATTGATTATCCTATTTATAAATTAGATTTCTATTGTTAATATTTTTTAAAAAGGATTTAGATTATTTTTTATAAAAAACAACTCATAAATTTGCAAAATTTAGCTGGATAGTTTTTATAAATATAAAGATATGCAAAATTCATTAAAATTATAAAATTACTTGCTTTTTTCAACATCAAAATTAAAATAGAAACTCGTAAGTTAAACAGTTTTTACTTATTTTACTTAAACCAAATAATAATCAGTTAATTTAACATTTTTTATTTTTTACTGCCTTAATTTATTCATCACATAAAAATAATGTAACCTGAAACCTTTATTACTATAGATCATTATTTCTAAGTTGGTGATTTAATATGAATAATGTTGCTATTTCATAGACTCCTCAACATCTGAATCATTATATTTTTATTTTTTAAAAATATTCTACAAAAATAACTTAATTAATTATTTTTTTTAATGATTAAAATAAAATATACTATTTATATTGTCTAACTGTGTCAATTAAAAATTTTAAAATGATTTTGTTCCTACTTCTTTTATGAAAGAAATTATTTTATTTCATTGCTTCATTTTTAGAATAAATTTGTATTAAAATTTTTAAGAATATCAAATAGTTTTCAATTTTTTATTTTTTGAAGAAAATTCTATTTTGATTAAAAACAAAAAGATTTGCAATTTTTTGTTATTACATGTTGACATATAGAAAAATTATATGAAAGAATTTAAAATAACAAAATTAACTTTTAACTTGATAGAAAAATATATTGTTGATAGTTAATTTATTTATTTTTTAATTAATTAATTAGTTAGTTTGTTAAATATTTAAAAAGTAAATTCTTATTTTCAATATTGCAAATAGTAGACACTCTCAGAAAAATCCTGCTCGTTTTTATTTTCTAAGTACTAATTAAAGGCTGTTACCAAAGCTATATCTTTGCCCTTTATTTTTTCTATTACTTTTATTTCCTAAATTTTAAAATTATAAAAATATATTCGATTATTGATTTAAATTACTTCATTTCTAAGCAAATTCAGATCTTTTAACACAATCATAGCCTTTTGTTCAAGCTTTTTAAAGAATTGATGTTTGTAAAGTAAAGTTGTATTCTAAGCTAAGTCTTATTTATCTTTAGTAAAATTATAAACTTCGAAAATTGATTTAATCAAAGGATCATCATTATCTATCATCTTAAATTTAAAAAAATTGGAGTTAATTAAAAGCTTTTTTTAAAATTGTGCATGTACTTCATAAATTAAGTCAACGTAATCAACATCTTTCATAAGTCTTTCATGGAAAGTATCTATAAGTTCTCTCATGTATATTTGTTCAACATTGATTGATTATTTTTGTTACCTTACCTTTTATTCAGCTTCATTTAGCTCTATATTGTTAAAAAATTTTGTTAATTTTAAAATGAAATCTTAAATAATTTCTATTTAAAAATCAATAAAAACTTAGATTATCAAAAAATAATAAAAAAACATTATGATATATTCTAAATCAATGAAAAAAAAAAATTAAGAGAAAAATTGCTAATATGAAATTCACCTTATTTCCTTTCGATAGCATAATTTTTGACCTTGTCAATGAATTGCTATTTATCTCTATTTTCCTTAAATTTCTTGTAAAGTTCAAAGAGCATACTATCACCAAATCTGATGCACTAAGAGTTAATATAAAAATAAATAATTAAAAAATAATTTTAGGAGGCATGTTTACTTTTTCTAAAGCTTAAGCTTATTCATAGCTGATATACTTCTTAAGGTAGAATAAGATAGTTAGTTACTTGTTTGTTGACTCATCAAATTATTCTATTTCTTCGTAATCCTAATTTTAAAATTAGTGTTTCATTTTAAATTTAAATTACTTAATAAAAATACTTACAAGATGATTTTTGAAGAAGTAAAGTTAATCAATTAGCTTAAGAGTTTGTGTAAAATCCTATAAATCTTAGTCGTGTAAATAGACTTCAAAAGCTGAAAGAACATTAATGTCTTCTTTAGTGTACAAAAAGTTGAAAGTATTAAATTCTTTTAAAGAAATGAGTCTTGATTTTTCCTGTATTTAATTTTAGTTATTTTAGAAGTAAAGAAAATTTAAATAGATTTACAAATAAAAAGTCAAGTAAATTCTTAAATTTTAAGTATTTATCTCTTCTGTTTTTCACTTTTGGACTCTTTGACAAAGGAGACTCTTCTTCCTCATCATTGAATTCTTGAGATTTAGATTCTATTAAGTTTCTAAAAAATAATAAATTAATTAAATAATTTTATTTATTAATAAAATATATTAAAATTTTTAAATAATTTATGATATAGAACGATTAAAAGTTGCTAAATAATGCTTATTTTTTTGAATTAAAAACTTTTTATTTTGATAACATTTATTTTTTTTTATGATTTTAAACTTTAAATAAACTTTTTTTAAAAAAATAAATAATTATAGTTAAATCAAAGACTTACAAAATCAGTTTTTTATTTTGTTCATACTAAAGGTAGTTAGGATCTTGCTTAATTTTTTCTAATATTTCTACAAATTCTAGGTATCTGTTATAATACATTTTATCACATATCAAATCTTGTTGTTGATTTAAATTTATTTAATTTCTCAACTTTCTCAATGCTTCAAACTTTTATAAAATAAGTTAAATTTATACTTGAAAAACAATTATTAGATTTAAATTAAAAATAGAAGCATTTAAACGGAAAAGCATAAATAAAACTAAATATTTTGCAGCTATGGCATCAAATAATTATTTTAAAAAACTTATTAGGATAAGATATCTAAACAAATTTAAAGATTTAGATGTGAATTTAATAAGAGAAATTTAAAAATTAATTTTTTACATAATTGTCATCAAATTCAACTTAGTCTTTAGCTTAGTGGAATTAATCAATTATTTCTATGATTTGCTAATCTTAAGTGTTTGTTTATATTTTAGATTCTCTTCTAGACTCAGTTCTGCTTCTTGTGACACTATTTGAATAATTAGACAAAAAATTTATATTTATGCAATTAACAAAATTAAAGAATTTTAACTTGTTTCCATTAAGACCTAAACTGAAAGTTGGTCTACGCTCTCCACTCTTCTTTTTGGCTATTTGAGAGTAAGCAAAAAGAGCAATTTAAGTATTTTAATCCATTTAAACATTTTACTAATTATCTTTATTATCTTCCTTTGTATAGTTTACTTCACTTGATTCTGGGATAGATGTCATTTAAGCATTAGAAATTTCAGTGCGTGACATTCTAGATTGATAAACTATAGGTTACTATTAATTTTAATAAAGATCACGAGTACTTCCTTAAACTGAAGTTAAATTAGATTAAACTTTTGACATGGGAATGCTAAATTGATTTGGTGCATTACTTATTGGGGCAGATTAAGGGGTATTTGTGTTATTTGTAATTGTACTATAGCAGTTAACTAATTAATTATTGTTATTCATGTTATTATTATACGAAAAAGAAGTTTCTTTCTAGTCAAAGCACTTTAAGTTTTTAGAAAGAATATCAAGAAACTCGTCAATATTACCTAAAGCTCTTAAATTCATGAAAGCTCCACATATTGGAGAAAGTACATCATCCTTTAAGCTATTAATTTAGTCAACCTCTTTTTTTTCAAAATATTTTTCAACAATACGTTAGATGAGATTTCTGCCATATCCTTAAAATATTTTTAATATCACCTAATAGTAAATTTAAAAAAAGTTTTTTGTTAATAGTTAGTTTTTTTGAAAATATCGAAATGAAACCAATAAAAATAATTTAGATATGAATTAATTAATTAATTTACATCAGGGTTGTTAAATGTTTAAAGAGTTTCAATCATATTTAAAAATTCTTTATTATTCGTGTTTGATGGGTGTGCGCAGTAAACTATTATACTTGCATCTTCTACTGATAGGATTCCATTCTTATTGTAATCTCTTAGGAATTTTCTAATACCTTTATATGTTTTTAAGTCCCACTTTTTATTCTAAGTGCTAAGCCTTTTTTATAAATATTTATTTATATATCATAATTAAATTAGTATAAGAAGGAGGATTTTAGATAGAATACCCAAAATCATCAAAATAGTCTTGTTATAAATTTTTTGAAACAATTTTTTTTAAATTTTAAGACTTTGGTGATAGAAAATCGTCAAAATAAAATTTATTCATTTTTCACTTTTGACAAGAGTCTATTTTCAATTTTAAAATTAGAATTAATAATCCTAACTAACTAATTATTTTTACCCTTTTTTAAATTTTTTTAATGAAGATCTTTTTTCCTTATTTTCAAAGCTCACATCCATTTTGGTAGGAGTCATTTTTTTAGCATACTATTCAGCTATTTATTTGAGCGATTAAAGTAATTCAGATTCGTCATTAAAAATCTTAAAATTTTAGTATGCTGTAATTAAGTCTGGGTTTTTTTTTTTGACTTGCTTCAAAATATATTTGAATTCATCATCTTCAAAAATATCTCTAAATCTTGATTAGCATAGTATTTCAATAAGTTCGAATGTGATATCCTAACTGACTAAACTTTATAATCAAAAAAATATTTAAGATTCATATTGAAGTCTTGTAATAGTTTTATTTTTAGGTAAATTTAATAGGTATTTATTTTACTTGGGAGATTCGTCTGATTTGAATTCATGTGGTAGAATAGAATTTTGTTGTTAGGAAGAGTACATTAAAGTTTTGCTAGGGAGATTAAAGAAGTTGATGGGTTGTTATTGTTAATCCTAAGTAAGTAAATGATCTTATTAAGTTGCAATTGAAGAACTCTTAGGAGTGTTTTTTATAAAATTGTTAATTGCATCAACTAGCTCAGAGTTGATTGGTTCTTTTATTGATAATTCTCTTTCGAAAATCATTTCTTTTCCATGATATAGTTAGAAAAGATAAGGGCTATCAGAAGGAACAAAAGCTCCTTTTGATCTTTTTGAAGGATAAAGTGAATAGTAAACTTCAATATTAGGGAAAGGTTGATTAATTTATTTGGCTATTGAATTTCCTTCCTTTAATTGTTCATGGTCATCGAAGAAGAGAACGCAGTAAAAATTAACAGGCACTGTATCATGCATGAATGCTTCAAAGTCATGTATCACTCTACTCATATTCGTAGGTGTGTCATCATATTGCATGATTGTGTTATTATTAGTATTTGAGTGTAAAACACTATTATTATTTGTATACTTAATTTAATGGTTTAAATCATAGCTTGCAGAACGACTTGCCCTAGGGTTTGTTGCATTGAATTAGTTACTGCTGATATTTGTCTGATTTATTTAAATAAATTAATTTAAGGTGGAATTTAATTTAAATTAGTTTAATACCTTTGATGCATTCATAATTCCGCTTCCAGCTATATAGTGAGGTGAAGAATCTCTTCCTCCAAAATCAGCTGCTGCACTACTTCCATATTGAGAACCATCTAAGTTAATAAATCAAATAAATTGATTAATAAACTTATTAAAAAAGTATTAATATCTATAAATATATATAATTTATTTATAGTTTTAACGTTTTAACTGCATAATTGTTTAAGGGCAATATAATTTTACTTGTATGATTTGATCGAGGCTTATTGGGAGTTGAGGTACTAGGAGTGGGTGCATATATAACCTGGTAAGTATTCTATGGATAAAACTCTTGACAAAAGAAAGCAGCTAAGTCGAATATATTATCTAATTTTGTTTAATTTTATATATTTGTTAATTTGGTTTCATGCTTAACAGCCAGTTAAGATCAAAATCTGTAAAATAGTTTCCTAAAAATTTAAATCATATTGTACAAGATTTTGCAAACGTTCAAATAAATTATTGTTCAAATCATGCTAAATTTGGAATTAAAAATTTTAAATATCCTTTCAGTAATAGATATTTTTACAATATTATTTGATATGTATTTAGAAAGATTAAAAAAATAGCAAGTATTTTTGTAAGTAAATTATAGAATAGAAATGCTTAATATTATTAAACTATTTATGGGAATAAATAGATTCTGTTTGTAAGCTTGGCATTGAATTTCAGATTGTAAATTACTTGTGACTATATCTTTGAGATAAATTATTGAATTTGTTGGAAGACAGAATATGCTCCTAATAAAAGATGCAAATTAATTTGTATTGCTCCAATCTGTTATGTATAGATCTTGCTAATCCTTCTAATAGATCAATGTAAATTTCTTTGGCGATTTGTGCATCTACATTTTTCTTACTATTTAAATTTGTTTAGTTGTTTGTTAGTACTTGCTTGCTTAATTGCTAATTTATCAACTATTTGTTATGTTTATTTAGTATAAATAATCAGTAGATGAATGAATTATTAATTATATTTTTCAAATTTTGATTGTTTGTTTGTTAATCTCCTTGTAAGTATTTATTGAATAATTTATTTATTCGTTTTAATTATCTTATTACACTTCAAAAATTTTAATTAATCTTAACTTGCCAAATTATAATAAAATCCTTGAAAAAGATTTGATTTTTTATTTAAATTTTATTAAATTATTTAAAAAATATGCATGCAAATAAATCTTATCTTATTTAACTAAAGATTATCCTTTCTGCTTTATTTAATTAATATAGATATCTACTCATTTATTCATTTTTATACTAGTATATTTAAAAAAAAATAAATAAATCAAACTTGTAAATCATACTATTTTTACACAAATTGTAGTCTAAAATAAATTATAATTATAAATTAAATCTTTATTTTTTTTAATTTTTATATGCAGGTATAGAATAGAGACTATTCTTTATATATATATTTATTTATAAATATTTACAAAGATAATTTAATTACTCATAATAATTTATTATATAAAAGAAAACTCAATCAAAATTTGCTTAAATTTATAGCATCAAATGAAACTCCTTATGAGATTCTGAAAGATTTTAATTTTGTGTTTTTCATTACGTTTTTGGCTATTTTATATGAATTCAAAGGCGATTCATGCTAGTTTGGAGCTTTCTATAGTTGAAAATTATTTACATTTTAGCCCATAGAAAATTAATTAGTGTTTGACTAGGGCATTGAAGTGATATTGCTTTATAAAAAACTATTGTGGTTGTTTGTATTTTGAACATTTGTTTAATCAGCTGATTAGTTGATATAAGAGATGTTAGATGTTATGGCTGTATTTGCACCAGAATGAAAAGTTTTGCTATTTCTCGATCTTGGTGCTGGAGGCAAATAGTTGTTATTACTAGGATTTATTTTTGTTTCTATTTCACCTTAACTGTTATAATTTTTTTAATTCTCTAGCAGATTAAATTCATTTTTTGCATGATTTTCCCCTTGAGTTTTTACTCTGTTGGAATAATTATCCAATTATGACTTTATTAAATCATTGGTGAACTAAAATTCGTTCTACGAATTGAGATTGCTGAAACTATTTTTTTTAGATTTCTCAGGGGAAGAGTCAAAAGCATAATTTTATTTGTAATATGCTGTCAAATTATGTGGATTATGTTATGGATCTTAAATTTTTGAATTACTATTTGTTCTCACACCTGTGTCTTTATTTTAATTCATTTTAAGACTGTCAATTTCTTATCCAAGAATGCTATTTCTATATTTTTTTGCTAAAACTTGTGGATTTTAATACATATTTTATAACTATTTTGATTTTCTATTTATTTGCTAACTCTTTTAAAAAACTTTTATAGCTAAATTATCGCCTTCTTTTAAAATGACCTCCTAACCTGTTAGCCATGGTTTATGCAAATAATTTTTTGAAGTGTCATTTTAGTTACTCTTTTTTTAAGTATTATCTTCGTCACTATTTTCATCTTTCATTTCTATTTTCATTTAGTTAAATTATAATTCAAGTAGAGATAACCTTTGACTGAGTGTCTACAGTTTATCTTCAAGAGTTACTTCTTCTTACAAAATTTCTTCTTTAACTGATGAATTTTAAGTTGGAATTTGCAACTCAATTTATTTGTTATCGTTTTGTTGGTTTTGCTATTCGCTTAATTTATTTGAGGAAAAAGAAGGGAGATCATTTAATTTTTAGGAAAAATTTGAGTCTTAAGTACCGCTTTATCTAACTATTTAACTAGGCGTTACAGATCTCTGTTTTATTTTATCATTGAGTCTATGACTTAGAGTCTAAGAAATAAGGTCCATATTCTCTTGAATCTTTTCAAAATTTTCATTAAAATTAACAAGTTGTGATTCAAGCTGGTCATATTTGTTTTTTAGTTTAACAAAATCAACATTGTTTCTTTCTTTTTCGCATTTTCTAGTTATTTAGCTAATTTATTCAATTTATTTCTACATATTTTTTAACTCCTTTTCTGCATTAAGTATCAAATCATTAGAAGCAGTTTACTATTTTTCAATAGTTTCTTGAACTAATTTAATTTCCCTTTTAATATTTTCTTTAGTTTTATTCTCAATTTTTTCTAAAAACCCAACAGATTTCTCTTTATTCTAGCTATTTTCTTGCTCATTATTGTTGCCAAAAATATTATCTAAAGCTGAAATAGCATCTTTACTAGCTTATACCTTAATTTGATTTAACTAATCTTAAATTCCAGGATTGTTTGTAATAAATTCCAAAACTTATGGACTCGTTGTAACAATATTAATAATTCTTTCTTCATTTTTTTAATCTTCCATTGCTTGTTTAAACATTTCTTTAGTTGAATCAGCTTCTTTTTTAATTAAAACTAAAAGCTCATTGTTATCTTAGATTTTCATATTTACTCCCCTGCTAATATCATCTAATCTCTTATTAATCTTATCTATTTCTTCTTCCATTTTTATTCTCATCATAGTATTTTAATTTTCACATTTGTTTTTAACTTCTTTCAAATTAGCATTGAGAGTCTGGTTTGTTAAATTAAAATTCAATTGAGTTTCTTCTGCTATTGTTTTACACTCGTTAATAACCTAGTCTTTTACCATTAAAAATAAACTCTTTATCAAAATTTAAAAATAACTTACTTTGTTTTGTAAAATTTTATTCTTATTTTGCTTTGAGTAAAACGTGATTACTCTCTATTTCTACTATTTTCTCATTTATAATGTTAAAGAATGCGATAATGCACTCTGGTATATTGTTCCATTTATTCTCATCAAATATCAAAGGACCCTTAATCTTAGGTTAGCTATTTTAGTTATCTCGCTTAAGCATAATTCTTACCTCGAATAAAAAGATTTTTCAACAATAAATGAATTAAGTTCGAGGATGTTGCAAAAATATGCTTTTTTACAAATGAGCTTCTTTTTAATTATTCAAATATTATTTGATTAATGCAAATATTTTTTGGTTATTTAATTTTTATCAAAATTCTTTAAATTAATTTGCAAAATAATTTAAGATAGTGAGTGAATGATAAGCAATACATTCTTATTATTAAATCAAAATGAATGATCTAAATAAAAGATCTATTTATAATAATTTTTATTGATTCTAACTGCTATAAATATCCTTTCTTTTCCAATATTACCATTTAATTTTCGTAAATGTGAATCATTTACATTCGCACCTTCTCATTACCATAATCTTTGAGAATATTTAAATGAAACTGATTAAAGAATTCACTAAATAACACAATTAATAAATCAATTACTCATAAAATATGCTTTAAAATTCAATTAAATAATAGCTTACATTAATTCTTCCAATATTAATAAGATTAATTTTAAACTCTAAATATGTTAATTTTTAACTCTGATAAAATCATTACATTTTTTATTTTACATTTACAAAATAAATTCCTAGTCGTTAAGGTTTTTAAATCAACTCTTAATATGTAAAAAAAATTTAACTTATTAAATTATTAAATCTTAGCTAACTTTAAAGTAAGTCATTTTATTTGTTATTATCATGAACTACCTTGATGAATTTTAATAATATTTTTTTTCTAGTTTAATTTTATAAAATCATAATTAAAACTTAATTTTACACTTTGCTTTAATTAAATCTTTTAACTATCAAATTTGTGTAAAATTTTTTGGACGATAAAACTAACTAGGCAAGCTAATTCTTATATAAATAATATCTATCTATTTCTTAGAGTAAAAGTAATTGTCTCAATAGACTTTAGATATCATTAATATTGATCAAAATTTAATAATTTTCTTTTAACCAAAAATTTATCAAAATCAAAAAGTTAACAAATAATACATATCACAATTACTATTCTACAAATATTTTAGGTAAAACAGGAAAGGCTCATTCTATTAAAAAAAGGGGTTTTAAATAAAAATGAATTAGTACGACTATTTATTTAAGTTCATCATTATCGGAAATACAAGTAATTTTAAGTTGTTAAACAAAACATTTTAGCTATGTTTCAATGCTATAGAGTTTATCCTACATATAAAAATGAACTACTTATTTTTATAAATAAATAAATAAATACATCAATATTTTATTAATAGGTGTTGGGAAATCTTGCATTCTTTCTTAGTTTACTGAAAACAGATTTAAAAGAGAACACGATGCGACTATAGGAGTTGAATTTGGTTCAAAAAATATAGAGGTTGATGGATACACTATTAAAATATAAATATGGGATACAGTAATTAATTGCTAGAAATTTTCAAATTATAAAGCTTATCATTTATAATTATGTAAATAGGCAGGATAGGAATCATTTAGAAGTATCACAAGATCCTACTACAGAGGGTAAATTATATATAACATTATTTTATAGAATTAAATTAATGAAATTTCCTTAAAATAGATCTGTTGGCGCTTTACTAGTTTATGATGTGACAAAAGAAGATAGCTTCTAAGATTTAAACAAATGGATCAGTGATGTCTCTGAAAACGCTAATAAAGATTTATCAGTAGCTGTTTTAGGCAACAAAATTGATTTAGATAAGTAATATTTATCAATCAACTTTTTTTATTTTGATTGAGAAAATAAAATATATTTAATCTTAACTTCCTTAACTTAGTCGTGAAGTAAAAGCAAAAGATGGTGAAGCATTTGCATCAGAAAGAAATTTTCTTTTCTTTGAAACATCAGCTTTAAATGGAGATAATATTGGTGAGGCTTTTTATGCATTAGCTAAACATGTATTAGATAGAATTATAGAAAAGCAAATAGATTTAACAGATCAAGTAATAATAATAGATAAATAAAAAAATATAGTTTTAATTTTAATAATAATAATAATAATAATAATAGAGCAGTGGAGTAAAAGTAGGAGCTAAAAGGGGAAAGCAAAAGAATTTTATATAGAATTAAGTATAAAATACAGCTATAGAAAGCTAAAAATAGAATATAGAATTAGATCAAAGCAGCGAATCTATCTCTATATCCAAAAAAGGATAAAATTGCAGTTGTTGAAAAATTAAAATCATTTCTAAACAATAAAATTTAAAAAATTAGCTTTTGTTATGTCATATATAGATAGATACTGCTAAAGCGAAAGTAACAAATAAGTTCTAATTTTAAATACAAGTTCTTTCTAAATTTAAAATAAAATGTAATAATAAATTAACACAAGGCAATTCATTAAATTATTTCTGTATTAAAATAAATTGTCTCTTTATGTAATATATAAAGTTTTATATCTCTTTTAAAAAAATTACTATTTATAATTGTTCAAATTATATTCAAATTCTTCAAACATAAGAATTCAACAGAAATAAAAATAAAAAATATATGTGAAAATCTAAAAATTAATCAAGATGCTTATTCAAATTTTAGAAATTATATTGCCATTTCTCATAAATGAAAGCTTCAATATAATTAACATTCAAAAGCATTTTATTAAAAAAAAACTATTTATTTATTTATACAAATTTATCAATAAAATACTTAATTTGTAAGAATCTAAGGTATAGTATGGTTACAAAATAGTAAAATAAAATTGTTAATATTTTTTTGAAATATTTATTCAAAAAATAAATTATTAAAGTGTTAAAAAAAATTATTTAGATATAGCTTCAAAATTAACTTTTTCAAAAATCAAACATCAAGATTAAAAAATCATAATATTAAAATAAAAAGATAAATTAATTTAGATTTTGCTAAGAATTGTTAAATAGTTTTTGAAAAATTTTCTTTGCCTTTTAAGTAATAAATAAATAAATTAATTACTTATATAATTAGTTTAATTATTACACATACTTGAAAATAAATACAAATAATTAAAATGAAAGTGTATATATTTGGTTAATAAATGTTATTTTTAACTAAATGTTATAATGCTTTTTTGTTCATCGCTATTATCAAAATATTTTCATACTAGAGTTTTGTCATTTAAAATAAACATTTTAATGTACATAAAGACTATTGGAGCACTATACATAAGAGAGTCAAGCTATTTATAGAGAAATAAAATATTAATTTGAATGAATATTTTTTAAATAAATTTTACTCTATCTAGAATACCACCATGGCCTGGGAAGATAGAACCAGAATCTTTTGTATCAGCAGCTCTTTTTACAAAAGACTCAAGTAAATCTCCATAAACTGCAGCTATTGACCCTAAAAATCCGATTATTATATATTAACTGAGAGAAATATCTGGCATCACAGGTGCCACATGAACATTGAAGAAATAAATCAAAATATTTGTTAAAACGCTATTAATTTTTAGTAAATATTATTTATTTTTAAAAAATATCAAAATAAATTGTGTTACCTAAGTAAAACAGCTCCAAATACTCCTTCTATTGTCTTTTTAGGAGAAATTCTAGGGCAGAATAACCTTTTACCTAATGCAGAACCTGTTTTAAAGTTATTTTTATTAATGTTAAATATTTCTAAATATTGAAATTTTTAGTTTACCCATAAAAAGTGCTCCATTATCACTCTGGAAGGCAGTGATAATATGTAAAATAATAAATGAGTATCCCTTTCTATTTATTCATATAATTAAATATTTATTGCGGCTAAAATATTGTTTAGAATTAATTTTTTACTCATAATTGTAAGCATAGATAATAAAGCTTAAAGGTTAAACGAAGATTAAAAAATAGAAAACATAGCCTGTAATGTAGCCAAAAGTAAGCCACAACAAAGTTTTTTCATCTACATCTTTTTCTTTAGGTTTTGCTTAGAGAAACTTAATCAAACCGCACAAAGATATCATCATTATTGTTAACTATTTATTGGTTATTTCAATTGTTTAATTTAATCTGAATAATGCTGAATACAATTAATTAGAAACATGAAAAAATGAAAAAGTGAAAAATTTTCAATTATTTCAAATAAACTTAAAATTATTACAAATTGATAGAGCTCTAAATCTGACTAACTTTATGAAAAGTAAACTGCTTACAGGAAAAATAAAATAGGGAGATGGATAAACTATTGTTTTGTTGATTTAAAAAATATTTTAAATATTTGCAATAATGAAAACTAAATTATTTGATTTACTTGTAATGAACTCAGTTTATCAACATAAAAGTAATATTTAGAGGATGTCTATTTTTTTAATATCTCGCTTATTATGTGGGTGTATTCTTAAAGCGAAAAAACGCTAGCAGCTGCATATTTTACAAATAATGAATTGAAAATTTTGAAATTATATGTAAAATTGATAAATCTAAAGATTATAACTATTACCTATAACTACTATTAATAAAGAAGTCTTAAACAAGCAGGCACCTAAAAGTATGGGGACCGCTATAACTCCTGTGATAATTCTTTTTTTCCAATCTACCATTTTATTAATTTGTTATTTGCTATCAGAAAACTAATTTTCAACTATGAGGTATCTATATATCTTAAATATTTTTTGCTTTTAAATAATCTAATTGCTTAATTTCTTATTTAATTAAAACTTAATCTTTATGAAAGTAAAGCGTGTAAGATTTCTATTTAAAATACAACATTTTTTCTTAATTAATTTTATGATAATTTAAAATTAAATAAATGTATCTAAATTGTAATTGTAAACAAAAAAATCCTATGAAATACCCCAAAACAAATCTTTTGAATTTATTTTATTATTTTATTCACTTTTAGTGAATCATAATAATAATATTTAAATATTTATTTCTTATAGCAATTTAAAATACTATTTTATAAAATAGAAGTAAATTTTTACAAAAAGTAACCATCAAAGTAATTTTAATGAAAAAATGATTTAATTAAAGAATGAATGAAGTAAAAAAAAATTAAATCATAAAAAAATTAACATCTAAAACACAAACAAACAAATAAACAAAACAAAAAAGTAAAAAACTTATTATTAAACATTTATCAAATAAGTTTAAAATTACAATTATTTTTTTATTTGAATCAATCAGAGTTTTTTTATTCGTTGTTTGACTCTTCATCTTCAAATTACATGTTTGAGTTTCTTTTTATCTTATCTTTTATTATTTTGTCATCAAAATATTATTCCATACCAGGAGTTGCCATATTAGGATCATAAGTCTTTACGCTTTGCTTATTAATACCATAGAAATCTAAATTATCTTAAAACTTTTTAGGAGATTCATCATCGTAATTAGTTTAAATTTCTGAGTTGTAGAAAAGTGCTTTATTATTTCCTAATTTAGAGATAATAGGCTAATTATTAAAAATACTATCTGTATGTTTCAGCTCTCCTGACTTATCTTGGAGATAATTTGATTAAGTAACTTAGCTTCTACGCATTTCTTTCATCTCAGTATTGATTCCCAACTACTCCTACTCTTACAACATTTTCTTTCTTGCTAAAATTTGGGCTTTTACTTTTGCATATGCTTCATCCAATTTACCAGAATTATATCTTGATTTATTATTTCTGATTTATATTATTAGCAAAAGAGTTAGGAGAAGCGAAAGTACTATTACAGTAATTACCATTGACAAAGGGGCTTGACTATTTCCATTATCATCACTTTTTGGTTTAGCAAGGAAGTGGTAATTTAAGTCTTCATAAAGAGTAGCTGAGTTTTCACATTCACATATTACTTACTAATTTTAAATTTAAATACTGCTACAAAGCTAATATTAGTCAGAGTTCAAATCAACAAGACTTAGGCAGACAAGATTTTTTAAAAGTTAAGGTTAATAAACATCAAATGTAAAAGTTATATTAATCTTAAATGGAATTAAAGGTAAGTCAGATTAAAGCATTCTACTACTAAGTGTTTAGTTTTACCTGCTTGTAATGTACATAATCAATGGATAGAAGCGAGCTTAATTTTTAAAGATGGGGTTACTCAATTTGTGAGGATTTACTTTGAACGAGTAACGATTGATAGATATTTAGAGTCCAACAGATTCATAAATTGAAGGTTCAAATAGCTCACCTGTTGTATCAAAAGTAGGATCAAATATTTACTTAGTGCTTGCTTAAGTAATAATTCTTGTTGGATCTCTGTTAATCTTAGCTAGTAGCTGCATATCTTTTGTACCATATCCGACGCCTTCATCATAGTCAATTAGAAGATTTTGAATGATTCCTTCCAAGCTATTTATTGCACTAGAAATATCATTTGCTGTAAAATCAGGACTCTCATTCTTGATTGCATAAGAGATACTATTCATTACATTAAGTATCATGTTGTCTATGATAGTTTGCTAATTGTTATCAATAATTTCAGTGTTTATAATATCATTGATTTCCTTGAGATTATTTTAAACTCCTATTTTTGATGTATAAGATGTAGATGTCACAAGCTTTGGTAAATTATCACTAACAAAAACATCTTAATATGAAATAGGGTTGCTTAATATCAGGGCATTGTATAAACCATTAATAGTTTGATCATATTAGAAAGTCATATAGTCAGAGCAATCAAAGAGTAAGTAGTTTTGATTGCACACACAATTTGATTCAGATGCTTAGCATCTACCAAAATTGCACTGAGTATCATTTGAGCAAATTTACTGATTGTGTATGTAAATCTAATAGAAAATATTGTATAATGAGAATTAGTTGTAAGTATTAAGATATTGATTCACTTAGAAAGACAAACTTTTTAAATTTTAAAAGGCTCTAACAAGACTAATATCAATTGTGCCAAAGTATTTTTTGAAGCTAGAATTTTGACTTTAGACTAAATAAACAAATCTAACATTACCTTCATGCAGCAAAAAATTATCTATCCTTTACAATATAGTTGACCCATCACTTTGAGTGACCTTTGTGTATTTAGGATTAGGAATCTACATAAGATTATCTTAGGAATACACAACACATTTATTAAGAAGATAAGGTATATTTTCATTTGTTACATTTTAATTCTATAGAATGTTGAACTCTTAACTATACTACTCTATAGAATCATAGTATAAAATAGTTATATTAAGAGCTGAAGATTAAAATGCGGGTGGTATAATTATTTGTAGTTAAAAGGTATCTCCTATAGCATAATTATTTTAAGAGTTTTAGACAGTGTTTGTGATAGAAATAGCAATGTTTGGTATACAACGCAAAGATTTAGGATCCCAATTAAAATTTTAAGCACATTAAGAGCAATGATTTAAAGAATCACATTATAAACAATGCGGATCTACTACGGTAGAGCATAATTAGCATGTATTTATATTATTGTTTGCTGGGCTAGGTGCTAATATTTTAGTATTAGCACATATGCAAGCTGTATTAGCAGAGTTTAAATCATAATTATTAAAGCATTAAGTGCAAGTTGAAGAATTAGAGCAAGAAGAACAATTAGGATCTAATTAATTGCAGTTGATGCATGCTTGAATATTATTGCTAGGAATGTAGTTATAATATTCATTTTTGTTACATTAACGACACTTCTAAAGGCTAGAATCATAAAAGTAGGTATTAGCACATAAAGTGCACAAATTATTACCTGAACATTTAACACAGTTTTAGTCAAAATTAATGCATGGTATGCATTAATCGTTGGTACCTGATTAGCTGGCGGGAACTAGATAATTTCCATCTGGACAATTACATGAGGAACCATCAGAAGATAATTTAAAAGGTTATGTGTAACAGGCAGTACAGGTAGTAGTTGACGAGCAGCTTAGACAGTTTTTAATTAAGCTATTACATTTGCTGCATGAACTATTTGATGAAATATATGTTGAATCAGAAGGACATAGCTAACAGCCACTGGGGGTTAAGACGTAAGGAGCATTACAAGCAGTACATTAGCTACTGTTGCATTATGTGCAATTAGCATATAGACTTGAGCAGCTTGTGCATTTGTTATTAAAAAGAGCTCTATCATTATTACAAACACACTAACTTGTAGTTGTATCTAATCTGTAATTATTTAAACAGTTACCTGTGCATAGAGCAGTATCGTCATTGCAGGCAGAACAATTCACTGGACAATTTTAGCATGTTTTTTATGAAGTTAAATAATATTATGAACTTCCACACTATGCACATTAATTATTACTCATTAATTTGTAAGGACTAGAGCAGCTGCTACACGAAGTAGTAGAAGAGCAAGTAGAACAATTCTAGATAATACTTGAACACGAAATACAACTATTTTAGCTGTTAAGCACTTTAGTATCTTGGCAAACACATTAACCTTAAGAATTAAGATCATAATTATTTATGCATGTAGTGCATACTCCTGTCAAAGGAGAGCAAGCTGAGCAATTGCTAGGGCAGTTAACACAGGTTTTAGAGGAGTTTGAAAAATATTATCCAGAAGAACAGGTTATGCAGGTTCCACTTGCATTTTAATAATAGTTAGAAATACAAGTAAGGCAAGCACTTGAATCGCAAGTTGCACAATTTGAGCCATATAAAGTTGAGCAATTTACACAATTAACTTGATCAGCTGCCAAAGCTTTAGAACCGTTACAAACACAAGTAAGCTATGCAGATAAAATAAAACCGTTTGTGCATCCAGAGCATTGCCCACCATTTTAATCATCAGCACATCCAGAGCAGTTAGAGCTGCAAGAATTACATGTCTTTGTGGTGGAATTATAATACTAATTACTAAGACATGTACTGCAAGTTCCGTCTGACATTAATTTAAACCCTGAAGAACAAAGAGTACATGTTAGCTAAGTAAAATTTGTGTTGCTTGTGCATGTGGAGCAATTTGTAGGACAAGAAACGCATGTTTGTTATGCGGTATTTTCAACGCCTTTTACACATTAGCAGCCAGTTGAATTAGGAGTATAATTTATTCCTCCACAAGTAGTGCAAGCGGAAGTACTACACGTCTAACATAAACTACCAAATTTTGTGGAGCAAGTTTTACAAATTCCATCACTATCTACTATCATAGGAGTAATACATGTGCAAGTATTGTTATTAAGAGTAAATCCGCTTATGCATTAGTAGCAATCAGTACTTGTACATTGCTTACAATTAGCCTGAGAACAAGCCAAACATTAGTTTCCAGATTAATAAAATCCTTATGCACAAAGTTGACATTATCCATTTACTGCAACAAACGGCTCATTACATGCTATACATATTAATCCACTATTTTGGGAGTTGACACTACACTATTTACCTTAATATTTTTTTAGATAAAAATAAATTTAACCATTTTAACTTAATTAAAAAATTAATCAAATTTACATTGTGTTAACGAGTTGCTGCAATTATAGCAGAATCCATTGACTAAAGCATATTAATTAGAGGAAGTATCACAAACACATTTATTTGTTTACTAATTTAGAATATACCCATTATTGCATTAACTGCAAACATTTGAGCTATTGCATGATACACAGTTAGGGTCTATTGTATTACATGCATAGCAAGAACTATTATTTGCTGCTAATCCATATCCTTAAAAACATTAATTACATGTTTAACCATTTGTGGAACAAGACATGCAATTAGAAATAAGATTACTGCATTAGAGACATAATCCATTTTAAATGATACCTGAACATTTGCAACCCGTTGAGTCTATGTTAAATTATAAAAATGTATTTCCTTAAATTATAAAAATATTTACTGTTCAATGTAAAATTCGGATCAGTGCAGCTGAGACAGCTAGTTGTTGTACATGTTAAACAATTCGCGAAAAGAGTGGAGCAACTTGAGCATATTCCTGTATTTATATCCTAAATCTAATTGTTTTAGCACACACAATATTATGCTACTGTGTCGAAAACTTGGTTTTACTGTTAACACTATAAGCAAAAATTTCCATCTGATGAAGGAGTTTAGCAGAAAGCAAGAACTGGTATGTCACAAATAGTGGGGTTCTTAGTATTAAAAACTGCACATTTAACACATGTATTTGTAGATGTATTTAAGCCATAGTTTTGAGAGCAAAGTAAGCAAGTACCATCACCTTTACATTTAGTGCAATTAGTCTTATTTATAAAAATTTTTAATTTTTAAGTTAAAGTTATTTAAAGAATATTTATTTGTTATTTCTTTTTATTAGATACTTTTTTGAAATTAATTTTAAAATTAAAAACAATAATTTTAATTCTTATCTATTTCTCTTTAAAGTAATATTTAATTATCTGAAATACAAATTCAAATAGTAAAAAATATGATTGGATTTAAATATGTAAGTAAAATCTAATATATCAATTTACTTTTAAAGATATAAAATTTAATTTTATGGCGAAATATTTATTATTTTTTGGCTGATTTCTCCAAATTTACAATTTAGAAATTAAAATTAGATGATTGAAGAATTAATTTTGTAAAAATAAATATTTTAACTCTTAAAATAATTTTTTAATGGATTATAAAAGCTGTGGTTTTAGAAATATAAAAAAATCTGCTTATATCAATCAATTTTTTATTATATATATTCATTGAAATATCAAAAACAATGATTTAAATATGTAAGTTTTTTTATTTTACTTTGCATGGATTACAGTTAGATCCATCAAAAGAGTAGGCATTTTTACATTCGCAGACTCCAGGTAAGTTAGTTGTGTCTGTAGACAAAGAGAAGTTATTTTGGCATGCTAAGCAATTAGTATAGCCTCCGCATTGTGTGCATTCTGATGGGCATACTTCGCATGATTATGAAAATAAACTTAAATATTTTTGTGTTGTTTCACCATAACACACAACACAATTACTAAGAGCTGTAGATAGACCGAGGCCACTATTGTTGCTGCAACTTGACATAAAATTGCAAGTCATTGTTTGGGAATTCCACTAAGAAGGAGGACATTTTAAACATTTGGAAGTAGATGAATTAAATGCAAACTGTTAGTCTCTACATTAATTACAGTCTATTTAATTTGTAAATGAAGTACATAAAACTCCAGAATTAGACCTCTTAAAAGATTTATAAGTCTATCTTAAGCAAGTTTAAAGGCTGTAGCTCCAAAATCCATCACTTAATATTAAATAAAATAAATCTTTAACTCAACCAATAAGTTTAATTAAGATTTAAATGTTACCATTGGAGAAGACATTATTATTCTGTTCTACAATCAACACAATTATTCGATGCGTTAATCAAAAAACCTGGTTGCAGGCATGCTGTAGAAGTTACTGTTGGTTTTGTACAAGTTCCACCTGAAATAGTCCCTTCTCTATTAATTTTAATGATTTAAATTCTTAAAATTCAATAATAAAATTTGCTATATTTTACATAAAGCTGCAATTGCTTTACCAATTGACACATTGGTTGTAAGCATACATTTAAGTTGGATCTTTTTCACAAGTTTGAATAATATCTAGAGTAGGCACTGTTTAGGTATAAACTAGATCAAGTAATAGACCAATAAAAATGGTATTTATTGCTATTTAAAGGAGGCTCATAGTGAGAAGTGATTATATTCTCTTTGCAAATTTAATAGTGACTTCTTGATATTTATTTTTTGCTATTTGTTTATTCAATGGTTTTTTGTTTTTTAATAATTTTTTTTATATTTCCAAATAACAATCTTATCATTGATAATTGATAACTTTTAAATGATGTAGAACTTTTAATACTAACTAATACTTTCTTTTTTTATTGTAAAGTTTTTTTCATATTAAGGTTGTCAAATAACAAAACCAATAGCTACCTAATTGCCTAGCCCAGTATTTTTTGTTTTATCAACTTACAAACCAAATTCAGTTTAAAAAAGTCACTAAAAAATTTATCTACCCCATCAGCTCTCTAATAACTTTTGATATTACTCTTAATACAGATTGTATAATCCACTAGCAAAAAATTAGTAACATTATTATAAATTTTTTAGTTCTTTTAAATGAAAGGAAAATTGGTGTTTATATTTTATTAAAATAAAAATTTATTTATAATTTCTTTTTTTGTTTTTTTAAATAAATTATTCTATTGCATTTACTTTCAAATTTACAATGCAAAAAAGATATCGTATTTATTAATTTATTATTATTTTTATAATTAATGTAAAATTCAATTGTTATTGGTCATTCTATAAAATCTTTTAAAAATTAAAATTATATCAAAAATTTATGTGATGAGGTAATCGTATCGTAAGAAAACTGGAATAATAAATTTTAATCTAAAAATAAAAAATTTAATTTTTTTATATTATTTAAAATATAAAATGAATTTAAATAATAAATTAAATCTCAAAAATAAATAGAATTAAAATTTCATTTTTTAATCTAGTTTTAATTAAAATGGTATAAACACTAAATAAAAAAGTTTTTTATACTTTCATTTATTTTAATTTTTTAAGATTATAAATTTAAAAGTAAATATTAAAAGCAAAGTTTTTTTAAAATTTGTAAAGAGCCAAACCTTTTAAACATAAAAAATATTAAAAATATGCAAAAAACACAAATCAAAAAACATAAAAAATGATTTTTAATCATTCAACCTACTTCACTTGTTAAAATTTTTCATGTGCTTTTAAAGCTGCAGTTGCTGGAGTACTTTTATCATCTATTTATTGAATTAATTAAGGTGAGAATATACCTTCTCTATCAAGACTCCTTTGATTTGAAGCGTTTTCTTCATCCTGTTTTTATTCTAATTCAAATTAGTCTTAGATTACACAGTCTTATTGATACATTTATTCAGGACTGTTATCAAAAAGTGTTAGTCTAACATCTTTCTATTTAAGAATAGGTGATTAGAAACCATTTTCATAGTTTTGAGTATTCATTGTCATCTCGCTTTATTTGCGTAAGTAATTCTTTTCTGGTTGTGTATCTTTTACCTCTTTTTATGCTTTTTGTCTTTTTTACTATTGTTCCAACCTTTCTTGTTCTTTCTATTTTTACTCAAGGATATATCTTTTTCTATTCCTGATTTACACATAGATTAATAATCCTAGGATAACACTTAAAACAACAATTGCAACAACATAAGAGGTAGGTATATTTTCACCAGGACCTCCATTTTAATTTGGATCAGGTGTGTAGTTGTAGTAAATGTCTTCATACAAAGTTGCTGAATTTTAGCATACGCAAATTACTTGACCTGTTAATACTTTGATGTCTTTGCAAAGTACATAAGTATCTGTAGTGGTGTCAGTTAGAGATAAACATATTGGATTTTACAGTTTTTCGGTGTTTGATATTTAGAAGATAAAAGTGATGTTTTAGTTAAATGGAGTGAATGGAGAAACTGTAGAATTGCTAGATTATAGTAATCTATGACTGGCCTACTAAGTATTCATTACTATCAATGGATAATTATGAGGTTAAGTTATAAATTATGGAGTTGCTAACTTATGAGGATTTTACTAAAATGCATAGAAGAGCACTTTAATTGGTTAACCAGTAGTACCATTTGTTTGTTGGAATAATAAATTTGTCATATTAGATGAAGGATTGAATAAGTTACCAGAAGAAACAGATATACTTAATGGATTACTGCTTTAACTTATTTATCCCATGATTTACATACTATTTGTTATAAATGAAGTATAATTGTTGAATAAAGGAAGTAGTTGATCATTTAGTTAGAAAAGCTATTAAATACTTGAATATATTTCTTGAGGAGTAAAATTTGGATCTAAGTTTGCTATTGCTTCGGTGATAGTATTCATGGTGTCTTTCATTAGCATTTATATTTCATTTTGTTGAGTTGAGTTAAGTGAACCTTATTTAATTATGCTTTGAATTCTATAAAAGTTATAATTTAGACCAGAATAATTTTAATTTGAACTTGTTGTAACTAACAAGGGTAAATATGAAGAAACTATCTTCTACTAATAGGTCACTGGTTGAACTGTTAATAAACTCTTTGATATTTGCTTAATCACCAAATCATACCCTATTGTTTGGTAATCAGAACAATCAAAAAGTAAGAAATTGGCTTTGCATTAGCAAAGTTTTTAAGCTTTCATACAAATACCATTGTTGAGGCACTAATAATCTGAAGTACAAATAGTATTTTGCATCAATAAAAGCTCAAAGAAGACATTATACATAGAAAATTGATCTAAATTTTCTATTTGGGGTCCCATGTAATAAGACAAATCTCTGGCATTTGTATAATTCATAGTTACTTTCTAATCATAGATAACAGCATAGCGTTAAAATGAGTTGTTTAAACTCTCAACTGCATAAACAAATCTCACCACTCCATTGTGAAGGAGCAAATTGTTTGTTCTCACAAGAGCAGATTGATTACCTGAGCCTTTGAGCGAATAATTAATATTTGATTTATTCTTGAAATTGTCTTAAAAGTAAATGTAACAGTTTTAAAAGTTGAACGGAGCATCTTGAGATGATACATTATACGAACTAAGTAATTATACTTCAGCATTATATTAATCAACACTGTCAAAGAAGTAAGTAGTTATGTTGAACTAAAATCCAATTAGCGGCTCTGGAATCGTAAATGTTAGAGTAAAGTTATCTGCTAAAGCATAACTATTACCTGAGCTACTTGTTAAGGATAATGTAATGTTAGGTATACATCTGTTATAAGTATTATCCCATCTATAATAAGGGAGACATTAATCACATTTATTTGCCACAGAACAATTTTGACAATTTGGATCAACTACTTGAGAGCAAAGAAGACAGCTAGTATTATTTGCATTTTAAGCTGATGGTACAAGAATCTTATTTCCATTACATTGACAAGAGGTTAATAATAGATTCTTTTGTAAATCATAATTATTACTGCACTATGAACATAATGTGCTACTTTTACACTAAGTACACTAAGTATGTATTGAGTTACAATTAACGCATTACTGTATGCTACTTGTTTAATTAAAGTTGTAAAACTCATTTGAAAAACAAGTGCGGCATTTTTACTAGCTTGAATCAAAAGCATAGTTTTAAGTACACAGAGTGCAATTATTTAGCCCAGAACACTGTAAGCAATTTGAGTCAAATGAACTGCATTAAACGCATTAGTCTGTGGTGTTATTTTTAGGATCTCCTGAAATCAGATAAAAACCTGCAGGACAGATACAAGAACTGTTATCAGAGGAAGGAACAAAATTTCCACTACATTGACTGCATTAAGAAGAACTAGAACAGCTAGAGCAGTTTTTGATAAAAGAACTGCATAACTAACAAGAAAAAGATGAACTTATGTATGTTTCTTGATCTGTACAAATTCTGCATTAACCATTACTTCCAACAGTAAAGGGTGCGAAACATTAAGTACATAACTTACTATTACACTATGAACAATTAGGAAACAAAACAGTACATAGCTAGCATTTTGAAGAGCTATCCAAAGCTCTATCAGACGAACATACACAAGATCCATTCACTAGTTTATAATTATTTAGGCATGTTCCAGTACACATTCCTGAGTCATTAGCACAAGCAGTGCAATTATCTGGGCAATTTAAACAAGATAGAGAGGAGGTCTAATAATATTAAATAGAAGTGCACAATCCACATGTGCCATTAGCCATCAGATAAAATCCTGATGCACACTTAGTGCAAGTTGTGGCACTTGAGCAAATTGAGCAATTTGTAAGTAAAGAACTGCAGCTTACGCACTAATTTGATGAGTTAAGTACCTTAGCTCCTGTACATTAGCAAGTACCGTTAACTAAATCGTAATTGTTTATACATGTTCCTGTACAAATACCTGTTAATGCTGCGCATGCTGTGCAGTTAGAAGGGCATGAAACGCAATCATTTATAGAACCTGCTTAGAAATACTAGTTAGAACCACACTAAATACATTTTAATGTTGACCTTAAATTTTAATTGTAAAATTAATTAAAATATTGAAAGCTAAAGAAAAAATTTTAATAAAATGCTCTAACAAAGGAATTAAAAAGAAACTATATTGTGTAAATTTAATTTGAATATTTATTTTTTTTTAGAAATAAAAAGAGAAATTAAATTTTACCCCTGAAGATAGTAATTGCTTTAGCAACTCTAACATTAAGTTTAATTACAAGTAGAGCAGTACTAGTTATATTGTTTAGAACAGCTGATACATTAATTACTACTGTCAATAATCTAGCTTGGACATGTGCATGTACCATTTGTTGAATTTAGAACATAATTATTTGAACAAGCTGTACAATTTGCACCTCCCTAGTTATCAGGACAAGCAGAGCAATTAGGATTGCAATTCAAACAGCTCATAGAATTTTTGTCATAATATTAACCACTGGAACATTATTAGCAAGTATTATTTGCCATTAATCTATAATTTGAAGAGCACTATGTACAAGTTGTAGTGACGTTATCTGCATTTAGAGTGCAAACAGAACAATTAGCTGAGCAAGCTTGACAAATAGTAGTATTAGGAATTTAAATCCCGTTTTAGCATGAACATCCAGTTGATGTAGGAGTAAATCCTGTACCTCCACACTATGTGCATTAAGTACTATTACAGTTTTAGCATAGGCTAGAATTAAATTTAGAAGCACAAGTTTTGCATTTTTTATCGGTGCTATCAACAACATAGCCAACTGTAGTGCAAGTGCAAGAATTTTGACTTAAAGAATATCCATTAGTGCAGTTATAGCACCCACTAGAGTTACATTAGCTGCAGTTCGAATCAGCACAAGCAACACATGAATTACCACTTCTGTAAGAACCAGCTGCACATAATTAGCATGTTCCATTAGAGACAACATATGGAGAACTACAAGCTTAACAAATAACTGCTGAGGAAGTAGTGTTTAAACTACATTATGAACCTAATTATTTTATTTGAAATATGTATATATTCTTTAAATAAAATCTTTAAAAAAAATTTTCTTACAGTTTGGAATTGCAGTTTAGCAAGATTTACAAGTGTTGTTGATAACAACAAACTTAGTTTAGCTTGTGTCACAAATACAAGTATTTGAACTAGCCTGAAGAGTATAACCGTTAGTGCAAGTAAGGCATTTATTATTTGCATCACATTAAATACAATTTTTATCAATTCCAGAGCAAGCGTAACAAGTATTTGAAGAATTTATTAGTCCAAAATTAGGAATGCAAGATTAACAAGTTTTTCCAGTAGAATCGCATTAAGCACAATTTTTTAAAGTATTTGTACAAGGAACACAAGTTCCATTTTATACATAGCCTTAGCATGAGCAACTCATAGAGTCACCTTTTTATTTAAGTAAAGTAAAATTATAATTCAAAATTTTAATTTTATTAAATTAATTTTGTACTTGATAATGTGAAAGTAGCATCTAAACAAGCTGTGCATTGATAAGTATCGCATTTACCACAATTTGGGAATAAACTTGAACATGAAACACAAGTGTTTTATGTCGTGCTGAACACTCCTCCATTTGGGCAAATGCAAAACTTTTATATTGGATCATAAATTAGATTCTATATGCAAGTATTGCAATATTTTCCATCTGAAGTAAGTTAGCTACAATAAGCAAATACTTTTATATCACAGTATAGTGGGTTTGGACTGGGAACTGCGCAGTTAACGCATTAAAATGTGGCTTTATCAATCAACTATCCATTAGAGCATTACAGACATTATCCATTTGTATCACATTTTAGGCAATTAGTCTAATAATATTAAATATTTATTGAAAATTTTATAAAAATATATATTAAAAACAAATTGCCTTAAACAAGTTTTTTATAACTAAAGTTTAATTAGCATATATTTTTTAAAAAAAAGACATCATAAATTAATTTAGTTTACTGAACACTATTAGCATGTGGTTCCATTAAAGAAAGTAGCTCCTTTGCACTCACAAAAACTTCCATTTGAATCACTTGTTTAAGTGTAAGGAGATACACAAGAATTAGTATCACAAGTACTATACGCGGTTGTACATGTACAATTGGCAGGACATAACTCACATGAGTATGAATAATTATTGAGAAGATAAGGTCTACTACAAGCTGTGCAGGTTCCTGTTTAACTATTATAACCTACAAAATTAGTAATATCGCAAATAGATAATTAAGAGCATGTCATAGTTGTTGTATTCCATGTGCTTCCTGATGGGCATTTTAAGCACTTTTAAAGAGAAGAAGACCAGCCATACTTCTAATCAACACACATTTAGCAATCAGTTTAACTTGTTAAACTTAAACAACTTTTTCCACCTTAAACCTTAAATGTGGTGTTAGCCTATCTAACGCATGTATTCAGAGTTGGATCCCAGTACCCATTGCTTAATAAATAACAAATTAAATTATTAAGTAAGGTCCATAAATAGAATAATCTGCTAAATTATAAAAATATAATATTTACCAACTATTTAAACAGTCTGATTGTATTCTACAGTCAACACACACATTTTAAGCATTATAAAGAAATCCTGGTAGTAAGCATGAAGAAGCTGTTGGGATCTAGCAAACATTACTGGAATTAACTGTGCCATTACTTTATTTTTTAAAATATTTACAATCTAACAACTGTTTTATTTAAAAAATTTTTACCACAAAGAACAATTTTATGAGCAATCAATACATTATTCATAACCAAAAATATGAGATGATTGAGCTTCACAACTTTATATCTATGCTTTAGTTGCTGCAATTGAAAATTTGAAAAAGCAATTTAGCTATAACAAAACAAAAATAGTTTTGCTAATGAAACTAATGTCGTTTTTCTCCTTCTGTTTGGATGGCATTAGTAAGTAGTATTTATTATTTATAATATCTAAAGATTAAATGTATATCTCTAATGTTTTTTTGTTATTATTTTAATTCAAAAATTTTTATTCTTATTATAAACAATAATAATTAGGTCAATAAATGAATAATCTAATTAATTTAGTAGAAGTTTAATTAGTACTTATTATTTATTTTTTTTTTGCTTATAAAAAACAAAAAATTTCAATCAAGGTACATCAATAATTGATCTATTTTTATTTTAAATCCATAATTTAATTATTTATTGGAAATTGATAAAAAATAAAAGTAAAAATATATGTCTAAATAAAATTGCTGATAGAAAATATAAGACATTTGTTATTATTTTGAATTAACTATGATTGTTCGTTGTACTTGGGGAATTAGATTAATTGGTAATAAAAAAACATAAAAAACTATGTCAAAAGAATTAAAATAAAAAATATTATTTATTTAAATTATATTGAGCTATTTTTTCCTACCGGTACTTTACCATTCGCATAATTATTACTGACTAATTATTAGTTTTTGAAAAGTTTATTTTAAAAAATAGTGAAAAAAAATTATGAAATCAAATGCTAATAAGTAGCAATCATAATTTTTTTTATCATAGTAAACTGACGTCTCAAGATGCGAAAATTGAAAAATAGGAAATTTTTTGAATCATGAATTAAAAATATAAAATATTCAAGGTTTAAGTTAACATCTTTTATCAAAATATTAAAATATTTAAAATATATTATTTTCTAATTTTTTTCAAATGAGCTGATAAAGTTTTATATCATCATTTTAAAGTTATTCATAAATTTTACATGTGTAATATAATGTAAAGTAAAACTAAATATTTAAGCACAAATAACTGAATAAATAGTAGAATACTTTAAAATTTCTAAAGTTGTGGTATGTTTAAAAATAAATTTATTATATTTTCATTTCTATTTTTAATAAATTTAGTTTATTTTCAATGATGTTTTGATGGTCCATGGTGCTCTGCTCTAAGCTTCCTATCGTTTCTCTATATTACCTCTAATTTATTTTTCCAGCTTTTGATATAATTTTTATTGATCATTATTTAAAAAGTCTTAATTGAAAAATTTAAATGGAAATAAACAAATAATTGTATTAGATTCTTTTTAAAAAATGATAATTAAATTTTGTTACTCTTAAGATTAGTCAAGATCTTTTTTTGCTAAATAAACAAGATCTTCCCTAAATCTACAATCTGAGGGAAGCGGATCTGAGGTAGAGAGTAAATTAGCTGGAGTAATAAGTTGAATGTCCCAATATCTTTTACCATCAAATTCTAAATACTCTAGCCAAGAACCTTTGACATTATTTATTATTTATGCCTTGTCAGATATACGATTTATTGTTCCTCTTTATTACAAAGAAAGTTTTTAATTACAGTTTACATAAATAAAATTTTATTTATTTTTTGAAATTATTTGCTTAGTTTTATTAATAATCCTTTTTAAACTTACGTAAAGTAGTCAGTGGGGAATTCTGCTCTGCTAAAAAAGCTTGCGCCTTCTGCAAATGAAATAGTACATTCTAAATCATTCTTCTAATCTACAAAATTCATTGTCTCATAAAACTCTAAAACTCTTGTTCCATACAACAAACCTGTAATCTTGCAAGGTGGGAATCTTTTTTTTAGTTATTTTTTAAATAAAATTCATTTAGAAAAGGAGTAGAATTTTTTATTCAAATTATAGATAATTCATTTTACCTATAAATAATTTCTTGTCCATCATAAAAAATAACATGATTTGGCCCTTCTTATGATCCCTGCACCGAGTTTGCACTATTCAGTTTAGCCTTGTATTCGTAATGTCCATGGAATTTATATTTCTTTTAAGAGTCTTACACATAAAAGTGCGAAATAGGAGGATGATGGCTTAAAATTAAAAAAAATTTATAAAATTAATCAATCAAATATCTGCTTATCTAAACATATGTTTTTTGTTTTCCTCTATCTAATTATGTAAAGTTAAATAATACAAACATTTAAAAATGTAAATTCATAATTTTTATTTAAATAAAAACCAAAATAAATTGTAATATTCGCTTTTTTATAATTGTCAATCTAAAAATTCAAACTAATTTCCTTTAATCAGATTTGAATTATTTTTATAATATTATTGATTTTTAAAAATTAACCCATAAATTATATTAATAATATAATAAATGAAAATTTTCTTTATTACAGCTCAAATCAATCTATTATGATTAATTAGACTTATATTTTTTGAAAAATTTATATTAATATTTAAAATTTCAATATATTTTCATTCATTATACTCTCTCATCTAAAAATATTAAAGCTATCTATATAATTTCTTATGATTAGATTAGAACTTTATATTGTAAAATTTATATTAACTTTTATAATTAATCATCAAAGTATATTCTTTTTATACCCAAACTCTCAGTTTATTTAAACTGTTTTATTATGAAAGCAAATATTTATTTTAATTTAATTCGAATTTATCAATAAGGATATATTTTTTGTGGAATATTTTTGAAAATTTTAGATAAGCTTTGCAAAAAATAAGATTTGGTAATCTTATATTAAATTAAATTTTAAATACCTAGTGTGCTCTATTTCTATTTTTGTACCATCTGCCCAATAGCCTTAAAATGTTTCACCAAGAATAGGATTAAACGGTTTTAACTACTTACAGACATTGTAAAGTCCAGCGATTGCAAATGCAATAGTTAATCTAAATCTCTCAATTACATCCTAATATAAGCAATTTAAATAAAATATTTGCTTTGTTTGAAAATAAACTACTTGTGTATTTGAAGCTAACCTTAAATATATTGGCATAAAGGCCCAATTGTCACATATTCTTTCGATTGTAGATCTTGGTTCGAAAATCCTCACTGGCAAAGAGACTGAAACTACATCTTTACCTTCTATTAATCTTTTTCCAACACGTTTAATCAATTCCATTATAAGACCCTCCTAACTTTTTATTTCTTCCTATTTATATTTTATAAGTTTTTTTATAAAAACAGTGTTGAAAATCTAAGCCAAATAAATAAATACCTTATTGTAACAGCCAATACCTCCTTCACTAACTTTTTTATAGCCTAATTTTCTATCTTCAATAGGGATTCTTTTTACACTGCTAGGTACTTAGTTGTTTATTAGGAGCTGCACGATTTTAATTTAATCAGAGAAATCATTCTTTATTTTATCATTATAAATCGAATTTTAAGTGTACCATAAGAGTTTGTATTTTGTTATTGTTTTTTTTTGCTACGATAAAGATAATTAACTTGAGCTTTATTACTAGCTAATATTAATTTGTTTATTAACTGAAGGCTAAATATCATGGTTCCTTTCTACCTTTTTTATATCAAGTGATTGGTCCATTTCCCCCATTATTTAAAAAGAAGAATCCATTCCTCTCAACTGTTAACCGTTTGAATCTGATGTAATCTGGGAATTAGACAAACTATTTTCTTAAATAAGGTCTCTGATAGCAATTAGTTGCTGTGATCTTTTTCTGAGTACACTTTTTTCAATACTTCTAAGTTTTGAGCTAGTCATTCCACAATAATATCTCAGTTCTGACCTACCATCTTATTTAGGAAGTATCAAAAATACTTCTATCATTCTAAATCCTTTGCCTTCAGAATCTATCACCAAATAATACCTAAAGTTAATTAAGCAATGAATAATATTTAGTATTTATTTATTTTATATTATAAATTTAAATTAATAATAAAAGAAAATATTTCCTAAAATAAACTGAAAAAAATATTTACTAAGTTTTAAAGTCATTTAAAATAAATCTATAAATAGATTAATTGCAAACAATATCATAGGTGTTTATAGTATTTTTTCCTTTAGGTTTGCAGTCAAACATGAGATTAGAGCTAAATTTTTTAATTATCTTGCTAGAAGTAGGCATTTTATCATAAGATTGAATGTTAAAATCAATCTACTTTCTAAAACTCTAATTCTTCAGATAACCAAAAATGTTATCTGCATAGTCATTGATGAAAATCTAAGCTAATATTTCATTTTCTGGATGAAAAACCTTTGAAGATTTTTATTTCTTAATAAACAGCCTGAAAGTTATAAAAAATGTAAGAATTGCATTTATGATAGCTTTATTTTTTATAAGACTGAGCTAAAAATTTAATCTACAGTATCTATCAATGTCTTCAGTGAATAAGCCTTAGAGTAAAATCATGAAAACTGCATAAAGAATAAATGGTACTAATAATTTTTAAAAGAATTGTAATTGAATTATTTTTGAATAAAATTAAAATTTTACCAATTATTGATGGTTTTTAAACCTTTCTAACAGATTCAAATAATTTAACACCATTTCTATATTTATCGAAATGCCATGTTTTATTGTGTTCTTTTAATTACTTTTCTGATATCTCATTCTCAACTTCGTGCAGGACTAGCCTAATCGAATTTAAGTCAGAAGGATAGTCTTTCTATTTAAAGTCTTGATATTTCATCTTTTACAATTAATAAATTTGATAAATATTTAATTTTAAATAATTTACTATTCTTGGAACTCTTGAATTTAAATTCGTTATCTTTTTATCAACCTTCTTTTCATTTAAGTAAGGCTTGACTTGTTCATTGATGGATTATTTAATTTCTTATTTTTGCTAATTTAAAAATATGTTTATAGCTTGCTATTTTTTATATTATTTTACATCCATTTTAGCTGCATTCAAAATTTCTTATCTCCACTATTCTGTTTCTTCTTTGGTTATTCCACTAAAATAATATTTTTTCTAAGGAGAAAGAGACTCAACATAGAATGCATGTTCTCTTTCCTTTAATTTTTTATAAAATTTATAAATAAAAATTCTGCAAAAGCAATAATTTATTATTTCGTTTCATATTTTAAAAAAATTAAATTTATATTTTTAACTATTTTTATTTAATACTTAAAATATTTAAAATAAAAATATATTTTCTGATAATTATTAATAAATATTTTACATTTTCTACTGCAAATATACTTGAAACAAAACAGTCTTTTAAGTGAATATATCCTCTAGGTGTTTTATCGAATTATGTTTTAAAATATAACAAATTTTCGCAATCTAAGACTAAGTATCTTTCATTCCAATCAAAGTCGATAGGCCCATCTCCTTTTTTATATATAATACCAGCCTTCTTTCTAATAATATTCTTAAAATTTATTTAATTTGATTATAAATTCATTTTTTAGTTTTACTCTTTTAATTATAACTTCAGAAGATGAATCACTATTGTTATTAGCTGCAAAAGGAGTAAGTTTAGGAGTTTAGGGAGTACTGTTATTATTTATGTTTAAATTTTGCTAAAATGAACCATTCAATTAATTTTGCTGATTAAAAGTGTTCTTTGTAATATTATTTTGGTTTTGATTAGGATTTATTGTTGCGTTTAGAGATAAATTCTGTAAATTATTAATTTCTGTTTACTTTTTATTAAAAAATTATTTTACTACTATTAATAGAATTAAGCTTAAATTATTACATTTTAATATAATCTGTTTTGAAATCTGTTCTTTACTAAATCTGACTATTCAGATGTCACTGAATTTTCTTTAAAAAGTCTTTGGCTCCTCTTTGCAACTCTTTATTTGATATATAAAATTATCAATTAATTTTTAAACAATAACATTAAGTAAAAATAATAATCTCACCTTGTATAATTAGTTTGCTTTTAGAGATCTTAAAAGTTGCTGATTTTATATGGATATAACTATTAGCTGTAATCATACTTTGCCACCATATTCTTTACTTAAGCCATTTTCTATTCGATTGCTTTGCTATCCATTTATATCCATCTTTTGTAAGTGATGAGCATAGATTTATAATAATAAATATAAAACTTTCTTATTGTTTCTTCCAAGCATTCCTACAACTGTTTTTTAAAATTCATCAATAAACTCATTAATATTTTTAAAAATATTTACCTAAGACGAAGTAGGGTCATAAGAAATTTTATATTGAATATTTTTAGTAACTGTTGTTATCTTTTTCGATTTTTTTTGCCAATTTGTTGTATTTTCAATGTTAAAATTTTATTAAAAGCTAATTTTAATATCATCCTCAAAACCTTTAAAGTAATCTATTTTCTCATCCAAAATATCGATATATCTAATCTTTTTAAAAAAATATATTTAAAATTGCTTTTTAGATTTATTTGTAACGATTTACATTTGGGTCTATTTATAAATTTGATACTGGTCCTTAAGTAGCCACTGAATTAATGTTGCACTAGAACAAATCAAACTGATAACACTAATATAAACATATAATAAATAAAATTTTCAAATATTAATTAAAATATTATTTAAAATACACCATTTTTAATTGTTATATTTAAATTTTATATTTTCTTTTATTAAAATAACGAATAATAATAAATAATTGATTGTAAATAATTTTTAACAAATATACCTAAATTGAAGCTGAATAGTTAGTAACATTGTACATTTTATTGCTAATTATTTAAATTCCATAATTTCCTATTATTTCTCTATACAAACTAGGAAGGGATTCGCCAAGAATGTAAACTTTTTCGTTAGGTTTCTTTTAATTTAAAAATTCATATAAAAAATGTTTGATCAAAAATAGTTTATCTCACAATTAATCAATTAAACTAAATAAAAATGCATATTTTAAAGTTGGATTACTTGATTGGGGTATACTATAGTTTCTTTATTAGATCTTAACAAATCATAATCGATAATATAATCCATGTAGAGCTAGCCAATTAGTATTTGCTAATTTATCATTGAATAATAATAAAATAATGTTAGTTAATTTGTTGTTTCTACTTCATCTTTTATAAATTATTCTAAGATGCTTTGATTTGAAATTAAAATCTATCATTTTACTTCTAAGCCCAAAGGCAGCTCCATAACTAATTTTATCTGTTTCATCCTTCTATGCTAATATTTAAAGAATCTACAATATAAATCGATCTTAAATAAAAACTTGCCTGAATTTAGTTTTCTTTATTAAATTTACAAATATTTAATTATTATTATTATTAAAGTTCACTGCTTAGTTAGTCCTTTGTGTTCTATTAATAATTAATTTTTGTAAATAAATAGGATTTATTCTATATAAAATTTAGAATTAATTAATAAATTGCAAACTCATATGCTTCTAATCAGATTTATCTTGAACTTTTATTGCCCTTATTTTTTATATATCTCATCATTTACCTTCCCAATTTTACTTGTTAGAAATATTAAGTAAGCCAGTCTGTTTTTTGTTTAATTTATGAATTCATATTTCTTCGATTTTATTAACAAATTTTAATCATTAATTTAATCATTTTAATTTAATATTTGTTTAAAAAAGTTTACTTTTTTATTTTTCAGGAACTTTTTTTCTTTAAAATAAATAAATATTTATTAATCTATATAAAAATTTTAATTTTTTAACTATTTGTACTACTTTAAAAATGTAAAGCTAAAATTACTATTAAGATATTAAATTTTGTAAAAATATTATTTTACTAATAAAAGTATTTACTGTTTTTATTTTGTTAATATATCAATAATTTTTTTAAAAGAAAGCAATTATAATTTATTCTATATATTGTTAATCCAGGTATTAAAATATGATGAAATGGATAGCATCATATTATTAATACCTGCATTATCTTTAATTTAAAATTAAAAATAAACTAAAATATTTATGAAAATGAAATTAAAATCACTATTCAATAAAATTCATAAATTGAATATAATATATAAATATACAGCATAAATAGTACTCAAATACAATATTCAATATTTTTTCAAATTTTTTGGGATTTCATTATTTTCAATTTTATAGGTTGAATTGCAATAAAAAAAGTATTTATTGATTAATCTATGAGGAATTATAGTATTTATATTTAAACTTTGAAGATATTATTAAAATAATTTAAATAACTAATTAACAAGATAAATATATTTATTTCTAATTAACTTGATAAAAAAGGATTAAATGATTATCTGAATTATGTAAATTTAGTAAAAAATAAATATTTTTTTAGTTTTTAAAAATATTTTCAAACAATTTATTTTTAAAAATTATTATTTATTTTGAAAAATATTTATTTTTTAAAAGGCGTTTATTTTCTTTGTAAATTCACAATAGAAAATCTTTTTTTAATTTGTTTTATAATATAAAAAATTGAATGATTTATTAAAACACGTTGATACTAATAAATATTAAGTGAATTTATCTACTTAATTTTTTTAGTAAACAATTGAGTATTAAAAATGGTAAATTTATAATGGAGTTACGCTGTAAAAGATAGCTGTAAAACTTTAAATAATAAAACATATTGCAATTTTACACTTTTGTTCGTTATTTTAGTTATAAACATGCATATAGTTTTAAAATTTTGAAAGAAAAAGAAAATGATTAAGCGAAGAAAATAATAGCATTAAGATAAGGGCAGACAATAACAAGCAATTAGAAAATAATAATATATAATGTGTAAATAAGTAATTAATTTTTTATAATAAAATGTTGATAAAGATGCTAGCTAGATTCAATTTTGATGAATTGATTGATGTATATTTGATTTTTTAATGATTGCTGTATACTAAAACCAAGATTATTTTTGTTGCTGCTTTAATTTTCAAAATAGATACTTCTTATTTAACTACCTATATATCTTAGATACTACTATTTAGTAGAGCTTGCTAAAAATTTAAATTAGTTTTTCATCATGTCATATTCTATTTATACACATAGTAAGTCCATAAATAATTTTAATTTATTAGAAATAGGTTGCTTGAAGATAGAAAGTATCTTCAAGCAATTCTATTGGGAAAGAAGCTTTTATCAAGTTCATTGAGAAAGGATAATATTATTGATGGGGATGAAAACTAACTTAATCAAGTAACCAACAACACCCATAACAGCGAAACCGAGAGCACAGTACATGGCAGTCTTCTTTAATTCTGTAATAATAGAAAAAATGGGTTAATATTGCAAGTTAATGAATGAAATTATTTTCAAAAATTGCTATCAAAACTATTCAGCTATTAAAAACAGCGTTAGTTTTAAAGTGAAAAAGGATTTTGCTGAATATTCTGGTTTCAATCAGACCAAAAAAGTACCTTTGGCATTGGGCTTGGTGCACTTCTTGACGAATCTCTTGGATTCTTCAGCAAAATCGATAGCGCTCTTGACAAGGCTTTGGACTTCGTTCTTAGAGTCAGAGGACATTTGTATTATATGAAAGTAGTTTTTAAGATATTTTTTAGAAAAAGATTTTTGTTTTTTTTTTAATTAATTATTTATTATGCTTTAGTGATAAATAATATAAACGATTTGATTCTAGCTGATTTTTATTAATTAAATACCTGTTTGCTTACGTGTATCATCCATCAACTTATACATTGAATCTCCACGCTTATCCAGTCCTTAAATTCTTTAATTAACTATCAAACAATGATTCATTTCATTCAATTGTAAATGCAAACAGATCGTGGATATATAAATCTTTGTTTCAAAAATTAAATACTATTCACTTTTTCATTTGTTCTCTCATTTATTTTAATAATTGAAAGGTTGTTTTCAATACTAAGAATAAACCATATATTAATTATTCTTGTAATTATTACTATTTTAGAATCATGAAAACATTATAAAAACATTAGATTAAATTGAAAGAAAGCATAAGAAACTCCTGTAATCATATAAAAATATAAGTAGTTGTGTAAAAAAAGATATTTATAAAGTTGTTTTAAAGTAGTTAAGTAAAACATGCAAGCAACATTTAATGATAGATAAGTATATAAATAAATAATTAGATGAATAAATAATTGCTGTTATTAATATAGATCTACAGCTTAAATCATAAAAGAAAGAAGCTTCTTTTAAAGAAATTAAATGTTTTTAAAATAATTTATTTTCTATTTCATTTGATCTTTATTTTCATCAGAAATCCCACCATTATATCAAACCAAGGCCATCTTCATTCATCGCACCCTATTTTTTATGAATTTTAGAGATAAAATTTACACATGAACTTTATTAAGCAATTTATGTTCAAAATAATAAAATACTATGATTTGCTTTTATCCTTCTGGGTTAACTTCGTCAATCTTCGCCACTTTTGTTGTTTAAAGAAAATTATTAATACAAAACGAAAATTGTTTAAATTAATTAAAATTACAGAAATTAATGGCAAATATTTTGAATTTAACCTAAGCATCTGCTTCATAGAAGAGCACGCTAGAGCTGTCTTCTTCATCATTCTACCAAATCCATTCGTTTTTATCCTTGAAACTATTTTATGTATGAAATTTAAATAAAAACTATTAAAAATACGTTTTGAATTATCTAAACAAGTATTTTAAAATAAGTTTGCTGTTATTAGAAGAGTTAATCAAATGAATTAAAAAATTAAAAGATATTTCGTAATGATTAATAAATAAATGTAAATATATATATTAAATATAAGAAAAAAGATACAATGTAGAGTTTGGCTGAAGTAGATGTTTACCAATAAAAGCCTAGAGCTATCCAAATTTAACTTAATTAATTAAATTTAAATGAGAAATATTTAATTATTGATTGAGAATTAAAAACATTAAGTAGATTAAGGTTTTTTTTATTTTTTCAAAAAAAGAATAATTTTAATTTTACCAGTAATTCCTTTAGCATTTTATGAAACGATTGTTCCTTCATAGACTTCATTTTAAACTATTTACTGGACGAGATAAGTCATTTAGATCTAGTTTTGAACAATAATAAATTTATTATAATCTATAAATTTAATTGCGCAACTTACTTCGAAAACGACTTCTCCTGTTACTTATTCTACAAATCCATCATACAGAGTAACATCTTTAATAGCTACAATAACCTCATTTTCATTAATTGCCTTTTGAATAATATTTTGTATTAATAAATATGAAGTGTATTAGTAAATAAAAAATTCATTAAATTCAAGCAATTAATGATTGATTGGTTAATTTAGTAAATAGTTCGCACCTTGAATAAATATGTTTCATATAATAATTTTGTAATGTTTTTTTGGTAATCCTTTCCAAGACTGTCAGGTTTAAGTCTGATCTTTTCTCTTTTAGTGCATAAAATAAACATGTTTCTTTCTGATTTAATTTGGAAAAGGGTTAGAATAATAAATTTATTGTGGTCTTTAAATCTTGGTACAAATTTTTGTTTGTTTCTTTGCTGATGTTAAATAAGTTAAAAAATTTCTTTATTTTTAATCCTTTTGTATTGAATTAGTTAATAGAAACTATTAAGTCTGATTATTTTGGAAAATATAAATAAAGCTTTTTCATGAAATTTATTAATAGAAGCAACAATTAAGCAAGCCTTAATTCCCTTTCAAAAGTATTAATAAAGACACGGGTAATCACGAGAATATCTTTTGCTAATTTTTTATAAAGTAGAATGAATGAATTATTATTTGATTTGATTGATAATTTAATTCCTTTACTTACAAAATAATGAAAATACTCATTTAAAAAATAATATATTCTGACATTAATTTTTTTAATCAACTAATAAAATATCTTTGTATAATAAAAAAATTAAATTCATTTAGTAAATATATACATACATATATTCATTAATTTATTTATTATTCTTATGCATTTTTGATTTAATAATTTAAAGAGAAATTGATAAACAAGATAATCAATTAATTTTTAAAAGCAAATATTTTTATTAATTACTTTTCGTTTTAAAGAGCCATTTTAATTTTAAAAATAAAACTTAAAAGTAACACAAATAGAAATAGATATTCAAGAAAAAGACCACTAACTTATCAATAGGACAAAATTTTTTCACTTAAAATGGAACAAAATTAAAAAAACATTGCCTAGTAAATTATAAATACAACTGCAGCACCATAATTTTAGGGAATAGGAAATTAAAATATGCAGCAATTAAATTAAGCAGCAGCCTTAACAAGCTAATAATAGCAAGAAATAGAGCGCTAAGCTGAGGAAAAAATGATACGTAGACCTTTAATGAGATCTGATAGCTAAACTGATAGTGATAAAAGTAGTGGCCATGAAAGAAGTTCTTCTAGTTCTAATAATAGCTAAGATAATATTGGATAACAAGCTAATACATAACTTAAATAAAAAGATTCTACTCACAATCACCAATGCAATGATCACAAGCATTCTCATAATCATTAACACCATCAACATGATTAACATAGCAGTCATTCTCATGGTCACCAAAGATAGCTTAGCAACTCATAAAATAGCAGAAACTAAGTTTTAAATAATTAATACTAAAATTAAGCTTAAAATTATCCTCAAGGCACAATTCAAGAAAGCAGACAGCAACAAAAATTAAATGCAATATTGAATACTGAAAGCTAAAATGATGTACCTTTAAATAACAGGTAAAGCTCTCTGAATGAAGAAGAAAAATAAATTTTAGAAGATATTTACAATGATAAAATTGAATAAATGCAATAAAAAAATGAAATAACTTCTGCTGAATATTCATAAATGCTTAAAGCTTCATTTAAAAATTGCTTCCACTCATCAAATCTTGAGAATTTAGATTCCTAATTCAAAGAACTTTAATAGCTAATAAGTGAAATTTAAATATGTGATATGTAGGTATTAGATGCAGCTTTTTTCAAGAAAGTAGTGCTATTAGCATAAATGGAAAACCCTAAGAGATGCCTTAAGGTTATCTATCTCTTCTACTAGCTATTTAACGATAAAATAATTTTAAAGCATCTTTTAAAACTTGCAGATTATAATAGGCTTATTGTTGACATAATAAATTCATATTATATTTTGCTAGAAAAGTTTAAAAACACAAAATTAGAAATAGAACTAAAGATTTCATTTAACAACTTACAAAATATTTTGGACAGTTAAGGTCATTATGAGGAATTCAAACTTTTAATTGAACAACAAACTACTCTACAAAGCTTAGATTCTATTGATCTCACATCTGATGTAGTTATTTTTCTTTATTTTCTTTTCTCAACTGATATATAAAAAATTTTTCTTTTTCAGAATCCAAAATTCAAAAAAATATTTGAAAATCATTTAAATTTAATTTGATTTAAAGCAAAAAGAAATCTTTGAAACAATTAAGCACTATTCCAAACTAAAAGAAATCTACCATAAGTAAGAAGCCATCAAGTATATCGTACTCCTTTTAGGTAAATGCGAAACAGTCATTTAGCAATACAAAGTAAGCCAAATATATATTTATTTATTACTATAAATTATTAATTTTTGTTTAATTTAAATTAATCTACTTAAAATTGATCCAGTTCCCTAAATTTTCTTTCAAAAAAGACTGATTAAAATTTACTAATTATTCTAATATTTCTAAAAATAGATTTTAGTGCACCATTTATCCCCAATATTCCTTGAGCTAAGCAATGCTAACTATGAAAATAACGAGTCTAAAGTTATTTATGTTAATTAAGTCCTTGATTTGCTTGATAGATACATTTTCCCAATAGAATTCTTAATAAATTTTGACACATCAAGAATCTAAGGCATTAAAACTTATTACCTGAAAAATCTTAAACACATTGTTTAGTACTTTTAGAAGCTTTACACACTAGTTGGTGGTTTCCTAAACTCGGTTTTATTGATGCCCCAAGAAATTTAACTAAATCTTAGAGCTCTCTTTATGATCAGAAGAATGTATTACTTCTTTTATGACGATTCTCAAATCAGAAAACTTATGGAAGGACCTATGTAAATAATTGATTTAAAATATTTAACTGAAACATTAATTATTAAATAATTACAGTATAGTAATTCTCAGCAACTTAGCTCTTTTCACTAAAGACGTAGTACAAAAAAAAGAACCTACATTATTTTTGCATAAATTATTAGATGATTAAAATACTCTTCCTTCTCTAAAAGAAAAACTTGAATAGAATGAATATATAAAAACTCTTAAAGAAAATAAAGTATTTTTAATTTATTTTTAGTCTAATTTAGTTAAATATTTACAAAAATAACAAACAGTATTTTGGGGTAATGGCTAAATGCTATCCATAAGACATAGATGTATAATACAACTTCAAAAGTTTAAACTTCTAAGTGAACTACCCTGTTTATAGAAAGATTGATGCTGGTTCATTCTACTACTATAATATCTTGGTAATTACCTTATATATTAAGAGTAAAAAAATATAAAATAATTGTTTAATTAAAACAAATAAATAAATAGGTAACAAAACAAGATACTATCATTTATTGGAGCTTTAAAACTCTTAATTATGATATTAAATTTGGTCTTTTCAAAATGGAAACTTTAAGCAACGAATTGCAGATAGACTCCTATGAAGAAGAAAAGTAAATAAAAGCAATTGTTAAATTATAAAAAGCTGACTCACATAAAGAACCTGTTATGGTAACCTAAAAAATAAGTTTTAAATTAAATAATTATAAATTCATTTTTTTATTAAATAGGCTTATTCTTTGGTTAGTTTGCCTGGGTATTACAGAATAGTATTCGACAACACCTACTCTTATTGGAGAGAAAAAGAGTTATTATATACAATTCAAGTATTAGAACCTTGATATATCATATAACTTAATTTCAATCATAAATAAAAACTTAATTTATAACATTTATATTTATTTAGCTTAGTAACTTGTAATCAGATCATAATTATTTATTTTTTCATTCAAAATTTATTCATATAATTCATAAAATTGTGCATCTTTCATCATTTGATAAAAAAATTCTATTTAACTCGAATAAATAGTAATGTAAATTCGAAAATATTTAAAATTTCGAAATCAAATTAATTACAAATACCTTTTCTATCAAAGCATATTCTTTTAATTAACTTTTTTAAAAGAAAATTACATTTTTTAAATTTTTAATGAATTATTGAATTAGTTTCTTTTTTATTTTAGCTTTTCTGGGAAAATTTCTTTATCATTATGTGTTGAATCAAGTTTTATAAAATCAATTTAATAAAATAAAAAATATAAATAATAATTTTTATCATGTTGTTTAATTATTTTTAAAATAAATTTAACATTGATAAATAAATTATATATTTTTAGATAAAAAAAACACTATTTATTTTTAATAATTTAAATTTATTTTATTTTCAATTAATTGGCTTAAATATTGTCTTTATTTGACTTAAAGCATTTAAGCTTTCCTATTCGTAAGTTTATGTGAAATAATTATGTTTTAATTCAATCTGCGATTGCTGCTAGTCACTAAGTACATCAAAGTCCATTTAATTAATTTAAAAAGGTTTTATCATTAGAATAAGACTAATCTAATATAAAAAATTTAATAAATTGCAAATTAAGCCAAGGATAGACATGACCTTGAAATTTTAAGATATTCCTAAAAATGTGATATAGAATATTAAAGACGGAAAAAGCTCTATAACCATGATGATAGTTGCATTTACTGCTCTTCTATTAAGTTTTTTATTTTATATAACCACATAATTTTCAATTGTGAGCTAATCATATAGAGTCGAAACTACTTCAAACTAAATTAAGTAAGGAATCGGAATTTACTATTTTAGATTTACAGCTATTTTTACTATTTAGCACATAAGAATCCATCCAAAAATAAAAAATCCAAAGACTAATTAATCTTACTCAAAGCAAAGCCTTACTAAAAAAAATATGAAAAACGTATTTAAAGCTATAACCTATTTTTTAAGATAAATGTAAGTATATCTTTTATTTGAAATTAATTTTACTTAAGAAAAAATATATTTAAAACAGTTTTCTTTTAAGGTATGTGTCATTGTAATTTCATCAGTCATAGAAAAACAATCAGGTATATCTTTTTTTATTTTGAAATGTAGGTAAAACTCTACAAAATAATTAGCAGCTAAAAAGACTACCATGAGAATAATATTAACATAAAATATGTAAATAATTAGCTACTAAGTTATTAAGAAAAATGCTAACAAAAAGTACCAAAGTATCAACCAATTCAAATTAACTTTGATGTCATTCAAAACAGATATACCAGTTATAAAGTTAGAATCATATAAACATCTTGAGATGTTATCTAAAATGAAGTAGAGAAACCTATTCCAAATTTCCTTAGTTTTTCCTAATCTATAAAATAAAAAAAATATATTAATTTGATAGTTTTAGGATATTTATTTTTAATTTATTACCTAATATCAGGAAGCTTATAATACCTTTCTCTATAGATAACAGCTAATTCGTCTGTGTTTTCTTTAATAGATATATAGCGGATATCACAATTTTTAAAATAAGGATGTTGGTGACATATTTAATAAATATATTAAATAAAAGAAAAACTAAAAGTAGCCTAAAGAAACTTAAAGCTTGAGGGAGGAATTAAATCAAAAAATTCTACAACAATATTTTCATCAGTTACATTGAATTCGATATTGTAATCTAAATAAATTTTTTGCAAACCACATTCCTTTGTTTATGATTTGAAAAAAAGTAAATTTTTTTTTTTTTCAATTATTTAAAAAAAACGACAATAAAAAAAAATATTATAAAATTTTTACTTTTGCGGCTTAGAAAATATTTACAATAGAATCTTTAGAGTAAAAAAGAGGTTGAAGCAGATATAAGGGATGATCTACAATAATTTATTTAATGTTTGACTCTTTGCAAATTTGGAAAAATCTTTCATTTAAAAAATATAGTACATAATCTTCTTATGCAGGTTGAACTGGATAAATTTGTAAAAATTTATTTATAAAAGCACGGTTAAGAAAGAGAATTCCTGATTTTATATAATTTCTGAAATTTTATTTCATTTCCTCAAAAGAAAAGTCTTCTATTGGATAAATGCAATGGAGAGATTAAATTTATTTTTTGCTTGCTTAGATATATTGAAGGTCTAAACTTAAATTGATCTTTTGACCTTCTTTTAAAAATTCGAAAAGCAAATTATTTGCATAAATAACTTCTCCTTTAGGTAAAAATCTATAAGCTAAATTCAAAATATTTTTATTGATGCGCTCAATTTAAAGCTAAGGTTCTTAATTTAAACGACTAAGATTTTTTAATACTTAATCTTCCTTAATGAATTATTTCAATATTGGTTGTCTAAAATTAGCTTCCAAAAGCTGCTTTTTATAGGCTTTAGAAATTGAATCAAAATCAAAAGTTAAATCTATGCAGTTTGGAGCATTTTATAAAAGGTTAATTAGAGTCTAGATCATCATAATATCTGAATTAATTTCAAAGAGTTTTAGAGTTTAGAGATTTATACAATTTTTCACATTTAACAAAGTTTAAAATGTGATCAATTTATTATAAGACAAATCTAGATATTCTAAATTCTTCATAAACTTTAAAGAAAATAAAGTTGAATCAGCTAGTTACTAGGCTTAAAGATCTAGATATCTAATGCTTTTACTTACTGTTTCTAAAATTTCTTGATAAATTACTTAATTCCCAAAATACTTTTACTTAAATTATTGTTAGCTTATAGACCTTTATTCTGTTAAAAACTCTTAAATATTCCTTGAGAAGATGAATGTTTCTAATCTTGTAAATTTAAGAACCACATGAGGAAGCTGTTTAAGAGTTTCTTCATTTGATTCGATTTCCATTTCTTTGAAATCTAGGTAATTAAAAGTCATCTAAAATTTGAAATGTATCATTTCATAAAAAGGAATAAACGTTTCTTTAGTTAAAAAGCAATTAACTTTTCTACTTACAATCTTATCTGAAGTTTTTTAACTATATGAAACTTTTTATTCTAGTTTATTTTAAGAAATATCTAAAACTTCTAAGCTATCAAAAGCTAATTTATCAAAAACCTACTTCATAGCTAAAATCCATTCATCTTTTAAATTCATATCTCTCATAAATAACTTCTTAAATTTAGATCCATTAATTTTATGAATTTTTACAATCAAATTCACAATATCTTCATTTGGAATTATAATAGTACCTTATTTATACACTTTGTTTCCAGAGATATCTAATGACTCTAATATTTGAAAACCAGCTTCATAAAATCTAATTGCAAGCATCTGAATTGAGATTTAATTAAGATCACAGTAAGATAAATTTATGCTCTTCAAACTCTGTCCACAAGAAATACTTATAGACCTAATTTTAACAATACTTATAAATATAAATATTAACTAAAAGATAATATTCACCTAATTAATGTTTCAAAGTCTTCATTTATAAACTGATTGTAACTCAAATCTAAATGTCTGAGTGTTTTGAAAATATTGAATGTAAACATTTCTACCAAAACATCCTACTTTTTTTAATCTATATTTAAAAGATAAAATTTGAATAAAATTTTTTTATTATTTAAAAATAAAATAAATCTGATAGATAATCTTAATTCATAATTTATTTTTATAATATTTTTTATGAGATAAAAAAATTAAATTAAATTTATGAAATTTAAAATTGATTATTTACTATTTTGAGTTCATAAGGAAGATAAATAATATATTTAACTTCAAAAAAAAATTTACTTATTTTGAGATCCCTTATTACTAGAGTTTCAAGACTAACTTAAGAAGCTAGAGTTAGACCTGTAAGTAATCCCTAGAGACACTTTGGTGAAATGTGTTACAATCCAGAAAAGTTGGCATAATTTAAATTTAAAAAGCTTTGAGCTAATGTGTGGCTGAGGTAAAATAGCTCGTCATCGCAGAAGTCAGTATAGGATATATCCAAATATTCCATGTGATCAGAAAACTTATGTGATATGATTTCTAGAAATTTTTAGCTATACTTAGACTGAATAGGGTTGTGAGAAACATCAATATAATAGAGTTTATTTATTTTTTTGCTAAGAAAATCATTCAGCAAATCTAATTTCCCACATAGCTAGCTATTTTTGATTGTCAAGTGACAAATGTTTGAAGAACCTATGTAATTAATTGATTTGATAATCTTTCTAAAATCATAATAACTCAACATCTCATTATTACTCAAATTTAGCTTAACAATATTACTTTCTTTAATTGATGGGCACTTTTATCCATTCTCATCATCTGCAACTATATCAAATTACCTCTTTGGGTCATCCATTAACTCTTGTTGTTTGAGAATTTTTTATAAGTGCTCATATGTAAATGACCCACTTATGCATCCAAAGAGATTTGTCAGAGATTAAGAAGGAATAAATGAATCTGATGATACTTGTTTATATTAAACTGTTTCACTAAAAACCATTTTACTGCTTGGCCCGTTTTCTGAGACATCCAATAGTTCCATTTGATTTGATAAAATAAGAGCACAAAGAGCTTATATTTTATATGAGTTCAGCTAGACATTTCTGCAATAAAGTTTTCTCAATTGCTTAATTTTTTGAAAGGAATTTATAAGGGAAACAAACATATTATCTGTGAGAGATTAAGTATTGTGAGAAATGTCAATTGATTAAATTCTGATCTGCTGGTATCTCTCATTTATAACAGTCGCAAGATTCTGTGCTATCAAATCATCTAAATGAATATTTTTTAGAATCAAAGTAGTCAATCTGTTATATTAGCTACTTAAAACAACATAAAAGAATCTTTTCCACTAATTATGATCACAAAACTTATTTCCACTCATATCTAATACCTACAAAGACTAAAATGTACTATTTTCTTAAAAATCTTCTTCTATTGTGTATTTGCTTGATGCTGTTGAAATTCTACCCATTAGAGCATCAACAAGGCAAGTCATCTGCTAATCGTTTAATCCCATATTTTACATTTTAAACTCAGTCAAATGCTTAAGGGAACTTAGTCCTAATATAATTTCTTTGATATTTTTCTCAGTCAAATATAAATTATTCGAAATGTCAAACTTTTCAAGCATATAAAATTACGATATAATTTAAGAAAGATCTAAACCACTTAAATTATTAATACCAATATTGTCCCAAATAAGAGTTGTAATAGTTTTTGAATAAAGTGATAAATTTTTAAATATTCCCCTAAAACATAATTCTTATAAGCTCAATTACCCAATCCCACTCAAATCTAAGTTCTCAATATTCGCTAATCTCGATTTATCAAGCACAATCTTGTCTATTTATATCAACTAATCTACTGTGAGCTATGTGTCTTTCATAATAATCTATCTAAGATGCTTCCTATTTTCTCTGACTAACCCAATTAAAAAGTTGGCAAGAAGCTCAGCATTAACTCTTTCCAAATAATTCTTAGAAATATTGATAATTTCTATATTCGTAATTCTCTTTTAATTGATGTATTCCAAAAATAGCTTTATTTAATCGATGCTCAAATCAATATTTTCTATGAGAAGTGTGATATTAGATTAATAAGATAGAGCATTTAAATACATTAAAAGGTCGATCAAGCTCTATCCCATTTCTCTATTTTCTGATAAATCTATAATTCTTAAGCTTGACATCAAAAACTTCTAATCATCTTAAAATAATAAGCTCTCAAAGTTATGCTTTTATTTCTTTTGATGATCTTCAAAAGCTGCAGTTGCTTCTAAATATAACCTTTAATTTAGAGCTGATAGAATTTATTCATTCAAGCTGCAATCCCTTAAATACAGCTCCTCAACATTTGGGATATTTTCTATTATACTTAGCAAAGTATTCTGTCTGAATCCCTGTGTCCCACTTAAATCTAAAACCTTTAAATTCTTACTAATCCCTAATATAGTTGGTAAATCTTCAAAGTCAAAATCGTCAAAATCCATCTTCTATAATTTTAATTTTTTCATATGAGAAATATTCACATGTGAAAAAAATGTAGCCATTTTGTGCTAGCCAGCAAAGCTGTTTTCGCTTAAATCAATTTCTTCAATAAAACTTAATATTTCTTGATTATCTTATCCTAATTAATAATTTAACGAATTTTAATTTATCAAATTAAATAAATAAATTTCATAAATATATTGAATGAATAAAATAAAATCAATTAAAATCCTTTATTATTTGAATTTTTTAAAATTATTTTAAACTAGAGTTGTTTTTTATTTTCAAATTCTAAATGTAAAATCGAAGATAAATTAATCAAAAAATATAAATATCTCAAACTAGATAAGCTAAATTAATGCACATTTTGAAATGATAATTATAATAAAATAATCCATTTATTTTTTAACTGTTATTAATTATTTTTAATAAGTTATTTTACAAAGTATTATCAAAGAAAAATTAAAAAATAATTGAAATGGTTAGCTTACTTAATGGTATATTTAAATTTAACAAATTGGTATTTCTTAGAGATAACTTGCAAAGAGACTTGCTTGTCCTTATAAGAGAGAATAAAAGAAAGATCGTTTATTGTAAGGCTTGATCCAGAGGAAAATAATCTAGAATCAAAGAATTCTAAAAGAAATCAGTAAGGTATTTAATCAAAAAGCTTTCATTTTCTTTACAAATAACTCCCCCTTCGGTGATAATCTCTGGCCTTTTCCTCAACTTAAAATGCTTTTAATATTATGAATTAGTCTCAAATATATTAAACCTTTATATAAATATTATTTAATAATAAATATTATGTTTTGTGTAATAATTTAAATAAATTTACTTTAGAGGGTATTTGTAAATGTTATTTTTAATTCTTTCTGCCTTCCATTCTTCTAATTAGTACAAAATTGGCATCATATATTCTTTAGTGACCAGAGGATTATCATTTATTACTATTTTGTTAAGTAATGGATAATCAGTAATCTATAAATTATTTTTCTAAAATAAGAATTTCAAATCTAAGTCATTGAGTGAACACTGAATGAAGTACAACTCTTATAAATCTTAGTCTCTCCAATACAAAAAATTTTTAATCAGCTATAGAATATTTTGCTCAATTTGGAATCGAACAAAGCAAAGCTATTTTAAATTTTTCACTCTTCTTAGTTATACGAGAATATCTTTGAAAATATAGAGATCTATTCTACCAATATTAACAAATAAAACTACTTCAACAATATCTTTATTCAATTAAATGTATTCTTTGAAATACCTGTAATGCTCTCTTAAATTAAAACACTTTTGATCGATCACAATTTTATGAGACTCTCCTTTAAGTGTTAATTATCTCAAAAGAAATTTACTCTCAAAATCAATAGCATTTCTAAAATAATTTTCACTCATAACAAGATGCAATTTAAAATCTTCAATAATTCTTTCAACCAATTAATTATATGTTTTTTTCTCTAAATCTTCTTCAAGATTCTTTTATTTCTATAAATCATTATTTACATTTTATTGATTTTAGATCATATTTTATTCATAAACATTTACATTTTATTGCTAATTTTAATTATTTTATTAATTCTGTACAGCAATTTACTGATTTGAAATATTATTTTATCCATTTTATTAGTTATTTAAGTTAGTTTAATTATTTTGATTTTGATTAATATTTTGTTAGAATTAACTTTCATTTGGTAATATTCCTTCTTAGACTAAATTCTCCTAATTATCTTGTAAGTTCATTAAACTCAAGGAAATGAATTTGATATTTGGCAATCTTTTTGGTTTAACTGAACTCCTAATAAATAAGTCAACCAAACACTCATTTCTTTGCTAGTTGATTGGATAGGACTATTTATTTTGTTAAAATAATTTAATATTTATTTAAAAAAATTTATAATTAAACCTACATCTTCTATGACTATTGATTGAAGACTATCTTTAAATGCCTTAATAATTTCTTTTAGTATTGCACCATTAAAATGAGAATTTTTTATAGTTATAGATTTAAGTTGAATCTTAGAATTTATTTTTTTCTAACAAAACCTTTGATAAATAATAATATGGCGTAATGAAGGTAGAATATCTTTTTAACATTATATTATTCTTAACTTCGTAATGTGTGTATACTAATCATGTTAGACTTTAAAATTGTCAATTCTCTGTTGAATTTCCTCCAAAATAGAATTATCTGAAGCATGCTGTGATTCTTTTATGTTCTTAAATAATAAAAGATCCTCTTTTAATATTAAAATTAAATAATTTGTCTTATTTGTTAAGTTCCTTAATATCATATTTGGTAAATTTTCAAATTTAAATTACTTCTTTAAGCTATTGTCATTCTATTTTAAAGCGCGTCCCTTTCATTTTCTATCAAATTTAAAATAGTTATCAAAATTAATTTAAGTTGTGTTTATTCCTTAATCAACATAATTACAGTTATTCTATGGATTCATTTATGCAGTTTCGTTCAATATTGATTGCTTAATAATAAAATAAAAGTTAAAACAATTATTTCAAATGAAATTAAGTATTTTATACATTCAATAGCTATTCTTAATTTTATTGTTGAAAATTTTCAATCACAATTGATTCATCATTTTACTTTTATACATTAGCACTGCCTTTTTTCAGATCATGCAGTTCCAGCGCATCGTAATATATAGAATCTTGCTGCATTTACAGAATTTGCTTAGTATCTTTTTTTGTTACGCTAAGCTAGTTGTTGGGTCGTATTTTTGTTGGTTAATATTACTTTAAATCAGAATCAGAAATTCTTTAAATTTAATTAAAAAAAAGATTTGAATAATATAAAAATAAATATATACCACAAACAAACAAATTTTGAATTTTAATAATTTAAAATAATATGTTAGCAGCTAACCTTTTGACAAACAAATTTCCATAAGTATTAATTAAAATATTTTTAGGAGTATGAAATATTTTTGCAATTTTTTAAATGTTAATTAAAAAATATTAGATTCAATTATTTTTTCTTTAAATTTATTTATTCTTAAACAAAATAATAAATTAGAATAATTTAGTTTAAAGCTTTAAAAAAAATCTATTGGATGAGCTAATTATTATTAAAAATGAATGGAAATGTTAAAGGAATCTTAAATATCATTAAATCTAATTTTAAAAAATATTTAAACAATTTATTTATATTTTTAACTAAATTTATTTTGCACTATTAATTTAATTGAAATGAAAAATTAGATTCTATTATGGTTTTGAATAGATCTCAGCCTAAATAAAAAATTAATTACTCAAACATATCTTCCAATAAAAAAAGTAATTTATTTCCATAATAAATATAATTTTATATCTAAAAAAAGTATAAGTTGTACTTATTTAAATTTCAAAAAAAACTTTTGTTTAGAATAATGAATTTTTAGATACTTAAAAAAAATGTTAGCCTCAATGAACAATCTGATTTAAGAAGTATTTTTATAAACATATCAGATTTTATTGTTTTTAAATATTAGAAACAATTTTATTTTTAAAAGTCTAATTTTAAATAAATAAAAAGTGTTTTTTTGTAATACTTATTTAATTTTTTAATTAACTTTTGCCTTTTTATATTAATCAAAAAATTTTTAGTTTTATCTTTTCTAGAATTCAGCTTAGTTCTATTTGTTTTAAATTATAAATTTAATATATTATCTATGAATTCCTTAATCAAATATACTTGTCCAAATTAACAAATTTAAAATATTTAGGTTTTATTTTTACTTTTAATTAAAAATGAACATTTCTCTTGTAAAAAAGGTTAGTAAATAGCTTTAGTTTATATCATACATTTTAAATTAGAGAAAAGGTTTATTAATAAAAAAGTTTTACCTATGGATTATATAGATAAATAAATACTTAGCAAACAATTTCTTCAAAATATATAGGTAGTAGAAAAGAAACTAGATTATAATGAAACAAAGATAGAGAAGTTAAAAATTGCGCTAAAAAATAAGCAAAAAGAAAAATTTATTGAAAATGTAAAAATTTAATTATTAGAATCCATCTATCAAATTTTTTTATTTGTTTATTTTACATGCATACATAATGTTCTTTTTTTTGCTTTTTTAGATGTATGACTGACTGACTGATTTATTAAGAAAAAAATAAAAAATAAATTTCTGCAATTAGCAGTCAAAAATTATTGTCTTAAAGTTTAAAAGAAAAATCCAAGCTTAGCTTATTGCAAAAAATTAAAAAAAAAAAATTAATCAAAATTAGGAATAAAAATTGATATAAAAGAAGATATAAAAGAAGTAAAGCAAAAAGCGACTATGGCTGAATTTTAATAGGAAACTGAATAACTTAAGTAATTACTGCAAGCAACTTATTAAGGAACTTCGACTGAATAAGTTAAGCATGCCGAAAAAGAACTCCAAAATGTTTCTCACCATTAGGACTTTCTTAAATATTTGGTTTACATAATGAAAGATACTGCAAATCCTTGTAAATTTTTAAATTAAGAATTAGCAAATAAACAAAAGAATTCCTTTTTTTTTCAAAAAAATTCAAACTTAAAAGAATTTATGTAGTTATTTTTTTTACTGATCATTAACCTGATTTGAGATGAAGTTTAATGAGTATTTTTTATTAAAATAAAGTGCTTATGTAAAAGTCTGCTTCTAATTATGTTCACGTTTATGTTAGAAACATTTATAGCAAAACAAGTTAGAGTGGATAAATTTAATAGATCTAAGAAATTACAGAATAAATTATATTAGCCATGAGAGACTCAAATATCTCCATAGATTGTAAGCATAATATATCTAAGGGTCTCAGCATTATTCTCAGCTTAGATAGACGTAAATAAAATTTCTTTAAGGCAAAAAAGCTCTTTAAGACTTTTCTATTATTTTTATTATAAGTTTTCTTATATTTATTTTTTTCCGCGAAAAAATTTAGATAATGAAACAAAGCTGAAATTATTCTAATTAGCCCAAACTTGGATTCTTCAAGATGACATTGTAATTTTTCTTTATATTTTACGATCTCTCTGATTTATTAGCACTTTAGGGAGACATTTAAGATATTTTAAATCGCATTCTTCTTTTTTAACATATTTTTTTTCACTATAATTAATAGACTTAGCTAGCTTCCACTTTAATCATATTGCAGACTGTGATTATTTCTACACAATAAAAAGAATTTCTTGCTCATTTCTTTAACTTATTGAATATGCCTTTTTGCCAAGTCGGTTCCAATTATCTTACAGAAATAACTTCCTCTCTTCAATTGCTTGAAAAAAGCTAAAACGAATAGGAAACAACCTAAATTTTCTAAAAAACTGTCGAAGGGTAACTAACAAACTAATTAATATGCTTTTTCATTCTATCTAGCTCTAATTTTAGATGTAGCCTTCAAAAATATATACTTAATTTTTTAGATAAATAAATTAATTAATTAACAAATAAATAAATAGCTAGATTTTGAATTTTCTTATAGATAAATATTTTCCTAAGAAAAGAGCATATATTAATTAAAGCTTTTGCAAATAATTTTTGATATAATTTTTAAAAATAATTTTTTATTTCAGAATCAAGGTTTTGAACTTATGGGCAATAGTTTTAAAGGATTTAATTATTCAAGTTATGGAATCAAAAAATAGAAAGTTGATTTCCTTTGTGTTAGAAAATGAAATATTAGCAAATTTGATTTGTCATGGTATCTGTGTTACCTTAAACACTCCTCTATAAATTAAAGACTGCTTGATTTGCACTTCAGGATAGAGTGATTTTGATGACGCAGCAAATACTTTAAAATCACATCTTATTAAGGCATATACTCGTATTAATCGTTAAATGTTTGCTGAAAGAAGCAAATTTGATATCTTTAAAACCTAATTCTTCAAATTGCTTTAATAATCTCTTCCCATCATCCTTAAAGGATTGATGTTGTTCTGCCAATAGACTCCTGATTTCTAAGATAAGCTTGAAAATAAATCTTTATCCTCTATCGTCATCGAATGCTTAAAATTCTCTCACATTTGTGCTGAATAAAGCGAATTTTATAAAATCTTTTAGGATTGCTCTCGTGTTCTTCTCTTAGAAGTCATTTTCCCTTTGATGAGATCATCATAATCCGAGCAAGAATCATTAGAAAATAACCCTGAAGAATTTGTAAGATTGGCCTTAGATACATGTGATAGATAAGTAAATAAATGAATTAAATATACCAATTTATTAACTTTTTAATTTTTAATTTAAAATAATCAGATTTCTTACTCTTACAAATGTGCAGCTGCTAAATTACTTGAAACTGTTTGTGATTACATTGATGGTTTTGAAACTATAGTTTCACTTTTACTTATATAGATTGTTGGATTTTCAATTAAATTTGAAAATATCACTGATGTTGATGCTAACTATCCTAACTTAATTCCATTCAAAGAAACTGTTTTTATGTCAAAAACTGAAAGACACATCAGAATCGAAACCTGCTTCGTTGCCTTATCTGTCTTAAGTTATCTTACTCCTAAGAGACCTGACATAGTAGGATAAATAGAGCTCTTACTCAAAGAGCACGCTCAATTCCTCTTCAATCACAATATCCATAGTAAAAATTTACATTTTTGCAAATTATTTTAACTTATTATTTTTTAAATTAGGATTAATCAAGGTTAGAGTTTGTTTAATGTTAGGATATTACACAGATTCAGTCTTCTAAAATGAAAAAGAAAACTATAAATCTCTTATTTAATTCCTTTTATCCTGTCTTACACTTAAGGAGTAAGAAGATTAGGGAATAGTCTACTAAGCAATCGACTCGTTGTAAAACATCTATGATGATGACAATTAAGTTAATTTGGTTAGTGAAAATATTAATGAAGTTTTACATGTCATCTTACCCCTTATTACCACTACTGAGTTCCACTAATTTATGGATATCGTTTTCCATATCTTTAGGTAATTTTTTAATTATTAAATATTAACTTTTTAAATAATTTTGGATTGTATGTACTATAAATAATCAATAAATACTTTTGCAAACCCCTTAAAATATACAAAAATTGGTTAAGTTTAATATTGTTATTGTTCAAATTAATCAAAATTTTTTTTGATTTAGAATTTGAGATTTTGTAGTTATTTTATTAAATTTATAAAAAATTAAAGCAATTAAAAAATATATATTTAATTGAATAAATAGATATCATAGCAAGAATATAGCACCTTAAAATATCATAAATTGTGTTGGTTATTTGGTTAAGAGAATCATAGATGAAGTAAAGCTTATTGATGATAAGTTAAGAAACGACTAAATTTACATTAATAAGTGCTGGAATATCATTAGAGATATGTCTGATAACAAATTTATTGTTCCTTAATACATAAACAGCATTTTAGAGTAACTCAGACCTCTTTTATAATGTGTTTAATATCCTGAAAAGATCGAATTCGATGAAGATATTATTTTGCTTGTAGGTTCCTTTATATACCATCAAAAAGCTGTCAATCCCATTTGTAGTGATTTGATAACTTGCTTCCCTCTTATTCTCAAAAAGCAATAAGGTGTTTTTGCACAACTCTTCAAAACTTTAAATAATGTTATTATTTATGGATAAGAATTCTTAATTCAAAACGCAAGTCATCTTCAACTGGTAAGAATTCATATTATACCAAGCTAAACAGAAATATTAAATAAAAATTTTAAAATTAAAATAGATCATTAAGATGGCTTACGATACTATGTTTAGCGACAGCTCTAAATCTACAGATTCTGATAAGGCTGAAGGTGCAGCTATCATGCAATTAATCGTTTAATCTCTTGGAAACAACCTCACTGATGAGATGTGGAAGATTATTTTCAATGCAGCTATTCAACGTTTCTAATCATAAACTAAATTAAGACACAGTTTTGCATATGGAAGGTAATAATTATAATAAAAAAATTTAATTTAAAGCATCAATCATACCATATTAAATTATTTTTATATTTTTTAATTCATAACAGAACTGCTGGTATCTTCTTGAGTGGTTTCAACTCAAACATATAAAAGTCAACTCAGATTTTAACTGAAATGGGACTTTTAGAACAAGTTATTATTTTATGTGTTAGCAAGTTAGAAATGTACAAGAGAAACTATGATATTAAGGTAATTTAATCATTTGGTTGTATAGAAAATTTAATAATAAGCTTAATTAAATAAATAATAAATAGCTATTTATTATGAGTATGAGTAAAGTAATTGTGCAAGTGTCTCTCGATGCCAATAAAGTTCTTTAGATATTTGACTGCCTCATTAGCTTAATGATGAAATAAAAGGAGCTTGAATAGAAGCTTGAAAAGAAAAGAAAGCTAAAAGATGACGATAACAACAATAACAGCGATGATGAAGGAGACGACGATGACTACGATGATGATGACGATGATGATGAAGACGATGATGAAGAAGTAGATGGCGATGAAGATAATGATCTTAATGTAAACCATTATGATAAGGAATATGACTGCTCTGTTGTAAGAAACATTTTAATTTACTTTAAAATTTTATTATTCAATAAAGTTTTTTAGCTATTATAATTGAAATACTTAATATAAAATTTTATAATAAAGAACGCCGATAAATTAATGTTAAAAGAAATGGTTAGCCCAATCAACGATGTGGATGAATTCGCTATTTTTAAATAGTCTTACTCAACAATGAAAAGCTAAAACTTCACTGCCTTGCAATAGTTAGTTTATGGCTTAAACCAAGAAAAGCAAAAATATTTGGCTCAATTATTAAGCGTACAAAGAGTAAATGTTGGAAGTGAACAAGTCATTAGGGTTATTCGTTAAATCAAACGTAAAAATTAGCAACAACCTCCTTAGTGATAAAATAAGTGATTTAATGACTTATGAGAGTCAAAAAAGCACCACAATTACCCAATTTAAAATTTAATTTATAAACATTAAAACATATAAAAACAACCCCAATAAAAATAAATAATCAAACAATTCGCAAATAAAAAACAGCAGGAATGTGACTTTTTGATTATATTTCAAAAAAATAATTATAATTAAACAAAAGATGTTAGAGGATTATTTTAAATATATTTTTATCAATTTTTTAATATTTATTGAATTTAAAAGTTATATCTCAGCTTGTTTATATCATTTATGTAACCCTAAATTATTATCTTTTTTAATATACAATAAAATTTAAAAATAAAATTATTAAAATCATTATTTTATCTAATACAATTAATTAATAAATTGGATATTTAGTTTGTTTTTAAAAATCTATCAAAAAAAAATTCTTTCATATTTTCAATATTTAGAAAATCAATAAAGTTAATAAATAAATTAATAACATAAATAAGCAAATATGTTCATTAATATTATTTACAATTGAAGACTAGTTTAAAAATTATAATAAAGCAATCAAACTCCAAATCAATTATATGTTAAACATTAAACAAAAAATAGATTTTATAATATATTTAATAAAAAATAATATGGATTTATGATTTAAAAATATAAAATGATAACTCAATTAAATGATGAGCTGAACTGTAATAGATTCAAATTTACCATTTATAGGTTTAAATAAATTTTTTATCTCTGCAGAGTCATGAAAAAATGTGATAAATAAACCAAAATACTAATAAATATAATTTTTATTGTTTTCAAAATATATATTTAAGTTGACAAAAAAATAAGCGTTATGAATAAAATGATGAAAAAATTTAAATATTTTTTATGATTGTTTGCAAATAAATATTTATTTATTTTTTTGGTATTTTATTTTTTATTAATTTAATTAATTTTATTTGTTTATTAATCTTTTATCTTGTTTTTAGTTTTAATTTTATTTTTTCTTCTTTAATTTTTGTCTATTTATTTATGAATTATTTAAATATTTGTTTTTTATTTTTATCAAAATTTGTTTTTAATTTTTTATTTTATTTATTCTTTTTAAGCTGAGAGGAGGTGGAGGAGAGTGTCATCTAATTTCTTTTATTTCTATTTTAAAAAATATTATTTATATATTTAGAATCTAAAAGAGAATTTTTGCAGATTTGAGTGCAAGTGCTCTAGAAATCATTTTTTCATCTAGGCAAATAGAAAATTTGATTTTTGAAATATCTCATTTTTTTCGAAAGATGAAAGAATCATTTTTTACTTTGAAGAAGTTTAACTTTCGAAAAGAAAATGAAAATTTAAGAATAAATAGATTGGTTTCATATAAAAACTTGCAGGGAAAGGGAGCAATCGATTTAAGACCACCCACTTCATCATAATTTTAAAAAACTATTTCGTTTCTAGTTATTCTTAAATTTCCTTTTTGTTTTTTTTTTCTTCTTCTTTATGAATTTTTAATTAAATAAATTATTTATAATTTGTTTTTGAAATTTTGAAAAGTAAAATCTTTAGAAATTTATTAATTTAGAATAGAAAGACTATTAAATAGGAGATCTAAATAGAAATTTATTAAGTTAAATTTAAGTCCAATAAATTTGATAAAGCTCATAAGAAAAAAACAATAAAAAATTATGTAGAATATATTATTAAAGGAATTAAATAGGAATGATAAATGTTAATATAAAAAAAAATAATTTATTTTGAGAATAAAATAAAATTGAATTAATAGAAAATATTTTTTATTTAATTACTAGTTATTATTAATTTTATTGGTTATTTAAGAAATTCTTGCAAATTTAAGAGCATTTATTTATGCTTACAAAATTTTAAGATAGAAAAATATTAAAATGATAGAAAAAAAGTTATCTTAAAAATGATTAATAAAAATAGCTACATAAAAAAACACTAATAGAAATAAAACATGAAATAAAAAAATAAAATAACAAACAGGAACGAATGAGAGATAAATAGATAGATAGAAATAAGAGATAGCAATAAATTAAACTGGCAGAAAAAGGTAAATACAAAAGCATTTACTTAAAAATAAATCAAAATAAAAGGAAAAATTATTAACAAAATAAATTATCAATAAATAAATAAAGGAGCAATTAAATAAATTAAATTAAAATTGACAATCAGTGATTCTTCTTTATTTGATTCATTCATTTATTTATTTATTTGTAAAAAATTGATTCTTTTATTGATTTATTTATTAATTATTGATTCATCTATTTATTTATTTGTTTGTAAATGAATGAATGATTGGATTAGTTTATATGATAAATAAATAACTCTAAAATATATGAACCCATCTATATAAATAGAATAAATGACCGATCACTCTCTAACTAATTTATTTATTGAATAAGTATTAATTTCTTTTTCAAATTAATTAATAATTAAGTAAAATAAATAATCAAAATAATCAGCAAATAATCAACTCTAAAAGAAAGAAAGCAAGACAGGCAATTAAAAAAGGAAGAAGAAAATCTAGTTTTAAATGAATAATATGAAAAGTAAACACATAATAGTTTAAATTTCACTCCATTTTCAGCAAGTCCAGCCCGATTAATAACTCTATTGTTGTTTCTAAAATAAACACTTGAGTATATAAAATGGACTTGATTGAATTACTTTACTCTTGTATGCTGATTTCTCTCCTTAAATTTCTTTCATTTTTAAATATATAGAGTAATATGGCTAGCCTATGAATGTGTCACAGTCATAAGGAAATGTGATGCAGTCACAGAACCTTTAGCAAGTAAAAGTTTTATTGAACAAGCAAGAAATAATTGAATAAAAAACCTGAAACTTTACTATAAATTTAATAGCAACAATTGGCGTAGCAATAATAAGCATAGCAACAATAATAGTTACAGTAGCAGCAATAAGAATAGCTCTAGTATTCAGGATCTCCCAATATTACTCTTGATAAAATCATTGGTAATGGAACTTTTGGTGTAGTCTACTTGGTAATTACCTCTTTAGCCTTCCTTCCTTTTTTAAATTTTTGAATTTGAAATAATTATTTGTCATTTGTGCTTATTTATTTTTATTTAACAGGCTAAAATGAATGATACCTAGGAGCAAGTTGCAATTAAAAAAGTCTTTTAGGATAAGAGATATAAAAACAGAGAATTCGAAATTATAAAATCCCTCAATCATTAGAATCTCATCAAGTTAAAATAGGCTTATTACACTACTCAAAACAACAATGTAGATTCATTCTTCTTTCATACATTTAACTCTAAAATAAATAGTTAACTTCGTTTTTTCCTTCGCTATAAAAAAACTCAAAATTGCTTGCATTCCTTGATTTAATTCACTCGCTATATTTAAAAGCATTCAAAAAAATCAAGTACGAAAAAATCAACCCATTTCAGAATTAACACATAACCCAAAATTCAGCAAGTTAAAAAATATATAACTAATGAAAAAAAAATATATATTATCAGACACGAAAACTCTTATTTAAATTTTTAATTTGAGGGAATTGGATTTTCCAGCTTCTCATCCAGTATTTTATACAAATCCTATTTTAACAAGAAGATATTCCACCGTAATAGTTAGATAAATAGATGAAATATAAGCTTGAAAGTGAAATCGAGTTAGAAAAAGCAAGGACAATTTAATTTACATTATTAAAAAATTGTTTTAAAAACTTGATTCAAAATAAATATATTTTTAAAACTAATTAGCCTGATGAAGTATACTTGAATATAGTTATGGAATACGTACCTGAGACACTTTCCAAAGTCATCAGAACTTATAGAAAGAGCAAATAGCCATTCCCTCCACTCTTGCTCAAGGTCTTTTCTTATCAAATGTTTAGAGCTCTAGCTTACTTGAAAGGTATCGGTATTTGTCATAGAGACATTAAGCCCCAAAATATATTATGCGATCAGAAAACAATGCAGCTCAAAATTTGCGATTTTGGTTCTGCCAAAAAGCTCATTAAAGGTAAATTAGATATTCTTTTCGTTAGTTATAGTTCAGTAGTTAGCAAAAACTTAGTATTTATGTTACAAGTTAATTTTTGTTTAAATGTAGATTAATTTCCAGCTTAACTGCTAAAAAATAAATTGATTACTAGCAATTTTTATTTAAGTCAAATAAAAAGCCAAAATAACTTTTAAATATTTAAACTGCACCTTTCAACAAGCATTAAAAGCAAAGTACATTTAAACATGAAAAACATATAAAATAAAAGATGAATAAATAGTTTTTAAATATTTATGTAAATACTAAGTCTTGACTTAATTTTAAAGGTTAAGAAGCTCTCAAATTATATGAATATTTCTTGAATTTTATTTAAAAAGATGAGTTAAATTTTATTTTTAAAACTAATTTTTAAAAAAGGTGAACCAAATGTCTCATATATTTGCTCGAGATATTACAGAGCTCCTGAACTTATATTTGGTGCTGAATAATATACGACCGCTATTGATACTTGGTCAATAGGTAAATAAGCAAATTTATTAATTTGTAACTTAAAAAGAAAGAAGCAAAAATAGATTGATAGATAGATACTGGACTGATTTTAGCAAAAGCTCATTTTTATTTTGAAAATAAATAAAAGGTACCGTCATTGCTGAAATGATTTTAGGTGAACCTCTTTTCCCAGGTGAAAACGCTGTTGAGTAACTAGTAGAAATTATTAAGATATTAGGTACTCCAACAAAAGAATAGGTCTAAAAAATGAATCCTTAGCATAATCAATTTAACTTCCCATCAATAAAACCAACTTCTTGGACTAAAGTAATAATTAATATAAATATAAAAGCAATATTTTTAAATTAGTAGCTAATTAAGCAAATTTCAACTGTAATTAACAAATATTCAAATAAAAAGCAGTAGCAAAATGCAAATGTAAATAGCTAAAAATGATTTAATAAAAAAAAATATCATAAAATAAGCTTAAAAAACTATTGAAAAATTAATAAAATGTTTTAAATTTAAAATATTAATTTAATTATGAAATATTAGATATTCGCAAAATAAAAACCAGATCCTATGCTTATCGATTTAATTAGTAGATTACTCGTATTTGTCCCCACTGATAGACCTACACCCTTAGAAACACTATTGCACCCTTATTTCAATGAATTAAGAAGTGAAAAATTCTATGAATAATATACTAAATAAATAGACTTATTTAATTTCTCTCCAGGTAATTTTATTTTTCGAATACCTTTCTTAAAGTTCACGAAAGATATATTTAGATAAATTTAAACATAGATTTTAAAATTAAATGGAAAGTTCTTAAAAAATATAGCAAATTAAGAAATAAATTCAAAAATACTTATTTTGAAATTTAGTTTATATTTTTTTGTTATCAATTTTTTATTTTTTTGTTTTTTATTAAATTTAGAGGAGTTGAAATCATAGCCATAGCTAGCATCTTAATTAATACCATAATGGTACACTAGTAGAAGAGAAAAGGAATCAAAATTGATTAATAACTCTAAATAAGCTGAATAGTAGTAATCTTAATTAGTTAATTAATTGACAAATGAATTTAATTAGAAAATGGATATTTCTAATTCATAAAAAAATATTAATGGAAACTTTGGAGGAAGCATGATGAGCAGCAGCTAGAGCAACCCCAATATGGGCAATTATTAAAAAAATTATCAATATCATTGAAAGAACAGCTGAAATTTTTAAATTCATTAAATCTCATCATTTAGTCTTCAACTATAAATAAATAAATACAAATATACTCGACAGCAGCATCAAGAAGCAAAAAAAATATGGAATTATAAAACACTAGCTAATTAAATAAAACCTAAAGCAGTTTTGAATGAGTTTAATGTACAAAATAAGCAGAAATATCCTCACACCATCAAAAAAAAAACTAATAAACTAATAGAGTAGCTGCTTAATTAAGGAACGTTTTTAGGATTGCAAAGAATTAATTTTAAATAAATAAATACTTATAATAGTAATAATAATGCAAATAAACATATGTACTCATTTGATTATAATTACAGCTATCTTCCTCTATATTATTATTAATCAAAAAAATAAAAACAAATAAATAAATATAAATAAAATAAAAAAATTACATAATATTATCAGGTATTATCAATAAACTTATTAAGTAAAAATAATAAACTATAATAATAACAATAATAAAAAAAATAATAATTATAACAATAGTAATAATAAGAATACTCGTGATTCTGATAGTAAAACAACAAACAAACAAAAAAATATTTACTTCTTTTAAACAGTTGCTTTTAATGACGCTGATCCAATTCGTTTGAATAAAGTTTACATATAAAACAAAGTAAAATAATACTAATATAACTATACATTATTTTTTAAAACAATTTATTGGCTGAATGTATATCTATCTATCTATATATCTACCTATCTATCATCCTATGAAATTCAATTATCCTGATCTCTTTGCATTCTATCTTAACTAACAACTTATCAAATTTAGTTGTTTACTCCAGAAAATATTAATTTGAGAAATGAGGATCTTTTAATTAAAAATTTGAAAAATTTAATAATTCTTTAATTACTAAAAACTCACTCACACACTTACTAGCATACATACATACTCATCCATTTATCCTTTCCATCAAACAATAAAATAAGTCTGTTTTATTTTTTAAAGCTGTCTGATTTATTTCTTTTATTAAATTATTACTAATATGCAAACCAAAGTATTTTTAAAAATATTTGTAAACAAACATAAAAAAGCAGTTTCTTCACAGTATATAATACAGTTTATTATTTATGATTTAAGTTACCATAAATTGCTTTTCTTTTTCAACTATTCTTTAATGAATTTAAGTAATCATATTTATTCTATCTTGTTACTTATTTTAAAAAATTTTTAGGATAAAATTAAGTTTTTAATTATTTAATGAAGTTAAAAGGACTAAACTCAAAAAATAAAAATTATTATTTTGCATTATTTATAAATTAAAAATATCAAATATCAAATTTTGTTGAAATAAATTACATGAAAATAAATTATTTTTCTGTTTAGGAAGTATCAATTATAATATTTTGAAAATTAAATTTATAAGATATATTTGCAATTTTATATAAGCAACGAGTTTGAAAAAGTGTTCAGCATAATTTCTCATAAATTAATATAAACTCAATTCTAAGGCATAAAAAGCATAAATTCCTATAACAAAACATTTATTTTTTTTGCTAAAAAAATTAATTAAAAAAATTAAAATGAATTTATCAATGAAATATCATTTTAAAATTAAAAAAAATATTTATTTTGAATCTAAAATTATATCAACAGATGTAAAAATATTGAATGAAATATTTAGATAAAATTAAATTATTAATTTAAATTCTAAAAAATATAAGATAAAAATTATATCAATAAACCATGATTCAACTAATAATAAATTGATAATACTTGAGGAGAAGAATTATTTTTAAAATTTGCTGATCAGCAGTATTATTTATTAATAAGATTTTGATTTATTTTACAAGTAGACTAAAATTCGTCACTAAAAAAAATATTAGCATTATAATTTTAGAGTAATCACCTCACAATATACTTAAAATATTATAAATAATTTAGATTAGTTGATTTAATTAATTAGATAAAAAGAAATTCTGCCAAGAATTAATAATCTGTAAATAAAAAAAAATAAGCAAAATATTTATTATTTTTTTTGAAAAGAAAAGCAATTTCTCATCCTGAGACAATAAAAAAAAGAGCTGACTAAAATTTTTATATATTTACGAAAGATAGATGGTAGACTTCCTTAAGAGAAAGTTGATGGCTGTAACAGGCAACTACATTACAATAAATTTAGATGAAAATAAAAAAATTCAAATTGAGTATAATGAACATTAAAATTAAACAATACAAGATCTTATTATCTAGAATGTAAAAGAAATAGCTAATGAACAGTAAAAAAAAAAAGATAAGACTGACTTAAGCAAATAGTTCTGTGTTCTTATAAGCATTAAAGACAAAAGAGGAGTGATTTTTAAGAGAGTAGCACACAAATTTGAACTAATTAAGGACTTGAAAGAGTTCGATAATGCTGAAAGTGTAGAATTTGATATTGAAAGGTATCATAATTTCTACGAAGATGAAAGAAAGAAAAGACCATTATTTGTTTCTTAAAAACTGGAATCAAATGGTAATATAATATAATTAATATATAAATAATATAGCTTTGCTAACAAATTAACATTATTAAAAAATAGATAAATTTTTAATGAAGGGATAATTGGAAAAAAGGAGTAATAAAGATGGGAAGTTTAAAAAAAAGCAAGTTGTTCTTTATAAGAATCATATTCAATATTAGTAAGGAAGTAAAGCAAAAACAATACCTTTTGAAGAAATAAAAGTAGTAGCTCCTTCCACCGATTAATAAATGAAAAACACCTTTTACTTAATTACAAATTAAAGGCGTGATGGTCATTTCTTTAAAGCAGAGTCTCTAATAAACATGAATAAATGGTATTAATTTACTCCAATTGTTTTTGGTGCTTTTTTTCTTCTATAACTAAAAATAATTCGTTTTTTAATTGATATAAATAAATCAGGATTAGCAGTTTACAGCAGAATTTAAATTACTACAGAGATATGAAATTAACAACAAATTATGATGAATAGATAGAAAAAAAGAATAGAGAAGTAACTTTGAAAATACAGAATCACACAAACTCACTCCTTTATCATCTTGAAGATATTGTAAAAAAATCCCACATGGTTAGGAGTTTATACAAATTTATAGAAAAAAATTTAGCATAACTTAATAAATTAGATAAAGATCTTTTATTTTAAGTTATTTCTATAAACCATGATCCATAAAACTTTGAATAAAACTTAGAATACTTGCGTAAATATCTGTGTGATTAAAGCGAAAACACTTTCACAGACTTTTTAAAACAATAAAAAATCATCAATTAATTTAGTAATTTATCTGAAAAAACTATTAAAGAATCAAAGTCTGTTGAGAATGGAATGAATAACAGCGACCAAGTAGATAATCTTAATAAATCAATTAATTTGAATTCTTAAAGGTATATAAGAGGAGGTGGAAGGTTGTTAAGTAGTTATTAAACTTATTCTTCTTTCAATAATGATACTCTAGAATCAAGATTAAAAACAATTACTAAGCCCATTGAAAGATTAAACTTCATATTTATTTCATACATGAACTACCAATATAAAGCTACTTTTAAATTCTCTGAAATAATTTCTAAAATTTTGTGCAACTTCAGAACGGAAAATTTCCACTACAAACCCGAAATTAATTTATTTTAATTCCACCTTGATCACTAAGAAAGGATGATTCCAATATACAAAGACTACTAAATGCAGCTAGAAAAATCTCACACTTTTAAATTAGATGAAAAAGATATTAAACCGTACATACATAATGTTATTTTTTGAATATATTTCATAAAAAATCAATATTCTCTTTTAATAAACTTATTTTCTCTTATATTATTTGATAATCTTTAATACTTTAAATATAAGCTAAATCTAATAGACAATAACTTAATTTCATATAAATAAATATTATAACCACTTATCAAAGATCTAAATTTTTACATTTGCATATTAAATTATTTCTTTATCAATTATTTAACTAAAATAATTACTTTTTTAGATATAATTGGATTTTTATAATTTCATATTTATAAAATAGGTGGTTTTGAACATAAAAATTAAATTAATTTATTTATTTGATGCATACAATTAATTTGTTTCTTCGAAAATTGCTCAGAATAAAATAAGAATAGGACTATTTGATAAGTATTTTAAGATATTTATTTAAAATTAAATTTTATGTAACAAGAATACTAAAACGATAGTTATAAAAAATAATTTTATAATACCATAAATTATAATGTGGTATGATATAAAATAGAAGTAGATATAAATATAAATTTTATAAACAATATTAACATATTTATTTATTATTTTTTGTAAATAAATCCTTTAATCTACTTATTTAATTAATCAATTAATTATTTATTTGTTCTTTTATTTGTTGTTTATGTCAATTTGAAAAATGAAATAAACAATAACTTAATCATACTAATAAATTTTAAATATTTCTTTATCTCTTATTTAACTAAAATTGATACTTTTTATTACAAATTTTAAAAGTTTTACAGCTTCATGTTTATAAAACTCTCTATTTATGCATTAACTTAGAATAAATTAATTTATTTTTAATAAGCAAATTTATTTTTTGAAAGATAGCTCACAAAATTAATAGAACCGTTTGATAAATATTTTTAGATACCTAATTAAAATTAAATTTTATGTAATGAGGATATTAAAATAATAATTTTATAATAAGATAAATCAATAAATGATATGATATAAAATAGGAATAGATATAAATATAAATTTTATAGACAATATTAACAAATTTATTTATTATCTTTTGTAAATAAATCTATTAATTTACTTATTTAATTAATTAATTTTTTATTTGCTTGTTTATTAAGAAGTTTATTTATCTTTAAAAAAACTTTAATTAAAAAGATTATTTGAAGGTTTTTAAGTTGAAGTAATTAGGAGTGTTTTATATTTACTAAAACTATTTGCTAAGTAAATTTTTTATCATCCACTTTATAACTCACTTCTTTCCTTTATAGACTCCACCATAGTTTGTTGCTCTTTACTCTTCCTTTTGTAAAAGATTACCTATTAATCACAATACAAACATTTTAGAATATATTTTATACTAAAAAATTATTTTACTTCTTTTTCTATAATCACAGTAATAGTTAAGTTCTCCAAATTTAGTCTCTCTTTCAGTAGCTTTTACTTCAGTTGGTTTAGAGGTAACTTAAATTCTATTGTTTTCAGCATAGCCACCACTCAATAAGTCTCTGCAATTAGCTCCTGTGTGAGCATAGGGAACTCTTTATGCAGAAGGTGATTATAAAGGTTATTTTGTTCCAAATGTCTAATAAGGTTCGCTATCATTATTGCTTGATAATTAAATCATTAATTAATTTTATTTAATAGTTGGTAAATTTTAAATACAAAAAGATTTATGAAGTTGTGTTTGTGTCCTTTTAAACATATTAACGGTCTGAGGGAAGTAAGAACTTGTTATTTTACATTCTTTAATATTCATTTGAAACTTTTTAATCCTAGTAAAATTATTTTTTAATAAATTAAAATAAATATAAAATCAACATTTAAATTATTTAAATTGATTTTAATTGGATTTTATAAATAAAATTGGCTTTGTATTTTTTGTTTTCTTTTTAATATTATTTTTTTTAATTAATGAATTAAAAATTAATGGCTAATTATTCAAATAAAAATTAAAAAATTTATTATTACACCAGCAGCACTTCTAGGCTTAGTTTAAATGTTAGTAGTTCCATCACCTTAGATAATTGGATTTCTTGTTCTAACATATTCAGAATAAGGCTAGCTTGTTTTTAATTCACGTTTTTAGAAATGTTCGTAACTTTCAGAAGGCTTAACATCAATACGTCTGTTTATTTTTTAGTTTGATTAAATAAAAAGTTAGATTTTCAAAAAAATCTAATTTCTCAATTACTTTGAAGATGACTTAAAATCTCTTTCTGGAGATGTGTAAAAGTTGTTGATCATTTGGTTTGCTGCGTTAAAATTATCTATATCAGAGTACTCATTTCTTCTAATTGCTGGTTTGAATACATCATCAGTCTTTCCTTGATGAGTTATAGGGTTACCAGAAGTATAATTTGGATTATTTGACTTTAAATCTCTATATTGCTTGATGTTGTTAGACAAGTATTAACTATGAACAGTATTCTAGAAGCCTGACTCTGGAGGTCTGATGTATTCTATCTTCAAATCGTTTTCTTTTCCCTTACCATAAAGCTTTTCATTGTAGTTTTTTGCAAAATAAAGCTCTTCATTATCATTCTTGAATTGCTTTTAGTCGTTGTAAATTGATATGTTTCTATTTTTATAGAAATACTATTAAATTTCAACATAACTATGTGCTGTTTTACCTATAGTTACTAAATTATGACATGTTTTAATGAATCAGTTATCTATCTTTGATACTTACTTTTTTAATTTACTATAATAGATATTATTTAATTTTCTTAATTAATAATTTTTTGAAAGATTACTAACGTTTGAATGCATCATTCTATCTACTATTTATTTTTAAATGAAATTATTTATTTTCTTATCAAATCGCTTATCATCCAAAAATACATTTAATACTCACACAGTAAAAATATTAAATTTCAAATTATTAATTAATTAATTAATCCTTCTTTCATCCATTCCCAAATTTAAAAATAAATTATTCAACTTAAATTAATCGAATTCAATTTTTTTTCGATAAAGATTAATCATTTAAAAAAATTAAACAAATTTTTTTCAAAAAGGAAAATAGAAAATAAAATCCTTTATGGAATAATTTGCAAGATATAAATTATATTATGGGAGTGCACCATCATATTTAGTTTTTGAGATTAATTTTTATAAATCGGAGCGATGTAAAGCCATATTTTTATCTTAAGATAATGCTCTTAAAATCTAATGACACCTAGATTTAATTATATTGCATTTATTTTTCGATAAATATTATGGAGTGATGAAAAATAGCAATGATTTTAGATTATTTTTCCAGCTATTTTGTCATCACAGAGGAAATTCCGATGGACTCATAATATCCTAAGATATCTTGTCAAAATCCATAACTTATTCCCCAAATATATAATTAGTATTTTTTAAATAGGAAAATGAAGAAGAAGAAGAAGAAGAAAACAAAGAAAAAGAAAGATTATCAATCGCTCGTGCAGGACATCAATTTCTCCTAAATATAAAATTAAATAAAAATAAATAAATAATTAATTAAGAAATAAAAAATAAAAATAATTAAATAAAAATAAATAAAATTAATTAATTAAATGATAAAATTAAATAAACAAACAAAAATAAATAAATAAAACTAAAAAATATTAAGAAATAAAAAACAAAAATTAGATAAAAAACGAACCTGAAAAACATTACTAATTATTTTTGATTATATTTATTTCATATTTTTGAAATTTGAGAAAAAAAGTACCATTTCTAAAATATCAAATTTTATTCTTGATATCTTATCTTACTAAATAAATTATTCTGATTTTTAAAATCATCTATGACATATCTTATTTTCTTGAAATAGCTTAAATCATTAATAAGTTTAATAATTTAATACAGTTTTTTTGATAGATTTTCTATTGTAAAATTAATTGTAAATGCAATTAAAATTTTTTTTTATTAAGAGAAAATTGATTATTTTACCAGAGATTGCATTAAATAATAAATAATAACTTATTATTTTATTGAATATAATTCTAATGTACTCAATAGTTAAGCAAATATTAAAAACCCTGATTTAATTAAAACTCTATTTATATAGAGTATATCGGGTGAAATTGATAGTCTATTATTTCATATATTTATTATTTTCAAATTTTTTGAATATCAAATATCTTACCTAAAATATTTTTAAATTTAAATATCGATTTGGATCACTGATTATTGATACTTAAAATAATTTAATAAAAACTCCTATTGAGTTAGATATTACTTATAATTTGCCATATAAGTAAAAATTAAAAAAGGTTTATTTTTTACTAATTTTTACCAAATGCCAATAATAAACTAAAAAAATTTATAAAATGATAAATATAATAACTATTAGGTAAAAACCAAATATTTAGTTGTTCCCTGGCGTAAATAATTAATTTAATAGAAAAAATATACTGAATTTTAACTAATATTTATAAAATAGATATTTTCTCTATTTTAGTTGAGTTACAGAGAAAAATAATAGGGATTATTTGTTTTTATAGTTCGAATTATTTCTGACTGTAGCGTTAACTAAAAAAATTGCTTACATATAAATTAATATTAAAATACCACAATATTTTATTGTATCTTTAATATAATTACTTATAAAAAATTAACAGATTTTAGTTACTAAGATATTTGTAAATAAATAAATGATTTATAAATAATATTTAGTAAACTATTTATATTGTGTGGTGATTATAATTAATTTACAATTTATTAATCAATTTTTTATTAATGTCGTCGATATTTTTTCTATAAAAGATTATGAAAAAATTTGTATTTTATTCAAACAAAGTTTTAGTTTGATGAATAAGGGATATATTTAATTGTAGGGTCTTTTTAGATTTTTATTTGTGAAAGCAATTAAATCATAATAAATATATTGGTGGGAAATTAAAATTCTAGTGTTTCTTTATTTTGTGGTATTATTTTAAATTAATTGTAATAATTTAACTGATATTATATTCAATTACTTAGTTTCCATGAATATTAAAAGAAATTTAAATAGAATCATTCAAAAATATTATGCCATAGTTATTAATAACTATCCTTACAAGCTATATTATGGTGCTTTTTTCTTATTTTGATTTAATTACTATGTATTAAACAAAAAATCATTGAAAAAAAAAGTCGTAAATCTTTTATAAAATGTACAATTTTTGAATTCTGAGATTAAAATCCAACCATTCTGATTTTATTTTTCTTCTTTCTCTTTGCTGATTATCAACTCTATTTAATATTTGTTCTAAATTCAAAAAAGAAGGTTTAGTAAAGATATTAGAATCATTTTTTAAAGGTTGAGTTATTGACTTTTTTATCATTTTATATGAAATAGATGTATAATAAATATCTATAACATATTTTTTTTGTATTTATATTAGAAATATAACAAATAAAAAATTGTTTTTTAAAAAATCCTTATTTCTAATCAAATTTTATTTTACATAAAATGGCTCTTGGTAAAAAATTAAAATGACTAAATTTATTCTGCAATTTTAATTTTTAAAAAAATATGTATTTTGTTATTGTTAATCTTATTTTTCAACTCTTAAAAATCTAAGAAAAATGTATTTATCTTATGATTTAATAATTTTAATAAAATATTTTTAGTTTTTTAATATGTAATAAAAGGAGATTAACAGAATGAAAAAATTAAATAAAAGTAATAATATAAACAAACATTAAAAAAAACAAAAAATGGAAAATAATAATTATCATCATAATAATAAATTAAATTTAAATGAAATCAATTAACTTTTAAATGAAATTTTGCCTGTGTATATGCAAATAGAATTAAAGGTTAATAAAAAACCAATTAGGTTTGGTAGTAATTTCACATTTGAAAAAGTAAACTAAAAAATCTAGTAACGATTTCCTACTTTTACAAAAAACTTGATTACTCAAGAAAATTTGGATAAAATTTATGAAGGAATAGTTGAAATCATAAAATCAGGTAAAGAAACTGCTATGGTTTTTAAAAATGTCATTGATGTTGAATTCGTCAAAATGTATTTTTATCCTCATGATTTAAAGGAAGCTAGTCTGATTCAAACAAAAAATAAAACAAATATAATAATATTAACTTTCTAATAAGATTGACTATTAAATATTAATAACAATCTATTTTCTATTAAAAATATTGCTAATTACTTTCTTTAAAGAGTAATTTAAATAAGGATATTTAAATTTTTTTGTAAAGTTTTTATTATATGTAGTAGATTTGTTAATAGCTTTTAAAACTTTTAATAAGTTAAAATATCATTTAAGCATTTTTATAAAAGAGTTTGAATTTTCAAATGATTTATAGATAATTTTGAAATTGAGATTTAAATTTTTTAATCGAAAAACCCACAAAATGGTGAGAATTAGGATTATAATTTAAATCTAATTTTATTGGTAGTTAGATTTTTCAAATTATAATATTTAGAATTGTGATGAATTTATCAAAAAAAAATAAAGCCTAATTTAAAATTAATCAGTATTTTAATTTTATAATGATATATGGGGTAAGATTATGAGATAGTTAAATACCTTTTTTCTATGGTTTGGTAAGCTTTAAAAGCTAATTCTCATTTTATATAAAAAATGTTAAGAATATAAATTAAATAAATATATTTTAACACTTGAGAACAATAAAAAGTAAATATAAAATTATAGAATATATTTAATAATATTAATTTTTATTAACAGATTTAAAAATATGCTTGTACCTTTGATCTTTGCAGTATCTCTTTGGACTTTTGCTTATAAGTATTTGGTAAAGTTAAACTATAACTTACAAATAGTTTTTTCTCTTCTATCTATGGTGCATTGGTTATTAGCTTTTATCTATTTTGAGATAATTGTTTCCTTTAATCTTGACCATGATGTTAAATATAAAATATTCGGAAATGACTTGACTGAAGTATAGCTTTATTTCCATGTCCTTACTTGCAGTTTCTTTGGCTTTGATCTAGTAGCTAGATAAATAAAAAATTAACTTAATTCATGGTTACTTATCCATCATGGATTAACACTATTTTTTATCTTGATAGCTGTTTTACATAACTAGTCTGGATCAGAAAACATTTATGTCCTTAGATATGCTACATTCTGCAATGTCCCAATGAATGTAAAAAATATACTAAGAGTCTTATAACAAAAAGAATCACCCCTCTATCATATTTCTAACATACTTTATGCATTAATCTACAGCTTTAACTTTCTAATAATGCTACCTTTGTGCCTAGTTTCATTCATTTACAGAAAAACAAGCATACTAACAATATCTATGCTAGTACTTCTATGTACTTAAGCATTTTATACTATACTAAAAACTCATATCCCTTAATTTAGATTAAGTGTTTAACATTTCAAAAGTTTATAGAATGTTGGAAATTCTGCTACATGAAAAAATAAGAATAATAATTTTTTATTAGTATCTAAATAATATTTATTTTTATGTGAGTTATTTACTAATAAATTCATTAAATTTTAGTAAAAATTGTCACTTATAGTTTTTTCAGGAAATATATAGAACCTGACATATAAAAATAGGTTTTTCTTTAAAAAAAATACTTCATATAATATTGCATGTATTTTCCTCAAATAAAAGGAATGATTAATAAAATGAACTTTATAAAATATACAAAATTAATGTTTGAGTATCTCAGGTTGCTGAAAAATGAAATAATTGATTTTGTATCTTTATTTAGTTTTATTATTGATTTCTTCAAATTCATTTAGTTTTTTAGTTTTTATCAGTTTTCCTTATTATATTTTAAAAAATAAAAACCCCAGTGGTTAACAGATAATATATTAATTAAAATTAAAAAATAGTAACTTAAGATTCTAATTTATTAAAGAATTTTAAAGAAATTATTTTTTTGAATACCGTGGTTTCTCATATATTAAGGACTTTTTTCAATAAATTTTGAAAAAATTTGAATTAAGTTTGAAAAATTTTTCAAAATTTATTTTTTTCAAAAAAATGACATATTATAAGAATACAAAGTATATATTATATAAAATTTTAAATATTGCGAATTTAAAGCTTTCTAAAAACTCAAAAATAAAGCTGTTTTAAGCTTATTTTGCTTTATTTATTATGTTGTCAAGATATATTACATTTCGCCTTTTGTAAATTAAATAGCTCTAAATCAAAATCAATTTAGAAAAAGTAAACATTAATTTGATCGTTTGCATATTTTTATTTATTACGAACGATAAATGGATTCTCATATTATTATTACGTTTTTATAATCATTAATTATTAATAAAATCTTTCAACTAAAATTGTTTTTTTCTTCCATATTTAATATTTATTATAGTATATTGCTATTTATTTATCTTTTAGTAAAATTAAAATGTAATTTATATTAGAAATAAAAATTTTTTTTATATTTATAAATTAAAAAAATTAAAATTTTAATATTCAATATTTTTTTCATTAAAAGAGTTTCAACTACTTAAATACTTAAATAATCATCTTTTTAAAATAATATTTATTATTCTACTAAATATTTATTTCCTACTACAGAAATAATTATCAGAGAATAGCAATAATTAAAATATTATGGAAAAATATTTCAAAGTTTTTATATCAATTTTAAATCAAATTTTTGAATGATTTATCATTTTATTTTTTATGTCTATCAGAGCATTGTCCTCAAAATGATTGTCCAACTTAAGAATTATGATAATATATATATATAGAAATCTATAAATAAATCTACAGTAAAAATATTTTATTCATAATTTTATTGCCAAGTATTTATTCAAAAAATAATTTAAGCATATCTTAAAGAGAAAATGATAGAGAAGCAAAAAATAGTAGAGTTTCTAAGATAATCCCTTTAATTATTTATTTTTGATTTTATAATTGAAAATAAGTAAAGAAAATGACAGTAAAGTCATGAATATTTTTTAAATGTTATGGTATTATTTAAATCCACAAAGCATGCTTTTTAGATTTTGGTTAACAAATAATCTTTATTAATCAATGATAGCAAAATATTAAATTTCAGGTCAGAAATTCCTTTCTTTATTTAATTATTTTTGAAAGAAATCAATAAAGTAGATCTTTGGAAAAAAATCACAAGATAATAATTCAGTTATTATCAATTTTTCAAGCTCTAAATCTGGTTATCATATTATTATTATTATTATAATAAAAATAAACAAACAAAAATGTATATATTTTGAATATCTTATTAAAAAATTTAATAAAAAAAATCAAATTTTCCTTAGAACTTAATATATAACTCAACTTAAAATCGAAAGGATTTTTTCTTTTGTTTCTAATAGCATATCATTCAAAATATAATACAATATTTTTTCTAGAATTTCTTTTATTTTTTTTATTCTTCTTATGAATCTTTTTGAAGTTAATAAACAAATGATTATTATTAGAATTTGAAGATTAGTGGCCAATTATAATTCTCATAATTAATTTAATAGACGTTTTTATTAAATATACTTTTCTCTTCAATTTAAATATTTTCTTTTTATGTTTGTAATTTAATATGAAATTAATAACAAAACCTGTAAATTAATTTTTACAATTTTATTTGTTTAAATTTAACACAAAAAAAAAATATTTTTTTAATATTTAAATGAATTTCATATTTATTTATAATAATTATATAAAATTAAAATAATTATGAATTAAGTTATAAAGTAGACAACAATTTATATAAAAACATATTAAATTTTACTTTTAAAATTTATTATTATATAAAATCACTTTATTTTGAACAAATCACAGAAATAATTGTTAAGAGAGCACAATTAAAATTTCAAACTTAGTTTTCATCAATTTCATTATTTTCATTATTACCATTTAGGTTTTAGTTATCTTATTATTTTTATTAATCAAGTTATGTATGGTCCTCTTCTTGAGTTATTCCTTCATGAGAGCCACTTTGAAATATATTTTCATTATTTACTGTATTACTAGTTGATATTTCATGCTAATTATTTGCTTAATTTTATCTGTTTTAATTTTCATTAAATTATTGTTCATTAATTTCCATTTAATTTTAATTTTCTTGGTGCTACTATTAAGCTTATTCTTACTATTAATTTTCACTATTTTCATGCTCTTCTTGTTGCTATTAAGGTTATTATTATTGCTGCTACTACTATTATTATTAAGGATGCGGTTCTTGTTGAGGGTCTCGATTAAGATAATTAAAATTTGATGGACTAAATATATTTCTAAGAACATGCTGGTAATTATTCAATCTATTCAACAGTGAGTCAGTTCTTCCAGTACTTAAAATGCTCCTAAAGAAATTTGATGTGCCTATATTAGCTTCTTCGTCTTCATCTTCATCTTCATTGTCGCTTAGATCTTAAAACAAGTTTTCTTCATCCTCTAATTCACATTCAGGTTTCTTTTCTACGTGAATTACTTGCTATTAAAATGTAATTTAATCTTCTGCATTCTCATAGTATTCTTCTTCGTCTGAGCCTTAATATTATTCTTCAACAGCTACTAAACTGCCATAAGTTACATGAAGCAAAGTACTTTAATTTAAATTGATAATAATTTATATGTAATTTATAAGTATTTGAAAATGATTTTATTAAATATGTTACTGCTTCGATATTTGACCTTCCGCATTTTTTCTAATTATCATAAACTCTTAACTATAAGTGTCTTTAATTATAGGCCCTACAAGTATACCGTTTGGAGCTAATTAATGTATAAATTTGTTAACAGCCTTGAGAGTTGCTGCAGCTCCAAGGTGGATAATATCAAATGGAGCGTAGTCTTCTAATCCTTCTCTTCCATCTCCTTTTACCAAGACAATTTTTCCTGATTCAAGCAGTTCTTTATGATTTTTCATTATGTTCTTCTTAGAAATGTTAAGAACTCCTTATAAATGATCTAACCCATAGCATATTGCGCTTTCATCCTTCATAAGCTTTGCAAGTGCAGTTGTCATCCATCCGCTTCCAATACCAATATCTAAGCATTTCATAGACTCTTGAGCATGCTCTTTTAGTATTTCCAAAGTGTAGGCATGCATATGGGGAGCACTTATAGTTGTGCTAAATCCTATTTGTTGAGCTCTATCCTCATATCTATAAGTTAGAATAATTTTTTAAATTATTATTACTTTTAATAAAAGGTGACGAATTATGAAATATTTAAAAAATAATAATAATAATAATTTAATAACTTTGTTTATCTTATCTAATGATAAGTAAGTTCTAATATTTTTCTAATTTTTATAATAAATTATCAATTTTACGGATTTGTGGTAAAGTCGCTTCTTTCTACTTAAAGCATTATTGATTCTACAAGATCTGATTTTATATAATTCTTTTCCCTTAGTTTTTGGAGGAGTTTTAAGTAATTTATATTTTGAATACATTTTAAAGATTTTAAGAGTTGAGATTAGTCCTCGTCAATATACTCATGCAAGTGTGAAATACACTAATTCAATTATTAGATGTATTCAGATAATACATTAGCTTTGTGGTTTTAAGTTGAGTCGAAATCTCCACTCACGTTCCTTTTGCATTCAATCAGTTTACTTATTATCTCTAAATGTTGATCATTAACATTGCTTTCTAATAATTCTTAATTGAAATGGTCTTCGTCTTTTGATTTCTATGAATCATAGTTGTTTCTTATATCCTCTATTTCAGGAATAATGCAATCGCTCTCAAGCTGATTAACTTTGCTCTCTATCTCTTCACATCTTTCATCTATCAAACTATCAATTTTTTCTAAATATTCAATCATATTTTCTTTGATAGCTTTGAAATTTTCTCTTAGATTTTAAGTATTCTTTCGCATTTATCTTACTTTGATAACATTTTTCTCTCTACCTTTTCTATATTTCTTGAGCAAATCTACTTCTTCCATGCTTAATTTTCTAATGCGCTTGCTAGAGCTCTAAACACTATCTCTTCTGTTTTCACTACTCATGCTATTTTCATCAAATCTTGTGCATGAATCATCTGTTATCTAATCAGATAATTTCTATTTTACTTGTGAGTTCAATAAATTACTCTCTGAACCAGTGTTTTCCATTTAAAATTTCTTGTTTATTTAATTTTTTTAAATCGTCAAAAATTAATTTAAAAAATATAATAACTTAAATTAATTCATCAAACAAGTAATTACAATTAAATTTTCTGATCTAATATAATTTCTGACAGTATTTATTATATTTTGCAAACAAATACTAAAAAAAATTAATTCTTTGATAATTTTTTTAATATGATTAAAATAATATTAAAGTAATTTCATCTTACAAAATTCAATATATTTCTAATAAATTTTGAGGTAAATTAATCGAAATATATTTTCTAATAAAAACTTTATATAAAAAAACTAAAGAGAAAAAATTTTAAAAATTAATAAATAAAAGTTTACTTTTAAAGTTAAAATTTTTTTAATTTAGAATAATTTTAAAATTTAAAGTTTTTATTAATTTAATTATTATTTAAAGATGATCAAGATCAAAATAGATTGGAAAGTTTTAATGAAATTATAATTTATAAATAATAATCACTATAATTTTTAACAGTGCCTCCTTAGACACAGATAAGCAATAATAGCAAAAGCAAAATATAGGACAATCAGCATCAAAATACTATTCCACTTACCAAAGTTTAAATGATATATTTAAATCGGATTGTATTGGAAAGTAGTATTTTAGAATTCGTTTTCAGCAAGAGCATTGAATGAATAAAATGAAGGGTTTATATATTCTATCCATCCTATCCACTCAGGATAGGTACTCCTATTTTTGAATACACCTCCAAACAAAAAAAGTGGAAGGACGAACGTTGAAGCAAATGGAACAGCGACACTAGCTGACTTAAAGATAGATCCAGCAAGTAGTCCAGTTACATTTCCTACATTAGTTGTAATAATAAAAGTTAGAACAAAAAAAAAGAATTATTCTGCTGTACGAGCAAAACCAATCATCCAATATACTATACAAGACATCAAAACGGCAAACATGCTGCAAGAAAATAGTTCTGGGATAAGCTTAGAAAGGAAATATGGGAAGGTTGAGTACATTTATGAAGACTACTCTTTCAAAAATACAGGCCTCTCCTAGGTAAAAGATAAAACTTAGGGATTCATGCTTTAGTAGAATATACCAAGAGCTAATAGGTATAAACATTTAGCAATTTAAAGAGAGTCCTGCATATTTTAATTATCTCTTTTTAGCTACCAGTATATAGCTCCAGTAATTATTCCATTAATTATTACTTGTATAAAACGAGTTTTGACAAGTAATCTATGTCTCTTTAAGTTCAAGATTTACCTCTTTAATAAAGCCCCTATTTCATAAGCAAAAGATAGTTTAGCCATTTTTTATGGTAAACTTAAGTTGCTGCTTTCTAGATGTTTATTTGATTCTTCAATTTATAGTAGAGTATCTGGCAATAAATTTTTATTATAATTTTCAATAAATATTTTAAGAATTTATTAGTCCTAGTTACTCATTAATTACATGAAATAATCTGCAGGATTACTATTTAGAGGGCATTAATATCCCATTTAACTAAAATAAGATATTGTATTTGTTTGAAGTCCTTAATAAATTAGCTGTCCTTCAATTAATAAAAGTACTCTATCAAATAATTACCAAATATCTGTTGTAGGTTAATGAATAGTAAATATTATAATGCTATTCTACTTTTCAGATAGTTGTTTTAAAATCCAAATAATTTAGTATGCAGTAAATGAGTCTAGTCCACTTGTAGGTTCATCTAAAAATAGAACTTAAGGTTATCCAATCAGTTCTATTCCAATGCAACATCTCTTTTTTTCACCGCCTTTTATTTTTTTAAATTTGATTAAAAATCAATTTTTTATCTTCAAATAAAATTTACCAGATATTCCTTTACTATTTTAATCACCAATAATAGTATCTTAACAATGCTCGAGCTTAAGCTATTTTATGATATTGTATATCCTTTAGCTTTTCACTTCTTTTGGCAAAGAAAGGCGGATATCTGCTGCAAATGTGATATACTCTTTGACAGTTAAATTAGAAAGGAGCAAATCTTCTTACATTACATATCCAGAAAATTTACTAAATGAATCAGCATCATAATTTTAATTATTAATTTTTAAGGTACCATTTAAATCATTGTTGTCATTCTTTCTTTTAATTTAAATACTTTTAGTTATTAGTTATTTTTAATACAATACTTACTCAATTCTTTTTGCTAAAATATTTAAGAATGTGGTTTTGCCTGCTCCAGAAGAACCTAATATAGCATTTAAGCCTGATTTAAAATAACCAGATAAATTATGGAGAATTTACTTTTTATTGCTCTTTTTTTAAAATATTTTGTTATTTTTACTGATTTAGTATTAAATATTTTAGAATGATATAAAATCAGATTTATTATTAAAAAGAACCATATTTTTTACAAAATTTAATTAAGAAATTTTAAATATCTAATTATTGTCTATTTAATTTTGTAAATAAATTAAATTTTATCAAATAAATAATCAATATAAAATATTGATTGTCTTTTTAAGTATTTAAGTTGTAGAAACTCTTTTAATGAAAAAAAATAATGAAATTTACATTTTTGATTTTTTTTTAATGGTAATGATTAAAACTCTTATTCATAAATACCTAAAATAAATTACATTTTACTTTTTATAAAAGCTAAATTAATAAAATATTTCTCATAAATATTCAATATGGAGGAAAAAAAATTTCAGTTGAAAGAAACTGTTTATATGATCTATTTTTTATCTTACAATAAACAAAATAATTAAAATACAATACAATACAATACATCATAATTGGATTATAATTAATTAACAATTAGTGATCATAAAAGAAGTAATCGTAATGCGAGAATACATCTATTTTTCGTATCAATCAAATTTATAAATTTAACAAAATGAGTACTTAATTTTTTATAGAAGTTATTTAGAAATAATATTAATCAAATTCAATGGTAAAATAATGCCTAACAAATAATTGATTTTCTTTCTTTTTTTGATATCAATTTAATCATCCGAAATAAAATTATTAATTTATCTTACATTTTTTTTAATTTAATTTTTCCATTTAATTTGATTAAAAAAATTAGTATTTTAACACATAGAGTTTCTCTTGATCAAAATATTTTAACAATTTTCCCATTTAAGATTTAATAGAAAAGTTAAAAAAAGAAAAATAAATTTCTTTATCAACTATTTATATACTTTTGAATAGAGAATGATAATGTGTTTTAAATTTCTAAAGTTATAAAGTTTTTTTCATACTATTCTAATTTTATTACTGGGGGAGTTCTCCCTTTAAGAATACTATTATTTTTAAATGTGATGCAATTCTAAAATACATTTAATTACTTTCGCATCTATAATTTTTCTTTTTTCCCACTTAATTAATAAAAAGATACAATTTTTTTTAATGAAAGATTTGAAATTAATTTAAATCAGCTGAATTAGTAGATTAGTAGGAATATAAATCAAATTTTTCTTACTTTTTTTGATTGTATTTTAAATTCTTTTATTTACTAACTAACTTTTACTCATCAATTGATTCAATTACAACTAAAAACAAAGAACTAATTGTGAAAATCCAAATAATTTTCAAAGTTAACTTTATTTAAAACAAAATATTTAAAAATTTTCTAGATAAGAAATCTAAGAATAAAGATTTCATTAAAAATATAATCAAAAAACAATTGGTTTCTAATTCTTAAATGAAATTAAGATCTTAGGTTAATATTTTTTTAAATTTTAATAAATATTTAATCTGTCACTTACAAAGGTTTATTTTTTTAAATTTAATCAGCAATACTGATAAAAACTAAAAAACTAAATGACGTTTAATAAATCAATTATTAAACTAAATAAAGAAACAAAACCATGAGTTTCTATTGTTAAATAGACAAGTCCAATAAAAGGCTTTCTTTTATAATTTTAGAAAGTGTAACATTATAAGATACAAAACTAGGTATTTTAGTATATGAACTTTAGTAAAATTCTTTAAAAATATAAAATTTATAGTAAAATTTAGAATATTATAATTCTACAAATATAATATTATTGAATAGATATAAGAGTTTTTATTCTTTCAAAAGTTGAAAAAAAAGTTTATAAGCAATAGATTATAATAAATATTTTACTTAAGGCCATAATTTTTACTTATGAATTTTATTCTAAATGAAATTTTCAAAAATTCAAAATTCAAATTTATTTTGGAGATTTTATATTCTTTTTTGGAATTATAAACTTTTTATAAAAATTCTTTATTAAATAAACAATCTTTGTGTAGATTTTATTTTACTTCTTTTTATTATTTATTCCTTTTCATTGATAACAATATTGTATTAAATAATTTTTTAAAAACAATTACGTAAATAGATTTTAGGTGAATGAGCATATTCATTATTGGTTGAATAATATATATTCAACTATTTTTTTTACAATTTAATATTCACCCTTAAATCACCCTTATTCACCTTAGGTTGAATCACCTCAAAATTTGGGTGAATGACATAAATTTTCTTTTTTCTTTTTAATTATTGTAAATTATTTAAAGATAAAGCCATTTTTTTTTTATAGGTTCAATATATTTTCAAAAAAATACTTTAATGACAATATTAATTAAAATTTAATGAATTTAAAAGCAATCAACTCACATATAAAATAAATGTTATAGAAATATGATTTATAAAATTATTTTAATTTTTTCATGTAGCAGGTTGTTGAGCATTCTATAAACGTTCGAAATGTTAAACACTTAATTTCAATTAAGGAATATGAGTTTTTAGTATTGTATAAAATGCTTAAGTGCATAGAAGAACTAGCATAAATATTGTTAGTATGCTTGTTTTGCTCTAAATAAATTAAAATAAGCACAAAGGGAGCATTATTAGAAAATTAAAGCTGTATATTAATGCATAAAGTATGTTAGAAGTATGATATAGGGGAGACTCTTTCTATTTTAAGACTCTTAGTATATTTTTTGCATTCATTGGGACATTGCAGAATGTAGCATATCTAAGGATGTAAATATTTTCTGACCCAGACTAGCTATGTAAAATAGCTATGAGGATAAAAAACAGTGTTAATCCGTGATGGATAAGTAACCATGAATTAAGTTCCTTTTTTATTTGTCTAGCTACTAAATCAAAGCCAAAGAAACTGCAAGTAAGGACATGGAAATAAAGCTATATTTCAGTCAAGTTATTTCCAAATATTTTATATTTAACATCATGATCAAGATTAAAGGATACAATAGTCTCAAAATAGATAAAAGCTATTAACCAATGAACCATAGATAGTATAGAAAACACTATTTGTAAGTTATAGTTCAACTTTACCAAATATTTATAAGCAAGAGTCCAAAGAGATACGGCAAAGATCAAAGGCACAAACATTTTTCTAAATCTATTAATATATAATAATATAATTAAATATATTCTATTTTTTTATTTTTACCTTTTATTTTTCTTAAGTGTTAAAATGTATTTATTTATTTAATTTATATTCTTTGTAATTCATTTTAAAAGTTAATGAGTTTTTAAAGTTACCAAACCATAGAAAAATGGTATTTAATTATCTCAAAATCTTACCCCATATATAATTATAAATTAAATTCAAATTAACTTTTTTAAGAACCTTTTTATCGATAAATCGATCACATTATCATACATATATTAACGGTAGTATTTGAAATTTGAAATTTTATAACAAAATTCAATTTAATTTCAAATATTATAATTTGATAAAATCACAACTGTCAATAAGAATAAATTTAAATTATAATTCTTATTTTTACCATTTTTTTACTAATTATAATAGAAAATTTAAATTCTCAATTTAAAAATATCAATCAATATATTATTTGAAAATAAAAGTACTTATATGATACATTAGCTTATAAAAAGCTGTTAAAATTATTAAAAAATCTATATATAGTTATAAATATACAAAAAATTTTAAATACACTTATTTAAATTAATTTTTAAATATAATAGTTAACTATATTTTTTATATGAAATAGGTTGTTACTAATATTTTTTTGTCATTCTTAATTGAAAACAAGCATTATTATATTTATATTATTTTTTGTCTGAATCAGGCTAGCTTCCTTTAAATCATAAGGATGAAAATAGATTTTAACAAATTCAACATCAACGACATTTTTAAATATCATAGCAGTTTCTTTACCTGATTTTATTATTTCAACTATTCCTTCATAAATTTTATCCAACTTTTTTTAAGTAATCAAGTCTACTTTAATTTTAATGGTAGGAAATCGTTACTAGATTTTTTAGTTTACTTTGTCAAATGTGAAATTAGTACCTACCGTAACTGGCTTTCTGTTATACTTTAATTCAAATTGCATATATACAGGCAGAGTTTCATTTAAAAGTTATGTAATTTGATTTTTATTAAATTTATTACTAAGATTTTTACTTTCCATTTTTTTTGGTTTTTTTTAATGATTCTATTATTACTTTTATTTAATTTTTCTTTTGATTAATCTTCTTTTGATTCTATATCAAATAACTAAAAATATTTTATTGAAAATCTCCAATCTTAAATCAAAAGATAAATAACTGTTTTTTTACACTTTATAGAGTTAAAAAATATGATTAATAATTACAATAGATATTTTAAAAAAAATAGATTGGTAGAATTAAAAACGGCATTAAATTTTTTACTAAGCGCCATTTTTAGAATAATCAATTAGATTAATAAAAAGGATTTTATATAAAACAAATTTTAATTTATTATATTTTTAATATAAATGCTAAAATAACTTAGTAATAGAATTTTGTTATACATCCTTCTCATATAAAATCATGAAAAAGTAAATATCTTAACCTATTAATGAAGATTTTAATATCCTTACTAAAATCTTCCTTTTTTAATTTTGAACGAACATCCAAATAGAATAATAGATAATCAAGAAAGAAAAATAAGAAAAATAAAATCAGAATGATTTTGATTTTAAAATTCAAAAAATTGCCACAAAATAAGAATTTCAGTTTTTTACCACTCTTTTAATTATTCTTTTAGTAATATGAATATGTGGTAATTAAATAAAGATATGAAAAATATCATACGAAAATATGTAAGGATATGTGTGATGTATTAGTTAAGAGATAGTATTAATAAATAGTTCTATTTAAATTTCTTTTAATTGTTATTACTGTAATATCAAGTAAATTACTCTAATTAATCTAAAAATACTTAAATAATACCAAAATAAAAAATACAGAATTTTATTCATCTTCAAAATATTTATTATGACGTAATTGATTTCATCATTAACAATTCAAAAAATCCCATATTAAATTATCCTAATTCATTTTTTATCCAATATTTCAAATCATCTATCAATCTGCTGCTTATATTTTTAATTTTTACTATAACTATTTGATCTTACACTTCTAAAAATGATCTACTGTTTAAAAAATAAATATTTTTATTCAAAACTCTTCAAATTATTCATTTTATTTAATTCTTAGTCTAGTTGAACATAGCTTTTAACATTTTGTAAGGATAATTAATCAATCACTGATAAATACAATATTATTATTGAATATTTTATCATATATGAGTGATTTATTAATTAAAATTAGATATCTTATTTGATTGATTTTCTAACAAACAAACTACAGGTTATAATATTTTATGTGGATATATTAATCAATTAAACTGTAACTTTATTTGAATAAATTACGAATTTCACATACTTTTCTAATAGAAAGCATCTCCAAAATATTTATTATGACGTAATTGATTTCATCATTAACAATTCAAAAAATCCCATATTAAATTATCCTAATTCATTTTTATCCAATATTTCAGATCATCTATCAATCTGCTGCTTATATTTTTAATTTTTACTATAACTATTTGATCTTACACTTCTAAAAATGATCTACTGTTTAAAAAATAAATAATTTTATTCAAAACTCTTCAAATTATTCATTTTATTTAATTCTTAGTCTAGTTGAACATAGCTTTTAACATTTTGTAAGGATAATTAATCAATCACTGATAAATACAATATTATTATTGAATATTTTATCATATATGAGTGATTTATTAATTAAAATTAGATATCTTATTTGATTGATTTTCTAACAAAAAAAACTACAAATATTTTATGTGGATATATTAATCAATTAAACTGTAACTTTATTTGAATAAATTACGAATTTCACATACTTTTCTAATAGAAAGAAGAAAGAATCTAATTTAATAAAATTCTTTCTATTCACATTTTTTTGCAAATAGATTATTTAATTTTATGAATTGACTGACATCTTTTATTTTAAATTCACAATTACAAGATACAAAACAATAACTATTTTCCTTGATATAGATCGAGTTTTGTTTTAAAGAAAGCATTAATAATAAAGAAATATTTGCTTATTTTGTTGTAAAATATTTAATTTTAATTTCTTCTCATTATTTTGATGATTTTCTTAAAACTTTTGTAAATAGTTTAAAGTCATGTTATAAAATAAATCTATATTGAAATAATTTACTCTTACATCCTTTATTATTTTAATATAAAATTCATTTTTTTTTCAATAGTAAATATCATTTACTTTAATATTCTGATATTCTAAATTTTTTATTGATTCTTTGAATAGAATATTTTAGAATAAATTATGTGAGATAACTGCTCTGTGAATATTATCATTTATTTTTTGAAATTTAAAGTTATTTGCTATCACAACTGGCTTTTTATTTTTCTTTAATTCTAATTATATGTATACTGGCAAAATTTCATTTAATTATTTTAAAATTTGAGTAAGATTTATTGATTAATTTTTATTGCTATTATTTTAAGTTTCTATTTGATAGAGTGTAAAATTGATAATTATTTGTTTTTATGTTTTTAATTATCTTAAAATGTGAATTTTCCTTATTAAAGCAAATTAAAAGTATTTTATTTAATTTTCTTATTTAATACAAATTAATAGTATTTTATTTTATTTTATTTTCTAGTAATTAATATCTAAAACAGAAATAAGAAATAATGTATTTTAAACAATATTTTTATTCATATGCTCTTATCAATGTCAAATATGAATAATTTTACAAATATTAAAAGTATGGAGTATCTATCAAACCTCCATATTTTATCTTAATTAAGATCCTTAATTTTATAAAAATTGTTTATCTATTTATGTCAATCAAAATATGAAAAAATACGAAATGTTCACCACTTTCTACTTACATAAATTAATATAATTTAGATTACTAACTAAAATCTTTAAAATTCTTAAAGAAATATTTTTGAAAAATTTATAAATTTATATATTTAAAAATTCAATTATACAAACTTTTTAAAATAATATTGTTATAAATCAATAATACTCAATAAAATAAGAAAATAAATAACTATTTTAAGTCTCAATTTATTACCATTAATAACTAAATCTCTATAAATAAGTTTGTTTGTAATAAAAAATAAATCTTTGTATTGAATTTATTTTATTTACTTAAATACTTAACATATTTTATTAAAATTAGTAATCATATTAAAGATACAAAAATTTATTGTGGTGTTTTAATATTAATTATAACACAACTATAATCAGAAATTATTAGAACTAAAAACCATATTTTTTTTCTCTAAAATAAGCTAAATTAGAGATCAATAAATTGTTTCTATTATTTTTATTATTTGCACCAGGGAACCGCCAAATATTTAGTTTTTACCGAATATTTTTTTATTTATCATCAGCACTCTGTCATTTTGAAAAAAAGTATATTGGGTCAGACCCTATACCCTGATAAATGGTGATTAGACTATTTTATCTTATTTTTAAATTATTAGGAAACAAAAATAATTTTTAGATTTTAAATTACTTTAGCATTTTATTAGGTTTTTAAAATATATTATTACTAAATTCATTCATATTTAATAATAAATTTCTAATAATAAAAATAGAAAATAAATGCATGTTGATAGTCTTTTTCTAATTGTGTTTGTATTCGTAAAATCAGTGCTTTACCTTAAAATAAATTCATAAGGAAGATTTTAAGCGATATTATTAACTAATAAATCATATTTTTTTTATGATTTTTAAGATAGAAATAAATTTATTTTTATTTGGAAATAAAAATGTTATTTTTAAAACATAAAACTTTTTATATGTAAACAAAAAACTGTTAATAATCTTATTTAATTTACCTTATTTTCTATTTTATATAACAAAAAATTAATAATAATTATCATAAAAAAAATTTTTTTATTCAATAAAATGAGAGCATTCTTTCAACAAATATCATTTAAATCTTATTGACTAAATTATATTTTAAAACTATGATACTAAAAGTAGGTTTAAAGATGAAATCCATCACTTTTTGATTTAACTAAACTATTTGTTGTTTCTTAATTTTACATATTTTTATTCAAGTAATAAAATTTTATGGAGATAAACAAAATCTTTTGCTTTAATTTTTCAAATATAATTTTTGTGCCTAACTCTTGTAACTTTTTATCTATAACCATTATACTTATCATTAAATAGCTTAGAATTTACAGAAATTTGTTTGACCTAATATAAAAACTATAATTTTCAAAGACAGTGCTTATTTTTTTTAATTATAAAAAAACTACTTTATATGGTTAAATATTTTTATCTCAATTAAATTTATTTTAAATATTAACAATTTTTTTACTTCAGTTTTTAAAATATTTTTTGCAACTTTTTTTCAAAGAAGAAAAAATAAAGATTAGTTAAATTTTTTTTATGCATTGAATATTGCTTTTCGCTCAAAAATTTTCTCTAATTATTACAAAAATAGAGAAAGCTGATTTTTAAAAATAATATGAAAGAGATTTCTTACTAAAATGAAACTTTACATTTTTAAAAGTTTAAAAATAATCTTCCTCCTAAGAAAAGAAGCAGAAACTACTTACTACAAGATTTATGTCAAATGATGGAAAGATTTTTTTTTTTCAATTTAAACATATGAATAATCATCTCTATTAATATTCATTATCTATTTTAGATTTTTTAAAAAATTAACACATTATTGACTTGTTTTCAACATTTAGCAAAGATTTTCTCTTAAAATCTTTACATTTTCTATATAATTTAAATTACTATATAACTTTTATTATTACTTATAATATAAATCGAGCTAAATTTCCTAAAATATTAAATATTTGTTTTTATGCTCTATAAAAAAAAAGCATATTATGTAAACGATAAAAGTTTACTGTTTCAAAGCAATATAAACATTTTTAAGGATATAAAAAAACCTTAAATATAGCAAATTTTTAATTTAATAGCTATGAATTAAAAAAATGGATTGTACACTGCCTAATAATAATGACTTTCTATCAAATTCACTAAAAAAATTTGTAATTAATAAATAAATGAAATAATAGATTCTCAGAGTATCAATTTTTTTCCTAATTTATCCTTATAAAGTTTTAATTAAATTCAGGTTTTTGGTATTAGCTTAATTAACTGTTAAGTATTTTAGAATTAGATTCAATAAAATAATTAGTTAGTATTTATTATTCAATGCAATCTATGGTAAAATTATTGATTTTAAAAATAAATAAGTCATTCATTTAAATTTTATAAAAATATTTTTTTATGTTGGAGATATTTTCTAGTATCACTTAATTAAAATTTTTTTTCTAATTTATTTATGTAGTAATTGAAATTCAAGTAGATATAATTATTGAATCATTATAATTAGCTTGAATTTATTTACTAATATATAAATTTAAACAATGAAATTGTAAAAATAAATTTACAGATTTTTTATAAATATCATAATAATTACAAACACAAAATTTATGTAAATTGCATAAAGTTATAAATTCAAAAGATTAAGTTTTTTATTTTATACATATTTAATACTTATTTTAATTCTTATAAATGTAAACAAAACCAGAAACTTTAGATTTTTATTCATATTGTATTATCCCTAATTATATTCTATTAAAATATTTACTTTCTAATAAAAATAAGAAAATCTTTTTAATTGAGGCAAAAAATATATTCAATAAAAAGCCCCTATTAAATTAATTATGAAAGCTATAATTTGATCACTAATCTTCAAACTCAAATAATAATCATTTGTTTATTAATTTCAAAAAGATTCATTACAATATTGAAAAACTATAAATCCTCTTCTAATTAAGATATTTCCCTTGAATAAAAAAGTTCTATAAAAAATATTGTATTATCCTTTCGAATGATATGCAATCAGGATCACAGAAAAAATACTTTCAATTTTAAGTTGAGTTTCATATTAAGTTTTAAGGAAAATTTTATTTATTTTATTCAATTTTTAGATAAGATATTCAAAATAAACACATTTTAGTTTGTTTCTTTTAAAAATAATAATATGATAACTTCATATTAACTGCTTAAAAATAATTGAATTATTATTTTTTGATATTTTCTCAAATTGCTAAAAAAAATGAATTTAATACAAATAAAAAAATTTAATAATATCTCAAAATATGAAAATAATATATAGAAATATAAGTTTTTTTCGTTAATAATTATTCATTCTTATTAAAAAATTAATATGATGATATCTATTTTATTAATTGTTTAAATAAGACCAGCTTCTTATAATTCATGAGGATTAAAGTACATCTTGACAAATTCAACATCAACTACATTTTTAAAAACCATAGCTGTTTACTTTTCTCCTCTTACTATGTCAACTATCCCTTCATATATTTTATCTAATTTTTATTGGGTAATCAAATCTTATGCCGCATTTTGAAATCTTTTTTAGATGAATTGATTTATTCTTTCAAATGAAAAATTAGTACCAAATTTCACAGGTTTTTTATTATACTTTAATTCTTATTGCATATACACAGGTAAGATTTCATTTAGTTTTTTTGATATTTCAGAATGATCCAGCAATTTAGCACTGTTATTGGTAATTTAATTTTCCATCTCTTGTTAGATTTTTTGTTTTATTTTATTATTATTTTCTTAAATTAATTATTGATTTTGCTTAGATTTAAAAAAAAAATAAAATAAAAGTATTTTATTGAATATTATTTAAAATTGCTTATTTTAGATTTAAATACCTATTATAAAAAGAAACAAGCTGTTCTTACTTGTGTGGATTTGGAGAATCAATTAATAATCAAGCATATATATATCCTAAGAAATCAATAAATGTCCTATTTACAAATCAGTCAGTAACTTTTGCCATACATAGGATCTTATTGCTCAATAAACAATATTATCTAAGACATTTAGATAGATTTTAACAATCAAGAAGTATTAATCACATATGATAATTTAGGAAATATTAAATTTTGGAAATATTAATCTCCCATAATTAACTTTCTATACGAAATCCCTCAAACTCTTTAAACTAGAGATAATTCTCTCATTTGCAAGATTTCATAAAGTAATTTTTATTCATTTTTAACCTAGTGAATTTAATTTGATTTTAAAGAAATTAATTAATCATGCTTATTGTAGCCAAAATTTAATTAAAAAATGAATATATCTTTACAAGGGTATATATTTTATTAAAAATTTAATTATTCAAACAAATATAATTTTCAAGTCTTAATATCAATAAATTATTTTCCATAAAATTAGGTCTTAATGAATGAATAGTTACAGTACTTCTAAATTAATATTTAAATGTAAAATGGTTTTTAAAATTAATTCATTTATTAATGAAATATTTTTACAAAAACATAAATTTTTTAAAATAAACCACTCATTCATTATTAATTAAAAGTCAATATTATTATATTTATTTTATTTATAGTTTTAATCAGGTAAGCCTCTTTTAAATGACAAGGATAAAAATACATCTTTACTATATCACTATCAACTAAATTTTTAAAGATCATTGCTGTTTCTTATTCTATTCTTATTATACTAACTATTCCTTCACAACTTTAATCTACTTTTTCCTAAGTGATCTTTTCAAATATTGCATTAGGAAATTTCTTTTGGATGAATCCATTTATTTTTTCAAATGAAAAATTATTTCCTATCACCACAGGCTTTTTATTTTTCTTTAGTTCTAATTATATGAATACAGGCAAAATTTCATTTAATTTTTTTGAAATTTGAGTATGATTGAGTTATTAATATCTATTGTTTTTAATTTAAATTTCCATTTGAGGAAGTGTTAAATTTGATAATTATTTGTTTTTATTTTTTTAACAATCTAAAGTGTTAATTTTTCTTATTAATTAAAAAAAAGTATTTTATAATTTTCCTTATTAATTAAAAATAAAAGTATTTTATTTAATTTTAAATATCAATCAGTAATAATACTCAATTAAATATGAATATAAATAATTATTTTAAAAAATCAATTTGTTACAATTAATAACTAAATCTCTTTAAAAAGGTTATTGATTGCAATAAAATATTTTGTATTGAATTTATTTTAATAACCAAAACACTTAATAAATTTTATTTAATTGTTAATTATAATAATTGATTTAATTACTAGTATCTTAATATTAAAATCTGTTAAGTATTTATAAATAATGATACTCAAGATACAAATAATTATAGACGTATTCATAATAATTATAATGTAAGCAGCATTAGTCGGAAATTATTAGCAAGCAAAAAGCAAATAATCCCTTTTTTGATTCTCTTTTTTCAACTTAAATAGAGAAAATATTTATCTTTTAAATTTTTAAGATTTTTAGTAAAAATTAAGTATTTTGTTTCTATAAAATTTATTATTTACACCAGGGAACAACCATATATTTGGTTTTTACCAAATTGTTATTTCATTTATCATTTTCACTTCCAATCATTTTTTCCAACACTATATATTGGTTAATACCCTGATAAATGATTATTATACATATTTATTTATCTTATTTTTAAATTTTTCGGAAATAAAAATAATTTTTAGATTTTATATTTCTTTAAAGACATTTTTAAAATATAATACTATATTCATTCATATTTAGTGAATAAAATTCATAAATAAAAGTAGTAAGTAAATACTTATTGATAGCCTTTTTCTAATTGTGCTATCAGTAAAATCAGTGCTTTGCCTTAAGATAAATTTATAAGGAATGTTTAAAGTGATATTATTAACTAATAAATCATATTTTTTTTATGATTTTTACAATAGAAATAAATTTATTTTTATATGGAAATAAAAATTTTATTTTTAAAACATAAAGCTTTGCCTACTTAAACAAAAAACTGTTAATAATCTTATTGACTTTTCCTTATTTTCTATTTAAAGGATTAATAACAATTATCATAAAATAATCATTTTTATGTAATAAAATGAGAGCATTCTTTCAACAAGCATCATTTATCTCTTATTGACTAAATTAACTTTTAATAATATGATGCAACAAGTAGTTTAAAGATGAAATCTACTCACTTTTTTATTTAACTATGCCAGCTGTTTGTACCTAAATTTTACATACCTTTATTCAAGTAATAAAACTTTATAGAGAAAAGCAAAATCTTTTTAAATTCTTTTGCTTTAATTTTTCAAATTTAATTTTTGTGCCTAACTCTATTAGTTTTTTTCCATAATCATTAATCTTATTATTAAATAGATAGAATTGACATTAATCAGTTTGACCAATCTAAATACTATTGTTTTCAAAGATTGTGTTTGTTTTTTAATTATAAAAAAAAACTACTTTAAATGGTTAAATTTTTTTTTTCAATTAAATACATTTAAATATTAATAACTTTTTTACTTCAGTATGTAAAATGTTTTTTTTTGGAATTTTTTTCTAAAGAGGAAAAAATAAAGATTAGTTAAATTTTCTTTCTTTTTTTCTTTGTATTTTGCAATAGCTCAAAAAAATTTCTCTAATTAAAACAAAAATAGAGAAAGCTGATTCTTTAAAATAATATGAAAGAGCTTTCTGATTTTTTACTAAAGCTAAACTATACATTTTTAAAAGTTTAAAAATAATCTTCCTAATTCCTAAGAATAGGAACTATTTGATCAAAATTTAAGTCAAATGATGGATAGATTTTTTTTACAATTTAAACATATCAATAATCATCTATTTTAATAATCATTATCTATTTTACATTTTTAAGAATATTAACAAACTATTGGTTTGTTTTCAACATTTAGCTACAATGTTCTCTTATAATCTTTACATTTTCTATATTATTTAAATTATAGTATAACTTTTATTGCTACTTTTACTATAAATCGAGTTAAATTTCCTAAAATATGAATTATTTTTTTCTCTAGAAAAAAAGTTTATTATATTAACGATAAAAATTCACAGTTTCAAAGCAATATAAACATTTTTAAGGATATGAAAAAACCTTAAATATAGCAAATTTTTAATTATATAGCTATGAATTAAAAAATGGATTGCACACTGCCTAATAATAATCACTTTCTATTAAATTCACTTTTAAAAAATTTGAATATAGTAAATTTATGAAATAATAGATTATGAGAGTATCTATTTTTTCCTATATGTTCCTTATAAATATAGTTTTAATTAAATCCAGACTTTTAGTATTCGCTTAATTGTTGAGTGCATTAAAATAAGATTTAATACAATAATTAGTTAGTATTTATTATTCAATGCAATCTATGGTAAAATAATATTGATTTTAAAAATAAATATGAAATTCATTGAAATATTAAAAAAATATTTTTTTTTATGTTAGAGATATTTTCTAGTATCAATCAATTAATTTCACTAATTTAAAAAAAATGATCTAATTAATCTATTTAATAATTTAAATCAAAGTGGATATCAATAATGAATCATTATAATTAGCTTGAATTTATTAACTAAAATTAATTTACAGATCTTGTTAATAAATTTCATACTAAATTATAAATACGAAATATTTACAAATTACTTAAAGTTAAAATTTTAGCAGATTGAATTTTTTATTTTATACATATTTAATACTATTTTAATTCTTATAACATGTAATTCCCAGAAACTTTAGATTTTTCTTCAAATTGTATAATCCCTAATAATATTCTATTAAAAAATTTATTTATGGATAACCAAAGAAAATCGGTTGAATTGGGGAAGGGAAAATATATTTAATAAAATTTATTATGAAATTTATAAATTGGCCACTAATTTCCAAACTCCAAAAGTAATCAATTTGTTTATCAACACCAAAATCATTCATAAGAAGATTGAAAAATTAATTATATATAAATCATCTAAATCTTCTCATTAAAATACTTCTCTAGAATAAAAAAAATTAAAGAAGTTCTAGAAAAAATATTGTTTATATATTGAATGATAGCTATTAGAATCAAAAGGAAAAATACTTTCAATTTTTTGTTTATTTAAATATTAAGTTTTAAGGAAAATTTGATTTATTTGATTTAATGTTTTGATTTGATTTGATATTAAAAATATACAAATTTTTGTTTGTTTGTTTGTTTGTTTTAATAATAATAATATGATAACTTCAGATTTAGAGCTTAAAAAAATTGATTATAATCGAATTTTTATCTTTTGATTTTTTTCCAAATTGCTTAAAAAAAACGAAAAAAATACAAATAAAAAATTTTATTAATATCTCAAACTATGAAAATAATATATAGAAATATAAGTTTTTTTCGTTAATAATTATTCATTCTTATTTAAAAATTAATATGATGATATCTATTTTATTAATTGTTTCAATAAGACTAGCTTCTTATAATTCATGAGGATTAAAATACATCTTCACTATTTCAACATCAACTACATTTTTAAAAATCATAACTGTTTCCTTATCTCTTCTGATTATTTCAACTATCCCTTCATATATTTTATCTAATTTTTATTGGGTGACCAAATCTTGTGCTGCATTAGGAAATCTTTTTTAAATGATTTGATTTATTCTTTCAAATGAAAAATTAGTACCGATTTTCACAGGTTTTTTACTATACTTTAACTCAAATTGCATATACACAGGCAAGACTTCATTTAGCTTTTTTGATATTCCAGAATGATTCTGCAACTTTGCACTGCTATTGGTAATTTAATTTTCCATCTTTTGTTTGATTATTTGTTTCTCTTATTTGATTATTATCTTAAATCAATTTTGATTTCGCTTAAATAAAGAAAACTAAAAGTATTTTATTTATATATTTTTTTAAAATGCTAATTTAAGTAATATATTTTAAAATAAAATTTAATATTTAGATATTAAATTTTGTTGATTGATATAAAAAATCAGATTTACTTATAATAGAATAAATCAAGTAATTTAACAAAATAATATTGCTAATAAAATAAATGAAGTAAAAATTAAAAATAAAAATGTAAAAAATACCAAATTTAGTATTACTTTCTCTTTTAATAATTGATTGATGTTCTATAAAAATGCAAAAATTCAATATATTTATAGGGTTTGGTATTTATTATCAACTAAAAATGTATAATATTTATTGCAATTACTTGGAATAAATTTAAAAAATAAAGTATCACTTTTTTAGATATTTACTCTGAATTTAATGAATTCTTTAAAATAATTAAATAGATAAATTAATAACGTGAAATTTTATAATTAGCTACCTTTATTAATAAAGATTATTTATTACTCAATTAATAAATATTAATGACTTTACTGCAATCTTCCTATTTACTTACTTTCATTTATAAAATGAAAAATACAAAAAATCTGAATTAATATAGAAATTAATTATCTAAAAAACTTTACTATTTTTTTATTTTCTTTAAGATGCGCTGAATTATTTTTTAAATAGATACTTCACAATAAAATTGTGGATAAAATTTTTTACTGTAGGTAGATTTATTTATAGCTGTAGATATATTTTGAGGACAAACCTCTGATAAATACAAAAAATAAAAATTTAAATCATTAAAAAAAATGATTTAAAATAAATATAAAAAACTTTGAAATAATTTTACAAAATAATTTAATTATTTTAAAAATTTTTTAAAACATTTTTATACATTAAATCTAATCATTTTTAATTTTTTAATTTATTTTAATTATATAAAGCTATTTATTAAATAAAAGAATTTCATCATATAGATTATATGGTCTTTTAGAGCGGATTCATATTTTAAAAATACTATTTTGATAACTTTTTTTAAATTGCTTAGATATATAAAGAAGAAGATAACTTCTTATTAAAAAATTGATTGATAAATAAGAAAATGTTAAGAAATATTTTTATTTTTCTAAATTACATGGAATAAATTACTATTATATTAATTCCTTTACTATTGATCATTGATAAATATTGGAAATAAAATATATTTTTTTAAATTATTATTTTCCACTTCAAAGGCCCTATCTTATATAGCAATTGTCTTTTACTTTACCAAGGTTTTCATTTAAAAATAAAAGTGGTAATTTATAATTTAAATTACTCTTAGATTTCTATATAAATTTTATCTATTTATATTTATTCAAGATTTATGATAAATAAATAGTTTAGACACTAAAAAATATTTTATATTAAATTTAAAATGTCATATTATATATTTTACTAATTAATACTGATCTTCAAAATGTTAAACATCTTCATTTATTATTTTAAGCGAGTTATCCATTGATAAGATTTGTATTCATTTTTAGTATATCAAAACTTTAACTTATGAATATTTATTTTGTTCATTTATTTTAAATAAGTAAAATTTAGAAATATATATTTGAAAAATTCATAGTAATTGATAAATTATTTTTAAATAAGAATATTATTGATTTTAAAATCAAATAAAAAAAATGAAATACGTTAGTTGTATTTTACTTACAAGATGTAAATTAATTAATTTTACAAATAAAAATGACTCACTATTGTCATGTAGAAAAATGAAATTTAACTTTAAAAAATGGTGGCATGTTAAATATAAATGATGCATAAAAAATATATTGCAAATTAATTAAAAGTTATTTAAAAACACTAATGTACATATAATAAAAAGAATTTTGCAAAAACAAACTGAAATAAATAAGAATTTAAAAAAAAGTAATTTGTTTTAAGAAAGTAGACAAAATATTAATTAAATAATAAGTTAGTTGGTATGTAGAAGTATTTGTTGATTTTACAAATCTTAGCAAATTCAATATTAATTGTCAAATCTGGTTAATGTGTAGAAGGATAAGTATTAGATGTTTATTCAAACTAATGTTTTGAGTGCCCATTAAACTGCATTAGCTGCTAGTTTGATAATTTTACAAATAACTTATCTTTAAATCAAGAAATAAGAAATTGTAATGTATGCAAAGAACCATTCTTATTGAGTGAAGATTAATAGAATTGTATTTTAAAATGCGATAATTATTAACTTAATAATCTTTGTATGCCTTGTGATATTATTGGATGCAAGAAATGCGCATCTTAAGTATTATGTGAATAATGCTTAGATGGATATGATTTAAAAAATGGAATTTGTATCTCAAGTTGTAATCAAGAATATAAATACCTATTATAAAAAGAAACAAGCTGTTCTTACTTGTGTGGATTGGGAGAATCAATTAATGATCAAGCATATATATGCTAAGAAATTAATAAATGTCCTATTTATTAATCAGTCAGTAACTTTTGCCATACATATGATATTATTTCTCAATAAACAATATTATCTGCAGACATTTACATAGATCTTAACAATCAAGAAGTATTAATCACATATGATAATTTAGGAAATATTAAATTTTGGAAATATTAATCTCCCATAATTAACTTTCTATACGAAATCCCTCAAACTCTTTAAGCTAGAGATAATTCTCTCATTTGCAAGATTTCATAAAGTAATTTTTATTCATTTTTAACCTAGTGAATTTAATTTGATTTTAAAAAAATTAATTAATCATGTTTATTGTAGCCAAAAGTTAATTAAAAAATGAAGATATCTTTATGGGTATATATTTATTAAAAATTTAATAATTCAAACAAATATAAAATAAGTTTTATTTTAAAAAAATATTTTCAATTCGAATTTGATTTTGCTAATAATAAATTAATAACAAAAATTTTTGCAATATAAAAGTAAAATTTGATAAAAAAATATCCCAACTTATTTATTTCTAATTTAACGTTAAGTTTATTTTAATATTGATAATAAAATTTATTCTTTAAAAATTTAGAAAGATATTACTTTTGTATATACTTTAATTATATACAAACACTTGACTTGGATTCATAATAGTTTAATTAAGGAAGAGTTCTTAATTAATCACAAACAGGAGGATTATAATTTTTAGACTTAATATCAAATAATGGAGTTGATTTTTTATGTTTACTAAGTGAATAAAAAATTCTTTTATTTGAAGTCGAAAATCTCTTTAACAACTTTACAACCAGGTCTTTATAAGATTCAATTAAGCTTAACTTTGATCAAAGCATTTATATTTAAATTGAATAATTTAGTTAAAAGCTTCTAATATATAAATCTACAGGTAATTTTTTTTTATTTAATTAAATAAATTGAAACTTTAAAAAATGTTTATTCATTTGTTTAGAAATTTGGTCTGATATTGAAGGAGATACCTACGAAGGAGTACTTTATTTTGAAGATAAAGAGGTTTGCTAACTTAAAAATCCTTATTACTAACTAACAAGAGCAAACGCTAATATTTACGTTTTATTGGGATAAGCTAATTATGGAATTTTAATTTTTAGTAATAATTATACATCTCTCTGCCAAGAATTTATTATACAAAATATAGATTTAAAAAACTATTATCCAACATTTGTTTCTTCTGATTAATTTTTAATAATTGTACTAGCAACAAATAATCAGTTTCTTTGCAATTAAATTTAGAAATTGTATTATATAGTAGAAAGTTAACAATCTCAAATTGAGCTTAGTGAAGAATTGCAATTTTAATAAAATTTAAATATTTAATAAGCCTGTTTTCAATAATAATTAATAGTTGAAAGCTCATTAATTTTCAAAATGAATTTAGAAATCAACATCCTTGTTAAGATTGATTTAAGAACTTTTGCTACTAACAATTACTTTTTCTTTCAAAATTTTTATTAAATATTCATAATTAATAATTAGATTATTTTAACATTAGATGAAAATAACTTAGCGTCTGTCATTCTTATAGATGACTATAATTATATAATTGATAAATAAACAATCTGTAAGAGTTAAATGCTTCCTAACATAACTTACGGATATGTATCATTTAATATATTTGACACAGAAAGAAAAAAATATTAGCTAGATGGCTTTAGTACAAATTTATTACTTAGAGATATGCAAAATGGAGGTATCATATTTAGTTTAAGAAATTCCTACAGCCCTACTTTTAGTTTATCATAAAATAAAATTTTAAACTTTATGTTTGGAGCAATCGTAGTTGTTGATATGCAAAAAGATCCAGAAAATGAAGAAGAATTCATTAATCAATTAATACTACCTTTAGCTTATAGAAATGGAATATTCTTTCAAGATAGTGAAGAAAATTTATATATTTATAATTTTGATGGCTATTCAAACAAATCTATAGTTAGCTACAAAATTACGGGTTAATTTATTACTCAATTTTAAGGGAGATAAAATCTTACATATGTAAAAGATATATTTCATTCAATTTTTTAATTTAACTTACATAAAAATTAGGATTTTAAGTAAAGACATTTTAATGAAAACAAGAAAATCATTTGCCTTGTTGATTAGAATAATTTAGTCCTCTCATTCTTCGATTTTATCAATTTAAGATAATATGACATATCCTTACTTTAATCTTAAAAAAATAGCACGATATAGAACATTTTATATTCTATTTAATTAGAAAGCGAAACAATTATATTTTTAACACAAAATTATATTTTCAAAATTAATTTTTTGGGAGAAATTATATCTTAAAAATAAATTGTCTCTTATCCAATTAGATTTAATGCTTTAATTTATTATAAAGTAATAATTATTGTATCTAAGGACTCTATTAATTTTATAGATGAGAATCTAAATCTTCTTTCAACTACTTTCTCTACTTACGGAGACTTGCTTTATTAAATTACTTTTGGAGAAAAATTTATCATCACTTCATATGATTCTTATAAAGTATAAATAATAAATTTCGATACTATGTAAGAAATAATATTAGTCTTATTCTTTTAAGTTCCTTAAATTATTACTTATCAAGATGGAATTCATGTAAAATATTTATTTTTTCATTATTTATTTATTTAATATAATTCCTCTCTGCTTCTTTTTTAGCTCACCATATTTTTTATTTAAATCAACAATTAAAAAAATGAGGATTTTAGGTAAACCTCATTTCTTATTCGTTTTTATTATAGATGTTTTACGGTATTTCTAAAATTTTTTTTAATTTAAAATTTAATTTCAAAGAAATTATAAGAATACTTTTAATAAAAATTATTTAACAAAAAATTTTATGTTAGAATTATTTAAAATGATGCCTATATTTATTTTAAAATATTTAATATAAATTAAGATGTTAATCTTTTAAAATAAAAATATAATTTCTTTTTTTTTTAATTCTTCGTTTTTTAGAAGTAAAGAAATTTTATATTTATTATTTATTTACTTCAATTATTTTTATATTTATAGTTTGGATTGTTTCAAAGAACAAATTTAGTAGTTTATTCAATTTTTGCGAATTAAGTTATCTAGTCGTTTTAAACACAGTTACCTACAAACTATTGTCAATAAAAAGTTGAAGATCTCTTTTTGTATAACTATTAAAATTAATTTGTTTAAACAATATTTTAAGACTTATCAGGTTTTTGTAGCATTATAGGTAATAATGGTTATTAAAGGTAAATATAAAATTCTAAAAATATTTAACTATAAAAACTCTATTATAAAAATTAGTACATAGATTTAACTGAAAATTCCTGGTTAAATATATTTAAATACTATTTCTTACCAAAATAATAATTATACCAGCTTAGGGTCCTACTTTGATAATTAAAGTTAGACAATTTACTTGGTACTTAAAAATAGATAGGATACATTATTTTTATGTTCTTCTTCTAACCAAAATATATATAAAGTAATTTATTTACATTTTAATAATAAATTAAACATATTTTAATAATTAATAATATTAGATTAATGTATTAGTGAAAGTAGATTTGTAAAAATTAAATAATTTCTAGCAGATATTAGGTAATGGCGAATATTAAATAATGTATTTTGATAATGGCTTTATCATTTACAAAAATAAATCTATATTTTTTATGAGAGATGATCTATAACCTTAGATTTAATAATTTATTATTGATTTTTAAGAAGATATTATTTTAATAGCAAATACCAATTGTTTATGGTATATATTTTAATTCTCAGCAAAAACCCTTTTATATGCAATGCCCCAAGATGATAAATTTTAATCTTCAAACCAATGCACATATTCATTTGATAAAATAAATAAAATTATTCTCTTAAAATAAATCACACAAATAGCCAGCTTTTCATATAATAGTTAGGAGTTAAATTGGTTTATAACAACTAATGATCTAGGTAATTCTTAAATGGTAGCTTTGTACACTATTGAAAGTTAAAATTAATTTTTCTTAGTCACAAATCCTTGTATTGCTGTTGTATATACAGAACCTGATTTTATTTCTTTTGATTATTATAAATTAATTTTTAGTCAAAAAACATTTGTCAAATATTTTTATGATAATTATAATTCAAGGATTATTTTATGCAGTTCTGATTTTCAGTAATGCCAAATATATACTCCACAGTTCACGCTTATTAAGACTTTACTATTTTAATACGTAAATATTTTAAACTATCTCATCATAAATTTTATTTGATACAAATAATTTTCTTTATTTTAAAGGAATTTATCTATTAAATTGTTTTATATTCTTTTATTTAAATTAATAAATATTTTTTTCAGGTTTTTAATGTTTGAATTATTTAATTTTAATACACTTTTATATAAAAGATAATTTTAAAAAATCATATTCTAATAATAAAAAAACTGTTTTAATTCAGCCAACATATTTATTTGAATTCAATATTTTTTCTAAAGTTGCATAAACTTGTTTAATAATAAATGAAAATAATTTCAATTTCATTTAAAATAGCTTTTTCAATTAAACTTATTTTAAATTTATATTATAATCAAGTATTTATAATTTTAATTTACTTATATAGGATTTTGATATAAATTAGCTACAGTACTATTAAAATCCAATTAATGCTTTGATAGCAGTTAATTCCAAGTTACTGATCTAAATTATGTATTTAGATGATTCTTATCAAACAAATTCATAATATTTAAAAAGTATCAACATTTAGGAATACTCATAAATATTTCAATCATATAATTTTCTATCAAATTTTTTTATAATTGAAGATTTCTAGAAAGATATATTGATAATAGCTTTCGATGATTCAGTATTTTTTATTTAAATATCTACAGCTTAAATAATTCATTATCTTGATTTCAATGATCATTTAAGCAAAACTAAATAAGATGGATAAATTTTATACCTCTATCTAGATAAACTAAGAAATATTTTACTTTGCATGACATAAGAAAATTTTATCTTTTATGATTATCAATCAATTACTTTTTATAATTTTTAAAATTTTTATTTGACTATTAACGATGCAGATATGGTTAGTTACTTTGAAGATACAACCTAAAATAATTAAATAACAGCCTTTACAAGAAATTTCTTTTACAATAATTTGGTATTTTATAAAGCAAATTTATAAGATCAAATTATTTTGCCATTCTATTAATTAGATATGGTTGAAGATGCAAATTTTAAATTTCCTTATTTTAGTGGTCCTCAGTAATCATCAATCGATATTAATAATAATATTTTATACAATTATAAAACATTTGATATCAAATACAATGAAGAATATTATTTAATTATATAGTATCATTTACTTAGATACAGTATATATTAAATTTCCAACTCTAATGTCACTTGTATAAGAAAACTCTTTTTTGTTTCTAAACATTATATTTTTTATACGTTCATTCAAGAAAATACTCATTTCCCTATCTTAATACTTTAAAATAGTAATGAATAATAATTAAGTATATAAATTTTAGATTAATCAAGCCAAATTTATGAATTGAAATCTTAATACTTCTCATCTAAAATAAATAGTTGTGATATCCGTAAATAAATAATATATTGCTTTAGTTAAGAAGGAAATTATTTAATTTAAATAAATTTAAACAAACCTTAATAATTTAATGTGACAGCTTTGGATAAATTAGATAATTCTTTATAAAATTAGTAATTGATGTTTTGCTAGAGGCTTCAAAATAGCATTTCTTAATTCCCTCTTATCTTTTATTATGATATGACAATATTTAGCTGGAATATGACTTAATAGCTTCTTTATAAAGTGTAATGTGAAGATAATATAAAATCTGTTTCAATAGGGAATTATTATATTTTAGTTGAGTTTTATAATTAAATTGATTTATAGATCTTTCCATTTGATTAAAATGGCCAATTACAGATTTCTACCTTTAAAGTTTAATTGCCTGCTTAAAAACAAAAGGATCTATCTTCAAATGATTAAATTCCTTTATTCTACAATAGTAAAAAAGAAGAAACTCAAGTTAGTTAATAAAATAATTAGTATTTAGTTTTAAGAACTTATGGATAAGCAAATATTTACAGCTTAATTGATTTTTCGTTATATTTAGTTATTAGATCTTCTAATATCACTAGTATTTAAAATATTAACATAGTATACAAATCAGTATTATTGATAACAACAGGTAATTCAATTGATATATATAAATTCTAACAGAATAATTATAGTCTATTATCTTCTTTTTAGATTGTTAAACCATTGATCGGTTTTAGTTCATTTAAGCCTATATAATAAACTAATTAATATGAAATAAATTTGATAATAAGCTCTAACTATGAAGTAAGTTTATTATAGTATATTGTTATATTAGAACAATAACAACAACAAGAATAAGAAAATAATTAAAATTAATTACAATGTATTAAAACTATTGCTAACTACTAATAAGATTTATCTGTTTTAAATTATTCTAAAGAAATGCAGCTTAATTATGAATATTTTTATCAAAAAGGTTATTCATCTATCTAGATTATACAGATACATTTTAATCCATTAACAAATTTATATTTTAGGCAAGATTTATTTTAAACGCTTTAATAAAAATCTTTTGTACTAAGGTTGTATTCTGATTCTTAATAATCATAAATCTATTTGGTAAATTAAAATTTTGAAAATATTAATGATGTATTTGTCCCAGCAATTAGTAATTTAGAAATTATCAATATGATGATTAGTATTCCGATATATAAGCTTAACTAATAACTTTAATTACCATTAAATCTTAACATAAATGATAAAAATATGTTTCAAAGATTCAGTATGCTTAACTCATAAATTGATATTGATTAATAGGTTTCTTTTTCTGTTTAAAATGTAGAAGAAGTAACACTATCAAACATAGTTTTCGAAATATCTGATCACTTTCCTAAAATAAATTGTACCTAAAATGATTAAATCATATTATTCAAAAATATATCCACTTTAAAAATCTATAATTTAACTATAAGTAAAATAAATATTAAACAAAACCCAATCATTTCTTCATTATTTAAATTTGATAGCATAAATAATGTTATTATTGATAGCATAAGCATATCTGAATCTGAAATAAACACATAAACTATATTTAGTTTTTTAAATATTAGCAGTATAAGAATTACTAATGTATTTGTTAATTAACTAAAATCATATGGTTCATTATATGACATTAGAATAGTTAATTACCTTTAGATTACAAATGTAAAAATATTATCCTCTCATTTTAGAGGATTCTTTAGTTAGTTCATAGCTTTGCATTACGGTGTTACATATATATCAATATAAAATATGTCAGTTTTATCGTGTTTAACTCCCTCTATTATATTAGTCTAAGAATAATTATTTGTTGGTATTATATTCACTACTAGTTAATTAGCAATAAATGATTTAATTGTTACTTAAAACATTCTTAATAGTACATATACTTCATCAATATAGTTATCATCATTCACAATAATATTAAATAAGTTATAATTCAATGATAATTAAGTATCAAATGAGGCAGTAACGTTATTATCTAATTAGCTAAATTTTACAAATGTTTAAATAAACTAAAATTAAGTATACAATTAATTAATCCATATTGAGAACTATAAGCTAGGAAATTTGCAATCTCAAATATAATACATATTTTTTTCAAATGGCTTAATAAAAAACAATGTATTAATTAAAGGTAAAGTCTTACATATTTTGAATAGTATCAACGTACTATTAAACTTTTTATAAGCTTATAATAACGAGCTAAAGGAATCTTATTAGGGAACTTTAACATTAGAATAATCTTAAAATATTACTATTAGCGATACTAAAATTTAATAAAATACTGTTTTCAAAGGATGTGGAGGAGGTCTCTACATATTAGAAAGTTAGGTAATTCTAAGTAACTGTATTATAACAGAAAATTATGCTGTAATAGGAGGAGGAATAAGATACTAGGGATTGAGTTCTTCTTTGATCTATTCTAATAAATTATAATAAATTAATTAATTTAATATTAAGGCTTCATCCATATAAAATAACAGTGCTTTGTTATATGGAAAAGATGTAACTTCATATCCTGTTAAATTCTAATTATAAAAAGACTATTCAGAAATTCTAAATAATCTTATATCTGGAAATACTTTAAGTGAGCCCATTTTATTTAACTTAATTGATGAATTTGAAGAAGTAGTTATATACCCAATTAATTATAATAGTTCTTAAATAAATTAGTAAATATTAATTGAATTTGAAAGTTATAATATATAAATACAAAATTAAAATCTATTGTAAGATTTAAATATTTAAGGAAGTATTCTAATATAATCTTAGATCCTCTCTTTTCAACCTACCCTTACTTCCGTTCCTTAATCTACACAGTCATTTAAAATATAACTCCTCTCTTAAGTTCCTGTTTATAATTAAAAATTTAACTATTTTAATTTGACCACTATTTAGAAAGAATTTAAAATTTCGTTTCTTCCTTGCAGTGTCGGTTAAATTCCTAAGCAGCAATTAAACCTGATTTAATGTTATTTCTGCCCATTAGGTATTTCATTTTTCTAAATTAAATAATTAAAATATGTTAATTATTAAGATAAATACTAAGAAAAAAAATTTGCTTCTTATTGATAATAAATATAAAATAAATAATTTTTTTCATTACGCTCATATTTAAAAAATAACTCAAAAAAATTTTTTGTTTACTTTTCTAATATCTCCATTTATATATATATTTTTTAATTTTTATTTTGATGAAAATTTGCAAAATAAACTTTTTGCATTAAAAATAGGAACTTATTCTTTCAAATTAAAATTCTCAAATGCTTAAGATAATGAGTGCAGTGGTTGTCCTGCTTAGGCAGTTTATTGTGAAAAAAATACTATCCTTTTAAAAAATGGATTCTGGAGACCTTCTCCAGATGATGATCGGATATTTCGTTGTTCAAACGAATAGAATTGTATACAAGAAATGAATTAAAATTATTATAATGTTACTTCACAAATGGATAAACGTAAAATTTTCAAGTTTTTCTAAAATTAATTTTAAATTAAATATTTTAGAACTTTTTTAGAAATCTCAGTGCTTAGAAGGTCATTTGGGTCCTCTCTGCGAAAGCTGCGATATAAACCAAGAACTTTGGGGTGAGAGATTTGCTTAAAATCAAAATTTTTAGTGTATAAAATGCAAAGAAAACTTGAAAAGTTTTGTTTTAACTATATTCTTGATTTCATTTTAATTTGCTTATATTGCTTATTCTTTTAAAAAGATTAGTACTTCAAATACAAAAAAATGCTTGCTTTATTACATCAAGCAATTGAGGCTGCTATGTGTGGGAAAGTCACTTTTAGCTGATGAAAATGCAATTTAAACAAAAATATTAATAAATTACATCTAAATCATTTAGGTTATTTTTTAGATAGCTAATTATTCTAATTATTTAAAGAATTCAGTAACAATTTTTGGTGATCCATCTTCCATTTCTCTGTAAATTCATTTCAAATAAAATATAAAAATTAATTTTAAAATCTAATTAAATTTTAGTGTTTATTAACAATACCTTCATTACAAACTATTTTAAAACTATATTTAAAAAAACTAAATTAATTAGGATGTCAGTAGATTGTATAATTATAGATGAGAGAATAAATTTAGGAAATATTTTAACAAGAAGGGCAATTTTAAGATTAACAATACCTTTGACTTTTATGGGTATATTATGCTATTACATTTTTAAAACCAAAGCAAAGAATTAATCACCTATAATTCTTCTATATGATTTAAAATGTTCTTTAATATTTTTATGGTTATTTTTTTCACCTAGCATCATAAATTATTTAATTCTTCAATTAAGTTGTACCTAAATTGGAGATTATTAATATGTCACCACTGATAAATAATTTAAATGTTATGGAGATGCTCACATGCAAGTTATTTACTATGTTATAATACCTTCGTTGTTACTTCTTTATCTATTTTTCCCAATATTTTTCTTTTTGAAAATTAATAAGTAAAAAAAAAATCTTTATTCAATAAAGACAATAAAGGAATATGGTATTCTATTTTATGAGTATAGAAAAGAAAAATTTTATTGGGAAATAGTTAAGACATCTTAAAAATCCTTGATTTTTTTAAATAACCTTTTTGAAAATGATGGCTAAAAGGCATTCATTTGCGTTTCAATTTTATTAATTTATTACTTTTTGTCTAAGAATAATAAGCCTTATATAAATAAAAACTTAAATAATGTTGATTTAATAGCTACTATTCTATAACTTTTATGCATCACTCTATCTACATATTTGAATATAATTGATAATGTAGCATGGGAAACCTTAATAATTGTATTAATTTTCACAATTAATATTACCTTTATAACTTATAATCTAAGCAAGATAATTGTTGTTAAAATACCTTCAGAGATTTCTTAGAGATAATGGTATCATAAGTTGCTTATAAAATATAAATAAAAACTTCCTTTATATTTAACATCTAATATAATTGTCTTGAGCCCTCTTTAATTCAAAGCATAAAGAAAATGGGTTCTAATTTAAAAAAAAATAAACTATTTAATATAATAAAATAGATTCTAAATGCTTTAATCTCTGGCTTAAAAATCAAACGAAATTAGAAGAGAATCTAAGCATTAAAAATTAAAAAAAAGTTTGAATTAAAATAATAAAAAACAAAGCATATTTTCCTCTAAAAATATTATTTTACCCAAAAGAATAACTTACTAAAAATATACACATGACAATTCTACATTATCGTTAAATTAAGAATACAGTTTTTAAAGAAGCAAGCTTATCAATACGACAAATTTATAATAGAATGAAAATGGTAAAATCTTTTTATTTTCTTTAAAATCAGTAATTTCTTTTTTAAATTATTAAAAGATTCATTTATTTTCTCTAAAGCTTTGATACTTACAAAAACTCTCTCAAACTCAGGGTTTATTAAAAAGAAGACTCTTCAAAATTGATAAATTTTTTCTTTAACTTCACTTTGCTGATTTGAAATACTCTCCAAACCTATTATTAACATATATTCTAAATTTAGTATTTTTATAAAACTTTTTATTCTATTTTTATAAAATATTTATTTTTTATGGATAAATTTATTATTTTATAAGAATAATTTTATTATTTAAAGTAATTCTTTATAAAAAATATTAAATTTTAAATTTTCCAAAAATATTATGTAGTACTCAATTTAATTAGATTACACTTTATTATATTTACACATATATATTAAACTTTTTGTCAATTATTTTATGTTACTTTAACTTCACTTTACTGATTTGAAATACTCTCCAAACCTATTATTAACATATATTCTAAATTTAATATTTTTATAAAAATAATTATTCATTTTTTTATAAAATATTATTTTATATGAATAAATTTATTATTTTATAAGAATAATTTTATTATTTAAAGTAACTCTTTATAAAAAAATATTAAATTTTAAAATCTCCAAAAATATTGAATTATACTCAATTTAATTAGATTACACTTTATTATATTTACACATATTATATATAACTGTTTGTCAATTATTTTATTTTAATAATTTTTATATATTAATTAACAAGTTTAAAATTGATAAATAAAATTTCAAAAAAGATTATTTTTTAACTTTTGAATTCTTTTTACAGTCATAGATTAATTAATGTCTGTGTTTAAATTTTGTTCATAGCTATTTAAATGAAGTTATAAAAAAATATTTTTTTTTAGGTCTTATTTAAATGAAGATAGTCTTTATTCAACTCTAGATTTTACTGATGGAGAAAGTGGTGGAGAGTTTTTTCTTGATTATCCTTAGCTTACGGATGGCAATTTATATCCATTATACTTTCTATAAGAATCTGTTAAGTTAGGTACTAGGTAATCTTCATTTTTTTGATTATTATTTGAGAGAGTGAATTTTTTTAATTACTGATTTATATATTCTTTATTATAAATAGGTTCTATTTACTTTTATTAGCTCTTTTTAAGTGGTATTCTTTGCTTTCTTGTAGATTGACTTCTAAAATTATAATTATTTTGCTTTTACATTAAAATTTAGTTATTATCGACTGTGTTGAAAGATCTATTGAGATTTATTCCTTAATTAATATTATCATTTATGTATTAATGAGTTTCACTTTTATTTGTATATTGATTTCTTTAATTAAATAAATACAACTCATCTTTATTAATTAAACTATTTTCAAAGCTATCAATTAATAACGATTTTTCTCCTCTTGCTGGAGAAAGAGTATTTTACCTTGTTGATTGTTAAAACAAATAATCTTATTAATAATTGCTAGAGTAAGATTCAGTTTTTAGTTTTCTTTAATTTGATTACTGAGTGCTTACCCTATCCTCTTCTTCAATTTCTGTAATTACATAATTTAAGTTAGGGTCAGGAGCTATATTTTTATTTTTCAGTGCATCATTTTAAAAAAGAGTGTTAATTTGTATTTCTCCGTCATAATTTGGATCTATTTCTAAAATCATGTTATTATTATCTAAGTCATTATTATCTTGCTTTACAAGTTAACCTCTTTGAGCTTAGAATCGATTATAGATATTAGATTATTTAGGTTATTATTCAATATTTACAGCATCTTAGTTTTTTGCTTGATAGTTTGCATACATTTATGTCAATTAGTAATCATTAGGTAGCTATTCTTCAAGAAAAGGAGTTTATCCATCTTCTTAATAGTCCTTTAATTAACTTTAATATTGAATGTAATCATTTGTAAACTATTCATTGCTGCCATTTTGTTGTAGCTTAATCTAAAATTAATCATTTAAGTTAGATACTCTTTATTTACTACTTGCATTACTTATAGCACTGTTTGAAAAATTATTAAAGCTTGGTTACTAATCTGGACCATAAAAATATTAAAAATTATTATCCAAGCTTTTTAATCTCATCGAAGGTCTTATTTTGATAAAATCATACTCAATTCCTTACTTTTTTTCTACTGTATTCTTATCGATCATTTTATAACCACTCTTCTTTAGAAGCTCATTAAATTTATCACTTTCGAAATTCTTCAAATAATTTTTATATTGGTAATATTGCTATTGCTTTTGCTTAAGCAAAATTTTTTATTTTTCATCTATCTCAATAGAAAACATATCAGTCTGAGGTTTTGGAGGTGATTGTTGTTTAGGAGAGGGTGAATTGCCTATGATTTTAAAAATTTTATTATCTATATTTCTGCTTTCATAAATTAAGTCTTCTTTGTTTCCAAATAGGCTATTTTCTAGCTATTTGAAAGGAGACATTCTTCTTTCCATTATTTTTTCATACTCACCAGCCACTTTTATGGGAGAATAAAACTATCCTCTCGAAGTTCTACTCATATTAGATGAGGCAGTTTATACTCTTTACTATTATTAAACAATATTTTTTTCACTAGATTCTTTAGTAGCCAAAGCAGGATTCACAACTTGAACAGTTTTTTCTCCATCTTCTTTATCAGGTTAAGTTTTACAATATTAAGGACTTTATTTTTCAATATATTATTTTTAAATTGTTTCCATTCTTTCGCTAAAGAGAGCATTTTTTTACTTCAATAACTCTTAGATAGTTCTTTTAGAAAAGTTATTATTGTATATTTTTTATAAAAAAACTTAGCTTCTTATGACATATAATTCTCCATCACTGCTATCGCATATTGCAGTATAAGACCTATTTTATTTTCCTTAAACTAAATCCTCTTCACCAAAAATTTGCCCTTCTACCATTACAGAAAGCTATAAAATTGTAATAAATTAATTACTATTAAACACCATAAAAATATTTTATTTAAATTTTTTGTTAAATTTTTAAATAGCAAAAGTTAAAAATTAAAAAGTTATTTTTTGATAATTTTTTGATGCTAAAAAATTTAGTAAATTGAATTTACATATATTAAATAGAAAAAAAATTTTAATTTAAATTTTAAGGAAAAAAGAATATTTTTATTTGCTAAATTTTTGTTATTTTATGAAGTAGAAATTATTAATGAATTAATATGAAGATACCTTAACTTATTTGCAGAATGATGCTTTTTTAAGATAAATCTGATTACTTTACTTTTAGTCCCAATCAAAGCTTTTATAAATCTTAAATAATAATAAAGATTTTTAATAAATTAATGGTCATATGTAAATAGAATATTTTACAGAAAAATCTCCCTTTTTAATAACATAAATAGCATGAATATCATCATTTTCTTTGAATACATAATTATTTTTAACTAATTTAACTTCAAATGAACTTAGATATATGTTTTTTAATATGTAATAAGGATGATTTTTAAAAAGAGGCATCTTCTTAAATTAATTTATGCCTTGTGCAATAATTTTTTCTTCATTTTCTTTTAGATATTTGTCAAAAAAATCTTTAGATATTTCAATCAAAGTAGCTTATGATGACTCACAAATAGATTGCATTGTCTATGGACTATTCTGAATTAAGTTATAAGTTCCAAAATATTCTCCTTATTCAATAACTTTAACTAAATTCATTTGAGACTTTTCTCCTATTGTTTTAATATATAATCCTACTTAGCCTTCTGCTATACAATAAAATGAATAGCACATGGTATCTGTTTAAAAATAATAATTGATTATTTCTTCTTATTTAAGAAAATAATAATTTACATATTTTTTGAATGATATCCCTCAGATTAAATTACTTTATGCTTTCTTTCTCTAAGTAGCTTGATATAATTTCATCGCTGCTACATTCAAAAATCTAAAAATTATTTCTCATATATTAACCCAATTATTATATTTCTTCAACATTTCTTTCACTTGGAGGTATCTAAATAATTTTTTCTATGTCCTAATAAAATATAATTAAAGTAATTCATTAAATGGTAATTTTAACTACATAAAATCTAATGGTGTGCTCATTCATTTAATATGGCAAGCTTTGAAGCAAAGTATGTCGTTTTTAAAATTTTACAAATTGATTTGATATTGCTAAGGCTAATCAAATATAAATAATTAATATTTTTGTGGTTTCTTTTATTGATTTATTAATAATTGGAAATATAAACTTTACTTATACTTCATAATTTATAAATTGATGGTTTACCAATAGTTTATTTATTATTTCTAATATGTAAAATATCTTTATTTTTCAAATAGTAAATTTATTAATTTTTTAATTAAAATATTAGAATCTTAAAAGAATGAATCAATAATATTCAAAACAAACATCAAATCTATGAAATAATTCAAATAATTTATTGTTTTTTTTAACCATTCTTCTATGCTTTACTTATTTAATCTCATAATTTTTTAAACAAATGCAAAAGAAAAGTAATATCATAAATAATAATATTATCATTTTATCTAGAATATATTTTGTGAAATAAAATTGCTTGTTGTTTATTATAATATTCTTTTTTTAAATAAAAAGAATATCTTTATATATATATGTATATTTTTTTATTTAAAAAAATATTAAATTAAATTATTTAAAAGAAATTGTTACTCAAAAAAGAAAACAAAAAAAAATTATTTTTTTTTATTTATTATAAAGTAGGTATCTATTATTTTCTTTATAAGTAGTGTTTATATCCATACTATTGACTTTTTGGTATCTGAAACTTTTAGGATACTCATTAAAAAAATATGGTATGGTATCATTTATCTGAATTTAATTAAATTAAGAGTATCTGTGAATTTTAAGAATTTGATTTTGATATTTTTAAACTTTTTTTTTATTTTAATATTTTTCAGGCAGATAGATTTTTGATGAATTTAATGCTTATATTTTATAAAAAAATTGTTAAATAAGTATCAGTAGTATTGGGGAAATTAATAAAAATGAGCACGAGGTTATCAAAAAGATTTATTAATTTTTTTAAAAGAAAAAAATGAATATGCATAGATTTTTTAGATAAACTCACCCTCCTTTAATGGTATTCTTTAAAAGAAATTCATTAAATTCTAATTTACTAAAATAAATTAAAACTGAGGAAATAATTAAAATAATAAAGTATTAAAATAATGAGTTAAAAAATGAATAAATCAATAAAATAACTCATACAATATTTTTTAATTCAAGTGAATAGAATATAAAAATTAATCTATTTACTTATTCTTATTAAATTTCAACAAAATAAATTAAAATAATAGGTTAGTAACTAAAATAAGTATAAAATCATCTCTAAATAAATTTCAAAAAGCAGATAATTTTCTCAAAAATTTTAATTTTAATGTTACTCTATTTTATATGTTAAGAGTAAAAAAATTTATAAATAAAAAATGTAATTTCTATCTTATTTTCTCAGAAAAAACTAAATTAATTTATTTTAAATGCAATAATTTTTAATATAATAACTCTAAAAATATTATCAATTTTGATGAATTATTTGATAAAAATAAATAAGCTATTAATTTAATTAATATTATAAAAAATAGATAATTAAGAAATATTTAAATATTTATTTAAGATTATATGGTTGATAATAGTGAAAGATTTTATAGTAATATTTAAGTGTTTTCTAAAAATAATATAGAAAAGAAGGTTGAAATGGATGGATATTGAGTTTAATTAGAAATAATATCTCCTTTATAGTAAAAATAAATGAAAAATAAAATATAAATTTTATCAGATTTATTATAATTATCGCTGGGAGGAGAAGTTGGATTATATGTTTTAGATAAGGTTTGATAATTTAAAAATTAGTAAAGGATTTTGTAAAAAAAGTAGAAATGCTAAGGATATAAATAAATAGTGTTTTTATTTGATCGGACAATCAAATTAGAATTAATCAAAGGGTAATTAATAATTTAATTATTATGCAAAATAAGAAGTATATGCATGTATTTACTTTAAGAAATTCTTTGAAGAATAAGTATTTTTTAATCAAGTTTTTTATTTATGATAATGATTATAAAGAAAGTGTTGATTAATGATCATTCATTGCAATCAAATAATAATAATTTTTCTTATTTTGGTTTAGTAAAACATACACATAATTAATTTATTATTTACTCATATTAAGGTAGAAATAAGAATAGAAAATAAAAATTCACTTAACCACATTTTATTCTTTGTTGTTTTACTTTATTATGGCAACACAATAGTCTTAGCTGCAAGTTAAAAAAAACAACGATGTTTTTGCAGATTATAAGCTCAATCCTCAAGAGCGCTATGAAAAAGTTTATAGAATAGGTACTAAAATTGTTTAAAATCATTATTTAAATCTTTATTCAAACATAAAAGTTTTAGACTAAATTAGATAACTACTTACATGTTTTGATAATCATTGACTTTGTGAATAAAATTTTATTTTTTTTGGAAATTAGGTTAGGGAGCCTTTGGAGTTGTCTATCAAGCAATAGATAAATTTACTGATAAGATAGTAGCCATAAAAATACTAAAAATTAACAGTGATTTAAATAGTCATTTAAATGAAGAAACTACTCTAAGTGATATGAACTCTAAGTATATAGTTAAACTTTATGACAAATACATAGATGCAAAAAATAAAGAAATTTGGCTTGTTATTGAGTTTTGCAACATGGGTTCACTTGCAGATGTAATTAATATCACTGGTTAAACATTTTTTGAAGCTGAAATAGCTTGTATTTTAGATAATGTTCTTTAAGGGCTAGATTATTTGCATAAAAATCACAGAATGCATAGAGATCTTAAGAGCGCTAACATACTACTAAATAATGAAGGCGAAGCTAAGCTATCAGATTTTGGTGTAGCCTCATGCAAGGTAAATTAATTAATTAGAGTTGCTTTGAAATTATTATATATTCAAATTTCAATTTATAGTGGATTTCATGTTAATATTATATTTAAATAAATTGTTTTATTAATAGTCAGATGCAGATACATTTGTTGGAAGTCCTTATTGGCTATCACCAGAACAGCTTAATAAATAAAAATATACAAATAAGGTAGATATTTGGGCACTTGGTATATGTATTATTGAAATGGCTGAAGGAATGCCTCCTTATGGTGATCTTCGCCCAACTTCAGCAATGAAAATGATAAAGTAAAACCCGATAGTTAATTTCTAAGACCCTCAGCAGTTTTCAGATGAGCTTAATAACTTTCTTTGTCATTGCTTACAGATTAATCCTGAAGATAGGTGGACTGCAGAATAGCTATTAAATCATGATTTCTTTAAAATTCATAAAGAAAACTTAGAATACGAAAGAAAGAGTTTATATGAAAGAAGAAAAAATGCACTTTAATAATACAAAATTGCAAATCTTAAAAACGAGATTAGCAATAGCAGCTATTCAGGATCTAACTCTAGTATTAACTATTCTTATTATAGGAATTAGTTGCTTTTTAATTCGCAAGAATAACAATTGTAGATTCAAAATCAAAATAAAAGTTCAAGTGATTCTTCTTAGGCTGAGTAGAATTTCCAAACATTTATAGAAAAAAATAGTTTCTAAAAAACTTTTATTGAGAAGGATAGTAGTTCTAATGATAGTCAAAATAATTTTGGGTAATAAAATTAGAAATAGTAACAACAACAACAATAACAAAAATAATAGAATAATAATGATTACATTCCATCTTACTTTTAATATTTTGGAATTAACTGTAACCAATCACCTAATAATAATTTCAATATTTAAAATAATATAAATGTTCAAATTATAAATACATCTATTTCTGAAGATAATTCTGTAACAAATAACACAAATATAAATTATGGAGTAGGTCGAATAAACAATTTTTTTAACTAAGCGAGTTCTAAATCTTCTATTCACAAAGGATGTAACTCACAATAAAATTCTTCTAGGAAGCATTATTAAAATTAGTAAGATAGCAAACGCCCATAAAGCTCAAATACTAAAGAACAACCTCATGATATCAATTCATCATCAGATGATATAGAAAATGATGATTATGATCAATAAGAATTACATTATGCAAAAGATTGTTTTTTAAACCCTAACAATTTTAAGAATTCAATAAAACAAAATAGCTTTATCAAAAATATTTCTAAGGCTCTTTCAGAGTAAAATTTTTCTTTAAAATCAATTTAAAGAACACAAATGGAGTAAATCTTAACCTCTCCTAGAGGCAATAATATAGAATATTAATAATAAGAAAAAGACTAAGAAGATTAAAATAGATTTTCTAGACATTCCAAGTTCAAAAATATAAGAAATAGATAAGTTTCGCCTAATATATAATAGGAACATTCTCGTTAAAATTCAAAATCTGCCAACAGATACACGTCTGAAGATGACTCAAGCTAAAATGGATCAAATATAATCATCAAAAATTAAAATAGCATAATTGAAGAGAAAATTTCAAAGATTAATCAAAGCTAGCCAAATACTTCAAGAAAATAAACAAATCAATAAAACGAATAATTAAAAAATGATACTTCTATTTAAAAATAAGATGCTACAAACACAGAGCTTGATAAATAACCAAACTAATGTAACAATTAAATAAATCAGGTTTCTCAAAAAACTATTCAAGTACCAAAGCTTTAGCTTTCAGACTAGAATAGTATGAAAAATAATTTAGATGAAGTATACAATTACAGCAGTAGCAATAGAAATAAATTAAATAATAACAGCTCAAATAAAAGTGAATAAAATAATTTTAACAATGCTAATTAAAATAATATTTAAATTTCTATGTTTAACAAAGAAACGAATTTTTCAATGCTTAACAGCTAGCAAAATTAGTAAATGACAAATAACAAAATGAATAGTTAATAAAATTTAACTGTTAACAACAGTAATAAGATTATCCCACAATGGATCAACTATTCATAATACCAAAAACTATCAAATTCAAAGCAATAAACAGATAAAAAAGAATAACAATTATAATTTAGAGAAGAGGATTAATTAACAATTAAAAAGTTACCTGAAAATATAAATTCATCTATTATCAATAACAATCAGCACAATCTTGAGGAAACTCCATGCAAATCTGAAAAAGCTTAGTTAATTTTGCAAACTACAGAAAAAATAAAAAAGTATTCATCTGATTAGAGCAATTCAAATGATGTATTTAATGTAGACACTGTGAATAATAGAAATAAGTATAATTAAGAATAAAACACTAAAATTAATCAACAAGAGTGTATATCTAATTTTTCTCTTTTGTAGATTCCTTCTAGTCAAAATATAACAAACAGTTAAAATAATCACAGTTAATATATCTAATAGTCTCCTATTAAAAATTCTGATTATAACTAAAACCATCTATTCACTCCAAATAACAGCTCATAAACTAAGCAAGATTTAAACAATTAAAAATAATAGTTATCAAATAACACAATTAATACTAACATAACTTTAATAGAGCGTTTGCCTACGAATAATTTTGATTCACAATTTCGCTCAAAGCCTCAAAATTCTCCACACTTTGAGTAAATACAGTAATAAGTGATATAGAAGAATTTAAATAATTTTTAAAATACAAAAGCCTATAACGAAAAATTAAATTTTCAATAAATTCCTTAAATTTAAAACAAATTCACAAGGCAATAAAATTCTTCAAGCTAATCTCCTGTAATGAACTTCTAACAAATAAGTGGATTTTAATCTTCTTTTTTGAAGTTGGATGATTCAAATAAGTTAAACAATATTCCTAACTTGAATATAAGCAGTGTAAATTAAAATACAAACAAAAATTTAGATGTCAATAATTCTAGCTAAAGACAAGGAAGAAGACATAAAATATTTGAGGATATAAATAGACCTAAGATTATGAGCTAGCACATTAATACATCTAACTGCTCATCAAATGCTTAAAATATAAGTGGACTGAGAGAAAACTCAGCTAATACGGAATATAGAAACACCTCAATAAACACTTCATTAATTCCAGATAACACTCCTGTAAGCAATCAAAATTAAACTTAAGCAAACTAAAAGCAATAATTTAATTAATTCCCTGTTAGCATTTTGGAAACACTAATAAAGCCTTCCTCATAAAACCTGAATTAATAAATTTATTATGGAATGCAAAAGTAAAAATCTTAAGTTTCTTAAAACGTAACCAATATTACTTAATAAATGCAGCCTGAAATTAAAAGAATCTAGCCTATATCTATGATAAAATAATCTCCTCAATAACCAATAGTGATAGCAACACCTTCAAATAATAGCCGATAAAGAAACTTCAGCAATGAAAGCAACTAAAGCATGCAGTCTTTTTATAATAACTAAACTCAACTTATAAGCAACATAACCCAGAGCAAGAATATCACCAGCAACGATAACCAAGAAGTTAATTAAATTAATCCAAACAGTTACACTAACAATTCTAACAACTATACTAATAACTATTAAAATCCAAATCTTAATTCATCCAGATTAAAAATATTTGAGTAATAAAAGCAAAATAGCAATAACTAAAATTAAAGATTTGTAAATGGATTTGAAAACCTAAATTAACAAACAGCGCAGTAGTAACAGAGTTTTATACAATATAACCAATAACAATAACTAAATAGCTAAAAATATCAAAATATGTAATAAAGAAACCAAACAAATCCTAGCTTTTCTCCTTATTAATAACCTCAATCTCAACTAAAAAATAATTAATAACAAGAAAATCTATTTTACTACTATTAAAACTTCAAAATTTGATTTCACATAATATCCTCACAGTTAAAGTTTTCTTTTTCTAGAAATAAAATAAATCTATATTCCTTAAACTAACTACCTTCTTCTTATAATAGCCTTCTAAATCTGACAACATTAACTAATTTTCCAGATTCTAATAGTTTTAACAACCAAATTTTGTTAAGTTAATAATTTTTATAATATTCAATAAATTTCTCATATTTATATAATTAAATAGTAATTTCCTATTTATATCAATCTAAATTAGTTATATTTTATTAAATAACTTTCTAAATTCAAAAATTCAAATTACCAAACTAACATTTTTCAGTTTTTAATTTCAATAAAAAAAATATTATTTTTTTTGAATTAATATTTTTATTATTTTTTTTTTTGAATTAAACATATTTAAAAAATAAAAAATTATCTAAATATTTTAAATTACTCAATGATGTAAAAGAGATTGCATATTTCATAAAATTAAATCAAATTTATTTTTATTTTTAAAACTCTAATAATTAAGAAATTTTTTTAATTAATTTGGTAATAAATAATAAAATATTCAATTTTATTATTATTAATTAAATAGAAATTGATAATTATTATCAAACTAAATTAGCTTGAAAATTTCCAATCATTCAAATAAAATTTAAAAATTAAAAATCTATCTTTTTACGGGGTTGGGGTTGGGGTTGGGGTTGGGGTTGGG